CAATACAATCATTGACTGAGCCCAACTAATTTGACACTTACGTAACTTTTATATTCGATCCCTTTCTCTCATAAAATATAAAAAGAAAAAAAATAAGTTTTTACTATCATAATTTATTATTAATAGAACGTTTTAAATCAAATTTTTAAAGTGGACATTTTTTTTAATTTACTATTGCTGAACTGATTTTTTTCTTTTTTTAAAAAGTATTTAATTATATATTATGTTTGATAATGTAATGTGGATAGGTGGATGTATATTGTTTTTTTTTTAGATTATAACTACTTAAATTTTTATCTTTTGATTTTTAACTGATTTAGGCAATTACTATTTTTATTGTTTTATTTATTTATTCTTTTAGATTCCAACTTTTTAACAGTTAATTGATTTTACATTTTAACTCATTTTAGGAAATTATTTTATAGATTTTAACCTTATTAGATTTTAACCTTTTTAGACTTTGACTTTTTAACTTTTTTTTAGATTTTAACTTTTTAACTTTCTTAGATTTTAACTTTTTTAGATTTTAACTTTCACTTATTTTTAACTTGTACTTAAATTTTAACTTTAAACTTTTTACTGATTTTATATTGTAACTTATTTATAAGCAATTTATTTGATAGATGTATATTTTTTTAAGCTTTTATCGATTTTATATTTTAACTATAACACTATTTAACACTTAATTTTATAGTTTTTAACTTTGATAGTCTGGAACGAAAAAAAAAATATTGCAATGAACAAAATACCAACGAAGAAGATCGAAGTTGGACAAAAGGTATGGCTTCTGAGAACTGGAGGACCTGTTCAAGAGGCGGTTGTTGCCTCTGTGATGTCTGTGGCTACTGCAGGAGGCGGAGAAAATAAATTTATTAAAGTAGAATGGCCTGACACAGAAGGTGTGGTATTGGGAAAGACGGTGTCGATAGATGATGTCTTTCCCAGATTGCCAAATGATCCTCTGAATGTCGCAGAGGTACTTAGTGAGCGGCAAAATGAAGCTCTACGCCCTGATGATAAAGTTTGTCTGATATGCGGGCTTTCTTTTAAGGGCGAACGAGGTCTCGGAACCCACATTGCAAAAAAACATCCCAGGGAGGCGAATAATAATACATTGAGGGGCATAGTAAAGAACGTGATAGGTCCTAGAAATGGAGAGGGTGAGTCATCAAAAATAAAAGAGGACATTGTTGAATGGTCTACTACGTTCAAGAACCTTTTAAAGCAAGATATGGTAAATACTGCGGATTTTGAAGAGGCCGTAGGCAAGTTCCTAAAGTTCCTCAAAGTCATCAATGCGGAACTGCCAGGTCCCCAGCACCCAGCCGTAAAATTTTATAGGATGAGGAAAAAAAATAAAATGAAAATGGCTGACAAGGGTGCTGGACAAGTCTCAAATCCGCAGAGGGCAAACAAAGTAGACAGGAGTCGTCGGCAAGAGCAGTATCAGTACGAGGTTGTCCAATATAATTATTATAATAAAAGAAAAAAGGTTGTGCAAACTGTAATGAATGCCGACGCTCCTAAACGGTGTCCTCTAAAAATGGCCGAAATCGAGAGGCATTATAAAGACCTCTTTGAGAGCGAAAATCTCTGCGGGCGTGCGGATTACGAACAGTGTGCCCCGATGCCGGATTTGCTGTCCATTGAGATAGAAGCTATCAGGAAAGCCATTAAATCAACATCAATGGACACATCGCCGGGGCCTGATGGAGTTCTGATCCGCACAATAAAATATTTTGACGTATCAAGCATTATTAAAACGATTGCAGAGATAATGCTGAAGGTGGCCTATGTTCCGGAACCACTTCGACAAGGGCGCACAATATTGATATATAAGGGCAAAGGTGATATAAACAATATCTCTACCTGGAGACCGATCACCATATACTCGATTGTGCGCCGAATCATAGAGAAGGTTCTGGACTACGAATTAAGAAAGCAGGTCACCTTCCACAAGAGTCAGAGAGGCTTTATAAAAGGCCTCCCGGGAACGCACGTCAACGCGAGGATCATCGACGCGGTATTAAAAGATGCACAAAAAATGAAAAATGACTGTGCGATAGTTTTCCTCGACGTTGTCGGTGCTTTTGACAATGTTGGGCACAAACACATCGTAAGCTCCTTAGAAGCGAGAGGTGTGTCACCGAATCTTACAAATGTCATATCAGCTCTCCTTAGCACGAACACCATAAAGATTGGCAACGGTGTCCATGCAACTAGCCAGATCAAAGTGCTGCATGTAGGTGTACCCCAAGGCGGCCCCTTGTCGTCTTCACTCTTCAACCTGGCCATCGATCATCTCTACCGCGACCTGTGTGACGAGGACTTTTCCAAGAAATTTGGATACAAATTAAGGAATTAGCAGGATTGTGTGGTCCTCACAGGTTACGCGGATGACCAGGCAGTGTCGGCGCGTGACAAGGGGGCTGCAGAAAGAGTGATTGACAGCATACAAAGAACATTTAAAGAAATTGGTCTGGCTATAAATCCTCAAAAAAGTATGGGCATCGTTATAAATAAAGGAGAGCTGGAAACGACGGTGTTCTCCCTTGAGAATGGTGAGTACATCCAAACATTGAAGAATGGAGATACGATTAAGTATTTAGGATGTACATTCTCGGGAGAGCTGCAATTCAACGAAGATTCGGTGACTAAATTGAATGATAATCTAAACAAGCTGGTAACCTCTTGCTTACTTAAACCTGAGCAGAAACTCAACATTGTCAATCAATATCTGTTCCCGGGTCTTACTTACCCTCTCCAAACTGCGCCCCTAACAAAGCTACGTCCTGCTATACTGGAGGGCATCGACACTATGATTCGCAGGAGCGTAAAGGCCATTATTGGACTCCCTGCGAATACTTCCACAGCGATGTTATATGCCCCCAGGAGATACCGAGGATTGGGATTAATCCGCTGCCAATGGGAGGCTCCTCTTCAACATTGGTCCATTGCTCAGCGACTGTCCAATGTACCAGATGCCCTTTTTCAGTCTACCTTCGATTATTCGGCTGAAATTGCTGAATGTGCCGAGAGATTGGGGGTTGATCAGGGTCATCGAAATGTGAAAGCTCTACGGCAGTCGCTACGAGAAAATGCATTTGAGGAATGGGCCAACTGCAGGTGGCAGGGTATTGGTGTTCGCCATTTTAAAGAGACCCCGAAAGCGAATAGATACATCTACGAAAAGCAAGTACTTTCTGGGTCTGAATGGTCGAATGCCCTAAAACTAAACATTAATTATGCACCCCTGCGTGGAGTCCCAGGAGTCAGCGGACAGGTCAGAGAAGTTGGGTCCCTCTGCCGTAAATGCGGCAGAGAGTCTGAAACACCAGCACATGTGCTGGGAAAATGCCCCAACAACTCCCTCCTCATAACACGTCGTCACCACCGGGTCAAGTTCGAGTTGATGAGGCTCCTTAGGGAAAAAAAATTCACCTGCTTTGACGAGGTATATTGCATCGATAGTGAAGGCTCTACGAGATACGCTGATATCGTCGCATTTCCCAAGACAGGAAGGACAGCGCTGATCTTGGATCCAACTGTCCGCTTTGAGAGCAATGACCTCGATCAGGCGGGTGAAGTGGAAAGGGAAAAGAAGAACACGTACGATAAATGTATCCCTTTCCTAAAAGAGAAATTCCGTGAGACCTTCGGAGAGAGAGAGTTCACCGTGAGAGCCCTCTGGTTTGGGTCTCGCGGAACTATCCCAAAAAGAACAAGGAGCTTCCTCGAGGAACTAGGTGTCGACATTAAGGACGTAGCGAGGTTGGCTGAAAATATAGTCCTCGACTCCCTGGGAATCATTCACCACCACGTGCATGGCTAGCCCGAGAGTTTTAATTTATGTATTTGTTTATTTATTTATTTAGTGAATAATTGAAAACAATAGCGATAAAGAGAGAGAAGTGAGAGAAAGGGAAACTTAATGTTAAATAAAAAAAAAAAAAAAAAGCATGAACAATGAGAAGAAGGAAAAAAAAAAAAATTATAAAAATAAATAAAATAATAAAAATGTATATATATATTTCTATTTTACTAATATTAACTAATACTTCTGTATATTTATATATAAGTTCATATATTGTCTTAAGGATAGAAGAGTATGCTGTGTATATAGCAACCCAATATAATTGGGCAGCAATCCTTTATATTTTATGAAAATAAAGTGTTTCTCTCTATGATAAAGGATCGGAAAAATGGATGGTAGTACGGCTTTGATCAGTCTGACTGGAATGTTATCGGGACCATAATCGTTGGTATGGGATTTCTGAATGGAGTTTAGGAGATAATCAGGGGTAATGTGGGGAAAAAAAGAAGTGATTAGAATTAAAAGAGAAAAACATGGGAGCCGGATCGGACGCAGGAGTTATGGTTGAGAATGGGCAGGAGACAAAGTGAGCATTGAGGTTATCGGCAGAAACGGAAATGGACAGGGACTGAGTTGTATTACCAACGGTCAGTTTTCTGAGAATAGCCCACGTGGCCTTGGTATAAGGGGAGTTAGATAAGGAATGATAGTAGTAACGGGAATAAGCAGCGTACTGCTGATTAAGTGCTGTTTCGAAGCTGTTTGACGGAGAGAAAATCTTCATGAAGTCAGTTCGTTTAAACCGTCGCCTTGCAGCATCTCTTTCTCTCATACACTCTCTCAAAGCAAGAGTAAGCCAAGGAGCAGGAGGATGTCGGATGGTTTTGGTGATAAGAGGAGCATGTTGGTCGAGAATAGAGTGAAGATGAGAGGTAAGGGTTTCTACCATGGTGTCCATGGATTTTGAGGAGTAAATGGGATTCCACTGGATATCGTTCAGATCTTTTGACAATGTTTCGTGAGCGAGGAAATTTACGTTTCGGAAGGATATAAGAATATACATATGCTGAATGTAATCATGATTTTATTTTTATAAGTTATTCCTAAGGAATTTCGAAAAACAATTTATCATTTTTCCACATGAAGCCTGGACTTTAGATATAAAATTATTTTATATCTCCTTGGAAACTTTTTAAAATAACCTCACCTTCACTGTTTACTGATGTTAGTGGACTGAGTGTTGTTTTTTTTTTTTTGGATATTACTTTTTACTTTCTGGACAACTTATAATTCAAAGAACGTATACCTGTTTATCAATAATATTTGAGAGTAGTCGGCAATCATAAGACGCTGTTTCTACAGTTCTGAATTTCCTTAGTTTTTGAGTAATTTGAGAGATGGACCCATGTTTATTACAGAAGACTGTTAGGGACAATAGTACCGAACTTCAAAACTTTATGTTGGATCTTAAAAATTGGGAAGATGGTGCCAAAAAAAAAGAACATAATATTATTTATGGTGTTGATAAAGTAAGAATAGTTCAAATATTCTTAGTATTTGTTATGTTTCTTTATTTAAATAATGATCACAAGAATAAGATTAAATGTTTTTGTTAATAAATGTACAGATCTATATTTATACTACCTCACCTCCTGTTCTCCTGTTTACTTACTTTTCTAAGCAGATGTACATAACCTTATTTTTACATATCTTAACATCTCCCTTCTTGAAGTCATTCCCTCCACCTTGGTGCCCTCACCATCCTCCCATATGGTGCCATAACCATCAAACGAAGTTTCATCCTCATCCCCTTTTTGCTCTTCTTCAGTCTCTTCTCTCTCTTCTTCATACTGTTCTTCTTCGCCCTCTGCTCCTATTTGCTCTTCTTCGTGGACACCATTGTACTCTAATAGATTTAATGTGCTTTCTATTTCTCTCTATGACTCCCCCACCTTCATCCTTTCGGAAGCTATATGATCTTGGGCGATCCATTCTCCTGATTACTTAGGCTGGAACCCATTCCGAAAACTTACTTGTCTGCGTCTGAACTTTTTCTCTTATATGCAAGTCTATGAGATGTTTTGTCCCTCTGTCATAATAAGACTTGCTCCTTTTCTATCTCTCTTGAAGTATCTTCTTTATCTCACTTTCCTCTACCACCTTTGATTGTAAATGACTATTAGTTAGAGGCAAGACTCCTATCAGGGGTCTACTCATCAGTAGTTCAGCAGAGGACGGCATATCTGCAAATAGTGAACTATTTAACCGAGCAAGCACAGAAACGGATCAGTTCTAGCTTCTAGTGATTTCTTTAGCAGCCTTTTAACAGTTTTTATCTGACGTTTCTCTAATCGATTTGTTTGTTGTTACATTGGGCTTAGCATGGTTCCTTTGGAATGCTACTGCTTTGCATATTCTTAAAATGCATAACTACTAAATTGTGATCCTTAATCTGTGATTACCTCAGAAGGAATTCCATGTCTTGAAAAAATTTTTTTTGTGATTTGATAAGATAGCTAAACCCCAAGTCCTCAAGCATAGATACCTCACAGAATTTAGAATAATAATCGACAACAATTAAATAGTTCAAGTCCTGCAACTCCAGGATGTCCTATGCTACCTTTCTCCATGGTCCTTCTGCTACCTCCTGCAACACCATAGGCTCCTTGCATTGAGAATTGCCATATTTTTGACCATATTCATAATATCATTTTTCATGTTTGGTCAATAAAGTAGTCCTTTAGATTTAGCACATTTTGCCATCCCTTGGTGAGCATAATATATTTTTCTTAACATGTCCATCCTTAAGGACTTAGATACTACTATCTGGCAGCCTTTGAAGATAATTCCATCTTAAAATGTCAGTTCTTCTTTAACCGACGCATATCTTCCAAGCACCAGATCTTTAGTTTTGGGACATCTTTCATCTGTCCATTTCCGTACTGCTTTGAATTCTTTATCTTTGTCGGTTTCTTTACGAACAACATTACATTTTTCATCAGAAATTGCCATGTTCTTAATCAAACCAACGACATATGCTTCTTTTTCTTCCGCATGTTAAGGTTTTCCAACACTTGCTTTTGACAGGTTATTAGCAACCCACATATCCTTTCCCGGTTTATAAATTAATTCGAATTAGTATCTTTGTAATTTTAATAACATATTTTGCAGCCTAGGAGGGCATAGATAAACAGATTTTTTGTGGATCATTCCTCAGAGCTCATAATCCGATTCAACCTTAAAAGAGTGACCATAAGTATAGCTATAGAAACGCTCGCATCCAAAGACAACAGCCAACATTTCCTTCTCGATGTTAGCATATCTTTTTTCAGTTCCAGTTAAACTTCTTGAAGCATATGCAAGTGGTTGACCCTCTTGCATTAAAACTGATCCTAGACCGTCATGTGAAGCATCTACAGCTACTGGTAAACCAGAATCATAATATCTAAGGACAAGTAAAGTAGTTAAAGCCTGCTTCAGAGCCTGAAAGGATGTCTGTTTCTTCTCCTCCCAATGCCATTCTACCTCTTTTTGCAATAAAAAGCGTAAAGGAGCTGTAATTTGAATTAAATTTTCCTACGTAGTTCACTATACCTTAAAATCTTTCCAGTTCTTTTCTGGATTCAGGAAGAGCCATAGTCTCTACGGCTATTAACTTATCTTTATCCGGCTGTATTTCCTTTACACTTATTCTCTCTCTTTTTTTGGGGGGAGGGGTCCTCGCCTTTAAGGCTATACAGGGTTTTCCATAGGGTGTGGGCGGGGATTTAAAAGACTCTCATCACCAGGACGCGAACTCGTGACTATTTTTCATCATTGTCTCATATATCTGGTTGTGATATATGAAATATATCAAGGCAATGGTGGTTCTGTGCACACTCGTTAGCCAGTTCAACTACCCCGCCCACATTCTCTTGAAATTTAATATTCTCTTCTCTCACTATAGAACAGCCTCCAAATTCGCATTTTGCTCTTCTTTCGTGCAACTCCACATCAATATGTCATCCCCAAAAACTTCACAACCATCCAACTCACCAAACATTTTCTTGAATGTAGAGTGGAACATTTCTGGGGCACAATTTATTCCAAAGGGAAGACGCAAAAACTTATACCTTCACCAAGGTGTATCAAAAGTGCATAGATCTGCCCTCTCCTTATCCAATGCTATTTGCCAAAATCCCGATACTGCATCTAATTTACTAAAATATTTTGCATTGGAGAACCGATTTAATATTTCAATAGTAGGGAGAGGAAAGTGACATTGCTTTATGGCCCTATTCAAATCTTTCAGATCCAAGCACAGCCGGATATCTCCATTGGACTTATAGACCACCACTAAAGAGTTAACTCTACTTGTTGGATTATCTACCTTAGCAACTATTCCTTTGTTTTCTAAACTTTTTAAGGGTTCCCTGACTCGATCCCTTAAAGGAAATTTTATTCTTCTAGGTGGATGCACTACTACTGGTTCCACATTCTAATCAACCTGAATGTGTACACTGCCCTTTAATTTTCCGACCCCCTTTAAAAGGTCAGCATAATGAACTTTTAACCTTTCTAAATCTATTGTATTCACTCTACTAACCAATTCTAACTCCATGCATCCTGCCAGTTCAAGCAATGGTGATGCATATGGTGTGCTCACTACTTCAAATGTTAAATGATATTCCTTATTTTTATAAGAGCAAAGCAAAGTACACTTACTCACTACAAGAGGACGTTTACCAGAGTAAGTAGTGAGATTTTTCGTGGAGGGCTCCATGTGGACTCCAAGTTGATGAGCCATTCATTCAGGTAACACATTCACCTGTGCACCAGTATCCAATTTTAAAGTCACATCCTGTCCACAAAGCAGCAACTTAGCCTTCCACTCTCTTTCAGAATTATTCCCTCTTACCATATCAATGAAAAAGTCAACACCCTCAGACGGATATCCTTCTGGAATCTCTTTAACCATCCTTGGATTGGTTACATCCATTTAACATTAGAAAGCAAAGTGATTTAGCCCTCCGCATCTTCTACATGTCTGTCTGTAAGGAGGACACTTTCCTGTGGGATGTTCGAACCCGTAATAGTTGCATTTTATAATCTTGTGAGCTGAAAGCTCCCCTTTGGATAGGCTCTGCCTCTCCCTTCTAGTGTAGTATGCATCCATAGCTCTATACATTTCCTCTCCTTGTTGCCTAGTTTCTACCATTAATTGGCACTGTTCCAGAACCTTATCCATGGTTAAATTCCTTTCCTTGGTTATTATTCCTCAATAACCTTCCTCTCATCGAACTATCTTTAATGCCTGGAATAAAGCATGCCAGTAATAACCTATCTAATAACTGTCCAAATTCACAACAATTAGCAATATCTCTTAGTCTAACTGTGTAATCACTATACATTTCCATTTCTAACTGTGAACACACAAAAAACTTATATCTTACATAAATAATATTTCTCTGAAGAATGAAATAGTCATTGGGGTGCTTAATTATGTATTTTAGCGTTTCTAACTTATTGGGCAAACTGTTCAGAATTTTTATTATTTTTTCTCCTACTAAATGTTTAAAAATACTACAGGCTTACATTTTTCTTCATTATTATTCTCTCCTATTGCTTCAATATAAATTTCATATCTGTCTTTAAATTCAGTCCATTCTTGAGCAGAATCACCATTCCAATTCATGGTTCTTGGGATTTGCATAAACGATTCCATTATTGTTATTCCAACTATTTTAGTATGTAATATTATCCTTAGTTCATCCGCAGCACCATGTTATATTTCCTTATTTAAATAATGATCACAAGAATATGATAAAATGTTTTTATTAACAAACTCACATCTAGATTATACAACCTCACCTCCTGTTATCCTTTAACTTATCCATTCCAACCTCTTCTAACATATGTATATAACGTTATTTTTACATATCTTAACAGTATTATTTACTATTTATATTTATTATTGTTAATTTTCCTTTGTGTAGAATGAAAAAGACAAGGAAAAAGAATCTGTGACAAGGGATGATGTTACATATGTAAAAACAACATTTGAAGATGTAAGTGTTTATATTAAAATATTGAATAAATTTTCAGTTATGACATGTATTCATATTGTATATATTTTTCCTACCAATGACTTTCTCATATATTTATTTGTAAGAGTTTGATAAAATTTATGTTGAGAATTTGATTTGAAGTCCTATTTTACTGATAGGTACTTACATAATACATCACTGGCACATTGGCAACTGGTAACATGCCCACATTATTACTTTGTAGATAAAATCCCAAACTGCCGAAGTGAGTGCCAATGGGTATTTACTTGTCGATATTGGTATATATATATCACTTCTTTATAGTCATGCCCTTGCTTAAGATGAATAAACCCCTAATCTCCATGGTTCTTTTCAGTTGAGGAGGCCTTAATTAATATCTGAAATAATACAAGTTGTAGTCGTACGCATTATTATCCAATGGTTTTATACCCTTGTAGAACCTTGGCCAACTCCACCCAGGTCTATTCTTGCCTGCCTTTCTCCATCCTCCACTACTCAGGGTCTGAACACTCCGTCTCCACATTCTTTGCAACCAAAGAAGCCTACTTCCTTCTTTTACCTGAGTATCCTTCCATTATTGTTTTAGGGGAGTTATATTATGTATATAGCCTAGCCAACAGAGTACCAATTTTTAAATAACTATTTGAGCAATATTATCACTGAGGGTATGAATATTAAAGATGATATAAGGCGAAAATAACAGCTGGTAATAGGTTCCATTTGCTTCTGATCAAAATCAAGATATATCCAGAACTGCACTGGTGGATGTCCTGCAACAGGTCATAACGCAAGGAAGCAAGTCCTGGACAAAAGTGCTCCACATGGAGAAAGGCTATTAAACATGTGAGAAAGGAAAATCTATGGCTTAATTAAGGAAGAGAATCTTAGGTGGATAAACAACGTGCTATAAAACTTCTATGATGCTCCAGATATATAACTTATAGCATTTTTCATTGAATTCCTTGAATCTTACCAAGTTAAAAACAATGTGTTGATTGCTGAATGTGTCTTACATTATTTACTTTGTATCATAAGTTACTTAGCCAGTAACTTGTATTGCTATAGCTATACAAAAAAAAAATTATATCAAATTTAATTTATATCATTGAAATATTTATTTATTTGCCATGATATTTTCAGGGTTGTCGTCAAATGAAAAACAAAAAATGGGACCTTGCAGAGAAGTCATTTAGCAATGCTATTCGAAAATATAGCAAAAATCCATCATTTTTCATAAAACGGGCAAAGTGCTACATCAAACTGAAGAAGTATGATAATTGATTACGTTTACTTTTGATTAATTTAAAATTATGTATTTTGTACTCTTCATGGACATACCAGGGGGAGCAGAGTAGCTATGTAGATTAAGAGCAAGATAGTTTAGTGAGTAAGACACTGTGATCATATGCTCCAGATCCTGGGCTGGCGTTCGGTTGTAGTAGGTAATTATTTATACTGTTATTGAAGGAAGTTAGTCAATTGTTCTACACATCATAGCTGATAAATATTCAGGACGCTGTCATTTTAAGATTTTTATTGTTGTGGAGGTTTCAACCCAAGTATGTAGGTCATCATCAGGGCATGTTACCAGTACTGAAGGTGTTCAATTACTCACGAACAGGTTTAAAATGTTAGCGACAATAAAAATCTTAAAATGACCGTGTCCTGGCTATTTATCATCTATTATATTTATTCTGTTGTACGAACTGTTAATTGATTGAACCTGGGATCTTGAGACACTCCTGGTGCCCATCCAGCCTCTATGTAGAGAATGCTCTTAATTGAATTATTAAGTAAGAAAAAAACCTTGTGGTTGAGTGGTTCAGCCTAATCACTTCCTTATACAACCGTTGACCAGAAAACAGTACTTCCTTACAAAGTACTGAACCCAAGACCTTTCATAGGTTGTAGTGTTACAGGTTTTACTTCAGTTACAAAATAACAGCATAGCTTTCTAACTGTTATTTTTATTGTGAAATCGTATTATGTTATTGTGTCTTGAAATGTTTTTTAGGCCTGATCAAGCTGAAGAAGATTGCACGAAAGCCCTCTCCATTGATCCTAAAATTTTTAAAGCAAAACTTCAGCGATCTCAAGCTCGTGAAATGAAAGGCCATTTAAGGGGGGCATGTTTGGATCTGCAAGATATTCTCATTCTAGATCCATCCAATCAAGTGGCAAAAAATGCTTTAAACCGTCTAAGACCGCTATTTGAAGTAAGTATTGTTATTTATGTATATTTTCTTAACATATTTAGTATGAGGCTTTTATTTTTGACTTTAAACCATCTCTGTATATTGAACCATATACACAGAGGGTTGTTATATGTGCCAAGAGTACATAAAAATGTATATATTTTATTTAATTTTCATATTTCTTGTTTAACTAACAAAAATATTATTTTAGGAATCATTGCAGGAAGGAGATTATCATCCTTTTGAAGAAGAAGAGGTTTCTAATAAGACTGTAAGAGTTGATTTCTTTGTTCAATTTGCTTATTGTTTAATGATTTTTTTTTTTTTTTTTTGTATAGCCTGTTCTTACAAGTATTGCACCTGTAGGCCTCCCCAATTAAGAGGGTAACGGTTTAACTTTCTACGGAGACCAGCCGTATTGGGAAGTAGGGCCGGGATTTGATGGTATGATCTTTGCTTTACAAGTATAGCACGCTAACCACTCTGCTATTCCGGTTCCATTTAATGATTTTAACTTTTTAATGATTAATCAAGTATAAATGTTTTACTTTTCTACTGCTGCTATGTAAGGAAAATATTGTGATTAACTTAAAATTTGGATGTGTAGTTGTCAACAGATCTGTGTTTCAGTTTCCCTTGTGTCCACAAAACACAGTGGATTTTCAAGCATAGTTTTTCTGTCTGTGTCTTTTCACAATAATTTCTTGAACGTAATTGAAGATAGACCATTTTTGTATTTTATTTTATGGATTTCAAGTCTTCACCAAATCTGGCATTCTGTTTTTACTTTCACTTGTCTATATATGAAATATATAGCAAGGGAAAGTATTGTGATCGAGAAAATTTTCGAATCCGAGTTTTCAAGGGAAATACATGTTCTGATGTCTCCTGGGTTTAAATAACCAATTCTCACAAAATGGTCTGTGTGTATGAACAGTCAAAAACAAAAAGTTGTACGAAACTGAAATTGCATATTTATGCTTTATATATGCCTAGGATATTACAGCAACCTTTTCGTTGAAATCGGAAAACCGGAAGTGAAACTTTATATCATTGAATTAACACATTTTTACGATTTTCGCAAAATTCACACAAACAATTTTGATTAAACTCTTTATACTAATGTGCAATTATGTGTTTTTTTAATATAAGGTAGATTATCCTCATTGATATTCTCCAACAGGGCATAAATGTCAACTTTTCTAGATTAATTCCACTAAAGTAACTTTTATTGTGTTTGTTTTTAAAAATTAACTATTTCACACTGTCCACAGTTGTTTTTAGAATTGGCTATTCATGAATAATTTATGAATTTTATAATTTGAAGGATTTAGAGGAGATAAATTTTGTAATAATTATATAAAAATATTACATTATTATAGGATTACATAATAATGATATATAAATATTTGACTTGAAAATTGGCAAAAGTCTCAAGAAATTTAAATGAATTAAAGCATTGAATAAATGTATAAGGCTATAATAAAGTGTTTTCCTCAATATTATAAATTTGATTATTAATATATACCCTTGAAAATTATTGAAGATTTAACAAAAAAAAAAAAAAAGTACTAATAAAATCCAACCAGTATTACATAGTAAAGATACAGCATATTATATTGGACTTCTTACACCTTTGTTTAAAAATACTTTATAAAAACTATCTTGAGCAGTTTCTTATAGGAAATCTAATCCATTTGTATTAGTTCTTAGAAAAATTATACATCTCCTGGAAGACTCCATGTATTCATATTTATAAAAAAAAATCTTAACAAAGATGTAGCAAACAATATTTTTTTAGACTTTGTGCCCAAGGCATGTATGAAAGTCTTGTGAGTGGATTCTGTTGGAACCTTCCAACCATGTTATACATTATCTTTACTATTATAAAATTAATATTTTATCTTTTTAAACGCATCAGAATTATTTTTCAAACTTTAGTGTTAAACTGCTAAATAAAAGTCTCATTATATTGAAATAAATATATTTAATGCTGATGAAATTTCAGTAATAAGTGATTCCAGGTGTCTCCTAACTAAATGGATTACCCCATTTTAATGTTTCTGTCCATTTTTGAAAAGTTCATTATACGGCAAATTTTTTAGTGGACTATTCATTTTTAATGTATTTTTGTCTGAATAATTTTGATACCTTAAAAGTTATCTCTTTTTGTTAGACATCTCATTCATTTCTTACTATTATATTATCATTCATAGTAATATCTGATTTGATTTATCTTTATTTTTGTTTTGGGAAGGGGATAGGTGACTCAATTATTGAATCCTTAGCTGGAACTGAAGATTATGCTGACGATTCTTCAAATGAGGAAATGATTCAACTTGCAAATTCTGAAAAAGAAAGGGTAATCACTTAATTGTTTGTTATTCAGAACATATTTTTAACTATCCCTAAGTGTATAACATTATAATTTTCTAGTTTCTGTCCAGATTGCCAAACATAATATTCCATATTTTAGGCAATATTAATTAACAACTAAATTTAACAATTTATTGATTATCATTAACAATGAATTATAATTTAAATTATTATTTTTAAAAAAACATGTAGTCATAAAGTTAACTGGACTGGACCTGGTGAAATTTATATAGCCTGCAGATCACTCTATACATAACTGAACTATTTCCTCAAATCTCATCAGTAAAAAACTGGTGTCCGGCTCAAACTACCTACATCTTTGGAATGACTTGCTATTTTTAAAACTGTTAACATCTAAATCCATTATTATTTTAAATTTAAGAAATTATGATTATCAACCAAAAGTAAATGTTATAAATAATTAATTTTCAATAAATAACAGCAAAATCACTACAATATTTTTTTACTTTTTTTTTTGGTTTATTTGTTAGTTCCCTTTAATTGCAAGTTAATTTGAGTAATTGTATTAATTATTAAATTGTGTTAAATAACTGACAATTGTTTTTTTATAAATCTGGTTAAGAATAAAATTTATTTTGTTGCAAAATTTTATTATTTTTTCAAAGAGTAACCTCACCTTTGAGTAAGGTCACAACTCTTCTTGTTAAAAAAAAAATTACTTAATCAAAATTTCAAAAAATACTTTCCAATGAGCTCACATGATATATCACTTTCAGCACCTCCGCTATAAATCTAGGAATCACTATTAACGAAAACCTCTCCTGGAAATTCCATATCACCCTCATCTCCTGAAGGTCAATATCAAGAAAAAAATATATAATTTATTTTAAATTAAGAAAAGTTTTTGATTTTTATGTACTAGGTATTTTAAATAATATTTTTGTTATTATTATTATTTTTTTCTTTACAGGGTAACCATTTTGTAAAGTTGGAGAAATGGAAAGATGCATTGGAATCATATTCCAAAGCAATTGAATATAATCCAAATGATCCCATATTTTATGCGAATAGAGCCCTTTGCTATCTAAAAACCAAAGAGTTAGTAATTTTTTATTTAATGTTTAGGAGTTATATTGTTTTGGTTTATTATTTTTAGAAATAGAAACAATTTTATAGTTAAAAAATATATATATACAAAATATTTTAAAAATCTTAATTCTTTACTGTTAAATTTTTATTTTAGGGAGCACAGAGCTATTTTAGATTGTTGCATGGCTTTGAACAAAAACCCAAGGTATGTCAAAGTATACATGAGAAGAGCTGCAGCAAAGAAAGCTGTTGGTGATTTGTGGGGTGCACGTTATGATGTGAAACAAGTTCTTATATTAGAACCCAACAATAGTCAAGCCAAAAGTGATTTGGAAGAATTAAATGTTCTTATTGAGGTAAGATAACTACAATAATTAAAATGCTATAAGACTAGGTTTATTTCTTCTTTATTTTTTAATTATGCTCAAAATCAATCAAATCCTAGCTCTTATTTCTAAGAATGAATAGTCCCCAAAAGAAAGTCACACCATAACCCCCCTAAATTGGTATTTGTGAAGCCCCCACAATCAAAGATTTTTAAAAAGACTGTATTCATTATTACAAGACTAATAAATAATATTTATACAATTATTACACTAAATATTATATTTTTCTATTTTTATGGTGTACTATTAATTTTAGTAAAATATTTTTCTTTTTCCAGAAGCATTGGTTCGGAGTATTATAGTGGAATTCGTATACAAATCAATTATAAACATTGTTCTTTTGAATGTCTTAATTTATTTATTATATTATTTTTTTCACTTCATTGCCTATTTTAGCTTTCCTTATTCTAACATTAATCTAGTATTCCTTGATTGTTTTTTTTTTGTTTTCACTAACTGTTGAATGTCTTTAGGAGAAAGTTTGTGTCTTGTCAGCTTTTTTTATCTAAAATCCATTATGCTGCTTTCTTCATATTGATTACATCAATATAATTTTGTTTTTTATATTGGTTAAATACATGAAATGTTTAGATGTTATTCTAATTCTGTAGTTTTAAGAATGAACGATAAATAATAATATAAGGAGCATAAAAAGTTACCTTTATATTAAAGATTAATTCATAATTCTATAGAGTGTATGGGACATTTCATGTGTTTTGTTCAATGAGAGTTGATAGCAAAAAAGTTTAATTTGGTAAGAAAGACAAAATTTCCTTCAAATGCAAGTAGTATTTGTCTTTGCTGAAATCATTTTGAAGGGCCTTTCAAGCGGCTCAACTAAGATCAGTTCTGTTTTTCATAAGGCCTTGGATTATTCGTTATTTTTGTTTATGAGCCTCCTGCTAGGTTACAGATACCCCACCCACTTTTAGAAAAACTTCTTTGTTTAATAAACTTTAAATCATTATTAATTGATTTGAGGTTTCACACAGAATAAATTGATATTCGTTGCCAGTGTTTTCAGAAAAAATAATTACAATAAATCATTACATACTTTTTATTTATTTTATGTTTTTATAAAGTATAAAATGTAAATTTTTTTTGGTAAAACTTTTTACCAATCTTATCAAATTAAATCTCCTAACTCTAATATTCACAATTTCATGTAAATAATTGAATCATTTTGGTGAGGTTCATTTTTTTCTACAAATGTTAAGAAACAATTATGAGCTATTGCCTTAAATTTGCATTGATGTTCTATTGGTAAAAAAAAGCTGCATTTGGATACACCATTTTTTTTTTTAAATTTAAAAAAAATATATTGGTGCACTATCACTTCAGGAAAAAACTTTTTTGAAGAAAATTATGTTTTTACTTATTTTTTATAAATAAAAAGTGTTTTTTAAAAATTCATTTAATACCAAACATATCAGAACACAAAGAGATTAATAAAAGATTTATAATGATTTATTGTAATTATGTTTACTGAAAACAATGGTACTTTGAGAATTGGCAGAATTTCACATCATACAACTGTTATGAATAACTTGGAAAGATATCATTGTTAATAAACAAACTTACTTTAAAAAAAAAATAATAATAATAAACTACAAACTCAAAAGGTTAGCACATTATGAGCATTAAATAGATTACTTTATATATCCAGGAGCAATTAAATGAGATCAAGAACCTCAGTAGATTCTGTTCTGTTTATATTGGAATGTCTTCATGTAAAGAAATAATGGATAATTTTGATAAATATGCTTCATCACAAAATCAACAGCCCTGATCCCGTAGTCTTTACATATGATTTAGGATTATACTGTATCTCTGAAGATTAATAACTTTAGTTTTGGACACTAAAGGATTATTTTCTCTGTTATCCTGTTGCATATAAGTTCAATTTTGTCTTTGTGTAATGTGTTTATTCGATATAATAATACTTTTTTTGAAGAATAATTCATCATTACAGCTTAAATAATACTTGTAGAATAATGTTATTTCATCAAAATAATAGACATCTATATTGCATGCTAGGAAGAATACTGAAGTAAGTCAGAAAAGACAAATTTAATAGGCAAGGCGATGAAAGATTAAAAAAATATTTAATCACTCGTCCCTGAAACTAATGCTTTTTTTTACTTATACCAGTATTCTGCTCAGCATGTAATATGATTAAATATTTTCCCAATATTTATATTAGATATTTCCCAATATTTTCAAAACTATCATTTTCACTTGTTATTTACTTTATCCTTATTTTAATATTTTTTTTATTTTGTGTGATACAATAAAATATAATTTTAATAAAGTAAACATCTACGTATGATATACTTTATTTGTTCAACAATTTTATTCTGCAATATTTATATTAATATATAATTTTATTTATTGTGTTCTATTTTCTGTTAGCAAAAGATATATCCGGGTTTTAATGAGCAAGCTGAGTAAGGTATAAGTTTCATTACTCATGTTTTCTGTTTTATTAAAGTATTTTGTCCATTTTATCATTTATATATATATTTTTTTTTTTTATGATTGACAGGAGGAAGGAGGGTCATAACCTTATCTAAGCTCAAGTCGAGCTGGTTAAAATCTTTTGTTGTCTATATTTTAGCATGTCTGTACATATCTTAGAACTTTCATTTTAATAAAATATTTATCCTACTAAAATAGTACATATTTATTTCATGTAAGGACAGCTGTCAATACTTAATTTGATCAGTTAAACTTTGTAAATCTAAATTTATGAAATAAATGATAAATTGGATACTTTTTTTTTTATAACCTGTTTTTTTTCTAAAGTAGAAATATATGAAACAGAAGACAAGACCGGAGTTGCTGCTTTACCAAACACCTTACAAATGCTCAATACAGTTCAAAATTGTGTAACTGACTAAGTCATGCACTATTGAGAAACAAAAGATGCATAATTAATAATTTGTAAAATTTAGACAAAAATAAAATAATACAGCAGCTTTTTGCAGTTATCTGGTTTCAAATTGAGACCAACAATAGAATCTATTTACTTCTCAGAGTATTACATTTTTCAATTTTTTTTTTTTTATTAAATTAATTTTATTATAAAATAGTTAATAGGCGGTTTTTCATTGAATAATAGCATGACCATAAAAGTTATCGTAACCTAATATGTAGGAATTGCTTTATGGCTTATTTTATTCATGTATAAATTTTACATCCTGCAATTGATTATTATTATTATTTTCTGCTCAATGGAGCGTCACTTTCTGCTGATAATTACCATTTAAAAAAAGTTTAAAAGATCTCGGAATACCCCAGAATATATCAGCATCCCTGGGAAATTAAGAAGAAATCGTTACCAAAGTTCTCAAGTTTCTAGATAATGAAAGACTTTTAAAATTATTTTTTATTTTATTTTTTTATTTATTATTCTTTTTTATTTATTTACTTTATTTCATTTTATTTTAAAAGTTCACTTGGTTATTAATTTCAACTCATTTATTGCTATTTTTATTTTTTTTTTTTAGTTTATTTATTTATCTATTCTATCTTATTATCAATAAGTGTCTATTGTTATTTATTTTTTTATTCTATTAATATTTTTATTTAATTATTTTTATCCTTATTTTTTGGACTAACCATCCAAACAGTATAAAATTAGTATTATTTAGTTGATCGGGCACTGATTACCTGGATATTTTTGCGCCTAGACATCCAAACAAACAAACCATTTAAAAAAAAAATCTCAATCTGATGAAAATTCTTTTTTATTTAACTTTCTCGATAATTGGTTATTTGACTGTCATGAAGTTTCTCATTGAGATGAATATCTTGAATAGTTGGTGACTACTGAAGAACTTTTTTGGGGAAGGGAATTTATTCTTGAGATACAACCAAACCTATTGTAACTATAGTGGGAAGGTCGATATTCATTCTGTGAGTCCAAAAGGCGTCTATAGGCACAAGAATGCTAAAATGGGAACGCTCTTAACACACTTGGTCATCAAGACCTAGGACTTCAAGAACAGGAACAGATCCATCTTTAGAGGAAGAATGGATCATACTTTATACTTAAAAATACTTTTAAGTCTCATGGTTAATAAATACCCATCCACATGGGCTGTTTGAAACATGGTTATGAGTTATAAATAAACTGTATAACAAGCAAATTAATTCTGTAATTAATATATTTTATTAACTATGACCTTAAAACAAAATGTTTTAATTGTTACATCTCATTTTTTTATTTAGATTCTGCAAAAAAAAAAAAACTGGTAAAAACCTATTATTTCCAAACAATTATACTTCAAAAGTAACATTACTTTTTTTATTAAAAAAACAAAAATACCACCTATACCACTACAATCCATGAAGGGTCTTTTGGGGTTCAGTACTATTTATGAAAATTACTGTTTCTTAGTCAATGGTTGTGCAAGGAGATGAATTGACTAAAATCATGCTTCAACCACCAGATTTTCCCCTTTAATTAAGGGTGCCCGCTTTATAGAGGCTGAGGGTGTCCCAGGAGGATCACGGCTGATGGAACAGAATAGATAATTTTTTTTAGGAAGCTTAGTAAATTAAAAAAAAAAAAAATTCTACAAAAAAGTGCCTGCTTTTGAAGTTATTCAGAAATATAATTTTAACTTTTTTTTAGCTTCTTTTCATTGAAATATGTTATATAAATAAATTTAAAGGGTATAAAGGAGAGTACTTAAACCAAGTTTCATTAATATCCGTTCAGGCACTACAGTTTTCATGACACGTCTTTCGGTTGCCATCTTGAAGGAGAAGTACTTTTCGGTTGAGTATGTTCTAAACATATATTCAAAGGACATCAAAGAGGAGACTTGTTTCATTGAAATCAGTTCATTACTTTAGGCTGTATATTAAAAATGTTTTGCTGTCCTCTACAAAAACGTGTAACCCACATGTAACTTATTAATTTAACCAGGAAGTTTTCTAAAATTATCAAGAAAAATATACCTATTTTCCCAAATGTAATATCTGCTATTAAATTCAATAAAATGTTACTGGTAAATGATTATAAAAATAAAATTTAACTATATAAATGAATATACTAAAAAATAATATCCAAAGCATGTACAACTTCATATTGGTGGTCATCCAATTCTGTAGACAGCAAACAACTTTTAATATACAGATACCGTTTCTGAACCCATTGTAAACTTAATTAACTATTTTGAACTAAGTAATAGATTTTATCGCCATTTGATAAAAGAGAAGTGTTCCCTGCTAAAAATAAAATTATTGATGTGTATAAAGGGAACATGAAAATGAAACTGTTGAATTAAGTATAAATCATTGTATTATGAGGATTTTTTTAAATTATTAATTCTTGTACTCTTCGTTTTTTTATCAATTCATTTGCAATGATACTAATTATTTATGTTTCATCTACTTATTGCTTCCTAACACTGATATTATCTCAATTCTGTTTATTTTTACTTTTTATCAGTTCAGTTAAATGTTCTTTCCCTCCTCCCCCTTTTCCTCTATATTGAAACATTTTTTCTGTTCCTCATTTTGCAACTGTATCTATAGCCAAATTAAAACTTTTTAATCCTTATTTATGATTTCTTAGAATTCCTAGCTAAATGAGCTATTGAACCACTGTGAGAGAAGGTTTATTAATTTGGATTTTAAACTTGATCTAAAGCTAAAAAAATATATATAAATTAAAATAACTCTATTAGTAACAGAACTTTCTCACTCGGTAGATTTTTGTTTATCGTAAAGTTTTAACTCTGAGTTACAGATAGCTTGGAGCTAGACCAGTATCTGAGCAGTTATAATTTTCAAATATAGTTTAGTTACAGAAAATATATATTTTTTTCCTCTAGATATTTCACTTTAATTTAAGACATTCCTTGATTTATATAAAAACATAATATTGCCAAGTTAAAAAACTAAATGAAACTTCAATCAATTCATACTTCACCGAAAAGTACTTCCCTTTTAAGGTCACACTTTTTTCCTGATGCTGTATTTTTTTTTTTTTAATTTACTTCATTCATGTATGGCACAACATCCCGTTACCGAGACTGGGCCTCCTCCAAGAGCCTCCGCCAGTTGGCTCTGTCTTCTGCTGCAGCTCTCCAGTTCCGCACACCAAGCAGGGTTCTCGCATCATAGGCCACGTTGTCCAACCATCTCGTCCTCGGCCTTCCTACCCGTCTTACGAGGTGCAGCTCCTCCATCATTATTTTTTTTGGTATTTCAAGGGTGCTCATTCTGGCCACATGCCCTACCCACCTTAGTCTGGCCAGTTTAATATACGTGACTACGTCGATGTCTGCATAGAGAGAACTGAGCTCCCTATTTTTTCTTTTCCTCCAGACATCACCCTCCTTTACTGGACCATAAATCCTTCTGAGGACTCCTCGCTCAAAGACACTCAGCTTCATCTCATCCTTTTTAGTCATCGTCCAAGCCTCTGAGCCATATGTCAAAACAGGCCGAACAAGGGTCTTGTATATGATTAGCTTGGTCTTCTTTGAGAGGTACCTACTTCTTAAGTGTCGGCCAAGTCCAAAGACACATCTATTGGCAGCCGTGATCCTTCTTTGTATTTCTTGAGCCATGTCATTCTTGCTATTAATTTCAGACCCAAGGTATATAAAACTTTTCACTCTCTCAAACTTAAAAGAACCTACCTCAAATGGAGAGTTCAGATCCACCTCACCGCCAACTCTCATATACTTAGTTTTCCTCTCGTTGACTTCTAGTCCAAGTGGTCTTGCAGCTGCTTCAAGGCTTATAAACGCTTCTCTGAGAGCCCGTTCAGACCTACCTATTATGTCAATATCATCAGCAAAACCAAGAAGCTGTGTCAGGCGATTGAAGATTATATCTTTGGTCTGAATACCGGAGTCTCTTACAGCTTTCTCCTCTGCCAAGTTGAACAATAGACAGGCGAGGGCATCCCCTTGCCTAACCCCACTGCTCACTTTAAACTCTTCGGAGTCGTCAGAACCGACGCGTATTCTGCATCTCGAGCTGTCCATGGTTATCTTGATTAGGCGTACGAGCTTCTGAGGGATGCTTAGCTCCTCCAAGGCACAGTATAGTTGCGTTCTATCAACGCTGTCGTATGCTGCTTTAAAGTCCAGGAATAAATGGTGGGTGACTACCTTACGCTCCATAGTTTTTAATTTACTTAGCTTCCCAAAAAACAAAACAAATGAATATAGATCATTGATATCGGACAATTTGGTGCAGAGATATGGTGTTCTAATTATTTTTCATATGTTCTACTGCAAAGCTGATATCCTTATTTTCGGTTTTTGAAAGTGTTACATCAACAGAAGCAGTGTTGCCTATTTTTCTTATTGCAAATTACTAATGATGAAAACAAATTTACTTAGGGCAACATTAGGAATCATTTTTCTGTTACAATATATTGTTTATATCCTTTATGTTACAAGAAAAGTAAGGGGAGAAGGATAGCTCAGTGATAGGGCACTGATTTTCCAATGCTCAAACTCCCAGGTTCATGTCAGAAAAATGATTTATTCTGTTCCATCAGCCGTGGGAGGACCCTCCTGGGACACATCCAGCCTATACAAAGCGGGCACCCTCAATTAAATAATTAATTACGGGAAAAAATCTGGTGTTTGAGCATGATTTTAGTCAAGATGGATCTGTTTCTGTTCTTGAAGTCCTAGTGTGTGATAGCCAAGCATGTTAAGAGCGTTCCCATTGTAGCATTCTCGTGCCTAGAGACGCCGTTTCGAATCCGGCCAGGGTAGGTTGATATTTATTTTGTGATGGACCCACGGAACAAATACTGACCTTCTCATTATAATTAAAATAGCTTTGATTGTATCTCAAGAATAACTTCCCTCCCACATAAGTCCCAGTCAAATAACCAATTATTGAGAAATTTAAATAAAAAAGAATTTTCATCAGATTGAGATTTTTTTAAAAATAGTGATTACTAGAAAGTGACATTCTATTGAGCAGAAAATTATGATAATCAATTGTTGGATGTAAAATTTAGACATAAATAAAATAATCCAAAATAGCAATTCTTATATATTGGGTTACGATAAATTTTATGGTCATGCTATTAATCAATTATTTAAAACCGCCTATTAACTATTTTATAATACAATTAAATTACTAATTAATTTAATAAAAAAATTAATACTTGGAGAGGTAAATGGATTATATTGTTGGTATCAATTTGAAACCGAGAGGCTGCAAACAATTTTTGGGCTGTTGTATTATTTTATTTTTGTCTAAATTTTAGAAACTATTACTTTATCAGTTACACAGTATCACATTGTTGCAAATGATGAAATAATTGTAAATACATTTTTTTTATTAGTCATTAAATTTACACATAATGATCATTTTTATGTGGCTTTACTTTATGATTAACTTTTTTTTTAGAAAAATATTCCTCAGAAAAGAAAAGTGCCTTTCTCACCAGATATAAAATATTGTCCTAAAAAAGGAAAATCAGAGAATATTTCAATTAAAGAAAAAAAAGAATTCAATTATGTACTAGCAGTAAAAAAACCACCACATCTCAGATCAAAGGTAATTCAGCAATGACTACTGATTATTTTATGAAATAAAATAAACACATATTTCAAATAACTTAACTTATTTAATAACTATGAAATGTTTAGTTAGTTTTGAAACACACTTTTAATTTGTCTATCACTTCTTTTTCAATTCTATTGCTAAACAGTTTGGTGGTTAATCCAAAATAGGGAAAGGAAGTGCAAAGTAGGCAAACTAAACTTTAACCTCTTACCAAAATGGATTAAAATAGGGCACCTAAAATTAACAAATAATTGGTTAAAATACCAAACCTTTGTCGTTATATTCTGTTTATCTACTATTAAATGAAAACTACAATAATATAAAAACAAACTTGAAAGAAAAAAAGGAAATTTTCCTGTCATACTCTTCATAAAGGAGTAATAGAGAATCAACTTTAAAACCTACTATTATTTGATAATTGTCTTGTCTCATTTATCATTTTTCTGTAATTATATGAGTGTGCATTGTCTCGTTTTCAATGTCTATCTTCAGATAAGAGTTGTAAGTCCAACAAAGGACGCAATGCCGTGAATCCAACCTTTTTCAGTGATCATAGCAATTTAAAAAAAAAGTGATCATCTTCATTCTCTCTTAAGCTCATATTGTATTTTGAGCAAGAAGGCTTATTTAACTCATTGAACCGGTTGAGAATAGCTCTTATGATCAGAACTCTCAATTTAGAAGAGCTATCCCTGCCATGCCCTCAAGCGCGCTTTCAGTTTATGTTATGGCTAGATGAATACTGTCCTGTGATATACATACCATTTGTCTATGTAAAACACATATTAGAGCCTCATGGACATATCTAAGAAGATAGAAGTTTCTTACCAAAATTCATTTCACAATAATATTTTAAAACATATTTCATAAATTACACTGGTCATGAACTCAAAGTAATATTTAAGAAAAACATTTTTCTAATTCAATTCAGTAATAACAAATTATCACAGGGCAGACCAGTAAAATAACCTTTCCAAATTACCAGAGGACTAACAATGAACTTATATATTTACTTCTTTGGAATCATTCATTGTATTTAATAGCTCTTTTAAAAAATAATCACTAGAATAAGTATAAGGCATATTTTTTTGTTTAGAAGCCATTACAAAGGATTCCTATTAAATTTATTGATGATGACCCTACTGAAGGATTGAAAGAACCTGTGCTGAATTCTCGTTTGAGTAATTCTGAATTTCTAGAACCATCAAAAAATATTATTAACAAAAACCATGATATAATAGAAGAGAGTCCTAAAATGTTGCCACAATTGGATAAGATTTTAAAGGTGAATTATTTTTTATAATATTTTTAATATAAAAAAGCGAAAATTCCAAAAGAGGTGAACATTAACTATTAGGATATAATTGGAAAATACCAAATTGCAAAGCCTTGAGTCTCTAAAATTCATATAATCCAACAAATCTGCATTAATTGTCTCTAGGTGGAATGTTGGTGAGCCAGAGATATGTTATGTATTATTTGCATGTATGCAATTTAAAATAATGATGTCTGAATTGACAAAACGTTGACTAAGTATTTGTGTTAGAAATTTTCTAATTATTTCCTAACGTTTTGTATATAGTGATGTTTAAAAATATCTGGAACTTTATTATAGTGGAATTTATTACTTAATCCATCTTACAATGTTTATATATATATATATATTATTATATTCAGTTAAAATATAAGGTTCCTTATATATTTTTCAGTTAAAATCTTATTTATCTCTAGTTAGCTAGCATTGAAGTTGTCTACTATGAATTTTAAGAGTGGTATTATTAATATCATTAAGAACAGGTTATTAATTAATCAAATAATAATCCCTTGACTGCTTCTGCTTTACATTTTTTTCAACTTCCAACAAACTTTTTTCTTTCACTTATCTATTTATATGAAATATACAGTAAGGGAAAGAATTGCGATCATGAAATACTTTTAATCTAAATTTTCACTGGAAATACATCTTTTAAGGTCCCCTTGAGTCCACATTAGTAAGTCTTGCAAAATAATCTGTTTGTGTATAAGTGAACAGCCTAACACATAAACAAAAAATTATACGAAACTGAGATTACTTAAGAGAGATATATGCCGGAGATGATACAGCATGATTGTTAAAATCGACTTACCACAAGTGGCACATTATATGATGGATTTTACACATATTTTATGTTTTTTCTTGAAAACTATTCTGATAATTTCGATTAAACTCCTTATATCAATGTACAATTAAGAGGTATTCTTTCAGATAGGTCTTATCCTTATTAAAATAGTCTGTCAGTGCTTAAATACTGAATTTTCAAAATAGTTTCTTCTAAAGTATCTTTCATTTGAAATGATTATAGGTCTCTCTAATCTCTCTAAAAAAGTTTTTAGTGATCGTGTAATATTTTATTTTACATATAAAAACAGTGAGACAGACTGTAAAGAAGACACCAAACGTATTCCCAGGATTATTTTTCCCTTATGGTTACAAATTGGCAATAAGAATAATATAAATTGACAATAAGGCACAATGTATCATATGTATTTTCAAAGAAATTAAAAATTTGTCTAAACTGTGGTTTCGCCTGTTTATTTTATATTGATAAAAAATAATATAACCCCTAAATTAATAAGGGTATTCCCCTCTTAAAAAAGAAATGACTGAATATAAATTGTGAAAGAATTTGATAAGTCTATAATAAGTATTTATATTGTAAATAAGTACTCTTTTTAAAAATAAGAGTACTTATTAACAAAATATAACTATATAACCATTTTAAAAATATTAGTTTATTTATAGTAGTACAAAAAAAAAAAAATAAAAACTGTACCACTACAATACATGAGGGATCTTAGATTCATATTGGGTAAGAAAGTATAGTCTGGAGGATAACCAGTTGGGATCATGCCAGGTTTTTCTTCCAATTAAGGGTATTCACTTAATTGGGCACTATACTTTGTACTAGTAATGGTATAAATAAACTAACCAGTTGAAAACATATTAAATTCTAGATGGAGAAAAAGAAGATAATCGAAATTAAAGATGATGAGAAACCAAGTCGAACAAACCAAAATCAACTTACCAAAGAAGATTTAACTTCAAATGGGATAACCAAATCTAATTGTCCCCCGAAAGATTTTCAATATATTTTACCAATTATAAAGAAACCGCATTTACGATCAAAGGTAATTCTTTTTTACTTTACGTATTAATTGAGGAATCAAAAACTTTTCTTGTTAACATTTGTATCACGAGAGGAGAAACCTAACAGATCATAGTTCTAATAAAAGCAGTTAACTATGGTTACCAAATAAAACTGCTAAGTTTTAAATATTTCATTATGACATTGTAAGGCATGTTATATAAATGATCTTTTAGTTCCTCAGTGATTTATAAGATAAAACTTCAAAAATCAGTAAGCGACATTTCTTATGTTTCCAATGAAAAATTTTAATAATGCCATAGGACAGGTGCGTAATTATTTTTTTTTTTTACCATTAGGGTGAACGCACCAGTTATGGGCAGGGATTCAGTGATGGACAGGTTGGACTTTTATGTAAATAATAAGCTTTCTTGTTGATTTAAAGGTTCCAGTTTCTTCTAGGTTAAAAAACAATGGCCTCTATTGTATGAACAAAGTTCCCCAAAAAATATTTTAAAATACCTATCATTTTTGTTTCTATAGTGCTCTTAAGAACAGTGTGTTTCATATCTTCCTACCTAGTAACAGTTTTGCTAATAGTAAGTTGAACATTTATGTTATGTTATCTTTATCTTTATAGTTGAATAAAGATTTTAGAATTTTTCTGAGGTGTCCATTACTCGTATCAACCCCCTGTCCATTACTGGAACAATTCAATTTTGTGGTGCTCATCACTAATGCAAAAAGGTGTTGTTTTTTTTAAATGGTGATTATACCTTCATAACTGAATATATATTCAATTTTAAAGTATTAAATAGAAAAAGGAGACCTTAGGGATTCTAAGTGTCCAACAGAGATGTTTATATCTATAATAGCTATGGCGGTATAAGCCAAAAAAGACAAAAATTTCATTGATTTAGAAATTATTTATTTAGTTTTATAGCATGCCAATTAAGAAGTTATAATTAGATTTCTGTTCCAATAAAACTGTTTAGTTACTTTCATAAAAAAGTAATATTTTTATTTATTACATCAATTAAAGTTAGTCACCATTCTAGATTGAAATAATTCTTGTAAGTCACCAGCTTTCAGCCTATTCAATTTACAACTATTGCTCTCATGTGAAGTGTCAAGTAATTTTTTTTTTAGGTCTATGCTGACCAACTCCTTCTCAATTTTTTTTTTTTTTTTTACATTTAAATTGTGAAATAAAGCCTTAGTTTATCACTTGTAGTTGAATAAGAAAGATGATGTTCTCTACTGGCTCTTACATACAGAATGCAATCTGTTCTATGTGACTGCTGTAATACAATAGATAGTAATACAACTATATTTCCACCTACAGGAATATCGTATCGCTGAAACATATCACATTCTGTTTGTAGGAGCCTTTAGGAAGTACTCACTATTTTTTAAAACAAAAAACCAAAGCCATTAAAGCAGCACACAGTAATTTTTCAAAATAAAGTTCAATATGTCTTTACAATGGAACATTGCAGCATTGGTTTGAAAAGTTGAAGTTTAGAGATCTGTCCTTGGAACGGAAGAAGGGCTTAGGGCTAGCATAAGTGGACATTGATCATCTGATGGATATTCTATGAACTTTGAACATATTTGGGATAAATTAGCCAAGATAAATGCAGAATCATCATTTGACTTGGGTTTTTCTATTCCAGTAGGATAACATTCAGCCACTCTTCCATTTGGACCAAGCAAAAGTTAAATAATCTTCATGGAATCGAACATCTGCCATATCTACCATACAGTCCAGACCTTGCTCAGTTAAATATGGCATTTCATTCTGTGCCCCATTTTTTTTTTTTTTTTTTTGCAGAGAAACAAGTTATTGGATTTGCAGGGGACCAATAAAGAACTACTTATAGAAACTGCTAAGTCAATATCCTATAACATCTAGGCAACAAGGTTAAGATTGGCGGGGCATTAAACTGGACCAATCCATCAGGAATTGGTCTATACAACAATGAATGCCTCAATAGTTGGCAAGAGACCATGTGGTAGACCAAAGATGGATAAATGGAATCAACAAAGATGCTGCTGAGCTGCATGGAGAAAACTGAAAAGTAATAAGCCCAAGACAGGCAGAGGTGATGACGGCTGGTTCAGGTGGACAAAGATTTACAAGATCTATAAAGCAACAGAAAAAAAAATACATTTTTAATTGTGAATATTTTTTTATTCTGATAGATATTTAATTAAACAATAAGATTGAAGAATATACTTATGTAATATACTGAGACATAAAAATAGAAAGAATTAATTTTATTTATTTACTTTTTGAGTGTGTGGGTGGTGAGATGAAAGGAAATTATCAATTAGGAATTCTTGAACGCTTATTTTAATGGCTTAAAATAACTTAACAATTCTATTTTAATGGCTTATTAGGAAGAGCTCCCCTTAAAACCACCAAATCACCTGAGGATGGGCTGACATTGGAAATGTATTGAAAATAGGGTTTTTAAGTGGGGAAATGTTCTTTATTCTCAAGAATTCCTAATAAATTAAGTCCATCCCTTAAGCAAAAATTTACTAAATTTCTTACTCAATAAAATATCTGTTCTTTTTTTCTTGTTTCCAGAAACCACTTCAGAGGATTCCAATTAAATTTATCATTGGATAAATACTTATGATTTATCTCTCGACAACGTGAAATCCACTATTGTAGTCTCCTTAAATCTCTGAACATTATAATTAATAAATTTTTATGAGTTTTTTTTCTGTACTCAAATGATGTTCATTGAGGCTTTTTATTGATTGTGTTGAATTACCTATTTGCACCATGTAACCTATTGCTGAGCAATAAAATTATCATGCTTCTCACAGCATGAACGTTATACAGAACAACAATGGCTAATATTTAATTAGTTATCTTTGATGGTTTTTATAAAGGATGAATTCAACAAACTAGGTATATTTTTAGGTTTTCATCTTTTTATATTCATTTAATAAGAACCGATTTGTAAAAACAAAGATTCTATTCCTTTAATATTTGAACATCCTCTTAAAGATACCATCATTGTTGAAATCCCCCTATGCCGAAAACAAAACCACTCAGAAATGTTCTCCTAAATAATAATTGAATAATTGAATTGTTGGATTCGTCCTTTTAACATAACACTAACATTATTATATTAAGTGAAAGAGTCTGTTTTTTTTTTTGTTTTTTTTTCTATCAAATTGTTAGCTTGAAAGAGCAGTCTGGGATGAATAAAAGATATTTTGCACCACGTTTAATTTATTTTTTCCAAAACCTTATGACTCACATTTTAGGTCATCATTGCGAGTTGTTATCGGACTGCAAATGCTATAGGATAATAAATTACACGATAATAAATATTAAAAATGATTAAAAAAATCTCATTAGGGCAATGAATTTTTTATTAATACAAGGTGTAGTAAGCTCAAAATTAATCATTCTAATTTCATATATATATAAAAATCGGGCAAGGAATATTCAAATGTCTTATTTCTATGGGAAGGGATATAAACGTCGGAAAGAAGACTGTAGATGTAGGGAGGGTGTTGGGTGTTGATCGTTTAGAATAGAAAAGATCCAAGGAAATATTGTTGGTGGGAAGAGTCACTTTAACTCGTCGTAAAGGTGGGACACATGAGACCCCCTCGAAATAATGAAGACAAATCTTAAGCAGAAGTTCATACGTTGCTTCAATCTATCCTCGAGTACCATTGGGATGGCTCCGTACACCACACAGTGGTAATCAAAGTGGGGGAAAATAAGAGAGGATACAAGGAGCTTGTGGATAGATTGTGGGAATAGGTGACGGGAAGGATGAAATAACTTAAGGGTGCCTATTGACTTTCGGGAGATGAGAGTGATATGGGCTTTCCAGTCAATGGTGATTCCTAGGTTTTTAACGGAGGAGCTGAATGTGATGGGATGATTGTTGATGACTGAAGGAGGAAGGAAGGAAATGGATTTAAGAAGAGAACTGGAACCTATAATAATTGCCTATCTAGGTCTGTATGAATATTGGCGAATGCCACTAATAGCTCAGAAGGGTGAAAGGATAAATAGATTTGGGAGCCATCAGCGTATAAATGGTGTGAACAGTGGTAGATGGATTTGGGAAGGTCCTTTATATAGGAAAAAAAAAGGAGAGGGAAAATGCTCGAACCCTGGGCTACTCCAGGGGACAGCATAAGGAAGGAAAGACTGAACCCAAAGAATAGAGCTTTGGAGAAGGATAGAGATTTTAATTTAGTGTAGAGTATAGAGTGGTCTAAGGAGTCGAAAGCTTTGGAAAAGTCGAGAAATATTAACACAGTCAGCATTTTTTCATCCATTGCAGTATGTAAGTCATTACTTTACATTATCTTACAGCATTGTGGTAGGAACAAAAGATATTTTAGTTGTTATTAATGATAGTGCAATATGTATTTTCTACAAATTAAACTCTTCCTATGGATATTGAAAAAAATAGAGACACGATGCTTTTAGTGTATTTACTGATGTAACATAACAATTTACAAATGGGTTTCCTTTCTTTCTTGTGAACTATTATCACCACCTACAGTTTCGATAACTTCTCCTCAGGACCAAGCCATAATCCAGTTGGCTTCAGAGTGAATATAAATGTTTTCCGCCGCTCTTCTTTAACCTCTTTTTCATGTTGTTTTAATAATTGTATACTTTTGCTACAAGAAAGAAAATTATGCAAAAACTATAGATTATTTTATAAGGACAGCTGTTTATAAAATATGTATACAATATTCATAAGTAGTTTCGTGAACACTATATATAATTATATATATAAAGGAGGGGATAACATTAAGCAACGAGTGTTCACGAAACTACTATATATATATATATATATATATATATATATATGATAGCAGACCTCAAGAGCTACAAAAAAGTTTATATAAAGAATGCAGAAAAGTAAAAAATTTCAATTTAACATTTTTTGTCAAATATGGAAGACAAAAAAAAATATATATATTTAATTTAAGTAATTTTAACAATTGCTCTACAGTAAACTAGAGAAAATTTACTTCAAATGCAACAAGAGTTTGCCATCATTAAAACTATTTAGAGGACTTTATGGCGAATAAACTAAGATTTTCTCAGCCCTGATGAAGGCCTGATCTTCGGGTCAAAACGTCGGCAATTTTCACCATTTTTATTTTGACTGATCACCCAACCATCCTTCTCTTCATTATTCACTACAGTCAACCATCAACCCAAAATTATGAAGCTAAATTATATTTTTTAAAAAATCATGAATTATTAGCAATGTTTCTTTTTTTTTATCACCCTCCAACTATACTACAGATAACCCACTTTTAGTGAAATTAAGCAAGGGCTTAATAAACTTTTAAGTCCATAATAATTAAGTTTAAAATTAAGTAATCTGCTGATTGCTTAAATTATTTTCATGAAAACATAAATATTAGGATTGGAAACATTTAGTTGGTCACTTATAAATATGGATATTAAACAATTTTATCTGGTCGCCTGGCCATGTAGGAATTAAATGAAACAAAATGGCTGATAGAGCAGCAAAAGACCCTTCCAGACCTTTCTTACCCTTCCAGGCAACGGTAAAGCTTTTTTGAGAGCATCTGAACTTGCACGACCTCTAAGAGAAAAAAACATATCTCAAGAATGGCAACCCATTATCATCATTTCAAGATCATATAATAAATAGTTTTCGTATTTAACTAATTATATGAAGTTTCTATGCTATTATTATTTTTTTAACTAATCTCTATTAATTCAATAAATTTGGTAATCCAGCTCTATTCTTATCATCTTACTGTAGTATTTTTAGTTTCCTACCTATCCTAGGTAAGGAAAGTATTGCAATAGGGTCAATTTCTGATATGCAGTTTTTGACGGATCTATACATTTCAGAACACCCTGAGTTCAAAAAACACATTTTTAGCCATTAGTCTATTTGTCTGTCTGCCTGCGTCAAGATTTTCTCGGGAACTACTGAACCGATTTTGTTGCTTCTTTTTTTATTTTGTAGGGTTTTGACTCCTGATGTCTGTGACACAAATTTGATGCTCCATGCGCAATAAATGGAAAAACATGTTTTTCTATAGACTGTAGCGTAAAAACAGCTCTAACGATTTTGATGGAACTTCCTATAATGTTCTAATAATTGTCCTTTCAATTTTTGTATATGGACTAAATTCCTGAGAAAATTCAGGGAAAAAAGTTATAAATAAAAGGAAAATGTTTTGAGACCTAACTCGCTAAGTATATATTCTATGGTAAAATTTATAATACAACTTTTGAAAGATTATTAAATTACCAACAAAAAACCAAAAAAGTCTTTGGAATCGAACCAGTATTAGCGATGATACAGCATATTCTATCTTTTATTTTAATTTATTACTTTTCTACCTATACGAGGTAAGGAAAGTATTGCAATCGGCTCAAATTTCTGATATGATGTTTTTGACGGCTCTATACGTTTCAGAGCCCCCTAAGTCCGAAAAACACATTTTTAGCCGTTTTTTTTTTTTTTTTTAAGATAATGAAATTCCCTACAAAACTGTATAAAAATCGTTCATTGCGGATAACTATTAACAAAGTTACAGCTATTCAATTCACAATGTAAGATTATGGGTTCATATCTTGGTGTCAGAAAGGGATGAATGAGAGAAAAAAGATAACTAAGTGAAAGTAAGAAAATCTGTTGCCCGCATCACACAAGCTTCACTATTTCCTCTACTTTTAACAAAAACAGCAATATTAGAGGGTATTGAGATTTGTACACTGATCTATCTTAAGCCGGTTTACATTGCTTTAGTTTATCGAATAAATCATACTCAAATCTTTTCTTTGATCAATTTTTTGGAAAATAAATCTAATTCAATTTTTTTTTTGTTTCTTGATGGACATATGTAAAGATGTAAAAACGTTTCTGAAATATGTAGGAAAGTCGTGTGAGTGGACACACCAGATTTTTTTTTTTTAAATTACAGTATTTTTGTGGTCCAAAATAATTGGTCTTAAATCTCTTGCAGTAATTATATAGATATTGGTTATTTGAAAAATAGTATGAATAAACCTGCTGTAGCCTTACTCCAGATAATGTTGTAAATATTCAGTATCTTCAAATAATATCTTAAGAATGTTAAACCATGGCTGAAGAAATGAATTAATAAGGTCTACCGCTAACTGCTTTTTAAGTTGGTACTCTTCTGTGTCATTTTTATCTAATAATTTTGGGGTCCATAGGTTATTTTTATTAAAATAAGAAGCTTTTTCTTTCTTATAAAGCTTAAAAAGACACATTATTTATTAATATATTAGATAGTAAATATATATATAATGCTAAAAGATACTTTGTTTATATAAAACAATAACAATATTAATTTAAGTTAGACTTGTTTACATTAATAGACATTTATTAGATTAGAATTGAAGTTATTAAAAAAACACTGTTAAAAAACTACTTTAAATTCGTCAATTCTTTTCATTTCATTAGAAAAGTAAGGTGAGCTATTAATTACACAAATTAACTCTTGAAGAAGAAGACTTCACCATGAATAAAGTGAAATTATGATTTACAAACATTGTATTATAATTTGATTCGCCGGAATGAAATTACCTCACTTATATTACCCGGCTACAGTTCACGCAATTCGGCATTGTGTAACCGTCTGAACTCTCCAATTAACTCATCCTTCTTCGGTCCAAATATTCTAGGCAATACTTTGTTTTCAAAAACCTTAAATCGCTGTTCATCCCTTAATGTAAGCGGCCGAGTTTCGTATCCATAAAGAACTGTAGGTAAGATAATGGTTTTATAGATTCTAATTTTTAAGTTCCGGGACAAGAGGCTAAGTAGTTTTGTCACAGAAAAATAACAAGCATTTCCCGCCTTCAGTCTAACCTTAATCTCTTCCGCAATTTCGTTTTTTTCTATTTATCGTAGAACCTAGATACCTAAATTCCTCTACCTGTTCAAACATTATTTATTTATTTAACGGCTCGACAGGCGCCTGAAGCTGCCCTTGGCCCTCTCAACTGCCCTTTCCCAATCATTTCGGTCAGGAGCATGTCTGCTGGATACTCCCACCATCATTAAGTCCTCAGCCACGGAGTCCTTCCACCTTCCCTTCGGTCTTCCACATGGTCTGACTCCATCCGGGGTTCCATAATATAATTTCCTCACGGCTCTACCTTCATCCATTCTGATAGTATGTCCCAGCCATTTTAAGTGTTGAATTCGCACGGAATGAGAAACTCGGAGATTGTCGAATAAGTCGTAGATCTCGTTGTTCTTCCTTAAACGCCATGTACCATTCTCTCTAACTGGCCCCATGATGCGCCTCAACACTTTTCTTTCAAAACTATCAATCTTTTCAGCCAGGCTTTTGCGTAGGGTCCAGGTTGCACTGGCATAGGTCAGCACAGGTCGAATGATTGTTTTGTATATAATAATTTTGGTACCCCTACTTAATAGCTTACTCCGGAGGAAACTTCTTAGGGCGAAATATGCTTTGTTAGCCCCCATTACCCGATTTTGAATTTCTTCTTCTTCGTCAACCTGATCATTAATGATGGAGCCGAGGTACTTAAAACTGGACACGTATTGAAACGCATATTGTCCCACTACATAATGCTTAGGCGGATTTATAGGTGTTTTCTTCCTGAGCACCATAATTTTTGTTTTCTCCTCATTTATGGATAGCCCCATTCTTCCAGCTTGTCTTTGCAACCTTTCACAGGCCTCCTTGATCACCTTGAGGGACAGTCCAATCAGTGCCACATCATCAGCATATCCAAGCACTTGAGTCATTTTGCTAAAAATGGTGCCCAATTGATTAAGCTCATATCTATTTACCACAACTTGGAGGGTGACGTTAAATAGAAGTGGAGAAAGGGGGTCACCTTGTCTAACTCCTGACTTCACTGCGAAAAGTTGGTCCAGCTTCCCATTTATTTTCACTCGGCTCGCACTCTCATTCAAAGTACATGATACAAGTCGGATTAGCTTTGGTGGAATTCCCATCTCTTCCATTGCCAGGTAGAGCTCTTTCCTGATAATGGAATCATATGCTGCTTTAAAATCGATGAAAAGGATCCATATAATCTTGTTGAATTCTTTTGTTTCCTCCATTATTTGTCTTAAAGAGAATATCTGGTCAATAGTTGACCTATTCCTCCTGAAACCGCCCTGGTAATCGCCCAACCGAGGTTCCACAAAATCCACAATTCGATTATATAAAATAACTGAAAATATTTTGTAAACAGTATTCAGGAGGCTAATTCCCCGATAGTTATTACAGCCTGTGGAAGCACCTTTCTTCTTGAGTAAGGGAATGATGACAGATTCCTTCCAGCTATCTGGCATTTTTTCAGTCTCCCAGGTATTAACTATCAGATGAGTCAACTCCTCAGCCAGTACTGACCCACCAATCTTCAAAAACTCCGCTGGTATGCCATCTGAACCGGAAGCCTTGTTATTCTTGAAATTGTCGACAATCAGAACAACCTCATCTAAATCTGGTGGGCTCATTTCATGGTCATTCTCAGAGTCTCGAAAATCCTTATCAAGATACTCGTCATCTTCCCTAGGGTTTAGCTATTCCTGAAAATGTACCATCCATCTACTTAGCACATCTTGATCCTGGAGACCATTTTCCCACCAGAATGCTTTATCATCGGACATTTATTTATAAAACCTGATTTTATTTTGTTTATTTCACTGAAAAATTTTCTGGCCTCATTGTTCCTGCTGTACTCTTCCACCTTACGCCAGTTTTCCTGTAATGCATACCTTTTCTTTTGCCTCAGAACCTTTTTTGCATTAGCTCTGGCTTCCTGGAACTCTTTTCTGTTCTGTCTAGTATCCCTGTTTAGAAGTTTTTTCCCCTTTTCGTTCTGCACATTGACTGATTCTTCATACTCCATGTCAAAACACACGTTTTTAACTTTCTGTTTCCATCCCTCTAGCAAGTTGGTCGGCTGAATCAGATATAGCTTTTCTAATATGGTTCCATTCCTCATTCACATCTCTTCCTCCAATTACAGCTGGGATGTTACCTACACCTCTTTCAACGTCTCTCAGGAAAGCATACCTTATTTCCTCTTCCTTTAACTCTTCTCTTGCCCAGGTGATCTGCGGTTTACTCCCTTCAAACATCCTTATCTTATATGCATGTTTGATCTTTGCAACTACCAGAAAATGATCAGAAGAGATGTCTAGCCCCGTATATGATCTCACATCAGTAACGCTATTAAAATGTCTACTAGAGACCAGAACGTAATCGATTTGTGTTGCTGTTCCATCTGGCGACATCCATGTTTGCTTGTGTTTTTCTTTGTGAGTAAATACTGTACTCATCGCTACTAGTGATCTAGATTCAGCAAAACTAATCATTCGTCCTCCATTGTTATTTGTTTTCACATGCAAGCTATATTTGCCAATGGTAGGGGCAAGCACTGGTTCTTTACCAACCTGAGCATTAAAATCACCCAAAACTATTTCAATATCAAAGGAGGGGTAAGCAGCTATAGTCCATTCTAAATCTTCATAGAAAATGTCCTTTTCTTCCTCATCTTTTTCTTCTGTTGGGGCATGAACATTTATCAGAGTGATATTAAACTTTTCCCCCTGCATCCTTAACTTGCACACCTTTTTGTTTATTGGTTGGAAATCAAGAACTGCTTTCTTCAATCTCCTTGATACTATGAAAGCTGTACCGAACTCATGTTTATCCTGGTCTCCACTGTAGAAAATATCAAAATCGTTTCCACTTTGCTTTCCAAAACCGGTCCAACGTATTTCCTGAACAGCAGTTATATCTAAATTTAATTGTTGCAATTGTTTTTCAGTTCCGTCCATGCTCGAGGTCTATAGAGTGATCTTACGTTCCATGCTCCAACTTTATAAGCCATATGACAAGTTCCAGGTCGTTTACATAAATCCGTCCGAAATCCGAGGCTAGACTGTTGAGAATAAGTAACCTATGGTTTTTTTATAAAAGGTGGGTAGTCAGCCCCCCTTTAACCCTCCTGCTTTATCCGGGCTTGGGACCGGCAATGAAGTCTAGTTAACTAATTCCACAGGCGCAGTTGTTCAAACATATCACCATCTATATCGATATCATCAGTAGTATCGCCATTTTTGCAGCTAACCTTATATTTTGTTTTATCCGCGTTTATTTCGAGCCCTAGTTCTTTACCGGCTTTCATTAACGTTGTCGTATATAGTTTCCACTTCTTTGCTTAAGAGTACCAGATCATCAGCATAGCCCAGCACGGGTATTGTCCCACCCAGGGGATTAAAATCGGTCACGAATGAAGTTAATGGGTACAATTTGGATGTCATTGCTCTGCAAGAGGTTCCTGGCTAGGGAGGGCTCGATGAGGGAAGGGTGCGCACCTATAAGAAAACATTAATTAGGCCTTGCGTGATTGCCAATAGCACACCTCTTTCACTCATCTTTTTTAATGCTCTCATAAGTTCCCCAGGTAGAAGAGGAAGTGGGAACATCAGCTTCCACTAGTGAAATTGATGTAGCGTCTGAGCTGGCTGGGGAGGGCCTTCCTGTGGTGTGTGATGGGAGGGGGTCTCTTCTCGGACCCCAGCAGAGGGTGGTCCTCCAGAAACTGACTCTCTACAATGACGATTATGCTGCTGCAGATCACTCTACATCACTGTGTGGTAGCTTGTGATGTACTCCAGCAGTATGTAAGAGGAAAAGGTATTGATATTGTTTTGATTCAAGAACCTTAACATATTTGAGAACAGGATCAGGGGACTGGACATGCCTGGGTATAGCATTATTTCAGTGCCTGAGTATTCAAGAACCTGTATCCTGTTGAAGAATAAAATAAATCTATTGCCTTTGTGGCATCATTGTTTTACGAGACCTGTCTACAACTCAACTAGCTCTCTCTGAGAGAAGATTATAGTGGCAGCTGTCTATCTCTCCTAAGAAGAGGACATTTCAACAGTGGATCTAAGAAGCTGTCTACCAGTGCAGTTTCCGTCAGAGTAGATCTACGACGGACCAGATCTTCTTCCTCAGAATGATTCTTGAGAAAGGAAGAGACTATTCAGTGCCAACACATCACCTATTCATCGATTTTAAGGCAGCCTATGACAGCATTAACAGAAAACAACTCTATAATGCGTTGGATGAACTGAAGTTCCCTAAAGAACTAATCCGCCTAGCTTGACTCACAATGAACACGGTGGAATGTAAAGTGAGAATCCAGGCTGGGGTGTCAGAGGAGTTCTGTATAAGAAAAGGTGTAAGGCAGGGAGACTCGTTGGCCTGCCTCCTGTTCAATGTGGCACTTGAAAAAGTTGTCAGAGATGCTTGAATACAGCTGGATGGGACCATCTTTAACAAGTCAATACTAATCCTGGCATACGCAGATGATATTGATATCATCGGGAGATCACTTCGCTGTGTAAAGGAGGCTTTTCTGGCTCTTGAACAGTCGGCGCGAAAGATGGGACTATCTATCAATGAGAGCAAAACCAATTATATGGTTGCTGGCATAAATGCACCACATCTACAAATCTCGATAGGTGACTACACAATCGAAATGGTCCGATGATTTGTTTATCTGGGTTCCCAAGTAAATGCCGACAATGATGTATCAGAGGAAATATGTAAGAGGATCCTGGTGGCAAATAAATGTTATTTTGGCCTGCAGTGGTATCTAAGCAATAACTTTATCTCCAGGAAAACAAAAGTGACTCTGTACAAGACGCTGATTCGTCTTGTCCTTATATATGGAGCGGAAACATGGAGCTTCTCCAAAACAGATGAAAACAGGCTTTTGGTCTTTGAAAGAAAAGTACTACGTCACATTTATGGACAGCGCTCAGGTAACGATTGGAAAAGGCAGAGTAATGCAGAACTGGCCGTCATACAAATGATACGGATGTAGTCCGGTTCATTAGAATACAGCGTTTGAAATGGATAGCCCAACCAGCAAAATTATGCTGACAGGTCCAGAATGAAAAAGAAGAGTTGGAAGACCTAGATTGCGCTGGATGGATGGGGTCAACGCGGGTGGTAGAGCTCTTCTTGGACTAGCTAACTGGAGGAGAGCACCAAGAGAGCGAAACCAATTAGTAAAACTGATTGAGGAGACCAAGACTCATCGATGAGTTGTAGCACCCATGAAGAAGAAGAAGAAGTTAGGTCCAAGGTGGAATCTAACTTGAAAGCTCTTCAATGTCGCCAAAAGAACAAGCAGATGAGATACTTATAAGTGTTCTCTCACTGAGTATAAGACCATAAACAGGCCAAAAAGGGAGGAATAAGGAGTCGAGAAGCTTTTGTAGTGATATAAATAATGTTTCATCCACACCCAGATTGAATAAAATCTTATTCAAGCAGACGGATCGGTCGGTTATGGTTGAGCGCAGGGTTAAAGGAGGCTTCACTTCTTCTAGGGTGAAGACTCTGGAGGCACAAGTGCAATTTCCTGGCTGTCAACTGTTGGATGAGAATATACCTAATCCCACTGTGGATAGTCATACTTGTGGCAAATATAAGTGGATTGAAGTGAATAAAATAGTGAATTTTAGGAGAGTTGAATGGGCTAATAGTTCATTTGCGCAGTTCAAATCAGCTGGTATTGATGGGATTTTCCTGGCCCTTTGTAAAGAGGCTTACCTAAGTTATTAAACCCTACTACTGAAGTTACTTAGGGGAAGTTTAGCACTTGCCTATACCCCTAATAGGTGGAGGGAGGCAAGAGTTTGCTACACATACCTAAGCCTGGGAAAGCGATTTCTGATAATACCAAAGCATATATAATAGACCTATATGTCTGACCTCTTTCCTGTTAAAGATCCTAGAAAAGATAATGGACAGACATATTGGGGATTCTAGGTAAGTAGAAAGACAACTACATTGTGCTCAATTTGCCTATCAAGCTGGCAAATTCTGTACTGTTTTGATTATTCAAACTATTTCTGTATGTGAAGAAAATATAGTGTTTATGATTTACTGGATTAAATTAAAGCTGATTACGGAGTGGTACAGAAATAAGTCTTTTTTCATATATCGGAACTTTGCCTAGGATAACGTTAAAGGAATGACATAGGATGAGAGTATGTTCAGGTGGTATGATTTTTGTTGGAAGATATAAGCAGTTATCTACGGTTTCTGGATCTGACCATTTTGGAGGAATTGCTGTAGAAAGTACAAGGGATGCAGTAAACAATACTAGAATCATGTGGGAAAGAAGAATGTATTATATACAAAATATATATATAACATTAATATTAACATTAACATATATTTAACATTAATATTAATATTTGAATATATATATTATTAAATAATGATTTCTACCAACTAGATAAATATTTATCTTTGATTAAAAACCGATAAAATAATACATGCACTTACAGAAAACTCAATATTCCAGTACAAACAGTATTCATCATGATGGCTCATAAATACTTTGTGTTTGTAATACATAGATTTGTCAGCATTGATAATGATAGCTAGAATGACTAGTTCCCTATAAAAAATACAGACAATTGTAATTTAGATGATACATATTCTGAGTTAATCTACAATGTTAAACTACCTGTGGCATTTATTTTGAAGATTAAACTTTTTTTTTCCAATAAGATTTACTATTTCATAATATTTTTTTTTATATTTATCAATGTCAGAGAGATAATTACACGGATAAAAATATTTCCATCGTTTCATCTTAGTCAGTAAACCAGTATTGACAAGTTTTGAAGAATTGTCACATATTCTGAATGTCTAGAAAAAAAAATTATTTACAATTTTTTATAAAACATTGGGTAGGTATGATCTCTATGATACCTAAAAAAACATTAAATATACACCTGTTTGTGAATAATGAGGTAAAGCTTCCTAACTATATATTTAGGCTAGTAAAATTTGGTTGTGGTTATCAGAAATGAAATCGCTCATAATTAAGAGCTTTATTTTATCAAGTGTCAACTATTTTGGTCTATGTTTTAAGCCTCCACCAGACCCACTAATACTTTAATTTCAAAACAAGTGTCATATCATAAACTAAACATATGTTTAAGCAATAGTGTTCGTAATGAACTTCACTGAAATTTTTCCTTCTCAGAAAAAAATTGGCTTAGAAGCTGTGCTAATTTTTTTTCTTATGCCTACATTTCCATTATATATTTTTAAAAACCATGAAAAGTTTATAGAACCTCTATCTACTTTTCTTTTTTATTCCAAAAGAAAAACATATATTCTTTACTAAAATATGGTACCAAAGACACAAGTCATCTAAGGATGACCTTCGAACTCAACATATGTCTACCTTTTCATTTCAAAATGGTGGACAAATAGAGGTATGCCAATGTCTATACTATTTATGGAGATATCAAACAATTTTGAATAAAAACTATACATCTCCCGGAGCATTTCAGATTCAAGGAAGTGAATGAAAGAGATGGCATGTTCTGATATATTAGAGGATTAATGCAACAAGATATTTGGAATTATCACAACTGTTAACTATCCATTACTTCTAATAGAACATAATAATTTATCTATTAATTGTAGGTAATTAATATTCTACCTTAAATATTGATTCATAGATGAAGGAGTATGTTGGTTCACACTTATGGATATAATGGCATAATGCTGACATCACAAGAGCATCTCTCTGCAAAACATGTGAATATGAATAAATTATTATTCACCAGATTATAGATTTAAAATTTATGCTATGTTATCACTTACATATACTTTGTCTAAAAACATAAATCATTGGATTGGACTGAGTAAGATAAACAGATAGATTCAATTATCGATTATCGAGATAGACAGTGACGGGAAGATTAGGAGCGGTTATGTGTTGGTGTGGACAGTAGGACTAGTGAATGTTTAAAAGCATTAGTAGAACATCTATTTGACTAAACTGGTGTATTATTCTCATTATTACTATTGTTGTCTGTGAAAAACTTGATTACATTGTTGTATGTGAAAAGTGTAACTAGTTAATATTTAAATCATTAGTAAAATATATCTGTGTGTGTATATATATATATATATATATATATATATATATATATATATATATTTAACAAACTTGTGTAGGTTTTTATTCAATCAAACTTTTGCACGGCATCTCCATACAATTTGGAGTCTCGTTTGGAATATAATTTGGCTTGTAAATCATATTAATTTTCCAGAGGATATCACCCGTTTAGAGTTGTCTGTTGGTTATGTGTTTTCTCTCTCTGAATTATGAATAAGCTGAAGGGGACAAATTGAAGTGAGAGTACCTGCCTATTCATAATAAGGAATTCAGATATGCTAAGGATAGGAAGCTCTTGAAGGAAATATTCTTAAAAAGGTTTTCAAAGAAATGAGACCTTTTAGCTGACATGCGGGCTTTATTGAAATTAAAACGAGAACCAGGTGAAAACTACCGCACGTATGCTGACCTCTGCAAGGAGGCAGGCTTTCTAACGTTTACCACTCATGATCTGGGAAAGAAACCAAGCAGAGAAAAAGGTGCTTAAGCGGTTATGGATCATGTCGTTCTCTGTATGTCCTAGCTAAAAAACGAAACTCTGGTAAGAAAGTATCTGAAGGGCCAGAATGTCAACACCCTCACCAATGCTAAGAGTCATGCTGAGCGAGTTTCTTCAGAATATGAAGTGGAGACAGAATGTATGTCCAATTATGAAAGATAATTTGCTTCTCTACAGAGCAAGAAGAAAAGCATGAAGACTATTATGGACAAAATGAGAAACTTGTTTGTGTTCGAGATGTATGCTTCAATCAAACATGCTCATTTTGGGGTGTTGGCCACTAATAAGTTGGCCTAATTTAGACAGGAACTATCCTCCAAAGACTCCTAGCCCTTGTTGTTCAGAAAGCGGTCTTTGGATGAGAGATTGCCATCCTTTTAAGAACTGCCGGGTATGTGGTGTTGAAGGGCATCTCATGGAAAATTGTGAGGGAATTAGATTTTCAGATGTGGGAAATTTGGGCATGCACAGCATGCATGTCAAAAGAAACGTTTGGAGGAACAAATTAGGATGGATTGAGGATCTAATCCAGGTACAAACGATACAAGGAAAAAGTGAAAGCATTGTAATAATAGCAGACAGGCTTTAAACATGAGCTGACAGGAGGTAAAATTTGGGTTCCCAGTTTCCAGAACCATTTCTTTCCAATATAAAATTTGGGAATTCGTTAAGAAGATTTCCTATTGATATAAGAGCGGATGTGGCCTAGTTAACTGAACCTGTTTCTGGAGTGCCTATAGAACCTGGAGATGGCAGCATGATCACAGGTGTAATCGGATCAAAATGTTTTGTGGAGGGCAAGCAGACATTGAACACAGCCTTAAATAACTCGATCATTAGTCACACAGTCAGGATGGTTTCTCTTGATGTGGGAGCCAAGGGGGTTCTTGGACTTGATGTTATGAAAATAGTGTCGGTGTTCATTGATGTTGATAAACGGGCTGTTTTTTCTAGTACCCCAGAACGATCTTATCAAGCTATAATGAAGGTGAGACATGGAAATGTAGAGGATCTGAACAAACCAGAATCTGCAATCACGGTAAACAAGCAAGAGGAAAAAATGTGTCACAAGTTAAGTGAATCCTACATTAGAATCATCAAGGAGCAAGTATTACTGCCATCATTCAGATCATAACAGAAGCCAAAATCAGGCAAACAATAAAGGGACAGGATTTTGTTATGGAGCTCTTGCCTCTACCTGCATCGCTCGGATTATTGAATCTCATCGGAGAGTAGAGTACTAATTAAGCTGGCAGATTTTTGCAAAGAAATGCTAATTTAGAAAAAGATAATATTATCAATGAGGCACAACGATACAATACCATTGATACTATAGACCTCTATATTCGCTTTATCCCAGCAGAAGAGGCAGACCTTCGACATCTAACCCTTGTTATTGTTCTATTGAATAATTTTAAGCATTTTAACACAGTATATGAGAGAGATGTATGAAGAGGGAGAAGGGAGAGAAACGGAAATTTAATGTAAAAAAATAAAAGAAAAAAAAAACATGAACAAGGAAAAAAAAATATAAATATATTTATTAAGGAAGGAGATGGTCCGGGGTTGCAGTCATAAAAAGACTAAATAGTGGTAAAACTATTTCATTGAAAGCCACAGGCTTTCAATAAAATAGTTTTACGACTATTAGCTTTCAATAAAATAGTTTTACCCCTATTTAATGGCTTTCAATAAAATAGTTTTACCACTATTTAGCCTTTTTATGACCGCAACCCCGGACCATCTCCTTCCTTTATAATGCAACGGTCAACCATTAAATATTAAATATATTTATTATACTCACGTGTACTAACCACTTCTGTATATTTATATATAAGTTTTATTTATTGTCCTATGGATTAATCAGTATGCTGTGTGTCTAGCAACCCGATATAATTGGGCAGCAAGCTTTTATATTTTATATGAAAATAAAGTGTTTCTCTCCTTTATAGAAAGCAATGGTAGAACAGAAGCAGAAATCAAAAAAAGGATCACAAATGGTAAAAAGGCAGTGGGAATGCTTAACTCTTTACTTTGGAATCATAATATTTTAATAAAAAAAAACTAATATAAAAAGCTTTGGTAGAAAGCTTAATGCGACATCGTTCTGACTCATGGCTCCTCTGTATGACCCAGGGAAAAAAATTCTTTTCAGTTGAAATGGATTTTTGGAGGAGAGCTACTAGGATATCAAGGATCGAAAGGGTAAGAAAAACCACTACAAGGGAGAGATTGGAAATAAAACAAAACTCTAGAAGTGATAGAAGAAAGGAGACTCAGATGGCATGGCCATGTGAGACGAGTGGGCGACAATATGATATTAAAGATAATAATGGATTGGGAGTCAGAGGGTAGAAGAAGGAAAGGAAGACCCCCAGTTAGATGGAAGGATTGAGTGGTGAAGAGTATAGCAGGTAGGGGACTGTCGGAGGAGGATGCCATGGACTAGCAGAGATGGAGACTTGCTGAAGCAAGAGTTTGGTTGAGGAAAACTTCATATTGAAGAAATTTTTAAGTGAAAAAAAAATTATTTTATTATAAAATTGATTAAATTTATTTGTCAGCATCCGAATGACCATCAAAGTAATAAGTATTTAAAGTTTAAATATAAAGCACAAGTGATCTATCTGGGATCAAAGTATTAAGGCATGAAAAAGGACCAGTAAAAATTTTTTCATTTAATTTTTTTCATTCATTTTCATAACTGGAAAGAAACAGCTCAAGATATGCAGAGATGGAGAAGGCTGGTTAAGGCAGCAAAAGATCTACAAGGTCAGTAATGTCAACACTCAAAAACATATGTTGAAACATTACATAAATTCTATAATTAATTGTTTCATATTATACAAATTGTTTACCTAAATAATTAGTAAAAAAAATTATACCTCGATTGGTGAAAAGTAGTCTTCATTCTTCTTTAAGAAAACTACAATAAAGTGAGTAGTTACAAGTATATGTCTGTAGTTTATCTCCTTATTACGAGTATGTGTTCTTTTAATAAAAAGAATAAATTCATTTAATGCTTTTCGGTCATAGAACAAATGTCCAGTAAAACTCTCAAGTAAATTACGAAATACTATTAAAATTGTTTCCTGTTCATTCGTTATTTCAGGAGACCAGGTGTATCTGTTTTAAAATGAAGATATATAAAACTTTGCTAATTGTTTTAATCTTGAAATTATATTAACCAAACTATTGCGAAATAAAACTATAGATTTTGGACATATTTTGCTGATAATGAAGTACCAATAATTGAAAATGGAATTTTACTAACATTTCATGCATTGAGAGGGAATCGCGTGCCATATACCTGACAATAGACTGAAGATCTTTGTGCACTCAGGAATATAATAACATGAAATCTCTTGTTGAGAAATTACCCACTGATAGTACTCAAATAATAAATTTACACAAGAAGATCACGAGGCCACCTTCTTTTCAGACGCCTCGGAGGGTTATAAGGGATCGAGGAGGAAGCAAGGTTTGAAACAAAAGGATTTGGATGGTTCTGCAGTTTCTTATCGAAGGATAGGTATCTGGATTGGGCCAAATCGGAAACATATGGAACATTAAGGTCTTTATGGATGATTTTATTTGTGACAAAGTAAGGAGTGTTGAGAATTTTTATTATTAACTTATTTAAGTTAAAAATTAACTTATAATTTTTTAATATGACTATTTCATTCCTCAACATTTCTTTTTATGTATCTCTGAGGCTCCTTAGCCCACATTACTGTCCTTCTGTATTATTCTAAAGGGACTCATCCCAGAATAAATAAAGTATTATTATTATTATATATGAGTTGTTTGTAATTGATTGAAAGCTTAGAGCATTTGTCTAGTAAGTGTTGGAGTAGTCGGAAATGTTGAGCGGTTTCTTGTCATTTCAGTCTTATATGAGGATTCCATGTGAGTCGTTCCAGGTGGAGTCCTAGGTAACGGATTTGTTCAACTGGGATAAGTGGAAAATTGTTAATATTCTAACGGATAGAATGCTTTAGGTGGAACGGTCAGTTGGAGTGGGATATCCAATTCTGTTTCAATACACTCGAGGTGGATTGGATTTAGGATATGAATTAGGGTGTGGATTAAAGATTTTGAAGAGGTGCTGAGCAAATATTTGAGATTTTTCATCATTAGATCTGGATCAGGATTGATTTTCAGTAAGAGGATGGTTAAAATCTTTGAATTTTAGGAGCTTATTGGTGGTCAACCACAGTGATTTGTCAGTAGTTTTAAGATTTTCAGTTAAGTAAATTTTTAATTTTGTATTTTTTAATTTTTGCTTTTAGTTGGTTAATTAGGTTGTTGTAATAAATTTTATCTGATGGGTATCTAGTTCTGTGCCACTTCGATCTTGCTCTGCGTTTTTCCTTTAAAAAGATACGAATGTGCTGTGGCAAATTAGTCTGCTGGGAGTTGTTAGTTTTATTAATAGATGTGTTGTCGTTTATTATGTCTTTTATAAATGTTTTAAGTAATTCTATGGCCATGTCAATGTCTTGTTTTGTCTTGAGTGGGATATTTAAGTCCAATTTGTCTTCCAAATCATTATGAAATTTGTCCCAGTTTATCTGTCCTGTAATCAACCTAGCAGGAGAGGAGGGCTTAGGATAGAAGTCGTCGGCAGGAGCAATACCAATACAAGGTGGCTCAATATAACTATTATAATAGGAGAAGGAAAGTAGTTTAAAATATAATGAACGCCAACCAAATATAATGAGTGCCCACTGAAGGTAGCCGAGATTGAAGGGCACTTCAGAAGCCTCTTTGAAAAGAAAAATCTCTGCAAACGTGCGGATTAAGAAAATTGCGCCCCGATGCCAAATCTGATGTCCATCAACGACCGATCTGTAAAAAGATCAATTAAGTCAATCTCGCTGGACACATCGCCGGTGCCGGACTGAGTTCTGATCCGCTCGATAAAATACAAAGATATTTATTTCTCATATAATTAAGATAATTTCGGAAATAATGCTGAGAATGGCTTACATACCAGAGCCTCTGCGTCAAGGGCGCACAGTCTTGGTCTACAAGAGAAAGCGTGATGCCAACAGCATATCATCATGAGGACCCATTACCATATCTTTGATTTTGTGCCGAATTATGTAAAAGGTTCTGGACCAAGAATTGAGGAAACAGATCACCTTCAGCAAAAATCGGAGAGGTTTCATCAGGGGCCTGCAGGAAACACATGTCAGCGCAAGAATCAAAGGATGCCACATGTAAAAAGAATGATTGCACTGTGGTGTTTCTAGATGTTGTCCGCACATTTGACAACATTGGTCACGACCACATCATCAGCTCACCAGTGAGAGGGCTCTCTTGGGTACTAACTCAATTAAGATTGGAGTAGGATCCCACTCGACAAGCTGGATCAGGGTGCAGCAAGGAGTACCCCAAGACGGACCCGTGTCACCTTCACTGTTCAACCTGGCTATTGACTCTCTATACCACGACCTGTGTGAGCAAGACTTTTCCAAGTATTATGGTTACAAGCTAACCAGTGACCAAGAATGTGTGGTCCTCACAGGCTTCGCGGATGACCAGGCTGTTTCAGCACGCGACAAGGGTGCTGCAGAGAGGATAATTAATTGTGTTCCTCGCTGAGATTGGTCTGGGTATTAATCCTAAGAAAAGCGTGGGCCTAATAATGGATAAAGGAGAGCTACAACAAACAAAGCTCTCCCTTGAGAACGGATAAGTCATCCACACATCAAAGGCAGATGATACTACAAAATATTTAGGATGTACGTTCTCGGGAGAGCTAGTTATAAATGAGGAAAAGTTAAACAAAATTAACGACAACTTGGATAAACTGGTGAGTTCTTGCCTTCTTAACCGGAGCAAAAGACCAATGTTGTTAATCAACATGTGTTCCTGGGACTTACCTACCCTCTCCAGACTGCGCCCCTTAAAAAGAATTCTTTTGAAGAATGGGCCAGTTGCAGGTGGCAAGGTGTTGGAATTAGGCATTTCAAAGAGACTATATACGCCAGAAGCAAGTACTTTCGGGATCAGAATGGTCCAACACCTTGAAACTTAACATTAACTATGCACCGTTGCTTGGAGTCCCAGGAGCAAGTGAACAGTCGAAGGAAGTTGGGTCCCTCTGTCGCAAATGCGGCAGAGAGTTTGAAATACCAGCTCATCGGCTGGGAAAATGCCCCAACAACTCCCTTATAACACGCTAGCACCATAGGATCAAATTTGAATTGATGAGGCTCCTTAGGGAAAGGGAATTCACATGTTTCGACGAAGTCTATTGTATTGATAGTGATGGATCAACAAGATAGGCGGATATAGTTGCATTCTCCAGGACCGGAAAGGCAGCACTAGTCTTGGATACAAATGTTCGCTATGAGAGCAATGACCTCGATCAGGCCAGTGAAGTAGAAAGAAAAAAGAAGGAAATCTTCTGCTTGGATCGTAAGATAATTTGAGCACAAACTGGAGAAAAAAGGTGGCCTTAAAAAATATTGAGCCTTTTGGCGTGACCTATACCCCTAAAATTACAAAATAACGAAGTCATATAGGACAAACGGCCCAATATTTTTGTAGGCCACCTTTTTTATTTATTTTGTGTTCAAATTATCTTACGGTCCAAGTAGAAAGCAAATGCGTATTTATGATTTTTTAGTACCTAATTAAATAGACAAAGTTTGACCCCTTCCAGATTGAAAACGCCCCAATTCCAAAAGTTTTCGTAAATAAAATAATTGTAGGTTATGATGAGATGAAACTATTTACGAAGTTTTAGGCAGATGTTAATAATTCGATAAAAAGGAGTCTGTACCATGGACTATAAATTAGGTAGAGGTAGTCAGTTGTGGACCTCCAAATAAAAATAAAATCAAAGTAAAATAATGTGTATAAAAACAAAATAAATTTTGTTTGATATAGAATATGTTTTCCTTACATAAAAGCCAGCAAAATGTGTCATAATAATGGTTTATATTAAATGATAAATAGCTCCATTTTGAAATTTTAATTAAAACGCACTTACGAATATATATCATTTGATTCTTCATATGAATCAGTTGCATTCTGAAGTTTAATGAGTTCATGGTTACAATGGCATGTTTGGAGTTTTAACATATCTTCAATAACAATTATCTCTTTTTCCTGAAAAATTATTCTTTTATTTTGTTGCAATTCAAAAGTTATCTTTGCAGTATAATAACCAATATACATACATACGTGCTTAAATAATTCATCGCCTAGCTCATTCATTTCTAGAATAAAGCCTAAAAATGTACATGTAATTTCTAGCAATTTTACATTCTTTTCACTAATATATGGCTCGTTCGAACCAAGAAACTGAAACTGTATACCACCTAAAAATATTTCAAGATGACAGTTCACTGAATGTTCATTTAAATTCTTAGAAAAATTAATATACACTGAAAAAATTGATGAAGTATCATAATCATAGATGAATCTGACATAGAGATTTTGATAATTTATATTTGGTTTGATGATGTATCAGAGATTGACTGATAACTCAGAATTGAAATATTTGAACTAGAGGATGAAAAGGTAAGTTTTTCAGAAAAGCCATGATTTAGAATTTGTTTATCTTAAATGATTATAACAGATTGTAAAAAACTGAATATAAATAAATTCAGATATTGTGAAATTACAAAGTTCGAAATTTTAATTTTTACCTGTAACTTCATTGAACTTGATGGGAATCCCTAGGAGCCACTTTTGACCATTCTTTTCTTTCCCTTTAGTGTTTTCTCCTCTTCTCATTGAATACCCCAAAAAACTGTTGTCGTCTCTTGAACTAAATGGAGTTATTGTGGATACTAGTTGGATTAAAGAAACAAATTCTGTTCTAAGCTCTATTATAATTTTTTAGGTATCACTATACTTTTGATGACACATTTTGCTTCCTCACCACCGAGGTAGAGAAGCTTTGTATTTTTCATGGAAGCTTAAGAAAATAAAATTATATCTATTAAAAACTGACATCTCTTATGTGGAAATTAGAACAAAATTTATGCTTTCACTTTTAACAGTAAAGGATAGAAGAAATAAATTTATAAGGAGAGTGTAATAATTCAAACTTGGATTTATATGCACAATTATGCAATCATCATAAAATTACAAACATTTTTTGTTGTTTAGTTTTTTTTTTTATTTCGAGATATATTTTATGATATTCTCCAAACATTTTAGTCTCAAGGGCAACACTATCTCTCCCCATAAGTCCCAAGGGGCACACATAATCCTCCACCAAGGGCAATGATCATAGCTCACTCATTAAATAAATACACATTTTTTTTTTCATGTTGGCTTTATAGATCTTACAGATCTTTGGCTTTCTGAACCAGCCTTCTCTACCTCAGCCTATTTTGGGCCAAGGCTTTCCAATTTGCTGCATGCTGCTCTGGAGTATTTATCTATAGATGTTTTGAGATTTCAGTGCCCTAGAAAGAGAGGAAAAAGCTCCTCTATTTCTCTCTTTTACTTCTTATGTGTTGGTGTTAATCTGATAGTTGGTCATTCATTGAGGAGCCTAATATTTGAATCTATCTACTCTCAAGAACAATCTTTCATCCATACAGATTATCCATACAGTGTTGGAGTAGATTTTTTGTTATCTCTTCATTTACTTGTAATGTCCTCTTGATTGTTTCTGAGGACAGTTATATCATCTGTATATCCTAGGATTTTATGCTTCATTCTGACATGTATGCCTTCATTATCACATGATGTTTTTATCACTTGCTTTCAGACTTGGCTGAACATTGATAAAATTTCACCTCCCTGCCTCAAACATGTTCACAATTAAAATGCATCTGGATCTTCTTCTAATCAGAATTCAGCATTTGTATATACCTTCATCAAGCTCACCAATTTATCAGGAATTCACAGGTTGATCATGACCAAAGAGAGTTTCTGTTTACTGAGTCATAAGTAGCTTTGAATTTTTTTTTTAAATTGACAAGTAAGGCATAATATCCTGAGTTTCTTGCCATATTTTTGTTTGTTTGGGCTTTAAGGTGTAAAACCCTGGAGTCATCAACGCCTATGAGTAAGTTAATTTTTGTTGTCTGTTGAGTTCAGAAACTCCTTAGAAGAGAAAAAAAAGAATAAATAATCATAACTATCACTAATTAAATAGAATAATAAATGAAAAATATATAAAAGATGAGATAAATAAAAATAAAAAATACAATAAAATAAAAATAATATTCATTTCTATATTTTATTTAACAGTCTATGAATTTTAATGTTTGATTCGTTATTGGGCAATACCACTGATATATCTGGTCCTAGAGATAATCTGTTTGAGCCTGATGTATAATAAGGGCATTCCTGGAAAATGTGACTGATAGTGAGAATGCTATTGTAGTGTTGACAATTTGGTGGTGGCTGTTTAATAATGAGATGTAAATGAGTCAGATTTGTGTGTCCTATTCTTAACCTAGTCACGGCGACCTCCTCTCTGTGGTTAGTACAGTTTGATGAGGTCCAAGTTTTCACTGATTCTTTAATAGTTTTTAGTTTACAAGGTGGGCTTTCTTTCGTTCCACATAGATTGCCAACTGCCCGATATTTCTTTTTTGAGAGGATAATTCATTTCTGGAGGGGTCAGGATAGCAGGAGCTCGGCCTGGGAGCGCGAGTGCTTGTTTGGTTGGCTGCCTTATCTGCAATCTCGTTACCAACTATACCCATATGACTGGGAACCCATATAAAGCAAACCGATTTTCTCAAATTTTCAAGAGTATGAAGGTATTTGTGTATTCTAAGAATAACTGGATGTTTTGAGTACATATCCTTTAAACTCTTTAATGAACTCAAGGAGTCGGTTATTAAGACTATTGTGTTTGGAGTTATCGACATATAAAAAATGGAGGGCTGAGGCTATTGCATGAAGTTCCGCTGTATATATGCTGCTTAATTTATGAATTTTTATTTTATGTGTTATGGGTAAAAAACGAAGAGGCTGTAGCATCATCGGATTTCTAACCATCAGTATAAATTAAAAATGGTTTTGGAATATTTTGTAATAGACGGGAGAATTCGGTTTTATACTTAAAAGGAGAGGTAATGTTTTGGGTGTTTGTAGAACCAAAGAGGGTTTTGATTTTCTGTTTCATATATAGGTAAGTTTTTTAGTAATTGTGCTGCTGAATAAATTCTTTCTGACAGTGGAAGTGTGGAATTGGTTTTGTTTTTAATAGCGTTAGAGAATTTTGGTTTAAAGATATAGTTATTGGCAGAATTTTTATTTTGGGTAAGTAACCTTGAAATATAATGAACAGCCAGTTTTTTTCCTTGTAAATAAAAGAGAGGGTATTCCGGCCTCAGAACAAAGATTAAGGGGATGGGGCTTGTTCGAAAAGCGCTAGTCCCGATCCTAATGCTTGTGTGATGGACTGCACCAAGATTATTTAGGGTCTGGTAGTGGGCAGAACCATAAACAAAGCACCCATAGTCCAATTTAGAGCATATTAACGCTCCATACAGTCTTATTAGCATGAGTCTGTCTGAGCCCCAGGAAGCACCGCTCAGATATCTTAGTGAAGCTAATCTTTTTGTGGTGGTTAATTTTAGTGTAGAGATATGTGGTTGTAAGGTCAGTCTTTGGTGAAAAGTCATGTCCAAGAATCTATGCTGGTTTGAGTATGAGATTAAGGAGTTACCTAGGTAGATTTCGGGTGAGTCAGTGAGATTAAGGAGTTAGTTACCTAGGTAGATTTCGGGTGAGTTAGGGGTATTTCTTTAACTACTGAAATGTAAGCATTTGGTTTTCTCTGGGGAAAATTGAAGACCAATGGAGAGGGACCAGTTGTTGATTCTATTAACAGCGTCCTGTAATTTGGATTGTGTGGTACTAGATTGACGAAATATAGCTAGGTCATCCGAACAATAGTGGTTTAACTCCTCTTGGTAAGTTGAGCCCCAAATCGTCTGTCGCCAAGCAGAACAGAGTAGGGCTTAGAGCACAACTCTAGGGGACAAACATCGTTGAGCTGTTCATGGTCATCGGATAATTCGCATCCTATTTGGTCCCTAAAGTAACGATGTGTGAGAAATTGTTTTATATAACGATACATTTGTCCTCTTATTCCAACAGATGACAGTTTATTGAGTATTATGGAGTGGTTTATGTTATCAAAAGCTTTTTTCATATCGAAAAATATTGCTATTGTTTGTTGTTTGTTGATAAATTTATATTGTGTTTTGGCTTCCAATTTAACTAAACGGTCTAAAGTGAATCGACCCTTGCGGAACCCCGACTGAAAAGGTTGAATCAAATTGTTGTTTTCTATTATCCACATCAGTCTTCTGTTAGTCATCTGCTCCATTATTTTACTCAAACAACTAGTGAGAAATATAGGGCAATAGCTGGTTGGTGAGCGTTTGTCATTTCCGTTTTTCAAAATTAGAACTACCACCGTCTCAAACTAGTTATTTGGGAAATGTCCAGTAGACCAGACATGATTAAAATATCGAAGTAACCATTCCAGTGTATTACCTAGGAGGGTTTTTATCATGTCATAATTTACATGGCCAGGGCCAGGAGTAGAGCATTTTACGGTACTTAAAACATTTTTGAATTCCCACATTGAAAATGGGAAGTTGTAACATAGATTCATCTTCTGTTGTCCCATCAAAATCTATTTCTTTGGGATTAAGACTATTTCTTCCGGAGTTATAAATTTCCAAGAAAAAGTTGGCAAATCCAACTGTTTATGGGTTGTCAGATAGTTGTCAATTGTTTAAATAGTGTAACTAGAGGAAGCTGGATTTTGGTCCAAACGTCAGTCGATGTTGCAGAGGAATTTATGGAGTTCACAAATTTTTCCCATGATTCGGTCTTGTATTGATTGATTATTTTCCTACATATAGCACGCTATCACTTATAGTCTATTAAATTTTCAGAGTTCATGTATTTTTGAAACATTTTATAGGCTTTACGGGGATCTTTAATGGTTTTTTAGCAGGTATCATTAAACCAAGGAACAAGTTGTCTTTTTGGTGAACCTAAGGTCATTGGGATTGATGCTTTAGCCGCTTCTAGGATCATACTCGTGATGGTTTCACAACCCCTGTCGATATTCATTAGGTCTGGGGGGATTTGAGGAGGTGAGGCTAAGGAAGTAAATAGAGTCCAGTCAGCTTTGTTTAGGATCCATCATGATTTGATCCTAGTGGGATTTGTTGTTTTGAGTTCGGTGACTATCAGGAAATGATCATTACTGTACAAGTCCGGCAATATCATCCAGTCCACAATACTATATAATGAAATATTGCACACAGAAATGTCGATTGATGAAAAAGTACCATAGCTATGACTAAGGTACTCCGGTAGGTTTGTACAATGAAGGTAGGTTCTCCGATGTTTAGCAAAAGTAGATTAAAAATTGCATGGTACTTCTCTAAAATCTCTTGACCAGACCACCTGATCTCCTGATTGGCAGTTATTGGTTATTATTGAACCAAAATCATTGAATCTTAATAATTTTTCAGATTCTTCTCTGTTGATAGTTTCGACTGAAATAGTTCCATTTCTTAGTTTTTTGGGCTCACCACATTGATGATTTATAGCTTTATAGATTAAAAACAGGGAGACTTTTTTAAGATCTCCTTCTTCATCTCTTTCTATTATTAGAAGTTGGTTTATGTTTTTTAGTTCAGCTGATTCATTTATATGTGGTTCATTAAAATTTCTCCAACTTCTCTTCACCCTTTTAAGATTAGGAGATCGTATATCAGGTGGTTTATTCATTGTGTTCCCGTTTTTCACAAATTATAGCACAATGAAAAGTTAAAACTAAAGAGACAACATAGATAAACGAAGAATTGGTAACAATTAATTGAAGGTAAATTTATCTTTTTAAATTGGTTAAAAAATAAATAAATAAAATATATCTCATTTTAAAGACGCAAATGCCATCTTTAAAAAAAAAAAAAAAAAAAACTTAATATTCTTCTAAGAAAAAAAAATAATAAAGAATGAAAATTATTTCTAAGACTTATCGTTCCAAGCCTCTGGTATCATTTGCCAGAGAATATGTTTTCAGGATTAATTGTATTGGATTAGCTCGTCTCTTCCAGCTTTAAAGAGCTCTGATAGTAAGTTTTCGACCACTTGGGTATTTCTTTTTTCAAGCCTGTCCGTAGCTATCTCCACATCTACCATATCTGATTTTTCATATCTTGTGTGTCGAGATTCTCAGTGTATCCATATCTTCTTCATTTATGTGTTTATTAAACATTCTCAAGCCTTGTGATGCTGGTTCGAATCTAGCTTGGGTGGGTTGAAATTTATTTCATTACAGACCCATGGAATGAATCTCAAATCCTCCCACTCTAATTACAATAGGTTTATTTGTACATCTAGAACAACCCTCCCTCTCGCCGTGCCAGAAATGGTGAGGTAGGGATTATTTTTATGGAGAAAAAAAAAAGATTCAAAGGATCTATGCATTTAAACAAAAACAAACAAATTTATATAAATTAAAAATAAATAAGGACACTAATGGTTCACCTTGTAATCTTTTCAAAAGCTAGAAATGTTAAATAAGTGAGTAGAAAGAAGCCACTTTTAAAATATTCAAATATATTTATATATTAATTAATTGGAAAATTGCTTTAACATTATTATTATTTGAAAGTATTACTCACCATATTTTTGAAGTTTCTACATGACAGTGTGAAGCAGCATTATCTTCAGTGTAAAGTATGTTATATTGCAGATTTCTGGTTACTTTCTTTACACAAAATGAGCTATTTATGGCCCCAAGCTCATTTTTATTCATGAACTGAATATCATAATCAGCTGTAGATTATTTTAAGACCTATTTAATCATCAGTAAGTAGCCTAAATAAACAAGTAATTTAATGACATTCCATTACACTTATGTTATAAAAAAATATAAACGTTTTGTTTCTATTTGGCTTAATTCAGGTATCACTGCATGGACATAAGGCATGCATATAAAGGGAGAGGCACTTCCAACATGGAAAAATCTAAAATAATATAGAAAGAAGTATAAACAATAAATTTTAGAAAATTCGATTTACAGTGACAAGTGGGTATTTGCATTTCAATACTTAAAAAGAAACAAGTTGCGAAAGAAAGACTAATTTTTCCTTACCTTTAATTAATTTTTCACACTATTGGTTAGGCTCTCTCATACTGCATACAATATCTTTGTAATGTGATATTTATTTAATGATCAAAAGAAGCAATATTAATATTACTAACCAATATGCAATATTATTTCCAGTTTTAAACTTAAAGGATTGGCGTAGGGGAGTGGCAATCCCATCATACAGCCAAGAGGATGCAGTCAGCCATTGGCTCTCCAGGTTGGAGGAACACTTATATTGATGCTCATGTAGTACACCAAAACAACAAACTCACACTATAGACTAAGGCAGGGGTCTCCAAACTTGTTGGCCCACAGGCCATATTGACATCTTGACTAAGTTCTGCAAGTCACATTGAGATCTCCACCCAAGTCCCGCGGGCCATGGATTGTGATGAAAAAAACTCTTGTTCTATTAATGATATTTCAGCTGTGAAATGAGCTTTATAAGAGAAAAAAAACATGCAATGACCCGTGTGTGAATAATTTGCTAAATTTCATATTTTTAAATAGTTTTTAAAATTTTACCAAGTAATGAAAGTAACTTTTACAGGCCGAATGAAAAGTACGTGCAGGCCATAGTTTGGAGACCCCTGAACTAAGGTATAACAATAAATACACGAGCACCGTACCTAGATGGCCGCCCTGGAGAAGGTGCAAGTATTTATGCACTACGGTGGCAACCCCACCAGCATTCTAGAGCACATAGAGATTACATCATTGCCAGGAATAAAACCATCAGGAAACCCTGTATAACTGTCTCGGATACGGACTGTTATAAACAGTTAAGACACGGCAAACATCATAGGATAAATCTTTGCTTTTGGAACGTTTTATAACATTTTAGAACTGGTGCACTACAATTGCTTCTAGAACAGGTGGCCAAGTTTAAGTTGGACTTTATTTTCAATTAATTGTTACCAATTCTTCGTTTATCTACATAGTCTCTTTAGTTTTAACTTTTCATTGTACTATAATTTGTGAAAAACGGGAACACAATGAATAAACCACCTGATATACGATCTCCTAATCTTAAAAGGGTGAAGAGAAGTTGGAGAAATTTTAATGAACTACATATGAACGAATCAGCTGAACTAAAAACCATAAACCAATTTCTAATAATAGAAAGAGATGAAGGATACCTTAAAAAAGTCTCCCTGTTTTTAATCTATAAAGCTATAAATCATCAATATGGTGAGCCTAAAAAAGTAAGAAACGGAACTATTTCAGTCGAAACTATCAACAGAGAAAAGAATCTGAAAAATTATTAAGACTCAATGATTTTGGTTCAATAATAACCAATAACTGCCAATCAGGAGATCAGGTGGTCAAGAGATTTTAGAGAAGTACCTTGCAATGTACTATAGTGGCAGCAACAATCACCACGCTTTTGGTGAAAGCTTTGTTATTAGAAGACAACTAAGATGACTTGTAAATACATTTGAAGCCATTTTTCCAAAATATGCACAATCAGAATGCTGTGAAAATTCCGTAACCTAAGCATATTCAGTGTTCATACACCCATCAAAGAGGAAGATAAGGAAACTTTTTATTATATGCTGGAAAGAGCATTTTATTTTTGCCAAATACTAGTGATTTCAATGCCAAAGTTAGAAAAGAGAAAATGAGACCCATTACAAGCCCACGATTGGAAGACATTGGTGAAGAGTCTGACAATAAATGATCTAAGATTGAACAACTTTACAATATCAAAGAATCTTAGATAGCCACCAGATAGATAGAATCTTAGATAGCCACCAGTTTTCACACAAAGATAGCCATAACGGAATGTGGATAAATCTAGATGGTCGAGATGTAAATCAAATCTTCAAGTTAGCGGTAGATATATGAGCAGTATATCAGATATGAGGGTCTTCAAAGCGCTAATATGGATTCAGACCACTTCTTAAGTATTTCACACATCAAGGAGTGTATAAGCCATCCAAGGCATATATCAGTACCATCTATAAAAAGGTTTAATCTACATAAGAAACAAGAAATCATATGTTAGTACTTTGAGAAGCTGCATCAAAGACTTTTTCATCACCCTACCAGTGAAAATATCAATGAAGACTAGGCATAATGCAAGCAAGTAGCAGAAGTTTTTGGTTCAGTGAATAAAGACTCAATGTCTTCTTGGTTCATGTGAAGAGTGCAGAGCTCTCACAGATTTAAAGAATGAAGCCTATAAAGCCATGATCAACAGTTGGAGGTAGAACTGTTAAAGTCTCAGAATTTGTTTATCTAGGACAAATGGTTACCTGCAACAAGAATGTAACAATGGAGATTAGGAGGCAAATATTGGCTGCCAGTCGCTGCTATGGACTCCAGAAGCTTCTCTCCAGCAATTTGTAGTAGAGGGCCTTTTGTATTTACTCCTTAATGTGACATTGAGTGAGAGAATGAGAAGGAATATATAGGAATGTAGGGTTGCACTATGAATTGGACTCATTTATGCAGTGGACAAATTGTTTATTGAAAAATATCAAATCGATAAACAATCGACGAAAAAGGTACAGAACAAAGAAAGGAAGAAGCCTGGAGAAGTGGTGGCAGGTGGCAGCAGCGGGAGAAGGATGCTGGAAAACAAAGAAGATACTTGAGGCCGGGACAGGAATAAGGAAGGAGGTTACCAGAAGAGAGAAGCACTCCACTGAGGATTAAGAAGATCAAGCCTACAGTTATAAGACTTTAATAGATTCATTTATTACAGTTGTCTTCCTGTACTATGTTATGGCTCAGAGACATGGACCACAACCAGAGCTGAAGACCAACACCCCCTCAAATTTAAATGGAAAGAATTATACAGAAGCTGTGTGTGTGAGAATAATGAATGGATGCAGAAAAACAACCAGGAGCTGTATATCATCTATATCATGAACCAGAAGTCTCCTGTTTTATCAAGCTTGGAAGGCTCAGATTGACAAATTATCTAGTCAGAATGTCTGACGATCTACCTCCCAAGAAAATTTTGATTGAGCTCCTTTTTAGTCGTCAGAGTTAGAAAGCCAAAGTTGCGGTGAGCAGATAGTGCAATCCATGATGTAAGAAAATATTTGAAGGTAAGAAACTGGACGGCAACAGCACAGCATACAGGTTTGAGGCAGTTAAAGTGAAATGAGAGGATGTGTGTCAGAATGAAATATAGATTCTTGAATATAGCTGTAGTAAAGCAGTCCTTGGAAGTAGGGAAGAACACTAATGGAGAATCCTACTATGTAAGAGGAGTACTTATGTAAATTAATACTCTGTTCTAATGTAAAGCTGACCTAAACATAATTAAGATTTAAAAAAAAAACATAATTCTTGAATGTATTTATCCTTTGTTATATTGCATAATAAAATTAAATATCTTAATATTTTCCATGAAGAAAAGCTTCTCTAGTTTATCTAATCAATATTAATTCTATCTATAATTATAGTAATAAATATGATTTAAAAAAATGTTTAAATGTGAACAAAAAACTGAAGAGACGAAAAAATCATTGATACTGTTCTATCAAAAAAGTTAACACTGAAAAATTTTAATAAATATCTGTTTGGTGATAGCTTTAATAATAGAATTCCATTAAATTAATTAAATGACATTCGTTTTAATAATAATGTGCTGTTATGTTTACCGTCAACTGAGAAATTATGGTAGCAGCAGGAAGAGTGCATTCTAAATATTGGGTAATCAATTTCATCATTGGATTAATAAATGTTAATACCATTTGTATTTCTGTTGTTATATCACTTTCCTCTGCCAAATAGCCAAACAGAGAAGTCATCAATGAAACGGCTTCAGTATCAATCTAAAACAAGACATATATTCTTTTATGAATATGGTGCCAACATGGCCATCGCATTCTCCTTTATATAAAATATTAAGCAAATTTTATATAAAAGAGGATGCAATACATAACATCCAGTTTCAAAATAAAAACTTATTTCTAAATTCAATGAATAACATTAGAACGAGAAATAATTTCATGTTAACACCACCAATGGGCATAACTGTCAATTTTTATTTTCAGCACTACCATACCCTATTGGCAACACAGGATACAGCAGCAGTAGCTATAGCCAGAAATGCATTATGTCCGTGCTGCAAATTTTTAGAAATTCCTCATCTTGGTCTCGAGATTCTGGAATCTCCTAATACCTCCTAATACAACTCTCCAGGATGGTCTTCATATCTATTTTCCTTCTTTGGATTGCTAGAATAAAGTGGCCCATCCCCACCACTGCCTTATAGTCATGAATAAAATGTTCAAACAGAGGAAAGTTGTCTTCACTTCCTAACTCAGGAAAGTTTCCTTCTGTGAAAAAACAATGATCCATGCAGTTCTCATTAATGTTTTGAATAAGGTGCTGGTTGATGTCCTGTGACCTACAGTTTCCAAAACATCACCAATTGGGCATAGAGAATCTTAAGAAACATAACTCAAAATCTCTCATCCATTATGAGGGAAATTTATAATTGATCAACTATTCCTTCAACCAATAAGATATTTCTATTCATTTCTTCATTGATACTGTTTTGAAAATTGACTTGGTTTCTAAGTACACAAATTCTCATACTCTCTTAATGAGGATCTGTTTCTGAAATTTTTTCCCTACTCTTTTTTTGGAATTAATATAATAATGTATTTTATGTTTAGTCCCATTATTACAGCCAAAATCTTTTAGCACTCAAAAGATATTACTACATCTTCAACTCCTAATTCTAAGGTCTAAATCTTCTAAAAATATCTCCAATAAGTTTAGTATAATCCGTACTATCTGTTTCTTGCCTTCCTTACAATCCTTTCTAATGCCAAGCCAAGTTAAAGGCTAGACATATCAGGCCATCATCTTGCCTGACATCAGTCTTGGTAGCAAACTCTCAGATCCACCAACTCTTAAAGAGAAAATTTTGTTCTTCGATCTTAGGTGCCTTATACACCCTGATAACTTAACTTTGGGAAGAGCAGTAACTCAATGAGTAAGGTACTACGCTCCAGATCCCAATCTCGAGTCCAGCTGTGACAGGTAATTATTTATTGGGTTATTATTATTATTTATTTATTGGGGGAGCAGGGCGGACGAGTGGGCTAACATATGTGTAAAAATACACATGCCTGACAACCTGATAAACTGAACATTACAAGTTAAAATCTCGGTGGCGGGAAGCATTTTATTTTAGCATTAATTTCCGCCCTCTGCCCTAGCCCAGGAAAGAAATATACCCAAAAAAGCGAGGAAGCGATGAAAACCAAAAAAAAGTAATTATTTATTCTGTTACATCAACTATAGATCGAGCCTGGGCCAAAAGAACCTCCTTGGACATCCTCAACCTACGTTACCTGGACACTGTTAATTAAATAATTGATGAAGGGAAAAACCTAGTGGTTAAGCAAGATCTCATTCAAATCACCCTCTTGCACAACTATTGGCCAAAAAACAGTTCTTCCTTACAAAGTACTGAATCCAAGACCTCCATAGGAATAGAGGTATAGGTTTTTTAATTTATTTTTACATTCTCTCACAAGTCAAGAGATTTATCTCAAAGGCTGCTCCTTCACTGGACTGTTGTTATAAAAACATACACAGATTTATATGGAGCACCTACATTGGACATGCATTTCTGATGGCCCAAATGTGGATAGCTGACTTCATATCATTCATGTTTAAATGTATTAATAAACTTACTTTCTTTATACTACTTACAGGCGAGTATTCATTTGAAAACATAGGTTTGGTTAATTCAATAACACCGAGAACTTGGCAGTTACTTTTCATAATTGGTACTGCCAAACCAATACAATCCTCACTTTCTGAAAAAAATAAATAAAAAGTGATTTTTTATGGTAAGAACATAAATAATAGGCTAACTTAATAAAAATTCTAACAGTACATAAAGTAATTTAAAAAATAATCTGTAAATAATAATAAATATAAAAATAAAATCTCAAGAATAATTATAATTATAATAGGAAGGAAAAAAATATATAAAAAGAAAAAGCAAAACTTGGAAAGAACTGAACGGAAAAACTGAATGTGATGGAATGTTTGTTGAAGAAAATAGGAGTTGAATTTAAGGAGAGAATTGGAACCTATAGCTTGCCCGGCCACTGATCCTATATAGGTCTGCCTGAATATTGGAGAGCGCAACTAATAGGTCAGAAAGGTAAAAGGATAAATAGATTTGTAATTTTGTCAGCATATAGATGGTATGGACAATAGTGGATAGAATTGGGAAGATCATTTATATGGAATTTAAAAAGGAGAGGAGAAATGCTCAAACCCTGAGCCACTCCAGAGGACAGCCTAAGGAAAAAAGATAAGGATTGCTTCGGAATACTAACTGCATGAGTCCGGTCAGAAAGGAAAGGCTGAAACCAAATATTAGAGCTGTTGGTAAAATATAAGGATTTTAATGTACTGTAGAGAATAGAGTGGTTGAAAGCTTTGGAAAAAAAGAAGTATTAATACGGTTCACTTATTTTCATTCATTACAGTATATTTGTCATTGGTAATTTTTAGTAGAGTGGATTGTGTGGAGAAACCAGGTCAAAATCCAGATTGGAGAGGATCGAGTAGTTTAGAGTCTTAACATACATTACTAACCATATAGTTAAGAAATGTTCACTAAAGCCTAAATACAGCAGTTCAACTTGTGTACGTGGAAACTTCTAAATTAACATTAAATAAAAAAAACATTAAGTACTACTATTATAATTTACTAGTGCACACTCACCTCGCCAGCCATTCCCCAGTGGAAATCGATAATCCTTATACAAATATGGTGACAACATTATTTCTTTGTGTTTTGCTGCTGAAGTGGCTAAGCATAAGCAATCATCTGTAAATTAATCAATATACTTTAACATAGGCTATACATGTGTGTGTGTGTGTTTGTCTATATTAACTCAATATAATTTTCTTAGTATAATTTCAAGTATTTCTAAAATTTAAAAAATCTGGTGCTCCCAACACACTACTTTCACTTACCACTAAACTTTGAATAGAAATTATTTTCTGGTCATGTTGGGCTATTACAAAATTTTTGGATTGCATTTTTAACTGAGATAAAACTAAAAGCTTACAGCTAATAAATCATAAACACCTTTAGAATAACAAAAGTTCTATTTCTTATATCAGGTTTGATTATGGATTGTAGGACTATTAGTTATTAAACTGTTATTTTCCATTGCAAAGTTTACTAAAATGGAATTAAGAGATTGGTATTGTCTGTCATAGGCAGGTCAAAGGCTGTCACACTCATTGTAATTGGATAATGTTGGAATATCTACTAATGAATTTTCTAGATGGTTGCATGATGATATTTAGGAATAAACGGACGATAGATACCTAATTATTTAAATATAATATCAGATCTGGAGTTAGGTATTAAACTACAGTAAATATATCTATATATATTAAGGTTATAAATAAATCCATGATATATTTTTATATTTCATTTCTTCTTTCACACAAGTACAATTATATAGTTTTTTAAACAATGTCATTGCCTTGATTAGGTGGATTTTAAATACTTTTTTCAAACTTAAAAATATTTTGAAAGTTTACAAAATATTCCTCGCGCGGGCTCATTACCGCGTATGGGCTTTGAACCTTTAGAGCATTCTGACTAGGAACACGAGGATATTGAAAAGTTATGGGTAGAGATCGGAGGTAATATTAAAGCGGTAGGTAACTCATGTCAAGGAAAATAAAAATAACAAGCCGTGGTTTGGTGAAGATTGTTTAAACATGTGCGAAAAAAGAAAAGCCGCTAAATTAAAAGCTCTAAATAATCCTAGCGACGACAATCTGGAATACTTCCGAACTTCAAAGAACGAAACGACCAAATTGCTCAAAAATAAAAAAGGGAGTATCTTAAAAATAAAATAATTGAAATAGTTGAATCGAAAATAACGTAAGAGACATGTATAAAGGTATAAACAGATCACGTAAATATGTAGGACCCGTAACGTCTGGAATTAGGGATGAAAATAACAATGTTCTGACCGATCCGGTTGACATATTAAATAAGTTTAAGAACCACTTTGACAATATTTTAAATACGGGAAATTATGATCTGTGTCCTCCTTCTGAGTACCAGAGTGCGGAACCGTTGATAGAAGAACAGAGTAAAAAGGAAATTGAAGTAGCTATCGGAAAATTAAAATCTCATAAAGCAGCGGGAACCGATAATATTCCTACTGAACTAATTAAGGCATGCGGAGAAGCTGGAGTTTCTAAAATACATCGGTTGGTTAAAAAGATCTGGGAGAATGAGAAATTACCTGAAGAATGGAAAGAATCTATTCTTATTCCGATTCACATAAAGGGCCCCAGTACAGATTGTAATAACTATCGAGGAATTTCACTCCTTCCGGTATGTTATAAAATATTCACTTTAATCTTAACCAGTCGAACCACGGAATACGCCGAGGAATTGATCGGAGACTACCAATGCGGATTTAGACGGAATCGTTCGACTATTGATCAAATATTTTCTTTACGGCAAATATTAGAGAAAAAATTAGAGTACAACGGTATTGTTCACCAGCTGTATATCGATTTCAAAAAGACTTGCGATTCTATTGACCGCCAGAAACTGTATAATATTCTTATCGAGCAGAGGATTCCAAAAAAACTAGTAAATCTAATCAGGATGTGCTTGACGGAGACACTAAAAAAAGTTATAATCAGTAATAATCTGTCCGAAAAATTTAAGGTTCGTTCGGGTTTAAAACAGGGGGATTCCCTTTCGCCTGTCCTGTTCAATTTGGCACTAGAATATGCCATTAGGGAGGTAATGCCTACCGAAAATGGGTTGGATCTGGGTGGGACAACATCCGTGCTGGACTATGCTGATGATCTGGTATTAAGCGAATCCGTGGAAACTATAAAACTAAATACGACAACGTTAATGAAAGCCGGTAAAGAACTAGGACTCGAAATAAACGCGGATAAAACAAAATATATGGTTAGCTGCAAAAATGTTATATGTAATATGTTTGAACAGATTGAGAAATTTAGGTATCTGGGTTCTACGATAACTTAGAAAAAAGAAATTGAAGAAGAGATTAAGGTTAGACTGAAGGCGGGAAATGCTTGTTATTTTTCTGTGACAAAACTACTTAGCTCGCGCCTCTTGTCCCGGAACTTAAAAATTAGAATCTATAAAACCATTATCTTACCTACAGTTCTTTATGGATGCGAAACTTGGCCGCTTACATTAAGGGATGAGCAGCGTCTTAAGGTTTTTGAAAATAAAGTATTGCCTAGAAGATTCGGACCGAAGATGGATGAGTTAACCAGAGAGTACAGACGGTTACACAACGCCGAATTGCGTGAACTGTATCCGGGTAATATAATTGAGGTAATTTCATCACGGCGAATCAAATGGGCTTGTAAAATTGTTGGGCTTAGTAACGAAAGAATTCCTAAAAGGTTAATATTTGCTTTACCGAATGGTAAACGTCCGAGGGGTAGACCGAAGCGAAGGTGGGAAGAATGCATTAAAGCCGATCGGAAGGGACTGAGTTTGGACGGCGAACGGTGGAGGGAGGTGTGTAATAAGCGATTGGTGGTGTCGGCATCGAACCTTCGGGTTCGCTAAGCGTTTTATTATTATTATTACAAAATATTAGTAAATTTCATTTAATTTCCTTGAAAACGTGTGATTTACGTTAAATAATATTAGTTTTAAAAATTTATTATTTATAATTTTTTCGCCACTCTCCGTTTATTCAACTTTCTATATTAGATTTTGTTCTAAAATTCCCTGCTTTCCAACAATTTATTATTTAAACGATTATACGTATACTTTCTGACTAGTGTTACTGGGGATTTGTTTTCGCATTCTGGAAAAGCATTTTTATTTTTTTCTCCTTTATTCAATTATCAAATTCTTTCAATAGTTATATTTAGCATTTTTTCCTAACTCTTGTGAGATAGTTAATTATTTAAACTAAACCATATTATATGTACTTTAGAGGAAGTAGTATACGAACATTTGGCATTTAAGCACTGTAAAATGACAGCAAAAGAGATAAGACCTACTTCAGATTTTTTTTCTCGTTCTAATCTGCCTAGCTAGCCTTTTAGGCTATACTGGATTACAGTGGCTTAATAATTAAGCCACTGTATACTGGATATTCCCGGGCCGGAGGGTGAAGGCGGGAATTTTAAATTCCCTGCGGCACCGAGAGCGGGAACTCGTACTTTTTTTTAAACTCATACCTTCGGTTATCTGGTTGACCTACTTGATATTAAAGACCACTTAATTATGCAATGATACACGAAGTTTAGGGGGGCGGGGTGGCCCGTGAGTTGCCCGGCAACCAGATATATGAAGATTTAAGAAACAAGAAAAGTACGAGTTCGCGTCCCGGTGCCAGAGAAGATTTTAAATTCCTCGCCCTCACCCTCCGGCCCGAGAAAATCCCGTATAGCCTAAACGGCGAGGTAGGGAAGAACAAAAAAAAAAAAAAAAAAAAAATACACGGAGTTTAATCAAAATCTTTGAGCCGTTTTAGAGAAAATTATAAAAATGTATTTCACCGTTGATATAAAGTGGCACTTTTGGTTAGGCTGTTAAGGAAGAAGTTGCTGTCACATCCAAGGCATATACCTATCTTGTATAGGTAATATCAGTTTCGTAAGACTTTTTGTTTTTTGAGCTACACTGTTAAAACACAGACCATTTTGCGGGACTTGGTTATTTGGACTCAGGGTAACTCAAAACTTATATTTTCGTTGAAAACTCAGATTTGAAAATGTTTACGATAATACTTTCCTTTACTATATATTACATATATAGGTAAGTGAAAACAATAAATTTATTTTTAATTATGATGTATTAATAAATAAATTGCTATCAACACTAACCATACTTGTAAGAGTAAGTCTATATTTTATATTTATTGTTACTTTTTTGTCTCATCTAGTACTGAATTTTAAAGCATAAATGGATTGATTTTTTTTTAGCAAAATAGTCATTCTAATTAATATTGAACTTACTAATTCTGAAAGCTTCTCCAATAGGTCTTTGGATTAGGTGTTCTCCATTATACAGAATTACAAAAAGGTGTGTTTTATTATTTTGATCAACAATATAGCAGATGGCACCTGAAAAACCATATTGTTTTAACAAATTTGAACTAAGCCAAAGATAAAAAACATAACAATTTTATATAACATTAATTTTCTTAATTCAATGCTGTATGTATGGGAGAGGAACTATTACATTAGAATTAATTTAATTTATTTAAATACTTTATTATGTCCTTACATCCTTCAAGCTCACAGGCTTTCATATCTCTGTTGCTGGTGTAGGTAAAGTAGGCATCTTTTTTTTTAAGACAGCAATACTTCTTTTGTAACTTTCTATTCCATAACCACATAACATTAACTTACTTATACACTTCATCTAATTTTATATTCTTTTTTAATTTTTTTTAAATAAAAGTTTCCAATTTGCAAATTTGTTAACCCTCTCTCATGAGAACTAATTTCCTCTCCATTTTTCCACAACTGAAAACAGTTAAATAATTTCTTTTCATGATATATTTTTTCAGTAACATACTTCCCATCAGGTAAAATGGTTAAGTAGCTTTGGGATTTCATAAGTTCAACTTAATTTTCAGCAGATGTTTGAGAAAATATTTGAATATGACATTGATCCAAAATACCTGTATCACTACAACCTATGAAGGTTCTTGGGTTCAGTACTATTTAGGGAAAATACTGTTTCATAGTCGATGGTTGTGAAAAGAAGTGATTTGACCGAGATTACATTCAACCACCAGGTTTTATCCCTTAATTAATTATTTAATTAAAAGTACCCACTTTATAGAGGCTGGGTATACCCCAGGAGGGTCTCCTGACCTCAGAATCGATCCACGGCTGATGAAACAGAATAAATAATTAATCTGCCATATAAGTCGGGAATTGAACCTGGTAGCATGAGCATTGGAAGCTCAGTGCCCTACCACTAAGCCACCCCACCCCTTCATATATAGATAATGATCTAAAAGACATCCATAATGAATTTACTTAAAACATTGGAAAAGCTACTAGCGGATCTAGGAGGTGGGCAGCTGGTGTTAAACCCCCGGTTCCGGGCTTCGGTAGGGGGCTCCGTCTGGCATTCAAGGTTTTATTTTTTAACTTCTAAATTTATATTAAAACGAAATATAAACATGGTAAGTATATCGAGGAAAAATCCGGTAGGAAAAAAATGTCAATTATCGACTATGTATTGGCCAAGAGCTAGAAGTTGAGGAAAATACAAGATACCAAATTAAAGAGAGGCTTTAAAATTTGAAGGATCCACTATCTGTCAATGCTAGATGAAATTCGTAATAAAAGAAAGATGTAGAAGAGAACTATAGGCAGTAAGGAGAAAACCATTAAATAATACAGGATGAAATGGCTCAATACTAACTAGAAGTGGAGATAATGTCGCGAGATCCTTCTTATCCATGGGATAGCGATGATTTGACGAGAGCTGGACACTATTTAGAAACATCAATTTCGACGTCTGGAGACTCTTCTGTGGACAGAAGAACATCGGGTCAAGTTTTAGACGAACTGCTTGGTGGACAGAAGATGTAAAGAGAGCTTTAAAGGAGAAGAAAGCAGCCTGGATAGACATTTCAAAGGAAGAGAACCATCCAGTGTGTACCAAAAGTTCAAAGAGAAGAAAAGGAAACCAAAGTACATCTAGCTAAAAGGAAATCGTCCAGAAATCCATCTTCAAGATGAACCTCGGTATGTCAACGGGACAGGACGGAATCGCTCTGAAAATGAGTATGTATATGGGAAGTAAAACTCGGAGAACTTTCTCTATTTTTTGAACATGGTCTGGAAACAGAAAAAGATACGGAAGGACTGGTAGAATGAATTAATAGTTCCTATACATACATATATATGTATATATATATATATATATATATATATATATATATATATATATATATATATATATATATATATATATATATATATATATATATAAGAAGGGAAATAATAGGGACAGCAACCATCATAGAACTATGTCACTCCTTAGTGTGAGAAGTAAAATATACTCTAGAATTCTAAAGGCCAAAGTCAGAAGAATTGTCGAAAGAAAGAGTGGAGAGGAGCAATATGGATTCAGATATAAAAGAAACACATAGGATCTAATTTACACCACGCGGCAAATTGAGGGCTTAGGGCTTGGCAAAAAGGGTTTAGTTGATTCTCTAGTAGGAAAAAGGTCGAAAAGAAGACACATCGAATCTCCTGGGGAAAAAGATGTATTTCAGAAGCGAGGATGGGGATGGAATAGGAGTCATGAACTGGTACGGAAACTAGAACAAGCTCCATAAAAGGTAATCTTACATTAAAGTGACAAAGAGGAAAGATATCATTTTGATGATAATTTTCGGCTCATGGTCTTCAATACAGATATTGTCTTGTAATACATATATAAACAGTCTTGGGGCGGGGTGGCCGAGCAGTGTGTAAAACTCGCATTGTCAAGCAACCAGATAAACCAAAGCTAATGATAAAATGATCACCAGTTCGTTTTTCGGTGTCTGAAGGGGAAAGTGCTTTTTACTCTGACATTTTTTTCCCCTGCCCTCATTCCCTTGCCCGGTAAAAACCCCGTATAGCCTAATAGGCGAGGAAGGGTTAGATTAAAATATATATCAATAGCCTTATCATTACGTCCTATTAATCTGATTAAATTGATGTGGATTATTTAGTTATTCACAGAAATACCTGAAGATTGAGTAAAAAATTTTAAAATCTTAACTATTGCTTTTAAATGTAGTGCTAAATTCCATTCAACTATGAGTCTCCTTTTTTCTGTCATCTTATTCAACGTATCTTCAAAATTCCTTGTTTGTACCAATCTTTTATCCATTTCTCTTAAGCGACGTTCAAGATAGAACGATTTGGGTAGTTTATGTGCATCAATAAAATCTCTAATTTTCTTTTCCTCCGTTGATGATGGGTCGATCAAAAAGCGTTGCTTTAGATAACCGGTATAATTTTTTATTTTAGTCATTATGTAGTGATAAAGGTCCTAAATAAACGTAAAAAAAAATGGAATTTATAACTTAAAGATTAAATGAAACAAGAGATTTCGTAAACGCTATCCAGTCACATGTTTCTTTATTGTTTCCAGGCTTTATGTTTAAAATTTAAGTATAGTATTTAGTTGTAACAATGCATGGATTTATCGTAGTATTGCTTTCTCATCACCGAAGTTAAGGAAGTTTGGTGGTCGTTGATTGTTGGTAAAAAAAAAAAAAATCAGAGCTCAGAATCGAAAATTTTTACTCGCGCTGTACTCTTTACTAGTTTTTACTCTTCCGTGCATTTATGTAATAAACTCCATGTGGTGGGCGTATCACCTGCTACCACTGGAGAATTCAAGGCGAAAAGCTTCAATGCTGAAGCATATCACAAAATATAAAAATAAAAAAAAATTTCGTTGTCCCATATTTCTATCAGTGATCTAAGACAAATACATTATCAATCAAAATATGTTCTCTTTTTATTTTGAATTATGACGCATGTAATTCAGCTATTCAATTTAAGCACTTGTCAAGTAAAACTATAGAAATCCTAAAAGTATTATTGTTTCTATAATTTTCCCTTATTAAAAAAAAATTTTGATCCACCAAAAAACAAAAAAAATAATAATAATGAATCGTGGAAACGCCACTATATACCGCTGTTAATTTACTTTTCAAGAATAAGCAATTATGTGGGTTGGTACTTGAGTGATTCCGTATCAATTTCATCGAAGTACACCAAATTCTTTTGCGTACACAACCATAAATGAATTTTCTTAGGCTAGCCAATATAAAAAAAACGGCTCGTTCAACGTGGTTCGAATTTAGAACAAAGTTGGGGATTATTTAAAACATTATTCTATATCAATTGTATCTAATTTATCTAGTTTTCTTGATACAACTCTATCTCAAAAAAAAAAAAAAAATGCTCGTTGAATTTCTCATTCGTTGAATCTCCTAAAGCTGGAGTTAAGGTAACAATGGTCATATTGCGAGTTTTATTTAGTTAAAAATAAATCTTTAGTTGTAGTAGTTTGTAAATAAATCTATCTTCATCATTTCACTAAAATCTGTAACATATGCATATACCCCACTTTCTGTAGACCCAATAAAGATCGAGATAATGTAATAGTATTTTGCGAGGTTTGCATGCATATATTAAAATTTAGTTATCTTCTTATTTTTCTTTTTCTAGGAAGCTTCTGCATCAATTAAATAACAGTCAGATAAATCAGTACCACAGCGAATTCGAAATTAGCTGTCAGAGAGGTAGGATCCGGAGTATTAGGTATAAGGGCTGTGGTAGATGGAATTTACGCTTGAAGAGCAGTCCAGCGTACCATACCCGGTCAGAAGCCTGTGCAATGTCCAGAAATGCACCTGAGCAATATTGCTTCTTTTCTAGGGCTGAAGATAAATGGTCAGCAACTCGAAGTCCTTGTTGGACAGTGGAATATTGGGAACGAAATCTGAATTGATGGGTAGGAATTTCATGGGGTTCTATTATGGGTAGGATTCTTATGAGTAGGATCTTTTAAAAAATAATTGAATTGGGAGTAGACTAATTGGTCTGTAGGATGATGTATTGTTGGAAGGTTTGCCTGGTTTCAGGAAAAGGACGAATTTTTGTTGGGATGTTTCCCATAGGAGAGGAAAATGGGTAGTTCTTAAGATGCAATTATAAATATATGTAAGGAATATGATAGCTTTGGGTGGAAGTTGTCGAAGGATCTGTGGGTATAGGAGGTCGTAGAGGAATTCTTCTACTTTCTAGATTTACGAGAAGTGATATTGCATAAAAGGTATTTGGCCTCAGAAGGATTAACTGCTTCAGGTGGTAAGGAGTGTGGAATCGAGATTCTGCCCAGGAGCCATCGCATCGACGGAGGGATGGGAAGGTAATGGGGTTTTAGGATGTTTTTGGTGTTTTTCTAGAAGGAATTGTCATGAAAAGAGAGATAAGTAAGGTAGAAATCAAAGGACTCGGATTATTAACGTTTTCATTTATATTAAAAGCGAATTTCTAATGTGTAGCAACATACTACAGGATTTTATGATTCATTCATTTGTTCCCTTCCATTTTTATTGAAGATTTTTCCCGCTGCAAATTTGAAGCATTGGAGAGTTGAGAGTTCATCTCACTACCTCAAACCTTTAAATAAAAAATAATATATACTATTGCTTTGTTAACATATTTTCAAATACGTAAAATTCAAACAAATCCGTACGCAAAAAAAAAAACATAAATACAATATTAATTTTTAAACTGCATTTATTTTTATACATGGTATAAACTCCAGAAACTTTTTTTGGAGGAGAGTCTATCCCTCTCTGGTTGGGGACCCCAACCAGAATGGAAAGTCTGTGCCAATGATCTTTAATAAATCTCTGTTAACTTTGTCACTTCTTACTGTACAGATTAAGAAGCAATTAACATTAAAAATATTGAAATAATTTAGGCTACATTATAAGCAGTAACCTACAGTTCGTGAAAACTATGTGTAAGTAAATACTTTGAGTGTCATCTTTGATGCCATGAGTGGATGTGATGTGTGGGTCCTAGTGCTTCCGCCATGTAACTCAGGCCCTGGCTATTTATATTCATGTTATCATTTTTAATTCTCACTTTTGGGATGTAGGATCTATTTATTTATTATTGACTACAAAAACTAAGTGTAAAAATGAAAATAACCATTACTTATTTTTTTCTTCCACACACTTTGATTTTTTTTTTTTCAGAATCTAGAGTTTGTATTCTTGTCTTCAACATAATTTGTATTTCTAATCTTAATTGATTTTAAATTTAAGTATGCTCACAATCTTAAAAATTTACTCTGGATATTCAGCATATTTGATGGATATCCATGAGAATTGATACTTTTTGTGTTTAATTGTATTGTAATGATGTTACCACTATACTGCAGGGAATTAAAAAAAAACTAACAACTAAAACATACTAAGTCACTTAGTTTAATTCAAATATTCATTTAGGTATAGGTGGCTAAACAATAGAAGGTTAAATTGATGAGTTAAATAGTGGTTTAAGTTAACATTTTTGACTTAAGCTCAGAAGGTCTGAATTGATTAATGAAAGCAACAAACTCGGTATTTACCTAATAATTAGCTGTTTATTTCACACAAAAATTAATCAAGTTTAACAACAAACTATTAAGTTTAATCAAACCTAATATCTAATATTAAATTGGTTCCCTGCTCAAAATTTGTGTTTGGAAATTTATCACAAAAATTCTATTAAAAAAACTTTTGTTTTTCAAAATGAAGATTAAACAAATTATACTACTCTGACCTAAATCTCTTCCAAGGTTAGTTCATTAACTACTTTAATGAATATGAATGGAGAATAAAAAAAATCTTTAAATCATGGATAATCCATTAAAAGATACTAATATGGAAATTAGAGAAATAATACAGTGAGATGGATTTGGAGTATTTATATCTGTGAAATGTGTTATTTGAACCTAAATTTGTAATTCATCTGGCTATAGAATACCAAATACAAAATGCTCAAATTGCTGCTCTGACTAGTGGAATAAAATTCTGATGATGAATTTTTATAAAAATTGTATGAATAGTTTCATGCATGTTTTTAAACAATAAAAAATTTAGTTAGATGTTTTCTTGTCTTTAGATCCAGTACGTTTCTTAGTACCTCTGAGTCATGTATGTAAATAAATTCATAATAAGAATTTGTATGTTCTCGGAGAAACCGCACCTTGCATAAATCAAATATTTTTAAAATGAAAATGATAATTACTGTAATCATCATGAGTCAGTCACTGCCATACTCTCTCATTACCCAATAAACTTGATAAGGTTTGTTCAAATCCAGTATCAATAGTCATATTTTTGTAGTTAACGGGTAAGCAACAGTAGTTAAAAGAAATGATGTTCAAGATGAAATGGTGTATTTGTTTTTTAAGTGTGTTTATGATTATTTTTGAAAGTAAGTTTCATTTTATGTTCAGTTAAAGTTATTCATTCGAACAACATTTTTCTTTGTGTTGTGGTTTTATAAATATAAATAAATGATTGAATCATGATGGATGTTTTATATGATTAGTGACAATAGTCTGTTATAAGTCCTGTTTTCCAGTTCTAATTTTAAATTACTCTATATTTACATCATTGATCTGTTTGAGGCTCTCATAGTTAGTTAAATAATTGGTTTACAATATAATTTAAATATTTTTTATGGCAGGTTATTAATATTTAGTCTAAATATACTTTCAAACTGTTTATTAAAATATAAGCACAATAGGGAGTCAACTGACAAAATAAGCTTATTAAGTAAGAAATGGACAACTGTTTATAGTACAATATTTATACTTAACAATTATTTATTTTTATATTGTAAAGAATTAAATATTTATTTTTTATCAATCATTAACTGACTGGGTTTGATTTGTATATAATACTCTATTAACACTCTCATCTGTTCATTTTTTTTATTGATATTGCTTACAATAAAATTTCTTAAACAAATATTTATTATAAATATAAGTTGTGTGAAAGCCTGATTAGTTTTAACATTGGTATTTTAAATTTATTTAGGAACTTTATAGCAGAATCAGGAATTTTAAATAAATCTGTCCTTTGACCTAGACCATTTGTGCCAATACTTAATACTGCATCTTGTGATTTGGCTACTTTCATTTAAACAAATGCTTTAGTATTTTCTCATTGATATAAAGCCTTGTTTTCTTTAATCTTCTAGATTATTCTAAGCATATTTTACTACCTGAAATAGCAAACCTATAATGATCTCATGAACTACATGTATAATCTTATTAATATTACGGGTTTTACAAATTTAAATTGAGTTCTGCTTAAAAAGGGTTACATTTAAAACATATGCAGTTGTTGATATTTGTTTAATTAAACAAGTAATCCCACATCATGTTCGTAACAATGTTTTTTATTAATCTTCAATTTCTGATTGGGGGTATTAGTTGTTTCCCATCTTGTTGTATATTAATGTATTTTTCTGGAAAATTTCACCATTGTCTATAATTTCAATGTCTACTTTATTTTATTTCAGAATTTAATGAAGGGATTTCTCTTGAGTTTACTCTAAACACCACTGTATTGCAGGTAATTTTATTAACATTCTTATATATTTTTATTTCTATATCTATTGTCATTTATTTTCTTATTTTCATAATAACCTAATGGACTCTTACCCAGTCCCTCACCCTTGCATTACACTGCAGGTCCCCCTCACATAGTGTGTGATATGTCCTGGCAAAACGATATTCCTATCACCAGCGATATGGCGATATAGTTGTATTATTATTTATTGCATTATAGCAGTCATACAGAGCATGATAATCTGTAGCGATACTGACAAAGTGTATCGTTTCGCTGGGACATTTCGCATTCTGTGTGAAGAAGCCTTAAATCTTGAACTCACAAATAAATGTATAGGACTGTTCTTCTAGATATTTTGATTTTTTATCCAACACAAAACTTAGTTATTTCCCGTGATTCCACCAGTATTTCTGGAAATCTAATTTTCTGATACCATTATATCAATTAATGTTGTTCAATTCTTGTTTTCTCTCTTACTATAATATATGTCACAAACAGCTAAGTGTGTATGTTTTGTATTTTGCTGTCTTAGATTTAATGATATATAATCTCATTTCTCTCATCTTATTTCTTCTTCTACTTCTAGATTATTCTAAGCATGTTTTAGTACTTGAAATGGGAATCCAACAATGATCACATTTACTACATATGTAATCATATTAATATTATGGGTTTTAATTATTTGAATTAAATTCTGCTTAAAGGTCTGTACTTTCATCTTTTTATTAATAATAACTAGTTTAATACAATAGCAATAATCTACCTAAAGCTATAAAAATAACTAAAAATTGTAGTGATGGCTTTAACAGCATCTTCAATTTATTGCAGCTTGATAACAACGTATACAGATAAATAAATTCCTAAAAGGTTCTTGTCAGTGAAGGTAGAACAGATAATAGGTTTCCCTGTTTATCAAGTGATAGTATTAAGAAGTTATCTTACTTAGGTGAAAGTAGGGGTGACAGAAGTTTCTCAGTTTACAAAGTACATAATATTTTTAAAATATCTAGATAAATTTATTACAGACAGCAATGCTGGTTGCTTTGCTATTTTAAGGGTGTTTTGGGGAGGTGTGAAAGGTCTGAAACCTAGCTTGTTTGAATATATCCCAATTATTTTGTATTTTTTAAATTAAAATTCTAACTTAAACAGTTTATTTATAAGTCATTATTATTTGATATAGACCAGAGTTCCCTAAACTGTGGCTTGCTAGGCTAGGCTGGCCCAGCACTGCTAATTTTATTAAATTGTATAATTTATGATGTAAGTTGATCATAGAAAATAGTAACCAGATATTTTTATTCACTGGCCAAATAAAAAACAAAATACTGTATTTATGGAAGACTGGCCAAACCCTCACTGCACCAAGCGATAGATGAAAAGAGGATTAAGAAAGAAGATTGGTACCCTTTATTGAAAAAGAAATCTACAATAAAGCTGAACAATATGAAGACAGAATACATTCATACATCCACCCCATAAGTATAATCTATCAAGTCAGAAGGAATTTTAGAAAGAGGTCTTCATAAATTTTATTAGTTTCTCAGCAAACTGTTCCCATTTCATCCTTAAAAAATAATTTTGTACTCACGCTCTAATTGGGACAGAAAAGAGTATATATAATGTATAAAACACTAATTCTCCTAGCCCTTATCTATGGCTCCCAATGTGGTCAGTGACTAAAGCTGTTGAGTTATCACTCTTAACATTGAATATGAATATTCTTCCAATGAATGAATTGCTATTATGAAATGAAGGACCACTAACATTATTATCTATACTCTTTTTGTTTATCCTCAACATGTATTTGTATTTAGAATAATATTGAGTGTACTATTATTTTATTCTTTAATTTTTCAACTCAGTATATTTTTTAATTTCGTCTTGTGACGCCCATCAAAGTGTGATGTAATTTTTCTTATGGATAGGTTTTTTTTATTTTTTGCCTGTCACTAGAAGTTCAAGTATGATGCATGTGTCTATTTTTAGCCTAAATATGTGCTGTAAGGGTCCAGCTATGAAATTTTCAATCATAATATATTTTATATGATAATAATATATTTTATTTATTATTTATTCTGAGATGTCTCTTTAGAAGAATATATAAAGAAAGATTTTTTTTTTATGTCTTTTAAAAATTGTCTTCACCCTTTTTTTTATTAATCCCTGTGAATTTTAAAAGGCAGATTTTTTTTTTTTTGAGGTGTGAAACCCTAAGATTTTATTTGATTAAAGATGTTTCCTACGTATCATTGTATTTTTGAGAGATGATTTCATTAATGTTTAAATTGAGCAGTTTTACTTTTATAAATTGCCTGCTATGTTTATAAAAATTAATATAAGACATTTTTTATGACACATTGTTTTCTTAAAAGATTTTTTAATTTTTTTTGCAGTGTCAATCAATAAATGAAAATTCCATTTTGCATGTTGGTGAATCTGTTGTATATTACTTTAAAGAGAAACATGATAGAAATGTCACATTAGTGCATGGAAATTATATTAATTGTTTTTGGAGATTCAAAGCTATCCATGATGGAAATTATGTTGAACTTTATTTTCATAACATAGAGGTACAGTATTATTTGTTTTATTTTAATTAGATTTGAAGTTTTTTTTTTTTAATAAGTTACATTGAAATGATTTGACACTGAATGAGTAGAATTATGTTTTCCCATCGATGATTATATTTTATTTATCAGAAAATGTTAATGTTTGATTTTACCCTATTAGATTTGTTATTGGTGAAGGTCAGTAAAGTACACAAGTTTGTGCCTTTAAAATATATTTGAAAAATTGAGTTGCATATTTTGGTTAAAAACTGATATACAGGGTTAAGATTTTTGCAAATTGTAAGATCATGTTTAAGTATTATAATTCAATTACATACATTCATAATAATCAATATCTTATTAATCGTATTAGTGCACATAGTATTGTAAGTAATGCTTTCATAATGTGTTTAATGATTCAAGAAGAGTTTTTACCTTGGCTTATTTATTCTTTGACATGTCCCTTTATAATAATATCATACATGATAAAAAGTGGGCTTTAAAACATTAAAGGAAAAGAAATAAGAACAGAAGGATTAACTAATAAAAAAAAATAAACATTATAAGTTATAAAAAGTAACTTCTTTAATTAGTAAAAGTAAATTTTTAAAAAATGAAATACAAATAATGCATAAATTCTGATAGAAGATCTATTTACTATCTTTTGTGAACTGAGTGGTCTGGCAGTGATTTTAATGGGTGGGATTTGAGGATAGGAATTTCATTATGATGAAGATGGGATTAGGAAAGATCTGCTGAAAGCCGTGGTTCACTTGGCTGTTATAAGCTGTTATGTGGAGTTGGACAAAAGATTTGAATTGATAAAGAATAGAGATGTAAGATGGCTTACAGGATAACTTGGAGAGGGAGGACATCAAGAAATGCTTAATCACTGTAAGAAGGGTAAAGTCACTTCTTTACTAGATTTGAGATGATTGACAACCTCGAAGGGGGGTGATAGTCGAGAACTTTAACAAAATTCTTTCCAACTATCCACTCAATATTAACAGCGAAATGGGTACTCCTGCAATACTGGATTTCGCAAGTCCTCATGGAGCATGGGGACTTTCGGCTTAACTGCACAATTTGGGCAAGGGTGGCGACCCCATATGTCCCAGGTGCAGAGTTCCAGGAACTACTAAACACTTAGTAATGACCTGCACTTTATTTGAAGGGCTAAAAAACATGCTTTAGAGGAAAACAGCAATATACATGATCACTGAAAGTGATTTTTCTCCTCCTCGTGAAAAAAGAGAACTACCCGTATTTCAAAGAGTTCAAGTAGGAAGATGATAATGGGACTGGAACACTTCAATTTTGGTGTCCCTAGGTGAAGGACAGAGGCTGCAGAAGGAGCAATCCACAACAGACAGTATTTCTGAAGGTATGAACGTCAAGAATTTCACTTAAACCCTTGAAAAAGTATGAATGGTAGAGGTAGCTTAACACATGTTGCATTTATTATGCTACTCTAATAAAACGCCCAAACTCAAAGGATGTTAATAAATAAAAGCTTGCGTGGTTATTATTATATTTTTTAGAGACCACTATGAAAATGATCCCACAAAATTAAATAAAACAACACTTAGGGTTGCTAAAGGTTTATAGTAAACCATTGATTAGAATTTTATAAATCCCCACATATATTATTACAATAAGGCTCGAAATCGGTTTTGTACCAAATATAAGCTCCTGTCATGCTCAAATACCATGAATGGGGTACTGTTGGATTCATGGGGGGTTAGCTAATCATATCCTCCACTTTTGTTTTTCTTTCTAAAATAAATAATGTCGGTACAAACATTTTGCTAGGCTTCAATACTGGAACAGTGGTAGGTCTGTAGATCGATACGGGACAAATTGAATCTTGAAGATTTTGATGCATACAGCAAGACCCGGATAGTTCCTCTGGAACTATTGGATCCTGTCTTTTAAGCCCAAAAACGTACTATTTTCGAGATAATGCAAGGTATAGGGTTCGCATCCACCCAACCTTATGTTAATTGTAGTAGTGCCATTGAATACATGTCTCATTTTGTCGACTTCAGGTCTCTATGATCGAGAGAGGAGGAGTTTATATTATTTATCGATGGTGTTTTTGATCAGACAGCTATATCATTGTTAATTCTCTACAAAATGAAAAAAAAATCATCGAAATCGGACAATTTTTAGCAAAGATCCAGCTTACTGAATTTTTAAACGTGTTGGTTCCAAACAAAGATGAAGATTTATATTAATTTTTGTTTCATTTGTCGATTATATTTATCGATAAAGGAACAATTGATTTCTTTATCTTTTGATACGTTGCATTATTTCATTTTATTATTATTTTGGCATTTGATAACAATATGCTGTGCAAATTTTTCGCACAGGCCTATTGTTTTATTATAATATGTATAATTAATGCAAGATATGAGTATATTTAGTATTTTATAAAAATCTATTTTATATTATTCCACTTATATTGATATTAATAATGTTGTTTTGTTATATTAGTATGATTAAATCTAGTGTTATAAACTTATGTACAAATTCTTGTGCATGTTTTGTTATAATACTACCACATATTTATTTTCCATGTAGCCAGAAAAGAGTTGTAATGATTCCAGCATTGAAGTTTATGTATCCGGTATTTTTTATGAAAAAATATGTAGCCTAAAAAAAGTCACAGAAATAAAACTGCAGGGCAAGGAAATTTTGCTTAAATACACCTTTTTGAAAGAAGCTCACACCAAACATGTTCTAGAAGTCATTGTTAGAGAAACGAGCCCAGGTATTTATTTTTATTTACAATCACAAATGTTAAAATATTAAAAATAGGGCTATAACATTAACATTAATTAAAAAATTAAAATATTCTAAATTTAAAAACGAAAGAGGAGATTTTCCAGAAATAAAGTTTTTGGAATAATTTGTAATTTCTCATTTTTATTTCTTCTCACCAGGATTTCAACTGAAAGCCATTTATACACATTTCAAAAGTCAAATTTTACACCCTAGTGGTGAATTAAATTTTGTTAGTACATATTAAAATTCAACTCTTATTCACTGGGATACAGATTTTTAAATTTTATTTTCTTGATTTTTTTTCCTACTAATTTTTTTTTTGTGTTGTCATTTCAGTGAATCCAGGATGTGACTTTAAAACCAAAGAAATAGGTATAGTATAAATATTTGTATTTTATACTGGGTCATTACGTAAAAAAAAAAGGTCTTATTAGGACAACAATAGAATTATTTGTGCCCTAGCTTTCATCGAAATTGGAAAAAGTGGATATCATAATTGCGTGATTTGTCATGGAACGACCCCGCTATATATATGAATATTTCAATTTGCTATACATTGCAGAAGTGGACTTAGCGGATAGTCCTACCTGGGCACTCAGGTCTCTTACAGCCTTTTTTGTTCCAAATTTAATGCTCTCTAAACATTTCCTGCTGATATCTGAAAGAACACTGAGATTCATAATATGGAAAGAGCTTAAAGTAAATATGTTGTTGAGGCGTTAGTCCATTTTATGCTGATCTGAGATTCTCCCCCCAAATTTATTAGGCCTTACATTGTTAATTATTATAGTCCCCCTGAAAGGCTTTACTGACTCTTGCTCCTTAAACTAATCATTCATTAAAAAAAGGTTTTGGAATCTCTTAGTTTCATTAAAGATTCCAAAACATTCATGTAACTCACAAAGCATGTACCTTCAATATTTTCGAAAAAATAAACCAATCAATCTATATCACTTCAAAACCTGATCAATTCCTTTATAAAATACTCTTTATGGAACAGGATTACAATCTCAAGATGGTCACTGATGATAGATTGGAGTGGACATTTTCAAGTGTCCCACCAATGATCACTCCATTCATTTCTATATAGATGTAAATAAAGAAAAAAAGTTGTTGCTTATGTTAAGCCAAATGCTATCATAATTAATAAACTTTATTATCAGCTATTGATTGAACATAAACAACTTTTTGTACTTTATGGAGTGGACCATATATTTAGGGCTGTTGGGAGATTGGAAAACATGAAGTTGCTAGGGAATGTGCTCAGGAAAGTACAAACGTAGATAAGCATAAGCAGATTTATTATGTGCCAATGTTCTGATATAACTTAGAAGTCTTTGTCGTGGTTAAACAAAACACGATAACCTCCTATATAAAATAAGGTAATATACAGACAAACGAAAATAATAAAAAAAGATGAAGAAGCTAACAATCAATATGAAAATTGTTATTTTACATGAAATTTTTTATTTATGATTATGGAAAATGAAAACTTTATATTTTTATGTATTCTATTATATCTTTCACATCTATATATTCTAATATATTTTTCATTTATGATAGTCCTATTTACAATGTCTCAAAGATGAAGCACTCGTTTTTTAAAAAATGTGGTTTCTATGGTTAATTTTTCAAAGTTTTCAGCTACACTGGATTTGTTATGACTGATTTCATAGATTATTGATAGAATTTGTAAGAAATGTGTTTCTTTAAGGAGTAATTTTTATATTAAGATATGGTAAAACATTTCTGGATGGTGGTAAAGCAATGTAATTAACAAACATTTTAACTCAAAATTCGTCATTTTGTCAGTTACCATGTAATCTGACCAATTTTGTCATATTATAATAATTTTCATACTGTTAGTTGTATTATTGTATTCTGGTTGTAATTCTACTTTGCCCCAATGAAGGTCTGGAGCTTAGGCCAAAATGTTGGCATTTACTGATATAAGTTTATAATTACGTGTTTTTCTTCCCTTGAACCTGTATTTCTTGAATTATTTTAGATAGATTGATATGAAGGCTTGTTAGAATTTAGACACCGGGTGACGTCCACACTATCAAATGTTGCGCAACATGTCTAATGTTGCATAATGTCTCCCATCGGGAGACTTTAGACCTTTGATTTTTGGTCTCACAACAGGTCCATAAACAGGGATTTTTATAGAACCTCTATAGAGACATGTCTAGGTCAACAAACTGAAACATGTCTCAGAGACAAAAATCGCACATGTCAACTAGTGTGGACTTTGCTTAAGCTTATTTACAAAAATGAATTGTATATTTTAATTTTTTGATATAATTTTTTCTTGCTTTAATTTGTTCTTATATTGATAAATCAATATTTGAGTTGAATAAAACATTTCACTCTCAAATAAATGCTAGACTGATTGATTATTTAAAGTGATGGTTTCTCCAAATACACATAACAATTATTGTAATCTTAATATTATGATCAATAACATTAGTGTAATAAAAATGAGTTTTCTGCTAAAGACTATATTGTTCAATAGGAATTTTAATGTTTTGTACTATTTGTTTTGATTAAGTAAGTATTAGGTACTTACTACAGATGTTTTTCATGATTTTTAATGATATTTGAAATGTTTTAGGTTATAGATATCATCTATTATATGATTTGACATCTGTCGGTGCTACACCAAAGGATGATGGTAAATTTATTATTTAAGTTGTATTTAGTATATTTATTACTAAAATAATTAAGCCTGCACTTTTAGTTCATAATATGTGACCTAATATACAAAAATACATACCTGAGTTATATAGAACTCATTCATAGTTGTGTTTACATTTTTCTATTTGGTGCATCATTTATGTATTGTTATGCTAAAAGAATGTTACATAGGTTCTATTTATCATCATTTTATATGATTAGTTTCTAAAGATAACTTACTACTTTATAATAATACCGATAGCAGCTAGCAAACTTCCTTTTTTGAAATGAGTGCTCTGATATTAGGAAATCCAAGGTGGGGGGAGGAGGTATTGGTCCATGGTTTCATTGGAGGGAGGGAATCCTAAAGTTACATCACGTTGTGGTTTAGTTGTCATCATGCATTGGGGTAATAAGCAGGATGGGCAGTGGGGTGGCCATGTGGGTTAATGCATGTGCATAACACCGTGCCTTGTCCGCCAACCTGATAACGGAATTTAGATAGAAAAATAGTACAAGTTCAAATCCCAGTACCCAGTGAGAATTTTTACTCAGTATAATTCCCCTGCTCCCTCCCCCAGACTGGGTAAACCCCATGTAGCCTAAAAGGCAAGGAAGGGAAGAATATAAAAAAAGTAATGAGCATCATGCGTTTGGTTTAAGGGTCTTTCTTTTCACTGGCCGTTCGGTGGTTTCAACCCAGCATGCTTTCTGAAATCGCCTCAATATAGCACCATTATTGAGTACTGTCCCAAACCAGAAATCAATTCTTTTGAAGGTCATAATGTTTAGAGAAACTAATAGATTAAAAAAAGTAGAGATGTAGGTCCTATCAAATCACCGGAGAACATTGAAACAGTTAGGACATAATTGCGATCCCTGCCCCGTTCAGCACACAAACATGTGTCTGGCTTTGGAATTTCTGATTATTCATTCAGGCCAATTCTGCAAGATGAACGTTCAGCAATTAGATGAATGAGACTTTAATGCTCAAAGAAATGCATGTAAAGCGCTTCTTGAACAGGTCCCTCAAAAGGTACTTGTTCTTTTCAGTGTTGATGCTCATTTTCATGTGTCAATAAGCAAAATATGTGCTACTGGGCTGCCAACAGCCCTCAAGAAATCCAACAGAGGACTTTGCATTCACCATGTGTCACTGTTCGGTGTAGAATTTCATCAGATGGTATCATCAGCTTATGTTTTTTCGAGGAAAATGAGCAGACCATCACAATCACTTCAGATCGTAATGTGGACATGCTTGAGTTGTTGTTTTTTTTGCCATGACTTGCCGTATGTACTTAGGAGACATATCGTTTCAGCAATGTACCATAGTTCAAGGGCATCGATGGCTATGCTGTGGGGTGATATGAAATGGTTAGTGTGTTTACCTGACTTAGCTCCTTGTTACTTATTTTTCTGAGGGAATTTGAAATTCTATGTTGTATACAAACCACCCACAGACTCTGAAAGACCTGAAAAGAAACATTCAAGAGCAAACAGCCGACATACCTATCAATATTCCAGATAGAATGATTAAAAACAGCAGGATTCAATTCAACAAGTATATTGAATGGGAGAGAAGTAATAGAATGGGAGAGGAGGGCACCACTTGCCCAATAAGATTTTTAAAATAATATAAACTACAACTTTAAATGTATAACTTTCTTATTAAAAAAAAAGATAAATTAAAAAGATATCTTTACAACTTTGTGTTTGATTGCAATATGAAATAAGGAAGTTAGATTGTCACGCCATGTATCAAACTCCCATTTTTCTATTAACAACAATGAAGAAAAATTTAATGTTATGTTTTGGTCAAAATTAATTTTCTTATGAGAAGTAAACATAATATATTATCATGCATTATAGAGAGAAGTCCAGCCCATGGTAATCTGCTTTTAGATGCACCATTTACGCTTACTTTGGTCAATAGAGAAAATTTAGGAGTTACACCATGTTTTGATGACATTGTTATAAGTAAGTAATAATTCTTCTTTTAAAATTTTAATTATGTATATGTATATCTGTACCCCAGAGGTAAAGAACACATGTCCGTTTTTGTATTTGTTGAGTGAAGCCAATTTTTCATAACTTTGAACTATCAACATTTGTTTCTTAGCTACTAAATCTGTACTCCAGAGAAAAAGGATTCCATGTCATTGTTTTGTATTTGTTTAGTGAGCTAATTTTTCAAAACTTTAAGCTATTAAAATTTGTTTCTTAGTTACTAACTATTTAGTAAAAAAATGGACCTGTCCTTCATTTCCGATGCACAGATATATTGGAAAGTATTTATTAAATACTGTCTCCAAATCTATTTATATAAATATATATTATTGAGCCAGGATTCTTAAACGACGCCTTGTGGTCCAAATTTGGTCTACAAGTACCATCAATCCATCCTGCCATAGATTATTTTAATTATGTTATAAAATTTATAATGTAAGATAACCATATCAAATAATATGTTCTTGAAATAAAATGTTTTTATATAATACAAGAATCCCTTTAGAATTAATAACAAAGACATAAATCTGGGCTCATAAAGACATAAATCTCAAATATATCTAAATTTATTTTTAAAGTTAACTAATAGACATAATAGAGGGGAAAAAAAGTTCTAGATTAAATCAATTAAGAAAAATGAAAGAACAATGAAATGAAAATAATTGGAAATAAACTAATAATATATATACATATTTACAGAAGTTTCTATTTACAATTTTAGAGGGACTGGATGGAAAAAAAGTGATTGAATAGGAGAGATTTAAAAGTAGGGAAAGTATTGGAGCGAGGGATGTTGGGAGGGATGGAGTTTCATAGGGATGAGGATCGAATAATAAAAGATTTATCGAAAGCAGCGGGTCGGTGGGCTCTTATGTATAAATCAGAAGACCGGGAACGAACGGAGGATTTGAATTGAAGGAGCTCGGAGATGTATGAAGGACGGTGGGATTGGATGACTTGAAAGAGGAAGGATGCCAGGAAATACTTACGACGGTAGGAAGGATAAAGCCACTTCAACTCTGCATAAAAATGGGAAACAGAGGCATCCCTTGGCAGATCCCTTGACAGAGGCATTCATCCAAAGATGAATTCGTACAAAGCAATTTATCAAATGTTTTAGTTTCGCCTCGAGATCCCCAGAGACGCCTCCATATCCAATAGTCGAAGTGGGGGAATATTAAGGAAGTGACGAGGATTCTACAGATTTCAAAAGGAAAAAGTTCTCGGAGGCTATTTAAGTGTTTTAGGGTGGAAAAGGTATGTCTGGAGATATTGGATATATGGTTTTCCAGAAAAAGGTTTGATCAAAGATTATTCCAAGGTTTTTGATGGTGGGATAGAATTTAATGGGATTATCATGTAAGAACAGGATTGGAATATTAGGAACAGTTTTGAGGAGGTGATTGGAGCCTAATAGAATTGCCTTGGTCTTTTCCGCATTCAACTTGAGCTTGTTAGCTCCTGCCCAGTCATATATTCTGTTTAAATCTTCTTGAAGCTTTTTTATGGCGGCTAATAGGTCAGAAGGGGGGAAGAACAGGTATATTTGGAAATCGTCAGCATAGATGTGGTATTGGTAGTGATGGATCAGGAGGGAAAGGTCATTAATGTAAATAGCAAACAGAGTAGAAGATAAGGAGGAACCCTGAAGGACACCACAGGAGAGAAGCAGTGTCTTTGAAGGAGGTTGATTTGGGACGATTATGTACTGGGATCGATCAGAAAGGAAGGATTTGAACCAACGTAGGACACTGGATAGAGGAAGATTTTGCAATTTGGTAAGAAGGATGTTATGGTCAACTGTATCAAAAGTTTTAGAGGTTATGGGTTATTTTAAGGAGGGCAGATTGCGTCGAATAGCCCGCTCGAAAGTCAGATTAGAATGGATTGATGAGGGAACGTTCTTCTAGGAAGTTGGAAAGTTGATTTTGGACAAGGCATTCCAGTGGTTTGAGATGTTGGAAAGAAGAGAAATAGGACGAAAGTCATTCAATGAGGAAGGGTAAGAAGTCTTATTCAAAGGTCGGACTAGTGCAGTTTTCCAAGAAGAGCAGAATATGGAATTTTGCAATGAAAAGTTGTAGATATGATAAAGTACTGGAATAAGGGTAGAAAGGCTGGATTTTATTAGTTTTACTGGAATATTGTCAGGACCTTAATCATTGGTGTGGGATTTTAGGATAGTGGAATGTACTTTGTTGTAGGGCACATGGGAAAAAAAGAAGTTTTCAGGATTGAAATTTTTGTGTTCAATATAATGAGTAGGAGAAGGATTAGAAGCAAATGATAAGAAATGGTCGTTAAGATCATCTGGAGTCACAGGGAGGGATATGAGGTTATTGGAATCTGGTAGGGATAGATTACGAAGTATTTTCCATTTTGATTTGGAATTGGGATCATTGGAAAGGACATTATGGAAGTAGTTGGATTTAGCAAGTCGGATTGTGGATTGGGTTGCATTGCAAAGTTGTTTGATAGACGCAAAATCAGCAGGTAAACAGGTTTGACGGTATTTGCGCCTTGCTGCATTCCTTCTCTTTATCATTCCCTTTATTTCAGGAGTGGGAGACAAGGGACAAGATAAAGATTAAGATAAAATATTAGGTCGGTGAGGAAGTCTTTTTTGGGAGATTCTGAGAGCATATTTACATTATAATGACTGATTTAAAAACACAATAACTGGGATACTTAATGGAACTAAACATTTGACTGAAATTAATGAAATATAATTTCTATTAATATAAATTAAATATTAGTATGTTAATATACTGAGCTAGTTAGGTCTTAGCTCTTTAGACTTTGTGAAAGACTTAATTTGGCCCTTTGGCTGAAAATTTTGGAGATCCCTGTTTTATAGGAACACGACCCTACAACTACTTTCCAACAGGGGCTGGTCCTACCGAAATTAAACTAGTACCCTCATAATTAGATTACTTACTAGAAGAATTCCATAAAACTTTGTTAAAAAAGATTTCGCCTTTAGGTAAACATTTGCTTACACAGGAAGGATATTACGATACAGCTAAACACAATCAAGTACCATAAGTAAGTTTGAATTGGTGGGTGGTGCAGCAGCAAGAAAAGTAGCTACAAACTTCTCTCCAACTAGTTAATTATAAAAGTTATTTATACTAAGATTATCCATTAATTTAATACCATGACCTTTTAACCACAGATCCAATACAATTTTAGTGAGGTTTTAGTATGATTCATATAGTCAGTTCTGAAAATATGTTTAACTGACTCCTAAGATTGGTCATAGGAAAACATGTTTATGAAATATATGCTCTGTTTAAGACCTATCTTAGGAGCTCAAAGCCACCACAAAAATATGGTATAGAATTAGAGTTTCTTTTTTTTTTTTTTTTTTTTTTTACAAAAGTCAAGCGACTTATAAACCTAACTGAACTATCTGACATTATAGAAAAAGCAATTGTACAAAATAAAAATGTACTAGTTTTTAAAAATTGTAATTTTATAAACACTGTTTCTAGTACCTATAGAAGATATACCTTCCTGCCATTCAGCTGTGGACTTAAACTGTGGATGGGAAATGAGTTCTGAGATTTCTTCAGTTTATGAATTAAATGATTTAAAAGGTACGTTTTCTTGAATCTAATCTGATTCATTTTAATCAAAATTATTTTCCACTTAACAATATTATGACTTATTATACCTGTTTGATATTTCAACATTATTTGTAGTTGTCAAACATTTTATTATCAATTATTTTCAAATCATATTTATTCTTAAAAATTGAAGGATACCACTGGAAGATAAATAAAAAAGGAACATTCAAAACCAAATCAATTCTGCTTGAACTGGAGGCCATTTGTATATATATTGAATATTTGCTTGGTAGTAATAATGGAAAAGGAATGATTAAGGTTTTTGCATTGATGAATGATAAAGAAACATTGTTAACAAAATATTCATTACAGGTAAAGCTTTCTAACTTTATAATTCACTTTTTATTTTTTTTATTTTTTTGTTACTGAAGTGTAAAATAAATTTCCAGAGTGAAATGTGGGAAACTGTGAGGCTTAGTTTACCTCTTCCATCTTATTTAAATGGGGTTCCTACACAATTAATTGTGGAAGTAGAAGCAGATTGTGTTGTATACATTAATAAAATTTTTGGCTGTAATCCATATAGTGAGTTTAAAATTTTATCGATTCCTCTTAGTTACTTTTTAGTTTATATGAAATATTATTAGTTATTCGTACCAACTATTGGCCATAATTAATATCCATTATGGGATCATGGGGTATTAAAAAAAACAGCCAAGATTTGATGTCACTCTAATAGAGACTACAAACGAACAGCCACAAGCTAGGGATGCCCAAGCTCTTATTGGTCTGAACCAATGTTGCCACCTTTATTGTTATATTTTATTATTTCTTTATATTAATAAATTTCATATCACATTTTTACAGTTATTAAATAAGAAATAATTTTCCTTCCTAAAATTTCTTTTATTATTTCTTTTTTTCTTAATGCACCAGCCCAAACACATCTTCATTCACTACTGTCTCTCCATCACTTCCTCATTCATATCCTTGGTTAAAATGTCTGCTATCTGGTCCTCTGTCTCTTTGTAGACACTTTTCATTTCTCCTTTTCATTTCTCCTCATGAGTGTGCTCCTTTTTCTTGTCCACTCATTTTCAACTATACCTCCATCTGTTTCTGATAATCTAGCTTTTTCTTTCTTTCTTCCTTTCTTTGTATATAAGCTTCTTGGCTGACTCTACTGTTACAACTAACTCTTCTTTTATTACTTTCTCTTGCTCCCCTATATCTTAAGATTCATATTTTTCTGCAATATTCAATTCAACTGGACTTTGAGCTTTTCAGTCCTTCTGATTTTATATTTTTTCCAGCAGCTTTATCGGCTGTTTTTAATTTGCTTGTCCTTTCTTTAACGGGTTTCACATTTAACTTGGATCTTCTTTCTTACTCTGACTCCTTCTTATCTTCAGATTTTGCACATTTATTAAATTTAGGTGTGGTAACTTAAATTCCATCTCTTTATTTTCAGAAGGATCATCAGTAACTTTAATATTTTCATCCAATTCTTGCATTGTCTAACTTTATTTCAACTAAAGTTTCCAACAACACACTTGTTTGTTTGTTGTTTGTTGGAAACACTTTCCAAAATCTTTCTCTTCATTTACTTCATTTCTCTCTTCATTTCTGTCACTATCTCCAGCTACTCAAGGCACAATAATATTGACAGCTGAACAGTCGCTCCAGTCTTGATTTAGTATGGCTCGACCTTTTCTTTGTGAATTTCATCGGGCTTGGGAATATCTAAATCTTTACTGTCATATCACCACTTCAAACTTTCCCTTTTCCTTTAACCTTCTTTTGTTTCTTTGTTTTTTGAGAGGCTTAGATTCTTGTTCCTCTTCTTCAGTGTTAACATCTGTGAGGCCATTATCATCGCTAAAGTCATCTTGCTGTTGGTTGACCTTTGTATATTTCTTTTATTATTTTTGGATAGTTCTTTCTCATCACAGTGAGTAGACACTTGTAGCACTGGCACAATATTTTGATTTTCATATTTTTGAAAACCATGATCTCTCCATCTGTGAAGAATCTCTCATTGAAAACACTTCCATTCCTATCTAAAAAAGAATAACTTTGTTACCCTTTTCCAGTGTGATATCTTCTGCACCGGAAATGTCCACTGATTCTTTAATTCCTTCCTCAATCAATGACTGGTCCAGGGCAAACGCATAAAGTGTGAATTCCTGGACTAAGGATGCTTTATCTTGCCTTTTGGAATGAGGTCTTTAATGTTTATCAAGGTGTCTATTTCTATACGATTCAGAATTTTTATTTTTGGCAACTTTTACTTTGAAGTTGAAGGTTGTTTGCTTAAGGCATGTTAGAAATGCTTGATCATATCTATTTGATGCACTTCTCCTTTCAAATGACTATATCATTTGTCTTAATGCAGTAAACTTAATGTTCCTATCGGTCAAGATAGGACTTACAACAGGATCATTATAGTGGAACAGACCCTTAATTGTGTGTGTATCTTCTTAATACTGTCAGCCAAGTCCTTCTCTAGTTGAACAATCTCTTCAGCCAAACATTGAAATCTATTAAGGTAGTCATCTTAAGACTCAGAGTTGTTCTTTTTAATGTTATTAAGTTGTTATTAAGAGGTCTATAGCCCTCTCCTCAGGCATACCCTCGAATCTTTCTTTTAATTTCTTCCATATCTTTTTAGCACTCCTTTCTGCTCTAATTGATAAAAGTATTTCATTACTCAATGTTAGTATGATGGTGGACAAAACTTCTTTCACTGAGGATTGCAGAGCCAATAAAATAGATAAAATCAGCAAGGTTAAGCTAAAAATCTGGTACGCGCAACACAACTTTCACTTACCGCTCAACTTTTTAATAGAAATTATTTTCTGGCCATTTTGGGCTATTATAAAATTTTTGAATTGCATTTTTAAACGAGCTAAAAACTACAGATAACAAATCATAAATATCATTAAAATAACAAAATTCCTATTTATTATATCAACAGTTGATGATGGATTGTACGATCCATTGATTATAGATTGTAAGACTATTATTATTTTGTTATTATACTAAGAATATGTTATTTTCCATTACAAAATTTACTAAAACGGACTTTAGAGATTTGCATTGTCTGTCATAGATAGGTCAAAAGTTGTCACACTAATTGTTAGTGGATACTGTTGGAATATCACAAAAGGAAATTTCATCCAACTATTCACTAATTTAATTTTCTAAAAGGTTACATGATGATTTTTTGGAATAAACGGACGATAGATACCCAAATATTTAAATATAATATCAGATCTAGAGTTATTAAACTACAGTAAATATATTTAAGTTTATAGCCGTATTTATGAAATAGTAGTGGATACTGTTGGGATATCACAAATGGGAGATTTGTCAAATTATTCACTAATTTAATTTCCTAAAAAGTTGCATGACAATATTTTGGAATAAATGGAAATTGATAACTAATTATTTAAATATAATATCAGATCTTGAATTATTAAACTACAGTAAATATATTTAAGGTTATATACATATGCTTTATACATCCATGAAATGATTTTATATTTTACTTCTTCTTTCATACAAGTACAATGAAATAGTTTTTTTAACAATGTCATTGCCTTAATTAGGTGGATTTTAAATATTTTTTTCAAACTTAGAAATATTTTAAAAGTTTACATTTAGTTAGTAAATTTCATTTGATTTTCTAGAAAACATGAGATTTACATTAAATATTATTAGTTTTAAAAAATTGTTATTTATAATTTTTTGCCACTCTCCGTTACCTTATGCAACTTTCTATATTAGATATTGTTTTTCTAAAATTCTCTGCTTTCCAACGACATATTATACATATACCTTCTGACTAGTATTACCGGAGATTTATTTTCTACTTGCATAAGCATTTTAATTTTTTTCTCATTTATTCAATTATCGAATTCTTTCAAAAGTTATATTTAGCATTTTTTCGTAACTCTTAATAATGATAGATAGTTAATTATTTAAAATAAACCATATTAAAGGTGCTTTAGAGGAAGACGCATATGAACATTGGGCATTTAAGCTCTGTAAAGTGATATCAACGGGAATAAGACCTAAATGATATTAAATACCACTTAATTATACAATGATACACTGAGTTTAATCAAAATCATTAGGGCTGTTTTTGAGAAAATTGTAAAATGTGTTTCACCATAGATATAAAGTGGCACTTCCAGTTAGCCTATTTTAAGGAAAAAGTTGCTGTCACATCTAAGCCATATACCTATTTTAAATGCATAATATCAGTTCCGTACAACTTTTTGTTCTTGAGCTAGACTGCTAACATACTCACACACAGACCATCTTTTGGGACTTGGTTATTTGGACTCAGGGTACCCCAAAACGTGTATTTCCATTGAAAACTCAGAGTCAAAAATTTTCACGATCGCAATACTAACAATATATTACATATATATGTAAGTGAAAGTAAAAATATATTGAAATATCTAGAGTAGCTGTCCAGAAACTGTATTGAGATTTTAGGACCTTGTAGGAGTAGAGGCCATGTTACAGAATTAAAATTTAATGTTTTACAATTAACATTAGTCATCTTTGAACTTGATTATTATTTTTTAAATATAAGGACTAATTTCTTCATAGTTAGTATTAGTAAGACCGAATACACTAAAAATTACTTTAATTTATCTTATTTCCCTATTGCTGTAGTTTGTTCTTATTCAATTAGATACTTTTATATAACAAATTTATTAATTTATAAATGAAAAGCGATCAATAGCAATATATAGTTTACTTTAAAATCATAATAATTATTTGAATATAATGAGATATTTAATATTTTTAAAATTATTTAGATATTACAGATATCATATTAACAATCACTCCTATTTGTATTATTATTTTACATCTGTAAAAAGTTTAGTAACTTTTTATCTGCAAAAAGTATGATAAGTAGAACAAGGCTCATGTTTTATTTATGTGCTTAGCTATAATTTAACATAATACAGTAAATCTTTTCAGTAGTAGACACGGGGAATCAAAAAGTGTCCATTTTAGGATCAAAAATAAAATTAAAATAGTATTTTATAAGTCAATCGCCATGGAAATATAATTGTTTATTCATTTTAGAAACATTTTATTTTTTATTTACAATTTAAATATATTTTTATGAGGAATTATATATTTTTTTATATTAAAAGTGCTCGTATGAAACAAACTTTTATGTATATAGAAAACAAAGCCCTTCAACCCGAAAGCCCTTGTTGGTTCTTTATTTTCAAATTATTATTATAATCTTGAATGTTTTTAGCACTATGGCAACAATCTTTTGCCATTCTCACGGTTTCATCTTCAAAAATTGTTGACAAAAATTAACATGAAATACTAAATATTCACTAATTATAACATGTAATTAGCAGTGAAATTAATTTAAAATAACTAACTAATCTTATAAAATAAAAAACAACTTCAACTTTATTTATTTTCATGAATTACTACTTGTTTTAATTTTTCATGGTATCAATCTATGGATTAGAATCTACTAAAGGTGAGAAAATATTTTCTTATTTCAGCTATGGAAGATCGCCATTTCATTTCATCAGGAAAAAATGTTTTATTATTTGGATCTATTGGTAAGTTTCATTAAATCTATTAACAAGCTATTAATTATTTTCTCTCAGTTTTGTATTATACTATTATTATCATAGATCTGAAAATTCTAATGCTGGTGACTCATTTTAATGGGTGGGATAGAATCTGTTGTTTCTTTGTTTTATAAATTGTAACATTATTTTTTGTTTTAAAATTATTATAAAATTTTGAAGCTGAAGATATAAAAAATTCTATACATTTTGTTTATCTATTATTATTTTACCTGTTGGAAACAATTTTCGCTGTTTTGTTTTTTATATAACACATATATATTAGTTTTATATATATATATATTATATAACACATAAAAGTTTATATTTTTAAAATCATTCTAAATTTTAAATGTTTGCAAACAGTCTTGTTTTTCTGAAATAATTGAATCAAAGGATGTGACTTTTCCTCATTATTTGCATTTAAGTTATTCATATAGTAATATCTTCATTCTATATCTATTTAAGAAATTTTATATTTTGTTTATAGAGAGAGAATTTCAAAAATCAACTGGAAGTTGTAAAAATGGTGGAGTAATTTATGGTGACGAGTGTATATGCCCAATAGGCTTTCATGGAATGCATTGTGAACTGGGTGAATTCATTATTAATAATTTACTATAATTTACATTGACCTCATTCTTTACATATTTCATTTTTAGTTACTATATTAAATATTTTCATTTCTTACCCTTTTTGTCTGTTGATCATTTAAGTTTTGGCATTGGTAGCACTTTAAAAAATTTACATCATCTTAACTTTAATTCAAGTAAAATATACAGGTACTTGTGATTTAGCCAGTCGCCACGGAACCTACCTTCTTATCTCGTGTAAGCTCTTCTTATCACTGGTCTCTGCTTAGTTACTTGTGTGTTCTTCTTGTTATTCAATTGTTTTCAGTTTTTTTGTTTTTGTTAATTTTATTATTTTCTATTTAAAACAGATATAATAACACCATTACAACTTAGACAAGTCAACTAAAAAGATTTAAGGGCCTGTAAAAGTGATTGAAATGGACAAAAGTCTTTTTTCTAAAAGAAAAAAATCATGTATGGACAGTCCTCCCTGAAAAATGGATGTTTGGCGGAGTTTTTCAAGAAACAGATGATTGTTTCATTGTAATAAAAATAAAAGACAGAAAAGCATCAACTCTACTACAATGTATTAAAAATAATATAGAAGAGAGAACCACTATATATTTTGATTATTGGAAAGGATACAATACCCAACAATTAAATAAAGCAAACAACAACCATTTCCAGGTGAATTACTGGTATAACTTTGTCGATCCTTCAAGTGGGATCCATACTCAACACATAGAACGATTATGGGTCTCAGCTAAGTGGAGAATTAAAAACCATTAAGCAACTGCAAGGCAACACCTAGATTAATAACTATGAATATTTTAGTGGCGGTGGATCCACAGTAAAGAGGACCCATTCCTCGCTATTTTAAATAGCAGTAAGCTATTTTGTCTCTCAAAATAAATAAAAGTGTTTTGTTATTATTACATTACTTTGTGTCTATTTCAATTTCCATAAATATAAATAAGAAAGTAGATATATTAGTATCAGAATTATCAGTTGTCAGGTTATAAAAAATGGTGGATAGCAGTCCATGGTGACCAGCTAACTCACAAGTACTGATATACTTCATTGATTAATGCCGCGCTGTTGCCAGCAGACAAAGAATTAATATTGATGAAAGCCTGTAATTTAGGCCAAAATTTCTGTTTATTTTCATTGCTATTTGGTAGCACATAAACTATTTGTTTCCTCTACTTTGAGGACATAATGGCCCAACACACATAGAGTTGGAATGAGGATCATATTGTCTATTTTGGAAAATTGTGGGTTCGATTCCCACCTAAGTTAGTTAATATTTATTTCTTGGCAGGCTAAACCTAAATCTGAAGAAATGAATCTGAATGGCAATTCACTGTCTTTGTATCTGGTCAGTGAAAAAAGTACTTAAGTATCTCATGAAATTAATCAAATGAAGTCATCTACATATACAAAAACATATTTTATTAAAGTAATGATTTTCAAAAATAACAAACAATTTTCACGAACTAGTCATAGTATCATCTGAATTAGAAGCAAGAACTGATTCTGTGATAAAGCTAGGAAAGCAATAATAATATTCTGATTCATATTGTTTATCAATTTATACAATCCCTTCCTGGACCAACAACTGAAGTACCTTTTTCACTCTGTGATTTTTCCAATTTAAAATATTATTTAGTTCTGAAATAGTATTACAACTTTTTTCCTAAATTTGAAGTTGTCTGTAAAACAACACTTTGATTCATACTAAGTTCTCCAGAAAACGTTTTGATTTAATATTTACATTTTCCTTAATTGATTACTTTGAATCCATTTCCTAAAGCTGGCAACTTTGCTGCTATAAGCACATTATCAGTATTTATGTCTTGAATTTGTTTTTTCCCTCTGGATGTAGATTTGTTTTTTCTGCTTCTGGATGCCCCCAACCCCCTGCTCTTCAGCATATTTTTAATACTAGAATTGAATTTTCATTATTTACATAGTAAACATTCAATACATTTATTTCACAGCTGACATTGTAAAGCAGGAAGTCACTGACATTTAAAAATCAAAAAAAAAAAAATAAATAAATGTTCTTATCAAATCATGTTGGCAATAACTGACGTTTTCTGTTGGATGTCATCCATTATGATGATAACTCAAATCATTCCACAAACACCATCATCCCTTAATCGATGTTAGGGCTAGTCTAATTTCCAGTCTTCATGAATGTAGATTGTATATAATCTCTCTTAACTGCTGCTGTGTGTAATTGTAAACAAAATTAAAAAGAAGATCATTCATTCTATGGAGGAAAATATGATGTATAACGTAATAGTGGAACTAACATTAAATATTAAATACAACCAGTAATTTGCCAGTGGGTATCAATTTAATTGGATTTGTCAATACTACATTTAAAACGATGGTTGTTATGCTAAGGTGACAAGATGTCCCGCATTTGGCGGGACAGTCCCAATTTTAACAATTTATCCTGCATTCCACTGAGTTTTAAAAAAGTCCCAATTTTTGAAAAGATGACCGAACAAACAAGGAAAAGGCAGGAGAATGGAAAGAGAATACGGTTTTTCAGTGGTAATGGGATTATTTCTCCATGATATGAGTTTTATATTATTTTTGTTGATTTTATAATGCTTAACATTACTATTAAAGAATAATTGTTTAGTACTGATAATTGAGAACTGTTTATCAAAGTTCGCAATGTTGATCAGTTGTTCAAGTGAGGCATCATGATTAAAAAAATATATTGATAAGTAAAAGGATAAATCTTGGTCATCGGCAAGTTAAATACATCTGCTACTTCGATTTCCGAAATTGTGTCACTTTCAATAAGTTTCATAGCATTTTGAAAAACATGCAGATCAAAAGAAAAACATGAAGAACAATCCTTTATTGTTATAAATTTACTTGAAACCTTTTAGCCAAATTTCTCTTTCCTTAGTTCAAAAGTTGAAGCAATTTATTAATTACAGGTTGTGGAGAAAACAAATTTGGTTTGGATTGTGGCTCGTATTGCTCTATTTTTAGCAATGGCTGTAGGCAGGTAATATTCTGTGATGATATTCTAGGATGCTCTTGTGCCTCTGGTTTCACTGGAGAATACTGTCATATTGGTAATTTAAAACTTGTTCTTAATTATGTTTTGTATGAAATTATAACAGTAATAAACTGATAATATATAAATTAAAAAAAAAAGTACTGTAAAAAAAATGTAGTTTTCAATTTTCACTCAAAGAGAAAACAGCTATGTCCAAGAAGGAGTTGATACTGATCTCAAGAAAGCGTACATTGAATACTCTAAATTGACTTTAATGTTATTTTTATTACTTTTTTTTCAGAATGTAGTGATTATAAATATGGTGCTAATTGCAAACAAAACTGTGGTTTTTGTTCTAATGGTGAAAGTTGTGACATTTTTACTGGTTATTGTGACTCTGGCTGTAAGAATGGATATTTAGCACCATATTGTTCTGATAGTAAGTTATTAAAAGTATTTACACTTTTTTTTTTGTATTTGGTTTATTGTTCTAAATGGTAGGTTATAAAAAGAGCCTAGATTTTTATGCAGTTAAAGCCAGTATAATATGGAGCAATAAAAAAATGTAAAATATACAATACTAATACTAAATACTAATGTATTTTAATAAAAAGATCCTAATAAAAGATAATTTGTTGAAATAATTACGAGTTCGCATCCCGGTGCCGGGAAGGGAGAGGAGACATTTAACTCTGACATTAATCTCCTGCCCTCACCCCCTGAATCCCACATAGCGTAAAAGGCAAAGAAGGGGAGGACAAAGAAATAAATAAATAATGGAAGATAAGTTGGTTGGGGTGTTCAGTCAAAATACAAAGTAAAAATAAATGAATGATATTTATTTTTCCCAACGTTTCGGCCCAAAGTTAAGGCCTTTGTCTGGGCTAAGAAAAGACAAGATAACAATAGGTATGAGAAATTATTAACTGTAAAAAGAAAATAATGATATGTGGGTGAAAGGTATAGTCTGATAACATATTGGTAGAAAAAAATTAACATTGATAAATGAGTGGAAAAGCAGAAATATAAATAAAGGAAATATGAAATAACGATAATAAAGTTAGAAACAGAAAGTAGTAGAAGCAAAGTTAGAATATATAACATAACGGAAACAAAGTTAGGAACTTATGAAAAAAAAAATAATAACAGAAACATTGGCAAAAATAAAAATAAATATCTTTTATCTATTTTTACTTAGTATTTTGACTGAACACCCTAACCAACTTCTCTTCCATTATTCACTACAGTCAACCATCAATCCACTAATAAAAATAAATAAATAAAAAGAAGTTTAATAGAGAAACCATTATAATGACATCTTATAGATGTAAAGTTTCCCCAGTTTATGGTATTTCGATTTTGTTGATTTTATTTTTAACAAACTTAAATATGCAGGTAATACGCATCACATGAATGAAGCTACAGGGGACCTTGCAGTGATTCAGATCATTACCAAGTAGTAATGAGATTTAAACTAAGAATCAGATCTGTAAATATATCACACTATCTACCTTAGACAAAGTGGGATACAGAGAAGTTAAAGAATGAAGAAACAACAATACAGTTTAAGGGAAATTCGGAATAAGAAAATGCATGAGTATCACCTGGAAATGGATAAAGGCTTAACTATTTATGATAAGTGAAACAAATTGGAGGGAATAATCTCAACTGTAGCTGCAGAAACTCTTGGAAGCATAGAACCTAGAAGAAGAAATGGATGGTTCGATGATTAATTCAAGGAAGGTATCAAAAAAAGGAATGCCGCTCGACATAAGTGCTTGCAGCGACAAACAAGAATATCGGAAATGGAATATTGCGAAGCAAGACAACAGAGATGAGATATGAGTTATAAGTAGAGATCGGATTTTCATGATATTGCACATTTTATTCCCATGTGTGTAAAAACCTCAGAACCGAATATCTATGAGTTTCAAGATGTGTAGAATAACATATTTAAATTTTATATTGCACATTTTTGGCTTAAATTGCACGATTTTGATTTTTGTTGCATAAAATTGCACGTTTTTATAAATTTTGTGCTAGATCAAATGATTTTTAAATATAAATATATATGTGTGTGTAAATATTCACTTTTTTATTTTAATATCTTGTCCTTATTAAATTTATAATTTAAGAAAGAAAAATGTGAGGAAGGTAAATGATTCTGTGACGTAAAGATTCAAATTTAACTTCATAAAAGGACGAATTAAAAACAAATGCAGAACAGACTATTCCTGAAATAAAACTTGCTTGAAGTAATTCAATAAAGAAACTGCCTTCCTTGTTTTGACTTGAATTCTCACTCTTTTTCTCAGTAACGCTTCCAGCTTTGAAGTGAATCCTAGACTATCGTGAATTTGGTATCAATAATAACGAATTTGACATTCATAAAATCAAATTTATCTAATTTTCTGATAACATTAACTCAGCTAGAATCTCTAAATTTGTCACTTAATAAATATATTGAGATTATAAAAACTGTAGTTTTTTTTTTTTTTGTGAATTGTTTAAATTTTCTATTAATTATGTTAGTCCTTATTTTTTTCTAATTTCTCTTTCGTTAATTGTGATTTATTTTTGAGTTAGTTTATGTATTATTGTCGTTAGTTGATTGTGATATGGATTTTAATTTTTAATGTTGTATTTTAATTTTTATTTTGTGACAACATTTTTATTCAGAAGCTTAACATAAGGTTTGATAGGATTTCAATGTATCAACATTATAAATTAAACAAAATAGATCATTTTGCACGTTATCAGGTGTAAATTAGGCAATTTTACATATTTTTGTTTTATACTGCACGATTTTGCACATTTTGAGTTTTTTGTTGCATGTTTTTCAGATTTTTATTGTACGAAGATCCAGTCTCTAGTTATAAGTAATAGTAAGTAAAAGAAAATATTTTAATTAATTGGAGTAAAATGAATTTTTTTTTCCCCTTAGGTCTCATACATTTCTTTAAACCTCCAAACATTACTGATGTCTCTTATGAAGAGATTACAGTTGTAGCAAGTATAAATAGTGACACTGTTATTGGGGTCGGTTCTCCATCATCATTTATGATTCAAATTAAGGTTAGTTATTCAGTTAAGTTTGGAATTATTTTTTTCTATTCTCTTTATTTGTTTGGTTGTGTTGAAATGTCATATTTTGCTATTATATCGATAAACTGAGACTGAATTAAATAAAAATCAATTAATTAATCTTATGAGTACTATAAGCTTCTCCCAGATGTTATTAGGGGCGAGAAACAGTTAATCTACAGATTTATCTTTTGCATTGACATCATTGATAATTGTTGAAATTATAACAGCTTTCAATAGATGATGGCTGTCAGTATTGTAATAGCATTGTACACTCGGTTTTGTATTACACATTTCACAGGCGGATCTACGGGGAAGAGGAGGAAGAGGGGGCTTTCGGGCTGAAGCTCCTCCCCCAAAATGGTAAAATATAACCACATTTTTCAGAAAAAAATATTAAAAACTATCTCTTAAAGTATTCTTGTTCATGTAATTACATTTAATAGGACTTCAAGAACCTCTTAAACATCATTTCGTATAGGTAATTAATTTCTTAATTTTTTTTTCAAATTAATTATTGTAATATATATATATATATATATATATATATATATATATATATATATATATATATATATGAAAAAAAAGCTTTCGGGCTGAAGCCCACCCCCAAAATTAAATCCTAGATCCGCTAGTGACACATTTTGAAAAGTACTAATGGATCTTGTGATTACAATGGGTCTGAATAATTATAAAACATGTTACTTGTATAAATTTTAAATTTTTATTATTGGTGGAAAGTAAATTATATAAAGTAAATTCAAGAAGATCTTGATTTTTTTTAATGCACATTTGCATTTTTAAGTTTTGCTAAAGAAGGAGGTGACGAGACAGTGTAGTTGAGTTTGATACATGTTAGGTCACCTGTTTAAAAGCAATTAACTTGATCCTATTTTTGTTAACTTTAGTTTCCAGCTTTAAACAAAAATCATTCATTTTGTTTCACTCCCCTATGTAGTAGAGGGTCTTTAGTATTTACTCCTTAATGTGTCATTGAGTGAGGGAATGAGAAGTAATATATAGGAATATAGGGTTACACTATGAATTGTACTCAATTATTCAGTATGGACAAGTTGTTTATTAAAAAGTATCAAATCAATAAACAATCAACGAAAAATATACAGAACAAAGAAAGGAATAAGCCTGGAAAAGTGCTGATAGGTGGCAGCAGCTAGAAAAGGACAAGGGAGAACAAAGGTCACCTGGGGTCGGAACAGGAAGAAGGGAGGAGGTTTTCAGAGGAGAGAAGCCCACTCCACTGAGGATTAAGAAGATCAAGCCTACAGTTATAAAACTTTAATAGATTCATTTTTACAATTGTCAAAATAAATTATTTTGTAATACAGGAGTGAATAGTCCTTTTATTTAGTTGTCCCAAACAGGCTATTTACAATTGCCCCAGAACAAGGTTATTTACAGTTGTGTTTAAAAATATTTAGTCTAAAATGTATTTTATTAGCTTTTATAAATAAATAAAATAAGCTAGTTGTAAAAATGTAGAAATGGCAAAACTGGAGTTCACTTCACTCAAGAGTACACAAATCCTCCTGACACACTGTTATTTCAAATTGATATGAAGCTAAATATGAAACTTTTTTATTGTTTCAAAAACAAAGTCTCAAGCTTATATACATTCTTTACCTAATGAATTCTATTGCCGTTTAATTTTTTTTTTTTTTTTATTGCTAGCATCCCAATTAGTCTGCATGGTTAATGTCATGGTTTACTAATCCAAAAATAAATGTTTAGGTTCCCAAATATCATTACTGTATATATTGTAGTTAATTTAAAACAGACATTTGAAATGCCTTAACCTCATATTTAAACTATTTGTAATGTTTTATTATTGAAAAATGGTCTGAAAATGACTACTAATTTGAAATGATTCAGTTGATAGAAAAAAAGTATTTCTAATTCTAATAATTGTTTTTTCAGCAATGTGATACTGAAACATGGATATCTAGTGAACCAGAACCAATTCCTAGTGTTAATAATATAATTGCTAAGCAGAGAAATCTAAAAGCCGATGAATGTTATAACATAAGATTGATTCTCTTCATCAAAACTGGAGAATATTTTGAATACCACGTTCCATTTACTTCCTTCAAAACACCTTGCCAAGGTAACTTTACAAAATGATAGTGAGATATCAATCTCAAAATTCTATAAGCTGTCTTATGTATTTAATCACAATAATCTGTGCTTTAGTAAACAAATACAGACGTAGTGTGGTCCATACGTTTCCAGACAGCAAAAGAAAGAAAGGTGAAAGAAAAAAATGGTTTTATTGTTTTCAATGTTTTTTTTTGTTTTTTTTACTGTTGGCATAAAGCACTGCGACTCTTAAAGATCTATTGTGCGCCATGTATAACGTTTCTCTTAGTTCTTTTAATTTTCTCTTAGTTTTTAAATTTACGTTTCTTTTAATTCTCCTATTAGTTCTACACTGACAGTTGATCGATCAGCTGATATGAAAGCTTGTGTTTCCACCTCAGCTCTCAGAATTTCTCATTTTACAGCAGAATCTCTGCGATTGTTCATTTAAAACTGATCAAGTATACATACGAACAATTGATATTTACTGTGTGCAGTTATAAATTATATATAATTTTTTTTTCTTTTATGCGATATCCCCATCAGGTTATGTCTGGTAGAGCGTATATTAAGAGAATTTGTTCGTCAAACAAAAGCCTCGCCAATCTCGTCAAACACCTCCAGTGACTCCTGTTAGCTCCGTAGAACGTGAAATCCAGCAAAGTACATCATTACAAGAGACAATTGAAGAACCACAGGCTCAACCAGGTACATCGTCACAAGAGACTACTGAAGAATCTCTCTTTTTTACCACCAACCCCTATCAGGTGCTTCAGAATGATAGAGAGGTAATGGAGTCCGCTCCGATACCAAGAGATACCGACCTCCACCGATATTCGTTAAGAACACAAAAAATTTCCAGTTACTATGCTCTCAACTAAAAACAATAACTGGCTCTAGAAGCTATTCATGTCTAAGCAGAACAAAGGACACTAAGATATCACCAGATACAGCTGAAACATTGTAAAATATCTGAGAGTAACAAAAGCGCATTTTCATACGTATCAATTACGGCAAGAGCGAGTATTAAGAGTGGTTATAAGAAACCTAAACTCCTCAACACCAACCGAGGCAATAGAAGAAGAAGTAAAAAAATTAGGATTTACAGTGTGCCAGGTTACAAATTTTCTGAAGAAGGCAGGGAACAACCAGGAGAGATAATAGAGAAGCCATGTACTAAGAGGGAAGTCGACCAGTGCCATAAGTGCCAAGCATATGGTCACACTAAGACTTACTGCCATCATTTGCCACGTTGTGTGAAATGTGGAGAGCAGCACAAATCCGGTGAGTGCCCAAAATCAAAGCAAGATCCTACAGCCTGTGCTTTGTGGCTTCAAGGACATCCAGCGAGCTACAAAAGCTGTCAGATATATAAGAATATTAAGTCAAGATATCAAAAATCTTGTAACCAAGAAGAAGCAGAAAGATCAAGAGGAGAACCTACCGGAACAAGGAGAGAACCTTTCAAAGTAGTAGACCCAATGGTGTCTTTTGCACATTTACTAGGACGAACTTACTAATTGTGAGACCCTGCCGCAATAGCAATATTCACCTCAAAATCCTCAACATTCTACTACTCAAATTCCACCTAATTCTCAAAAATTATATCAACACCAAATTCCTCACATTCCTCCTCCATCAAATACCACAGATCTCACAAGTTTACTTACATCTTTCTTCTCTGAATTCAGATCTCTCGTTACTCCTATGATATCCCTTCTCACCAATCTTGTATCAAATTTTATTCCTCCCCCAAAAAACCCTTAAATGACTTCCAATAAACCTATATCCATTCTCCATTGGAATGCGAATGGTGTTAGAAATCAAACAGACTGACTATCTGCTTTATTACTTGACAAGAACATTGACGTGGCACTAATTACAGAAACTCAACTAACCACTGAACAGCTCTTCAAAATACCACAATACTTGACATACCGTACTGACCATCCTGACGGTAAGGCACATGCCGGTACTGCTGTCCTTGTACATCAATGCCTCTCCCATCACCTGCTTCCATTACCTACCCAAGAGTTTCTACAATCCACCGCTTCGTAATCAAAACCTTCTCCTTTCCGGTTATTCTTGCATCAGTTTACTGTCCTCCTAACTGATCCATATCCAATGCCCAGTTCAGTTCTCTCGTCGACTCCTTAGGACATCACTTCATCTTGGGTGCAGACTTAAATGCCAAACACCAACAATGGGATTCAAGAACCACAAATTCTCGTGGCCAAACATTGCTGTCTGCACTCAATCCCCAACGTTTTCACCTCCTTTCTCTCAACTCTTTTACCTACTGGCCCACAGACCCTAACCATAATCCTGATATCCTTGATTTCTTCATCCACAGTGGATTAGGACCCCTCCATTGTTCCATTACACACCTAAACGAACTTTCCTCTGACCATAGTCCACTAATTCTCAATGTTTCATTAGAACCTGTCTCCAAACCTTCTCCATCATCATTCATTAGAGGCCCTGTTAACTGGAACCTTTTCCGCCAAATCCGCCAACATATCTCTGAAAACTTCCTATGATCTTGACTATGCTGTAAATTCATTTACTACTTCAATTCAACAAGCTGCTTGGACTGCCTCTTCTCCAAGAAAATCCCCAAGAATTCCTAAGAATAACAATTTACCACATCACCTCCTTGACCTAATCCATAAGAAATGACGCATCAGATCACTGTGGCAATGTACCAGACATCCCGCTGATCGCCGTTCCTATAATTAATATTGCAAACTAAAGCAAGAATTAGCCTCATATAGATTTGAATCCTTTAACTCCTACCTATCCTCCCTCTCTTCTAGTGACGATTCCCTTTTGAAAATTACTAAAAAAAATACTAAAATCTCACCAGATTTCCCAACCCCTCTGGCGAGATGACAGCTCCTGGGCAGCATCTGAAAAAGATAAAGCCGAAGAGTTCTCTGTAGTATATTTATTCCCCACCCAGAGTCCCATCCCACCCACACCAAAACAGTAGAGGAATTCCTAACATCACCCATTCCAATTTCCCTGCCTCCTAAAGCAGTTCATCCTTCCAAAGTCATGTAAATTTCATTTACAAAAACTAACCCTTCGTAAATCTCCTGGCTATGATCTCCTTAACCCCCAGATCCTTCGACAACTTCCATCCAGAGCAGTCATATTCCTCACATATATCTACAATTGTATCCTACGTACCACTCACTTTTCTCTGTTATGGAAACATTCCACTGTCATCCTTTTCCAAAACTAAACAAACCTCCCAACAATTTGACATCCTATAGACCAATTAGCCTACTCCCAATTCTTTCAAAAATCTTTGAAAAAATCCTTTTGAAACGAATCCTACCCAATTTAGAATCCCAAAATATCCCTTCCTATCAGTTTGGTTTTCGCTCTCAACATTATACTGTTCAACAAGGACTCCGAGTTGTTGATCATATTTCATCAGTCCTAGAAAACAAGGAATACTGTTGGGGTGCATTTCTAGATATAACACAGGCATTTGACCAGGTATGGCACGCCGGATTACTCTTCAAGCTTAAAATCCATTTACCTACGTCCTTGTACCTAGTCCTTTGATCCTACCTCTCTATCCACTCCTTTCGAGTTCACTGTGGAAAAGAATTTTCCAATATCTATCCAGTCAAAGCTGGTGCTCCCCAAGGCAGCGTCTTGCATCCCGTATTTTACATCCTCTTTACTGCTGACATTTCTGTTCATCCCAATACCTTTGTTGCAACATTCGCTGATGACACCACAATCTTATCATCCGACTCTGATCCCGAAATAGCATCCTCAAATCTGCAAAGGCACCTCTCCTTGATTGAGCACTAGTGTAATAACTGGCGCATTAAAGTGAATGAATCCAAATGCCAACATATTACCTTTACAATCCAACGCAATTCCTGTCCACCAGTAAACTTTAACGCCATCCAGCTTCCTTTCTCGGACACAGTCCAATATCTTGGCTTTCTTTTAGACCGAAGACTAACATGGAACCCACATACTAGACTTAAAAGACCAGAACTAAACCGACGATACGGTGATCTGTACAGACTACTGAACAGAAAATCTAAACTTTCTATTGAAAACAAATTATTAATCTATAAGAAAATCTTGAAACCTATGTGGACATACGGACTTGAACTATGGGGGACAGCAAAATTTTCTAACATCAAGCGCATTCAATCCATTAAATCTAAAGTCCTTCGACCAATAGTGGATCCTCCATTTTATGTAACCAACAAAACCCTATATCATGACCTTAATATCTCATTTGTCCTAGACCTTATCCTGAAAAATTCTCCACGTTTCACCAGAACCTTACCTATCATCCAAATACCCTAGCACAATTCCTATCCAGCACCACCCATCCCTACAATCCTCCTCGAAGGTTGAAGCGGCAATGGCCAGAGACCTTTTGTGAATAAGTATATGTGGGAGTTTTGGTAATGGCCAAATTCCCCATTCAAGCCATGCATGTGTGATTATAGCGCCTCTGCTCAGCCTCTACTGGTCTCTAATACCAGTGGTGCGGCTGAGTGAGGGGCGCTGGGATCTCCTAGAGTCCTTCCTTTCCTTCCACTAGTGGGGAGAAAGGCTAGACTCAGAGATCTTGAGCGAATGAATTTTTTTGTATTTGAGTCTGAATGTATATTTGTATTTGTATTCATATTTGTTTATGAATGTATTTGAGTGCCACAAGCAATATAAAGGCAAGAAAAACTCATATATATTTATACTAAGAGATTGTTTTTCATACTATTTTGATATATAGTATTCATTTGACCGCACCTCCCCGACCAACTCCTTCTCATAAGAAATTGTTATGCATTTCTATCTTTACATGATAAGAGGATGTGCAACACGTCTTTTATATGATGCAGGAAAACTAACAAGATCATAAAATGCTCCAAGATTAGGATATATTATTGCATGCATGGACATCCTTTAAATGTAATGTTATATTGATCTATATTATGATGATAAAACAAAAACTATACTATTTTTCTTGAAATTTGGAATATGGTTATACTTTCTCTTTTTGAAATATACATAAAATTCTTCCTTAAACATTAATTAATTAGACTTAGTATTAACAAAGTTTTTTTTTTGTAGGTTATATAAAATATACAATAAACTTACACGAATTATGGGCTTCAGGGGCAAAGATTACTTGGCAAGTAAGATAATAATTGAATGAAATACTTTCAAAGTTGTATGACTTATTTTTTTCATTTTGAATTCATATCTAATTCCAGAAAGAAAAACATAATCCAGCTGATTGCGACATAAATGAATATGATTTATACATCACTAAAGGCTCTAGTTGGAAAAAATTCAAAGTATGGTCAACAGAATTTGAATTTTCCAGTCTTTTACCTGATACTACCTATCGTGTTAAAATAACACCAGTTGATGAAAATGCTGTGGAACACATTGGATCATTTTCTTATATATCATTTACCACACCTACAATATGTAAGTAAATTTTTGTACTTCTTACACTGTATATATATTTTTTTTTTTTGGATAAATAAGTCTTTTTTTTTTTTTATCAACCTATTTCAAGAATAACAGCTTGCCCTAATATCTGTCTGCCTCGTTGTATATAAGTAAATAAAATTAATCTTTAATAATAACTTCACAAGTATATAATAAATAGTTTAAAGATTAAAAAATTACCAACTACTCCAATTTTTAATTTTATTGAATTTCAAATTATATAAGTAACACAAATAATGTGGCGCTGATATTGTTAATGTAAAAGAAGTTGAACACAAAACTTACTTCTTTGGAAGTGAGAATTTTCAAAATTCAAAACTTTATCAATTTAGTCATCAAATGAAATGAAAATATTTTTTTACTATCCAGAGACTTTTGTCTCTTTAGAATAAATTATAAATACAGAGGAAATGCCTGTTTGGCCATACATTCAATTATATTGTATCTTCACAAAATAATATCTAATTAAAATAAAAATACAAAGAAAAACAAAAAGAGGCTAAACAATAAGTAACATAACCCAATCGTAATAAATGGATCACAAGCTCTACAATGTCGAGGAAAAAAGAAATTAAATTATACCAATGAATGCATGGCTAGCAATGAAAGGGTTACAAAACTCCCACATGCAAGAAATCTAATAATATCCCAGAATCCATAAAACACTTACTGGAAGAGTGATCCTAATTAGAAAAGGTAGGTCTATCAAAATTGTTAAAAGAAATTCTGCAAGATAATGAAGAAGGAGTCTTCACTCTATTCCAATTCTTGATGAACATATAGAATAGAAAAATAATTTTATTCTGGGACAAAGTCCCTTCAGAATAACAAAAAAGTACAGAAATTAAAATTTTACATCTGGCCAGATAAAAACAAACATAACAAATTAAGATAATGATAGGTCATTAAAGAAAAGAAAAGAAAAAAATATTGGTTATACATACTATATACAAAATAAAATAAAAAATCTATATAAAAACTCTTGAAACCATACTAAGATACTTAAAACTATGTACGATGTTAAAATATAAATAAACCCTTTTAGAAAAAATAAAAAATACAGAAAAAATAAATGTATATTCTTCTTAACAGTAAAATCTGTTTCTGTTGAAAAAGAAAAAAAAAAAAAAAAAGAGGAAAAGAAAGTCGAATCTATAATAAGTATTCAGGTCATGAGCTATATGTGAATATGGTCTTATAGATAATGTGTAATTTTACATAAAAGATTAGCTGGTGCCTGACTGTTTTTGGCTGTCATATAATATTATGACTGCATCTAAACTCTTGAGACTTTAAAGTTTCGCCTCTTCAAATGATTTACTTTCATCTTTTATCAAATTGTCTTCAAGAGAATTTGTTAATTTTTATCTCAAGGTATTCCTGAACTACATTATTTTTTTCATTAAATTTTTAGATATATGTATCTTTACCTTTAACAAACTATACTATATGATTAATATTATTGTTAAACCATGTGGGATAGAGGTGCAAACCAAATTTAAAAAATGAAATCAATTTCTTGTGATTGTTATTAAGAATAATTATGAAGTTTTTATTAACCTGTTTTGTATAATAGAACCCCATTCTAACATAAATATAATTATTGCAGGAATCACATCTAGACGAATTGAAATCATGTTTTTTAATCCAATATTATTGAGATCTAGTTTCCATTATATGACTTTTAATCTTTTGATGTTTGGTTGTTTACACATGATGAACAGTGCATTAGATGCATTATTTATTGGAGTCTGAAATGTTAACTCTTGAAATAATCATCACATTTGATTGAATATGGGGAGTGGGATAGCTCAGTGGTAGGGCAGTAAGCTTCTAATGATCAAGGTCCCAGGTTTGAATCCCAGCTCATGACAGAAAAATTATTTATTCTGGTTCATCGGCCGTGGGGCGACCCTGGTGTAGGGAGACCCTCTTGGGAGATCTGGCAAAGTGGGTACTCTTAATTAAATAAGTGATTAGGGGAGAAAACCTGGTGATTGAGTGTGATCCTGGCCCGATCTCCTCCCTGCACAACTGTTGGCCTTGTAACAGTGCTTTCTCTAAATAGTACTGAACCCAAGATCCTTAATGGATTGTAGTGGTACAGGTTTTTTTTTTTATTAATTATGCATCATAATTTTTTTAAAAATTTATAGTGGACATTATTTTATACATATTTATTTAAACATGTAAAAACAATGCATCCATATTTCATATTTTAAGTATTGAGGTTTAAATTTTTTCTCATTTTTTTAAAGGTTCTGACTACGTTCATGAGTTAAAAGTTTTAAACACTGGACCATACGAGGCTGATGTTACGTGGCAGATGGGAGTATATAATCAAGCTAAATTTATTTTAAATTACATGGTAACCAAATGAATATATATTTTTAGATATTATACTCTTGTTTTCTTAACTGTTTCAGTTTTCTTTCAACTTTTTCTGCTGGAAGAGAGTCCGTTTTCTTATCTTTTACCATCAATTTCAAGACACTGTTTCAGAGTTTCTTAACAAAGCTGACATTTTTATTCAAAATTTATTCGACTGTTTCATAGATTTATTACTAGAATTTTTAGTATTCAATTCTCATTTATACCCTCAAAAAACACTTCTGTAATATTGGGTACTTTTCTAATCTTATAGACCCACCAGCAACCAGGATAATCTTCAGCATACTTTTTAGATTGAGCGGTTACTAAGAATGTTAAATAATATACTTCATTGCATACAGCCTAACAGAATGATGGTAGATAACATTTTTTTTTTTAATTGGCTATCTCATACTTTCACTTACTATATATTTCATATATATATTGGTAAGAGAAAGCAAAAATATTATTTTAGAAAATTTTCTATGCAAATAAATTGTTACAAATATGTTGCCTTCAGTAATGATTTAAGGACTTTTAATACTTTTGTATTGTTTCTGCAAAAAGAATAAAATTTGTTAGTGGAAAATATAACAGAATTCACTAAACCATTTGCAAACTCTTTTGTCATTAATGTATTGAAAATATATATAACTCATTTTATTGATAGAGAAAAAATTATAGAAAAGATGTTTTGAAAATATCATATGCCATTTGTAAGTTTTTTCAATGGGTAGAATAATTTCTTCATTATTTGAAACCAATGAAATATATTAATTGACATTCCAATCTACCAAGTATTGTTTTAAAGTTGTAGCGAAGAGGCAGAAGAAAAATAATGAGGTTACCCTTACCTTAATCTTTTGTATAAATCTTTCTTTATCTTATTTATTTATTATTTTATTTTTTGTTATAGACTAACTAATTAAACAGAGTGGATTTATAAATTAACTAAATCATAGAACTAATCATTTGTTAAGAATTTGTAATAAGTTTTTACTTTCACTAACCTATACATGGTTTATAATACTTTTGTTTCAGTGTATTAAATTACTTGCCGATCCTAGAATAGATTGTTCTAGGGATCAAAAGAAAATAGTAACAAATGGCAATATATATAAACTGAAAGAATTACACCCATTTAGACAATATAATATCACAGTCAGAGATGAAATGTGCCCAGAAATAATTTATCACAATCCTCTACAGTTCATCACAAAAACAGATGGTAATTACAGTTGTCTATAAATGTTTTTTTGTTTTTTTTTTAATAGCTTCACAGACTTCTTTTTTTTTTCAAATGTTCATTATTTGCTGTCTTGATGGCAGTACTATAACTTAGGACTGTTTGGCAAAACTGGAACTAGGATTTTTATAGAGAGTAAGCTGAATTTTTCATACCTTTCATACCTCCGACCACTTCCCCATAAAATACAACATTTAATAACGATATCCATTTTATTGACTGAATTAAGTCATTAAAACGATTTTAGAGGTGCAACCAAATCTATTCTAACTAGAATGGGCAGGTCGATTCAGGTTCCCTGGATCCGCTACGAAATGAAAGAACCGCGTCGCTAGGAACGAGAATGCTAAAACAGACAACACTAACACGCTCAGCCATCGCAACCTCAAAATGTTAAATAACAATCACAAATGAAAATTTTATCACTAGTAGGTATGTTAAAGTATTTAATTATTCTAATTCTTAATTAGAAACTTGATTGACTTCCAAAACCCTTAATGTGTTGTATTATAAATTGATCTAACAAAAGTAAGTATACAACTTTTATCTAAAATTTTAACCTTTTCCGTGTCATCTTATCTTTAAATCATTCAAAAACTTTTCAATTAGCTTTAAAATACTTTTAATGATTTTATAATATCATTCTCATAAATTTTGGTTGAATGGTCAATGAGTCACACTGAAGACTTGATTGATAAATTTTCAAAAACCACTATTTTTAATTCATTATAACATAATAACTTTATACATGTCAGTTAACATGTAATCTAGCAATGGAACTGGAAACGTTTTGATTTTTTCTAGATTCATTGAAATGGTTTTATTATTCAAAATTGGTAAAATATTGGTTTGTTGTTTTATAGTATTTTAAATTATAGTAGAACCGCACTTAACTGGCTCTCAGTTTTAATTTGAGCATTTATGCTGACATCAGAACAAAATTATTCAAACTAAAAGTTGACTAATAATAGGTCAACAAATCTTAACTTGTGAACTTATGGGTTAACAAACTAATAAAAATGAACAGATTAACAATCTCTAAATATATTACTTCAGTGTGAAGTTAAAGAAGACATTTACCTTAAGTTTTTCAATATCCTTAATAGCATCTAGAATTTTCTTCCAATTTATGTGTACTGAAAATTGGGTTAAATATATATATATATATATATATATATATATATATATATATATATATATATATATATATATATATAAATTTTTTTTTTTTTTTTTCTCTATTTGTAAGATTTGGAGATGCTTTATTTTCTCCCTTCAGCGTCTAATATACTAAAGTATTGGGTGAGTCTAACTTAAAATAAGTTGGAACATTAACAAATTTCTGAAGAAAAATAAAAAATAATGGAGAAAGGTCAAAAATATGAATTAATAAAAAAATACATATCTGACTTCGTGAATACCATTAAAACTGAATGATCAATCATTTTATAGACTTAAATTAAATCATCTATTTGAACAAATTTTAATTTAAAGTTATAATCAATTAGTTTGTTAAATTGTAATTCATCATATTTTAACATCTCCATAGATTACTTTTTATTTTTACCTAGTATATGGATTAAATTGATATTGAAGTTTTTTCTTTTATATATTTTGGATTAATCGGCTCTCCCACTCAACTGGTCAAGTCTCAGTACTAAATAGAATGGCTAAGTGGGGTTTCTACAGTACAATGATATGTAATATCTTCGTTGTAATTTTTAAATTTTATTTTGTATTTTTTTTTTAGTTCCCAAAGTTGCACCAGTTAATGGAGTGATTCAATCATTATTTTCAACTGGTGCTGAAATTACTTGGTCCCCTCCAGCTGACTGTTCTAATTGTAACGGTTTGCTAATAGGATATTATATCAACATAATGGTAGGTTTATCTTATAATTATTCCATTTAATGATAAATTTATTATTAATTACTTATAAATAAATAGTAATAAGTTTTAAAACTCTGTTTATTAATTTTAAAAAATATAATCATCTTCTTTGTGGTCGGGAAGAAGTTTCTTTTATCATTTACATTATTTTAACAATAGCTTTTGTAATATGTATAATTAATTAATAAAAATACCTTTAGAACAAACGTAGGTGTGCTTTATTATTTGTTACAAAATATATCATCTGTCTTGTCTTTATCTAACTAACATGTGTAATCGATTATATTATAATTTATAAATAGAGGTTACAGTCTTATACTACACCCTTCCCTTAATCCTCACAAAGTCTTTTTGGTGGCTTCACCAGGCGGCCCGATCTGGTGCGCATACCTTCACTAGTTGGAGATGCTTGCTGAGCTTGATCATTGGAAATTGACAGTCCTGGTAACAGCAGGGAAGAACCATTCTGCGGGTGACGCGGAGACTGTCTCTGTTCCTCCTGAAATAAAGCATTAGAGGGTTGGAGTAGAGGATCAGAATCAGAATCAGTTGGGTTGAGTAGAGGATCAGTGTTAGGTGTGGTGAGGCGTCTTAAGTGGGATGAGTTTCTTCTATATTCGTTGTCATATTGGTCTCTGACCAAGTATGATCTTGGTTCAGGGAGAACCTTTGTAATAGATCCTTCTTTCCATCGATCCTTCCATTTAACATAAACTGGTTGTCCCATCTTGAACTCCTCTGATTGACGAGAAGTTGAGTCATAATATTTTTTACTTTTGAATTTTAGAAGCTCCATTCTTTGGCGCACATCATCGTCTGGTATTTTGGGAATAAGAAGATCAATGCTTGCTGGCGCCCTGGTTCGCAGTCTTCGACCCATCAACAGTTGGCTTGGAGAATACTCGAGCCCAGAAAGGGGAGTTGTTCGGTATTCTAGAATGGCTTCATAAATGTCTCCTCCTGAATAAGAGACTTTCTTTATCATTTTCTTCGCGACACCTATCCCTTTCTCCGAGAGACCATTAGATCTAGGGTAGTGAGGACTAGATGTACAAATTTTAAATCCCCAATGTTTGGCAAAAGCTGCCATTTCTGCACTACTGAACGGGTTGTTATCACAACGTACAATTTCAGGCGTGCCATGATTACTAAAAAGAATTTTTAGTTTTTTGATAATTTCAGTGGATGTTTTATTCTTGAGCGGTATAGTATCCAACCATCTTGAGTAGTAATCTTCTACAGCCAGAAAAATTTTTGAATTACACTCGCCTATGTCCATACCAATAACTTGAAACGGAAATTTAGGAATTTCATATGTTATAAGAGGTTCTTTAGGTTTATTGTTTTGGAAGGTTTGACACGTGGAACAAGAATTTATGAAGTTTGTAATGTATTCGGACATGTTTGGCCAATACATAAGGCTCTTAATATGGGAAACGGTTTTGTTTATTCCAAGATGAGCTTTAGAATGAATTTGGCTTACGAAGTGACGTCGGAGACTCTGTGGTATAATAATTCTATCATTATAAAATAAAATTCCTTTATTTTCTGAAAGTTCGTCTTGGAGCCCATAAAAAACCTTTATTTCACGTTCCAAACACTTTTTATGAACTCCTTCCCAAGCATTCCTGATACAATTTCTAAGTTCACTGAAATCATCCCTGGTGGCTTCTTGCAAGATTTTTATATCCTCTGATGGCACCGGCAACAATTCTTCTAGCGTAATGGCATGAACCACCTGAGAAAAGTCTACGTCTTCCGGTCCCTCTTCTTCAAGAAAGGCTCTTGATAGCATGTCCGCTATATACATTTTTGAGCTTGGTATATAGGATAATAAAAATTTATATTTTAATAGCTTCAGTTGCATTCTTTGGAGTCTTGAAGAATTTTTATACAGCTCCTTATTGAGCACTGCTAACAACGGTTTATGATCCGTAAAAATCTCAACATTATTATAACCGTAAATAAAATGGTGAAATCTATTGACCGAGAAGCATAAGCTAAGCATCTCCTTCTCTATCTGACTGTAATTCTTTTCTGAGTTATTAAGACTTCTCGATGCAAATACGACTGGTTGCCCGTTTTGGAGTAAACAGCTCCCAAGCCCATCCTTACTGGCATCACATTGGATCTCAATTTTAAGTGACGGATCAAACAGTTTGAGAGTGGGCGCATTACAAACTAAAGATTTTATAATAGAGAAAGCTTGCTTCTGTGAATCAGACCATTGCCACTGAGCACTCTTTTTCAATAATTCCCTAAGAGGGGCGGTGACTTGTGAATAGGCTGGAATAAATTTGTTCAAAAAATTTATTGCACCTAAAAATCTTTGAATTTCCTTCGGAGACTGAGGTTCTTTAATATTAGAAATGGCTCTTACCTTGAGAGGATCCGGTTTGATTCCATCTGCTCCAAATACTAGTCCCAAATATTTAACTCCATTTAATTTAAACTGGAGTTTCTTGCTATTAAATTTAATGTTGGACTGTCTGGCCCTTTTTATAACCTCTTCCAAACTTTTAGCATGTTCAATTTCTGTTCGGCCCGAAACTATTATGTCATCGAACATTATTTGCACTCCCTCTATGTCTCCAAATATTTTAGTATTTTCCCTTTGAAATATCTCCGGAATATTAGACAAACCGTAGGGCACTCTTAGAAATTGATATCGACCAAATGGGGTATTCATAGTGCATAAACGACTCGAATTCTCATCTAGAGGAAACTGATGGAACCCTTCCTTCATATCGAGCACAGTAAACCATTTTTTCCCACTAAGGTTAGCAGTTAGTTCTTCTTGAGTAGGTATGCTATAATGTTCCCTTTTTATGTATTTATTCAATGGAATGGGATTCAAACACAGCCGAATAGATCCATCTTTCTTTTCAACTACCACTATGTCATGAACCCAATCTGTAGGCTCTTCTACTGGTGTTATTACTCCTAAGTCCACTAACCTATTGATTTCTTTTTTAAGTTTAGATTTGAGAGAGGCTGGAAGTCTCCTCGCTGGCCTCACAGTAGGTACCGCATCATTGCTAAGCGTAATCTTAACTTCATAGGGAATTTTACCCAGACCAGTAAAAACATCCTTGTTATTTTGAATAAATTCTGGTTTTCCATCTTCTAAATTTTTAATAGTCAAATCATCAACTTTAGATAAAGTATAAGCTCGTTTAATTAGCCCCAATTTTTCACACGTTACTGCACCAAGTATAGGAGATGAGTCACAATTCATTACTACAAATTCAATGTCACAATTCTTCTTTTTATAATTAGCCTCTAAAATAGTTTTCCCCAAAGGTTTAGAGATAAAGCCTCCAAATGACTTAACCTTCATTGAAGTTTTAGTCAATTTACCATCAAGTTCTATTTTATTCCAAATTTTACTGGGCAAAATATTAATATCACTAGCCGTATCCAGCTTAAAAAGTACGGGTACATTATTAATATAAATATATTCCTTCCATAGATCTGACTTAATAGCATTCACATCAGTAATAACGTTACAATCAAACATTGACTCGGACGATGAGTCTTCTTCAACCTCATTCACTGCAGTTCTCTTTTTTCGTGAGATGCACCCGATTTTAAAATGACCTAACCTCCCACATAAAAAACATTTTTTACCAAATGCTGGGCAATCTCTTGGTCCGTGAGTGGTACGGCATTTTTTACATTTATATTCAGTCCCTTTATCAGTCTTAGTACGTCTGGATGTAAAAGGTTTGTTTTTATTAACCATATTGGTATAGTTAACATTAACATCACCTAACGTGCCTTCTCCAACCATTTCCTTGCTATAAGATTGACTTATTTCTGCTGCTCGACAAATTTGCGTCACCTCCTGCAATGTTAGCGTTTTGGTCTCCTTAATCAATACTTTTTGAACTTCTGGGTCATTATGGTTACGCACTATATGGTCAATTAGCATTCTATCCGCGAATGAAGTTTTACAATCGGCTTTAGAGCACACGAAATTGCAGTTGAGTGCTTGACTTTTTAGCTCAGTTAAATAATTATCAAATGTTTGTCCTGGGGAATGTTTTATCTTATTGAATTTAAAGGACTCCATTGCTAAATTTACTTTAGGAATACAATACTCATCAAATAATTTTAAAACAGCTTCTAAAGTATCTTTCTTACCTTGGAATGTAGAATGTATTTCTATGGCTTCCTCACCCATTTGTGTTAATAGAAGAGCTATTTTCAATTCCTCATCTGTTGATTTATACTTCTCTATAGCCTTTAAATAGAGAATGAAGGCCTGTTTCCATTTTGGCCTCTTCGTTGCAATGTTCTTGTCAAATTGAAGAGATTGCAGCCGCAAATTAGAATTATTCATTTTCAATTTGTAGGTATTTCACCTGACACCATGTAATATGTATAATTAATTAATAAAAATACCTTTAGAACAAACGTAGGTGTGCTTTATTATTTATTACAAAATATATCATCTGTCTTGTCTTTATCTAACTAACATGTGTAATCGATTATATTATAATTTATAAATAGAGGTTACAGTCTTATACTACAGCTTTTATTACTTTGACTTTCCTATATATGGAATATTTAGTGAGGGTAAGTATTATGATTGTGGAAAATTTCGAATCAAGGTATTCAATAGAAATACATGTTTCGAGGTTCCCTGAATCAAAAAAACAAAACAAGTTTCACGGAATGGTGTGTGAATGTTTTAATGCGCTCTTGTGTGTGTGTGTTTGTGAACATCTATGAAAAAGCTCAAAAATGAAAAGTTATACAAAACTGAAATTATGTATTTAAGGTAGGTATATTATATCTGGGATATTACAGCAAGTTTTTTGCTAAAATCAACTAACGGGGCTTGACATTTTATATTCTTAAATTTATATATTTTTACAATTTTATTTAAGATCGTCTCTTAACAATTTTGTAACATGTTAAAATTAGTTTCTTTTGACACCTTTTTTCTTAAAATCCTTCGCTGCTCTGACTCTAAACAAGAATAACTCGTTAGAATAGACACCCATATTGTTGAAATATTTAAAATCTCAGATACCTTCATTACCAATTTCCATCCATTGGGTGATTGCTGATATCGAGTGAAGTAAGTGATCTTCGTTAAAACTGTTAGTACTCAGTGGGCGTAAATTTTGATGCTCTACAATATTTATTCTATGAGTTTTTTCTCTTAGAAAACTCATTTCCAAGCTGCAGAGCCATTGATGGTAATTTGTCTCAGTTTTTGAAAAATTGGGTTAAAATCAGCAATCGTTGACCGTGGTTACAACCATACCTTTTTAACCAAATTATTAAGTTTAGAAACTCCTTAAACGCACAATTTAAAGTTCTTTAATTTCTTTAAGAGTTCATTTTTCACTTTGATGAACTATTTAGGAGTTACAGGTAAAAAAAAAAAATTTAAATCTGTCTTTTTTGTTAATTTCTGATAATCCAGCGGTTCAGTTATCAAGAAATGTTGAATTTTTTTTTTTTTTTATTGTTGAAAATTTTATTATTAATGGTTTAATTATATTTATAGATTGTATTTTTCATTTTTAAATATTAACTTTCCATTTAATTATTCTTATTTCTCAACTATAAGTCAACATTAGCTATAACATTTTTATTGAACTTTTCATCTCCCAGCTAATCTGTTTCAGGATAAAGATTATGAAAAAAATTCTGGAGCCTTTGTAAAAAACACAAGTGTTTCATTTGAAAATCTGCGTCCTAGTATGGAATATACCGTTCAGATACATTTGGTCAATGAAAATGGATGGAATAACTCAAGTTTCATGAAAATAGAATTTACTACCCCACCTTAAAATACTAGCAACTGATAATTATTTTAATTGATTGTAAATAAATAATTCTTTAAATATATTTTTTTATGTAAATAAATCTAAATGGCATAATATGAATTTCATACGACTACTTTTTAAATATAACATTAAAGCAATACAATTCTTTAATATTGATTAAATAAAATTAATATCTTTCAATTTGGCAACCCATTCTACTTAATGCAGTCTCTTGAAATCTCCTTTTCTTATTTATCTTTCTAGTTTTAATCTCTCACTTTATTTTGTACACTGTTTTCTATCATGGCTAGTTTCTAAAGCATCGATCCCATGCCTCTTTTGAGTCAATCCATTTGAAAAAAACTCAATTTGAGTTAATTTTGTTGCTCGACATTTTTTATTTTAATATTTTTTCACCAGCTATCTCCTATTTAATTTTGTGTTTAAAGCTATAGTTAAAAACATTTTAAGCCTTATACCTTTTTCTTTGTACCCATCTTGAATTTTCTTTTCGACTGATAACATTTTTTGGGAAAATGTCCCCAAATGTTGTAATTTTGCAAATAACAAACCAAAGTAGAAAGTAAAATTATGATTATGAGTTTCTATAAATTTATTTGTCTTTTAATGCATCGCCTTAGAAAAAAAGAATGTGGATAAAAAAATAAATGATCAGGAGTCTTTTAGTGCTGTAAGAGTGTAATAATGTGTAATAGTAACGTTTGATTTGTTTGTTCAACAAAGGTCATTTCATCTGGGTTTTGAAGGTGAATATCACCAAACAAAGATGCTCTGAAAAATTATACATTCTATGCTTCTTTATAATAAGAATGCATGGTACAAATTTGATTTGGAACTGAGACCTAATTAATACTTAATCAAAAAAGGCTGAAAGTTGTGTTATCTCAATGAAAAATCAACACTCCGTAATATAAAGTTATGTCATTGTATTAAATTTTAGTTCATCATAACACAAATTCAATGATAAGTATGCAAGTGTTCACAGCTGTGACGGCTACTATCACATTAACTGCCTGTCGGATTTAGATCCGTATCAATTTTATAGCATAATTCATTATATATTTTCATTTTATTAGTAGTTTATAATTACAATGGGGCCTCCTGCTCTCATTTGTTTTACCTCCCTCTTCAATGAAAATGATTGGATTAATCTCCTACGGAGATTAGGCCCAGGTAAACAGTAAGTGTCCTCCACTCGCTCTCACTCATTTATGGACAGCCAAAGAGGCGCTTTATTCCTGGGCTCAGAGGTCTCATTTAACAGCCCATCGACGTACAACCTGTCATACAACTTTTTCTCTTAACCGCTCATCGGCTATACCTGTCTGGACTTGAGGAGACAGCGAGAGTACGCCTATACTATGAAGTGCGGGCATCAGCTGGGTTTGTACCTAACCCGAAGGTCTTAAACGACCCCAACCTAGCCTCATACTCCGGACAAGATCCAGAGGTGCAAACACAACCAGTGCTCACGGAAAGGCCAGACTTTACTATACAAAGCTTTCCACTGCTTGTCAGCACACTGAAACCAGATCGCTACCCAGAACTTTGTTACGATCAACTGAACAATGGTGATTGAGGTTGTTTTGTTACCTCTATTATTGTTAAAGCCAAGTTGATTCTACAATTATTTTTAAAAGAAGTGTATGAGTACATATAAATATACACTGGTAAATAAAAAAATAAGACTAGAAAAATTCTTATAAACTGTATTTTTTTTAATAATGATTAAAAATAACAAATTAGTTATTATTTTACTTTTTTAGATACCACAATTTCTCAAAGACTCTCTAAGTGGTATTAATAAACAAATTTCTGAATTACAAAAACCAAGTGCTTCAAACAACTTCCTTTGACTTTTTTTATCGAAGAATAAAATAATGACTAGCTGTTTAATGTATTTTTTCAACATTAGAAATACATTACTTGTGAGTAATAAGTACATCATTATGGAATCTTTGTGATGATCCATGGGAGCTTGCCAGAGGACTTATAACACCAATAATCATACAAAAGTTTTAGAATTATAAAGACTATCAGAGAAGCAAGCAGCACGTTAAGACAGTCGAGTGGTGAAAGAAAAGAGCCTTGCTCGCCACACACAGAACTCAGTGACAGTTCACTAATCTCAAAACAAAACAAAAAAAACAAGTATTAAAATTCATTCAAAGTAACATAAAGTTTTATTTTAAATAACAAATAGTTGATTCATTATTTTGAAAATAATTTATATATGAACTTTTATTTTGTTTAATCACAATTTCTTGCATACTTTACATCCAAATTAAATAAATATGTCCATTATTCATTCTTTTTATTTAATATTTTTTTTTTATTATTATTGAAATTTACAACTGTATTAAATGATAAAGACAACAAGTAACATGACATGTACAACATGAAGAGAAACTACCCATTGGTAGCACTCCAATTATATTTCTATATTAGAAGGTCCTGAGGCCATCTTCTTTTCAGACGCCTTGGAGGTTGTCAGGAATAGAAGAGGAAGCAAGGCTGGAAACAAGAAGATTCGGATGGTTCAGAAGTTTATTATGGAAGGACAGGTATCTAGATTGAGCTAAATCGGAAAAATATGGTACATTAAGGTCATTATGGATGATTTTATTTGTGAAAAAGTAGGGAGCATTAAGGATTTTATGAAGAATTTTGGATTGTAGAGATTGGATACGAGAGAAATTTGGTGGTTTAGTAGAGCCCCAAACTTCGATCCCGTAAGTCCAAATAGGCCTTATTATAGTAATTATATGAGTCTTTTGTAAATAGTTGGAAGTTTAGAGCGTTTGTCTTGTAAGTGCTGCAGTAGTCGGAAATGTTGGGCGGTTTCTAGTCATTAGTAGTAATAGTTATTTACTATATAGCTCTTTAAAGAAAAAGTAAAAATTGAATTCACAATTTTTTTATATATATTATTTATAAAAAAGAGTTCTAATGGTTCTACATTTTATAATTAAAAGGTGCCTCTTCCATTGATAAATGTTTACTTTAAATTTTTTTAGTCTGAGGTTTTGGGTTTCTGACGCATCTTCAAAAACAATTTATTCTTTTATAGGCAACGTAACAATTATTTCAAATATGCTAGCAAGAATTTAAACTAGTTTTTGTCAGAATACATCAGTAACAGCTAGTTCAAGTTTTAATAACCACTTTCTTGAAATTTTAGTTTGATGAAAAATCTTATGAATTTCTTACAATTATAAATTTATCAATAAAGGTTTTTTTTTTAATTGAAAAGCTCAGCAATTGTACAAAAAAATATTAAATATTATGGAGGTGGTAATTATTGTAAAAATTCACTTCTCTTAACTAGCTTCACTAATTTAATATAGCAATATTACTAATAAAAGTTGTCAGATGTTAAAAAATCTATTTTTCATGTAATTTATTGAGAATTGGGTCAGTTTATTGCAAAAAATCACTAAGTATATTTTTAATGGAGCTAAACTTTTTTTGTCTACTTTATTTATCAATTTTTTTTTTTGTGTCGAAATTGTAAACAAAATCCTATTTTGGCGGTAAATAATGTTTTTTCAAACATTAAAGCTATAATGTTGTTTTTCTTATGAATTTTCTAAATAGATTGTATTCTTCTCGATCTTGGTCTTTTTCTGCTTTAGAAATATTGAATGCCGACCCCTCGATACATTTTTTCTTCTCTATGCTAAAACGCTTACTGGATATCACTAAATGTAGTGAATTCTGGACTTTTATCATATATCACAATTAGGTCAACTTTATTTTTATCAATTTTAAGAATTTATTTGTAGTCATATGATTGGTTCTCAACCTAATTAAATTATTCAACTCATTTCTTCCCAAACATATTCCAATATAGGTGAATCACTGTTGTAAACACATTTTTGAATGGATTAAATAGTGGTCTCTATGTTTTCTTTAAGACTCCTAATCATATAAATTCTGCCTCATTTTTTATATAATTTTTTTTAAATATAAATTCATTAACAATTTTTTTTATTTAATAAATAGAAAATGTCTGTTTTTGGGACTTCAAATGAATTCTTGTTGCTTTGGTAGTGTCCTGAGCGATTTGATTTGGACTTTCATTTGAGCTAAACTTTCAAGCATGTTTTTGTGTATTTTACATATCGATACAAAACATGGTAAATGTATCAAATTGGCATTGACCTTTTTATACATCAAATATAGTAACATTAAGAGCACAATTTTCTGATTTTACAGAGGGTAAATTCTTTAAAGTATTTAGTGATTTACTTTTGTGAAATGTTATGGCAGTTTGTAATAAGTTGGCAACATTGAATTACTTTGTCACATTTGAGGTCAATATCACCTGAAAAATTCCTATTTATCTGCTTTCCCCACCGTTTGTGTTCAATAATGCATCAAAATCTGTATGAATAAGTGAAAAAAAGCTGTTACTTACAATTTTCAAAGAATTGTCATCATATTCCGAAAATGCACATCTTACATCATCAATATCTTCTATTAAGTCATTATATTTAATTATGAAATCCTGAAAAGCACACAATACCATTTGCAACAAATGATAATATCACAGAAAATAATCATTAAAAAAAACTGAAATATTTTAATACCTTAAAACTTGGAGTGAAGGTGCAATCACAAATCCAGGGGTTATTACCAAAGTAAATTTTTCCTATTTGACTGTTTTTTCTGAAACCATTTTCCAAAGCAAATGTTGGAAACTAAAAATACCATGTATTTTCTTGGAGAGAATAAATATAATTTTAACAAAATACATTTTTTACATAATATGGATTTACATCAATTTTAAGGAAATATCCATTATATAGGGATTACAAATCAAGATATATTCATTATAATAATACTTTATATAAAAACAATGGCAAAAAATCAATTTTAAAAAAAGGTCTTACTAAAATATTTTTTTCAAGATTTGACAGCAGCAACTTAAAGTAATTATTTAATTAAATATAATTTTATAATTATAATTGAAAAGATATAATGAAATATGGCTGGCTGCTATGGGAAGAAAATTATTTCTTGAATAAATAATAGGTTTGAATAAATGTACAAAACTTACTGCTGTTATTTTGTTTGATTTTAAACTGAAGACTCGAAACTTGGTCAGCCAATCAGCTCCTTCTAGTTTGTCAATATTAAATATCTGATTTTCATCTAGGTAAATGTCAGAGACATCTAAATACTTAGGATTTGTCAACAAAGGGCTTATATCCGATATCTGTATAAAAAATAAATAAAGAACTTTTTTTAGGATGACCTCATATCTCGCCATTTCTGGCATGGGGGATGGGTTGTTCTAGAGGTTCAACCAAACCTATTCTACCCAAAGAGGGAAGGTTGAGATTTGTTCCGTGGTACCACCACAAAATAAATTTCAACCCACCCAGACAGGATTCGTCGTGGAACAGTCGTCACTAAGCTTAAGAATATTAAAATTTATGCTTAAACATGATCGGCTATCACAACTTCAATATGTATAAAATAAATAACATAAAAATTTTGCTATTAAATATTAGTTGTTATGCAGAAAAAATTCTTATATACTGTACATAAGTATCAACCAATAATGTAAAATACCCTGAAAGAAAAGGATCTATCTGTTGAGAATGGCTAGCTCTGAAGGAGTTGAGAACTCAAAGAAAATCAGGAACCATCCCAGCCCACTATATTGTTTGGTCCTCAACAGTTTCCCCTTTCTCATGTTCACAAGCTGGACAGCAAGCAACAAAAGATGATCTTTATTTTTGGTCTTCCATACCTTTCAGGCTAAACGGGGTTTTTACGGACAGGAGGATGAGGATGAGGAATTTAAAATAACCTCTGGCACCGGCACATGAACTCGTACCTTTTAATCTCTCATAGCTCTGGTTATCTGATTGCACTGGCAACTCGCTGTGCTGTGCACACATGTAAGCCCATTCGGCCACCCCGCCTCCAATACACAAAAAATGATGTGTATAGCCTGCACTAATCATCAGGGACATGCATGGTTAAGTAGAATGAGGTCCATTACCCATCACACACCCTTTTTTAAGGATTCCTCCACAATTACACCAAGTCCTTCAAGACCATCAGTCACCTACTAACTTCCTCTCACTGTCAATTCCCCTTTGGAAGAAGTTGGGCTATTTGTCGCGACAAAACAAACTGATTCAACAAAGGATGGTATTGGATGTATATTTATGAAAATTTAATTATTTGAAATTAATATTTTCAAAGTAGGAACTGTAGTGAAATTGTGAACCATCCAAAGAATTATTAAAAAATAATATTGTAAAATAATGTCACACAAGACTTTGGACGATTGAATTGGATCATTTTGTGTTATTGCCTAAGAAGCAGCATTTTCATTAATGCCAAGGTTCAAAACAACATAAAACTTTCTTAGTTAATCCAATGAATTAGGAACTCTAGGGGCCTTAACTTGTGATAGACAAGTAGGATTCCATCACACTGACTTCACAAATAACAGACTAATAAAAGCATAATCAGACCCTTCTGAATCATTCAAAATTCTAAAACTTTGACATCTATTTGGACAGAAGATTCATGGGTTGTTTCCATAAAATATATGCATATATAGTGTAATATTTCTCTTATATTTTTTAGCTAATAATAACATAACCTCAGAGGATCACTTCAATTAGATACTACTGGGATATTTCCAAAATAAATAAGAGATTGTTAAATAATAAATATAATTATAAGAGTATTAATATATTAAATTGAAATTTATAATTATTTTATCTCAGGTATGGGTTACTGACAATCAGATCAAAGGCTCAGACAGACTAACATTAACTTCACTAAACACTGTTTGATTTTAAAATAAAATCAAGTATGAATTGGCAAGCCAACTTTTTTTCTATTTACACTGTTTCTTTCTTTGTGGAACTGAATTCATTTTTTTTTTCAAACACTTTCCAAAGTTCTGCGAAACACACCTTCCAAAACACACTTTCATCTACTCAGCTCAAATTCCCCGGAAGATCCTCTATCTTGCGATTCCAAACAACTAGTCTCTCTGTCCAACAACAGCTTCCAACATGGTAATACTATTACTGGGTTTTACCCACTGGAGCCAGGATCCCTTCCCCCATCCACTCTTCATCCCAGTCTAACACCAACCAAAGGTGTATATTACAATATACATATATATATATATATATATATTAGAATTCATTAGCTATTATCCTTTCTCATTCTTTAAACAACATGAACAAAAAAAACATTGTTCACATCATCTAGGATTTTCTACTATAATTGATGCTATCTCCTGTTTTCGCTCTAACACGTTTCAAATTGAAATTCTCATAAATTTTTAGACAAAACTACTAGTCATTCTTAGATTTATATTTTCAAAGCCACTTTCTATTAATATTTTGTTTTTCATGTTAAGATTATACTTAAACATTAAAAATTATGACATTTATCTGTTTTGTTTTGCAAACTATTATAATAAGCATGTTTCAAGAAAAACATCATTTTTCATATGTTCATTGTAGGTCCAAAATCTTACCTTATTGCCAGTAAGTAACAAGGTTGTTGTATTGGAGGGTATTGATGGGGGAAAGTGGTCCAAATCTAGTCTACTACAGTTGACTGTTGTTACAGGCACTAAATAATCTTTATTGGGCGACCATACTATCAGATCCAGAGAGCAATTACAAGACTTTGAATCTATTTTAGGGCATTCATTCCTTAAATTCTAAAACATAAAAACAAACCAAAATATAGTACAAAATAGTGGTGACATATTTTCATATATATACAAGTTTATTGAATAATAACATAATCTGCCACCTAGAAGGGCATATAATAAATAAAATTAATGTTTAATAATTAAAAGCAATAGAAATAAGAAGATCTAAAGGATTAGTAATAATACCTTTAGAATAAAAGTCAAGAGAGGGGCACAGACGGAAATATATAGTTAAAAATAATATGAGAAGGAGTTAATCGGGGGGTGCGGTCAAATAAATACTAAATTAAAATATATTAATACCCACTTTGCAGGTCATCTAATATAATATTTTGTTAGACGACCTGTAAAGTGGGTCGAAACGTCGGCAAAAATTAAAATAATTAATATATTTTAATTTAGTATTTATTTGACCGCACCTCCCGATTAACTCCTTCTCATATTATATCAACGGTCAACCATTTCTACATCATTAAAAATAATAGATGCAATAAGTCTTAAGTTACATAATTATTTTTTAGTTTCCAGTAAGTTCAAATAATAATTAAATATACAGTGACTAAAAGTAATAAAAGTGGATATCTTAAGATGTTTCAGAAAATATAATGATGGAAAGTCAATTTTAACTAGTAATAGAAAAATATTTTAATAATAATATATTCAATAATTGCAATATTTAATTTAATTTATTTTATAAATAAAATATGAATATATTAGTAAATTTGGGTAATTTTGTATTAAAACGACTTAGAGAATAGATTTTTTTAGCATTAGTTTGAACGAATAAATGAATTTAAGGTGATAATAGTTGTATAATTATTTTAGATGAATAAGTCATGAAGATGAACAATGTGGTTTGAAAGAGCAACCAATTAAGTTCAAAAATGAAAAAGACCGTCTATAAACTTAATAAACATGATTATAGACTGCATATTCTAACTATTTGTTATCCTTAAGAAATAAAAATGGTTTAATTATTAGAGAGGAAATTATGTTAAAAAATAATGAGTATTGAATAGATTACAACATTTTACTATATTTGAAATATTTGATTAACATGTTTTATACCATTTGACACACTATTTTTTTATACTTTATAATATATAAACGATATATATTTTTTTTATTGAAAATTTAATTTCATTCATTGTTGAATGGTTTTCTTCAAAATTTAATCATTCGTTTTTTTTTTCCTCAACAATTTTCTATTTTTTCTTATAAGCAATGCTAAAATGATGTTTTCATAAATGAAGTGATTAAAGATTTATTTTAACAATATTATCTATGTTTTTCTTTTTAGACGTATAATGAATTTTTGTGATGATTGAAGACTGGCAGGTCATCAAAATTGGCTATTTTTTTTTTAAATGAGGCTGTAGGAGTTGGAAAAACTGTGGGCATTAACTCCTATATTTCTTGGAATCATTGAAAGGAAAGTACTTATTGACTTCCATAATGTTTACTTGCAGATATTTTATAACAAATATTAATGAATAATATGACAAAGATGTAGATAAGAGTTTTTTTTAAATAACCTTTATGAATGACATAACTGCTAAAACAGGTTTTCCTTTGTACTTTGATACTCCACAGGTCATCTGATTAGCATCCATTAACTTTTTTCCAAGAAGAGGATTTAGAACCCATTTTAAATGTGGATCACAGTCCCAGTTATTACCTGGAATAATATGATATAATAAAAAAGTTAAATTTTTTGTTGTTTCTCTCTCTCTCTCTCTCTCTCTCTCTCTCTATATATATATATATATATATATATATATATATATATATATATATATATATATATATATATATATATATATACATTAATATATTAATATATAGATATTCATGCTAACTCAATGAATAAATATAAAATTAAATGCTTACAAAAATGATTGATTTTGACTTTCATGATCTATTAAATATACACAAATATACAAAATTTTGATTACTATGCAATAATGTACAGAAATATGAACATCATACTTACTCCTAAGAAAAATCTGCTGTAGTTGAGATAAATGTTCAACAATATGCCTATCTAATTGCTTCAATTTGTTATGGCTCAGGTCCAGAGTCCGTAAATTTATTAAACCTTCAAATGTGTTGTGGTGCAAATGGACAAGACCAAGTCTGGTAAGATTTAGCACCTATAGCGATTATTGTATACAAATAAAACAAATAATAATAACAGACAAGTAAGTTAGTTGACAGTAAAATCAAACTTGTACAATAATAAAAATCATCATTTATATACAATTAATAATATAAGTCATCAAATTATTAATAATTGAAGATAATTTTAACAACATTTAAAGTTATCATTTTATTAGATAATAATCTTAGTCTTCTGATGACATTAATCATGTTTGATTCCCAGAATTTCTAGAAAATAACAATGGTTTGGTAATTACACTAATATAAAACTCAAATCATAAATTTAAACAAGATAAAGCATTATATAATCACATAATCCATCTCTTTTGTTTACTGTTTTCAGATTAACAGTTTAATATTGTAAACCAAATACTGTCATAAGAAAAAAAGGAAGTCATTTACAATTAATTTTGCAATTATTACCATTATTTTTAACTTTGAAAAATATTGCATACCAATCTCAACCTGTTCTATGCTTACAAGATTAAAATTAATACCTGAAGGCGATGGTTTGGAAATGGTTGAGTAAATTTTGAAATATTTGGAGAATTTATCACAGACAATCTGTAAAGCTGAGGGAAATTGGAAATAAAAGCAGGATCGAAAGATGAGCTCATAACTTGGCAGATAACAATGATTCGTGGATGTACACTGTAACAATTGAAGCCAGTTTTTATAAATTATAAAAAAACATTTATATAATATTATAATTAAAAATATATAATTAGAGCTTTCCTTTAGTATATCTTCAGGATAAACAATATACATAATTTATTTTTATCTGTTATGATTCCATCCTGATTTATAGCAAATTATCTGAATATTTTCTTTTGTAGTCTCTATAAGAAATTTAACTAATTTTATGAAACTCAATTTTTGCTATAGCAATGTTGCAAAAAAAGTTTGCATTTTAACAGTAAATATATATCTACATTTTAAGTTGTTCAATAATATAAATAACTCTACAGGAATAATTGAAAAGTGTAGTCTTTTTATAACTAGTCGACTTTGATTTTCAAGATCTGTTTTACAATAATACTTTCTCTGAAACTGGATCTAGTCAGATGATAATAACTGTTTAGTTAATAAGAGAAATATGACTTGATTTGAACAATCTACATTAAGGTTACAAGAAATTATGATTGGCTAACCAACATACACCTCCTTTAAATACCAATTACCATTACAGCCAAAATTTATACTGCAGACCTTTCATCTATCAAAAGATTATAGACAACATTATTTGTAAAAACTTTTTTCTTTATTTTTTTAATAGAAAATGAATAACTTCCTCTGTTTTAAGCATAATACATATAATATCACTGAAGATACATTGGTCGTTTTAGATGTTCTTCCAAAACTAGTCAGAAAAAAAGCTTATTTAGCCTGATTATTCTAGAATTAGTAAAAAAAAAAAAACTGGTCAGTAATTTACAGATATTTATATTTATAGGCTCAAGTTTTTTTTTCTCATAATTAACTGTTATAGTAAAATCAATGTAATTTAAAACACTCACGCAATATATCGAAAGTCAGGGGAATAAATTGATGTCTAAAAAAGATCCTCATGACTTATGAGTATTTTAATAATTTCTCAAGCCTTCAGCACTTTATGAAAAAAGTATTGAGAGATGATCAAAATTCAGATAACTCATGAGGACTACTTTAAGATTTGACTTATCAACTTATTCTCGCACTTCAAAGAAGCTCTCAATCTACAGAATCTTAATGAGCAAAGCTTTGATAAATATCTTTATAATGGAGAAGATATAGAACCGCCGGTGAAGAGATTGTAGTTGTTATATTTTACCAGCTGAATTTTTTAGATATGGGGCCCGAAATTAATAAACCCTTTGACTGTGAGACCTCATAATGACTGTTTCTTCCCGATGGTGGGTCCCAAAATACAAAATGACGTTCGAAAGAACTGTTTTTTCCCCATTAAATTTGTATTAAAATAGTAAAATACTATTTTGAGTCACCTTGAAAGATATTAGCTTTCAAAAATGCATTTAAAACCTTTTTGTTTAATTTTGGGTTTAGAATAAATATGCTACTGATAGCATCCAACAAAAGTCAGCTAGCCGAACAACTGAACTCAAAGAGAGTTAATGAATGCACGGAAGAAGCCATAAAATGAATGGTGGAAACGTGGCTTCCCCCTACCACTACAAGGGTGATAGCCGAGGTTGGAAGGCAGGTATCCCGTCCGCAAATGTGATCCAACTCCTAACTGGAAGGCAGGTATCCCATCTGCAGCCAAGGTTTTAAAGCATTATATAATTTAATAATAAGCATTTGGTAGGAAGAAAAGATGCCATATGAATGCTATAAATCCATTTCATGTTACATTCATAAAAAGGGAGATAAACTGGAATACTCCAGAATCGTCTACAATTGATCAAGTATTCAGTCTTCGCCAGATCCTCTAAAAATGTTGGGATTATCTATCCACCATCTGTTCCTAGGTTTTAGGAGTGCATAAGAGATAAGAGTTATACTTAGCAATAGTGGAACTCGGTATACAACTTAAGGAAACTTACACAACTTTGCTGCACTACATTGGATAGTGGGAAGTCTATAATAGAATACTCTCAAGAATTTAAATCATAGCATGGAGTGCAGCAGAGAGGTAATTTGTTTAAAATAGAGCTGAAAAAAGCTGTAAGAGATTCTTTGATTCACACTTCTGAATGGACTCTATTTTTCAAATTATTTTTTAATGTTCATTTTGCAAATTTACAAACCTGGTAGAATTTAAATAATTTTTCTGGAAACCACCATTACATAGAAGTTTATCAAGTTTGTCTGTTCGCATTTCACACCTCTTTGAGAGACTATTACATGAACCACAAATCCCAAGATGAAGAAATTGTATTAAAAGAATCCAGCTTAAAAAAAGTAAAATAATAATAACAGAATATTGTTTGTGGACAAATGAAAAAATGAATTAAACATTATAGATTCAATCATGAGAAAAGTATTCATTATAATAAAATCTTTATTTGTAGTAATGATTGAAATCACACATGTTAAGTTATAGTCCATCAATACATTTTATAATTTAGTCAAGAATTCATTCTGATTTTCTGAAGAACTTAATCATGTAAATTTTTGTTTTTAATACATAATATTAAATATTTATTGGTTTATTTATTAGCTTAAAAAAAATAAAACCAATTTTATTCCTTTCTCTTGTTTTAACAGTGAATCCTTAATGGTTCAACTAATGTCATAAAAAAAAAGTATTGAAATAATAGACACATTTCATATCTAAGAATATTTAAAAGGATTATATTTAAAAGGTGTAAAATCAATCAGATGTATTATTAGGTAAACATTCTTTAAATAAAAAAAAAGGTAATGTATTTTTTAATTTTAGATTTTTTATAAAATAAAATTATAGAAATACAACAACTTGATAAGGTGTTTAATAGAATACATAATCACATAATTCATAAACTATACAAACCATAAACTAAATTCTATATGTAAATATAAATACACTATGTACGGAAAATAATAGTTACTTTCAGTAGTTATATTTTAAAATAAATAAAAAAGTCTAAAACAAATTACTTACAGAAAATTCAATTCAATTTTTTTTACATAAACATACATGAAATAATAAATAAATATAATTGCTTTGTTTACTTACATGGAAAATAAATGAATTAATAAAGCTTTCATTGATTTTGAAACTGGAACAAAATTAATTTAAAATGTTCATCTCAAGGTCTATCCTGGGCTGGGTAAGTTAACAGCCTAATATTATCCCACCTTTATCTTGATTAGTAAATATTTTGCAACACACCCCAAAATTAAAAACTTTGTAGTCATACGGTTTAACACCGTAAATAAAACAGTAAACATATATTTTCGTGAAACAAGTCTTTATACAGATTTAATTTGTTTAAAATATCATCACTTATAAGAAACAGTCTTAATTAAAAAAGAAAGAAAAAAACTGAATAGCATCCCAGAAACTTAAAACAAAAGTAGCACTGCATAATTCATGAAGTGCTGGTGTATGCATGTTGTAGAAAAATTAGCTTATTTAGACTAAAACGTCTAACAACAAAACACAATAATATTTTGCAATAGTATTATTATATTTTTTAAAGAAAGCTTCATTATTTATTAGAAATAATTTTACTTTATTTGGAGATAGACAACGTACACAAGCACATAAATATTTTTGAGTATGTAATGAAATATACATGAGCATGTAAATTAATTAAATATCAACAAACACTAATTGGATTTACTCATTTTATGTTTTATTAACAATGGCTTATATTTAGAGTGCCAAACATACACCTTTAACTTTCACAAGTCATATAATATTTTTAAAATATACATATAATTTAATATCTTGAGTATTACAATGTATATGCCAGAGATTAATCATATATCTATTCGCTAAACAAGAGAGAAAACACTATTATTCACTACAGGGGTAGTTTTTTGGTACAACTTTTTCTAAAATAAAACCATGTTGAATAGTAACAAATTTTTAACTCCAATCAAACCATGATTTTACAGGTGAAATGGGTTCTGAATCGCTTTTAGCATTGGATGTGATGACTTTGATATTTGTTTCTTCGTGAAGAGCCTTTTCATATTTTCTAACATCTTCCATTTTCATATCATACCTGTAAACATAACTGATTGATTATTTGTCCTCACTAAATCGACTATTATTAACATACACGACTATTATTATATCTGAAGTGATATTTAAATCCTTTTTTTATCAATTATCAATTAAAATTATTACAAAAAAAAAAAACTAAATGTACAAAATTAAAAATATTTGAAAAAAAAATCTAGATACAATATAATTGAATAAAATACATTAGTGACAAATGATGTGAGAAAAAAAAAACAGTCAAATAAATATAACTGTAATTAACAGGTATGGATTGAAAAATAAACATAAAAAATTCTTATATATAGGTAACTTAAATACCAAATCCTGCACAACTTTTTAAGCTTGTTAATTCACAATTAGTAAATACCATATATATGTAATTTAACACAATCAAATAATATAAAATAAATCCTATTGAATTCATCTTATAAAAAGGTTTTCTATAACAGCATCAAAACAGGATTCTTTTGAAAACATTTTATTTCAGTTACTTAAAAATTAGCCAAATACAAAACTATGGTAGAGTGTTTTTGTTCAAAATTTAGAAATTCTTTTCAATATAATCATGAGGATAATCACTAAAACTATTTATAAATCTCTCTATTAATGTAATGAAATAAATAATCATTACCATTCATCAATCCATGCAAATGCTTGCCGATGTCCAACAGTAAGGATCTCCTTTATGGTCTGAAATAAAAAAGAAAATAATTAGTCCCAAAATATTGTATAACTAAACCAATACCTGATATGATGAGCAAAAATATGGTACATCAATAAAAGCAAGTTTATTTTTCAGAAAATTTCTATTCCACATCCAGATTTCTGTGTACAAATGTAGGTTGCATAACGTCCAGTTGAAAATAAGATAGAATTTTTATTTTCTAATATGATCATTTTTCACAGTAATGATCCCTTTTCCAGCTCTGAGGAGTGATGGATTTTGATGAATGATGTATCAAACAAAAGGGTATTAAATGGAACAGTGGGGAATCATAGCAACATTCACCTGACATTTCAGGAAAAAAATCTTTAGTTGTGAATAATTTAAAAAGTATACAGTTTTTCTTAATTAGACCCAAGATTATTTTAAAATGTACTGAATTCTCTCCAAAAAAAAAAAAAAAAAAAAAATCATCGAAATCAGACCATTATTAACAAAGATACAACTTATTGTAATGTACACCTCTTTGGGATTATTGTTTTGAATGAACTAATGTGAATCGACTGAGAATAAGAAAATTACTTCTTCTATCTCATAAAACATATCATTAACTTATTTTTATATTAGATTGTCGATTTTTCACTGATCAATATTCTTTACAAATTATTTGCACGGGCCAACTAGTTTGTTTTTTATAAACTAATACTGATTAAGTTTTCTGAACAATAATGTTTTTTCAATTAAACCTGTGATGCCACACAGGGGTCTCAAAAACACGTAAAGAAAAGTGTTTAAACCACAGTTAAGTGGCAGAGGGTTAATAAAAAAGTATTGTATTAATAATGTACTTCGGCAATCAGGTACGAACGATTTTATCCAATGCCCATTACAAGAAGACCCAATATTTCTAATGCTATCTGCTAATTCTCGGATTTTGGTGTCATCTTAATAGGATTAATTAATAATGATGTTTCAGAACTAGAAATATATAAATAGTAGCCTAAATAAATAACTTTCATCAGTTAATTTTTTTAATCAACGTAGTCATCATTAATTTATATCTAAAATAATATTTTAAAAAATTATATTAATTTTAAAAAATACCTGATGTATTAATTCTTCTACTCTTGTCTGAAGACCCCATACTTCAAATGAAGCTTGTACCACTTTGTAAGTACACATAACAGGAGTAGTTTTTTCTTGCCAATCTTCGGTCAACGGTCCACGACCTGTTTTTATCGATTTAAAGAACTTTAAATCCTAGAACAAATTTAACACAATATTATTAAAAATTTTAATTACACAGGAGAATTGGTGAAATCGAAAAGGTAAAACAGTTTGTTGAAGAGCATAACATGAATGCTCCACCAATATTAATAACAGATTCTACATTAAAAATATTGAGTTGGGCATCAACTTTCTCTGATATACTTTTCTTACAAAAATCAAATACAAAAAAAAAAATATTTATTTATTTATTTATTGATATTTACAACTGTATTATAAAAAAAAAATACAACTAGTAAATGTGCACACAGTAATAATACAATGACATGAAAACGCTTGTTGAAAAACTACCCAATGGTAGCACTCAAATAATATATTTACATAAGTAGATCATGAGGCCATCTTCTTTTCAGACGCCTTGGAGGGCAAAAAAAATTATTAAGTACCATTTTGAAAGAAAGCTCGAGTAAAAAGATTTAAAGTTAATGGAACTTCCTGTTTAATATTGTCATCTTGTTTAAAAAGATTATTTCTTCTCCTAATTCTTATTATTTTTTTTTTGTATTTCCATTTTTATTGCATAGCTTGTTTTGATTGTATTAAAAGATCTAAATAGGTAAATACTAATTTAATTCTATTTTCAATGGATGTTACCTTCTACCTGTTTTTGTACTTTAATTTGTTTTAAAGTAAACCTCCATGTTTTCCTTTTGAATCCTGATGACAAACAATGTGGATTGAAACATCAGCATTTAATAAACAGTTCCCACCCCTTTACATGTTATTCTTTACCCATAACCAGACCATTTTTTATTGATTTACCATGTGGTCAATCATCAATATATAATATCAATAACATCTCATACTTAAAAAAAAAAATTTTAAATAAGACAACCCAAAATAACTTATAACTGTATCCGTAGAAAGATCAATCCCACTGCTCTATTGTATCCCAAAGTTTTATTTTAGTCAGAGTGCTAAAAACATAGGAATAGGTACTCAATTCACTCATTGTTGTTGCAAGCTCAAACACAGATAACCAACATTGAACTGTTGCTTCAACACAACTACAGAATTGCTTCTTCAGGATAGACAGATATCATTTCAAAGGATACAAAGCCATTTTGGTCAAAAGAAAGGTATAGTACTAGAGAGCTAAGGAAGAAATAAAGAAAGCAAAACAAGTTGTATTGCTGGAACTCATAATTATTGTTGGGAAACAATACAACAAATAGCTTCCTATTTTGGAGCAATCATGGATGCAATAAATTTAAATGTGTGCTCTCGCTAAACATAAGGGATATGGGCCAGTCTAAATCAAAACTGTACAGTACAGGTAGATCTCTAATGGCCGACAATAATACCATTCAAACTCAAACTATTTGCTTCTTTCAATTCTTCATTCTCTCAGTGGTATGTGAGCTACTCAAACTAAAATATTATCACATTAAAATGAACGAATTGAAGTTGGGTTCAATTTGCGATAAATAAACCTTATTAAGAGTAATTAGAAATATGGATTAGTAAATGAAGCGAGCAATAATAATGTGGAAAAAACAACAACATTTAATTAAAGGATCATCCAAAAAGAATGAAGTAAGAGCTTTGAAAAATTGATGAAAAATTACCTCTTCCTCTTTGTAGTTCTTTGGGCTAATTTCATCATAAACTATGTCAATAAACTCCACCAGTCGCTCCTTCAAGACTTCTTCACTTAAGTTCAAACACTAAAAACATAAACTAAAATAAATATCATAATATAATTAAATAGAAATAAACTAAAAATTAATCATTGACAATAATTAGAAGAGCTAATAAGGTCACTGAGTACATTTATGTTAAATGACAAAATTTAAATTATAATATGAACACTTGTTAAAATTAATAAATTATTTTAACAAGTATAAGAGTTGCTCATTCAAGTAAAAAAAAAAATCTGGTGCGCGCAACACACAATTTTCACTTACCGTTCTACTTTGAATAGAAATTATTTTCTGGCAATATAGGACTATTATCAAATTTTTGAAGTACATTTTAAACAAAGCTAAAGCTTAAAGCTTACAGATAACAAACCTCTAAGCCTTTCAGTTGACAGAATGACTCCAATTTCAACATTTAGTGATATTTCTAGTTGGAAAAGTTATATCTATACAGACAGTGAGTATGTTGGTTCTAGAGTAGGTGATTGCAGTGTTGAAATATAGAACTGTGAATAAAGGTATAAATTTTGCCAATAGAAACATCACTAAAATTAATAATAAAGAATATTGAAATTGGAGTTATTATATTAAAATTTCTTAGACTTTAAGAAGTATCAATGCCAAAATTTTTAAGTATTATATTTCAAAACTTCTTAATTGATTTTAAACTTAAAATTGTTTACAATCTCTTCGAACATTTTACTGACGGAATAACTCTTTTTAAGAGTTACTGATACTGCTATGACTTTATATTTTTTATCCATCTTCTAAGTCTTTTATTTCAAGTCAACAATTTATTTTACTCTTGATTAATTTTCTTATGATCCATGTTCATACCAAGTAAGATAAAGTTAAACTGAATTTTAAATGAAAAATTCACTTTATATATTTTTTAAATGTAATAATTACCCACTCTTATGAGTGTTAGCTTGAGAATTCCTGTTGACAATTAAATTTTATATTTCTAAAAATCCGACATTTTGTTCGATATGTAAAACTTTTGTTTCTAAAAAAAGGGATATTTAAAGATTTTCGATAAATAAAAATCGGATGTACAGAGGATCGACAATATTATTACTTCCTATTTAGAGGTCTTAATGAATATTAATGATTTCATGACCACATCAATCAAATGCTTATCAACATTATTAATTCATCCATAAACAAAAAATTCATGCTTAGGCAAATTGGTAAAAAATATAATAAATTAATTACTTTTGTCACTACAATACACAATCTACAATACAAAGTTGTTAAGAAAGGCCTTTCATACTTATTTAAATTAATAGATTTAATTAATTAATAATTTAAGCGATTTGCAGGAACAGATTATAGGATTAGATACCTATATACAATTTTAAGTATTTTCATTATTTAAAGTTGAATGCTTACATTATCATTTGTGCCATTGTTGTCTTCATAAGATGTTTGGATAGATATGCTAAATTTTGGTATAAATGAACACTGGAAACAAAAAAGTAAAAATAATTTAATAAATTAATAATTAATTGAAAATAATAAAAAAATTAAAAACAAGATACTTACCGTATATTCTGAAGAACAAAACCATGTAAAAGTCAAGAAAAAGGATCAATCAGTTCAGAATTTAAAAAATATACATACTTCAAATGAAAAAAAAAAATGTTTTATACCTGTAATAGTATATGGGTAATAATTCCAGGCTTTTTCAGTGATGTAGAAAACCTTAGGAAGTACAGCTTGTAACCAATAGGGTAAGCGGCTGAAAACAAATTTTTTTAGCTTTAGTTCAATTATATAACAGTTAATATTGCTCAAGACGATATTTTACTCCAAATATCTATTATTTGCATTGTGGCCATCAAATAGCGTTTAACATCGACAAAGTAGATAAAATCAAACGATCTAGCATAAAATTCATAGAAAATTTAAACTGCCATTTACAACACAAGCCAAGCCTTAAAATATTGTCAGTTTATTGCAAAAAGTCAGTAACATTAGAGTGAATGTGTGATAATCGAATTTAAATTTTCTGATTCGTTCAAAAAATACTAAAATATCAATTTGATTATTTATTTTTTGTTACCTGCAATTCTAAATATATACTCTATTTTTGACAATTAATTAAAATATTTAACATATATATAACAAAGAAAAAAAAATAAAACATCACATAGTGACTATTTGCACACTATTATAGCTAAACAAAACACTAACTTACTTTTATATCCTAGCAAGTACATAGAATGTGAGTTAGATTTATCTCTCTTAGTTAGTTTTATAACCATCTGATCAATTAATCAAGCAAAAGAAGTCATTAAATACCAGATAGTGACTTTTTGCTCAGTAAAGCCAGAACATCGTGACTAAGTGAAACATATAAAATTTTTCTGTATAAAAGGATTTGTATTATTTTTATGTACTTAATGAGTTATTAAATCTATAAATATGATCGAAATTAACAACCACGTACACTTAGAAAAAGTGTACTTAGTGACTCTTTGCAATAAACGGACGATATAAATTATTAAACTTATTCAAAGTTAACTTGGTTTATTAGTGATTATAACAATTATTGTCTTGAGGTCGTTATGCCTGAGCTTGTTATGGTGTTGCCCACTTTGACAATCTTGAGTCTAGAGGCACCTGAATACAGCCTGGAGGTTTAAATTTTATTTGGCGGTGGAACCACCACAATGAATCTCAACGGTTCCACTCTAGTTAATATAGGTTTAGTTGTACCTATAGAACAACCGTTCTCTCCCTCCCACATGTCACAAATAGTGAGGTATGGGGTAAATGAAAAAAAATATTGGCTTTATTAGATCGCACCTGTCAAATTTAGACTCACTCAAGAGACAGGCAAATCCCTAATGGATCCTTTTAAGATGAGAACAGGGATCATTTTGGATATATGATGATGAAAAGGATCCATCGCCAATGGACCATGACAACTATTTGACAAGGCCCCAAGCATATTTTTGAGAGCGCCTAATTTGACTTCAATAGTAACACAGATTTTTAAGACTTAAGATGTTTTGTGCCAGCAGTTTGTACTCAATCAAGCAGCTCTTTTTCAAAATGCTATGAAACTTATCTAAGGTAACAAAGTTTCGAACAACAATTCTAACAACTGATCAACTACGCGAATTTTGCTAAGCAGTTCTTGATAATCAGTTTTCAACAATTATTCGGTATTATTAAAACTTAACGTTATAAAATTAACCAAAATAATATAAAACTCTTATCCTGGCAAAATAGTCACATATCTGCCGAAAACGTTATACTTTTCCTGTTCTCTAGCTTGTTGTGTGTTCTATCCAAAAATCGGGACTTTTTTTTTTAAAAAAGATGCGTGGCATGGGACAAATTGTCAATAATTGGGGCTGTCCTGCCAAAAGCGGGACGGTTGGTCACCTTACCTAAGAGTAACCGTGACTATACCATTAACAGTATTACATGACTTCTATCTTACGCACACCATATCAAACAAACTATTAGATTAAAATTGAATATATTACCCATTTAAATGTATTCTCTTTTCAGTGAACTGCCCTTTACCATGAATCGGATCCTCACATTCTTCATTAGTAATGATTTCCACTCCCTGTCCTGATTCTGTTTGTTGGTAACTATGCTTTGCGATCATATAAAGCTGCCCAATACGATACTGTACAGAGAATAAAATATATCACCACATAAACCTACACAATTTGAAAATAAAAAAAATAACAATAACTTACTTCTTCTACAGTTAATGGCATACTTATCCGATATTCCTTAATAAGAACCATTTTGATTTATTATATATCTTAATAAGCGGTTCTACACTAAGAAAGCCATAGCACCTTCAACACTCCAATTACCTCCTTGAAATTTTGTTTACATGTAATACTCCGGAAAGAGGTTATTTTCTGTCATACCAATGAAGTCTGCTTAGCTACAAAACTTATTTTTAAGCTCCAATGGGTGAACTATGATGGTGACAAAATAATTTCAAGTCTTTTGTGTCATGGAATTCGTAACTTGATTTTCTGACCTACTCAGACCAGAAAACATCGTTGCTTTTTTTTTCTCGAAAATTTGGTTTTTATTTTATCTCATGAAACAATTTGGAATCAACTGGGACAATCAAGGCTTTGAACAATATATCAAAATTAAATATGACAAATACCGTTCTTTTGCGTATTATGTAAGTTGATTGGGTAATATTTTTTATAAATCCTTTAGCTATTTCCACCAGTGGTGATTAGGGAAGGAATAATCGGTCTGTTTAACCATAAACGAATTAATTTTATTCTCGGTATTTCTTTGGTCATTTTACTAGCTTACTCGATGAAAATGACTAACTTTGTAATAAGAAAGAAAAGAATATCTAAATAACAATAATTTAAAAAAATGTTACAACAAAAAGATATAACGTCCGTATTTAATGGACAGTAGCACTAGGCTTTAGCCCAGCATAAGCGCCAGGATAGCTGCCGACAATATTTTCTATCGATCATCTTGGTTTTCACACAATATGTAATAAGAGCTTTTTTTCCTTTATGATCTTGCTTCTCCTGCACCTCTCCTGGATGAAATTTATCCAGCGGTCTTCCTGGTATTTATCCTCGTGTTCTTCCTCTGCTGCCAGCACAGGCGGATTTACGGGGAGGGGACTTTTGGACTGAAAACCCTCCCAAAACGGTAAAATATAACCATGTTTTATAGAAAAAAATATTAAAAACTATCTCTTAAAGTATTCTTGTTCGTGTAATTACATTTAATAGGACTTCAAGAATCACTTAAACAACATATCATATAGGTAGTTCATTTCTTTCTTCTTTTTTTTTCAAATTAATTATGGTTATATATATGAAAAAAAATCTTTCGGGCTGAAACCTCCTCCCAAATTATATCCTGGATCCGCTAGTGGCTGCCAGATCATTGGGGTAACAACAAATTGGGTCAGCCACATCATCGCTTTTCATCCGTAAATAAAATTGTTGAACCATGAAAAATTTTCCCCACTTGTTAAGTGAAGAAACTTATTTTCAATAAGGACGTAGATCTCTGCACTTCCATCAGTTTGGCATTCAACGCTATGAATGCAGTGAAGATTGTAACCACATGCCGTTTACATCAACGCTAAGCTTAACCCAGTAAGGAATTGTAAAATTTAATAGTCTGGGAGGACCTACTTTGTCTGTAGCCTTAATTGAACAGTGATAACTTTCTTCCTCAATGTGCTTATTTTCAGCTTCCGCTCCATTCTTCTACCGTTTTCTCCCGAATTATCTTCTATTAGGCTCATACATCCTCAACTGAATATTTTTCTGGAAGTTCTGTAAAGCCTTCTCTCTTATAAACATATTTCGTCACTTTTTGAAGGAGTTCGAGAGGTTTCGCCCTTGCTAATAACTGAACTTTTTTATTTGATGTTATCTTGTCAGCCAGCTCTGGTAACCCACAGTCATTCTCTGAATTGACGCTAGACTGTCTCTTTGGCCCAGTGTATGGTCCTGGTTCCAATAAGGGGAAGGGACACCTCAGGATACTCTACGATTTCTCTGTAGATAGTCATGGTGGTTACCTATCAAATCCCCCAGAATACTTTCTCTACAGGATTCAATTCGGGCCACCATTGTTGTGAGGTAATCCAAGTGAGGTTTAATGTTCAGACCTTTACACAAGATAGATTACCATTTATCTTGAACGTTTTTTCAGTCCAACATTGATATTAATAGGTTGTGTTCTATGCTCCTATAGTTATGCTCCTGAGAAGAATGGCTTGTGTCTTGGCAGTGCCTATGGCTTTATCTGTCCAAAACTGGTCATAGGATGCTTACAATGATGGTTTCCTCTTACCTATATAGGAAATAGGTATATATAAAAGGGAAAGTACTGTGATAAATTATAAAATTACCATATTCCAAGTACTCCTGTAACAAAATGACTTGTCCCTTACATCCCAATGGTAGCTCACTGCTCCATTCTCAGCAGACACTGCTGCCATTATTGCATTTATTTACTTTATTTATTCTTTGCTCCTCCTTCTCAGAAACATTTTATCTTTTCTCTTATTCAATCTCCTTTTCTTCACTACAAATCCATACACTCAGTAATATAAAATTGAATATTTATTAAACCATTTAATTGTAAAGTATTATAAGAGAATCAACAGTAAACAATTTCTCCACCACTTTAAAGTTTATCAGTTGATTGAAAATCATTTTTGTCTGTTAACTAATAATTTTTATTGATATCCAAATAAATGTTCTAGTTAGATGCATTAAAAGTAGACAAATTATATAATTTATATTATATTATATAAGTACTAGAGGGGTGTTAGGAGTTTCTATCAAAATACAAGAAACATAGTAAGGACTGGCAACATCTCCTAGGAGTTCGAGATGACAGAGAATATTTCAGGGATGCAGCTTAAGTCCCTACTCTTCGTATTGGTTCTGGATCAGGTGCTGAGGAGCGTTAAACCTAGACTGCGGCACTTTCAACTTGGGTATAGGAACTTACAGTCTACTTTCTATACAATCCTTGCTTTTGCCGATGACCTTGTCATATTCGCTGTGGATGACCAGAATCTACAAAACAATGTAAATATCATGCAAGAAGAGCTATTCAGCATCAACATTTATATTAATCCAGAAAAAACAAAATGCATAATAGGAAGACGGTCCCACCGAGTAATGAGAATATTAAGGCTGAAAGATCAGATCTTGGAGTAAGTACAGGGTTTCAAATATCTAGGTGCATGGATCAATGAAAGTGCCTATATTGCTGGAGAGGTGTCGCAAAGACTGGAAGCAGCTGGAAAAATGTTCTACTCAATTCAGAAACATTTTCTCAACTTAAGAGAGGTTGCGAAGAAAACCAAGTTATGCATCGAAAAGTCAACATTCTTGCTCCTTGGCGACATGGAGCCTTACCTCTAAACACAAGGGGCAGATACATGCAATGGAGAAGAAGAACCTTAGAAAAGTTGAAAGGAAGATTGGGAGAGATTGGATCCAAAACACAACCATAAGTTCGAATATCTAGGTATAGCCGGTAGAAACCACTCTTGAGGAGAATAAATTAAGATGGTTTAGGCACCTCCTTAGGATGAATATGGAGAGAAGAGCCAGGATAACATAGAAAGCAGGAGTGGAGGGAAAAAGACGACGGATCACCTGGGAGGAAGGCGTGCAGGAAGCATTCAGAAAGTGAGGGCTGGACTGGAGCAGGAGGTACACTTGGTCCAAACTTTGTTGACGGCATCTCCACACTGTGCACTGGCAGAGAGGTATTGATGTATGATGATGATATAATAGAGAGAATACCAGCATTTTAATTTGTTAAGGTTAGAAAATAAAATATCACAAACAACTTTTTTATATAATAGAGAAATAATTTTAACTGAATCTATTTAATGAACATAATAGTAACATCGGAAATGTTATTGTAAGAACAGTTGTTGTTCAAGAAAAACCTTATTATGAGAAGGAGTTAGTCGAGGGTGCGGTCAAATAAATAAAAAATTAAAATATATTAATTTTAATTAAAATAATTTAATATATTTTAATTTTTTATTTATTTGATCGCATCCTCGACTAACTCCTTCTCATATTATATCAACGGTCAACCATCTCTACATCATTATGAAAAACCTTATTATTTTCTTTTAAAATACATATTAGGGATATCATCTTTATATATTTCTTTCTTTATCATAGGGAGATGAGTATCATGAAACATGTATAAAATACCAGTTTTGAAAAATTAAATCATAAGAAATGACAGTTGATACAAATGACAAGAAGTATCTGTTACAGTTGAGAAACAGGCACAACGTAGATACCATCATCACCTGTCAAAACCTATCTCCATTATGTATTATAAACAGTAATGTATCATCACTTCAAATCAGAGTAAATATAATCATTACTGGTTACAAAAGACTTCATCAGAACTTAAGACTCCTGTGAAACCTTGTCACTGAACTCATCATGAGCTGTCAAATTAACTGGTTCCTAAAACTATATAATAAAACAACAGACATCAATTAGCCAACTGATTTATATTCACAACCGTATGCCCTCTAACTCCATGACATGTTTTCGATGGTTCTCACTTTATTCTGAATCTATATATTATATAAACAAAAGATTGCAAATTTGAAAATATTTTCACAATGTTTAAATAAATTCAGAAGTTCAATGTTTGTTTTTTTTTTTTTGTTGTAAAAATTAAAAATTATCAAAATGAACTGACAACCAGAATGTGATAAATAGATTAAACATTCTTTAGTATTTTTTAAAACATTTTCATTGATAGTGTCATTTACTATAATTTTTTTTGTTTGAAAAGAGTATTACCATGATTCATTAAATAGAGAAACTTGAATTTTATCATTAAGTATTTTATTTATATAAAAATAAAGATCTCTTGTCATATACAAATTTAACAATAATAAAATATATTATAAAATACACAAATACAATACTTTTTCTACAATGGTACTTATATAATTCATCATAAAACAATAAAAGTAAGTAGTGACAGAAATTTCAAAGAAAAATGAATGAAGTAGGGAAATTTCTCCGAAATACTCAATAAATAAATTAAGGTAATATTATTAACAAGAAAGATAAAGTACTAACAAAATTTCACTAACATTAGCTATTTATTAAAAACATTAAAGCTTGAAATAATGTATTTTCGAAAGAAATTCTTATTTCAAATCATTTTTTTTTTTTATACTGCAGCCAAATTTCAATTTGGTATAAATTACAGTGATTTTGAAACTCATAAATCATAAAAAATACATTGTTAATGCATAACGAAAAATATACCAATAAATAATAAATAATTTATCTTACCAACTAACATAATTAATGATTAAACCAAAGATCATAAAAAAAACTTCTTGGCTTTAAAAACTCAGACACACTTTCATTTTCTATAGGATATAACTACAAGTAAATTTGTCACAGGGTTTGCTCCAAGAGAAATACCAACACCCCAAAATGAAAATGGGATTATACCTAAATTATAAAGTTCATAGAAATAGATTAGTATCTAGGAGACATTTAGTGGACCGTAATCAGTAATGAATTTCAGCCATCTCCTTTTTTTGATCATTATGATAAATTTCAAAAGGAGTACAATATGTTTATTAAATGCTCATAGAACAAATTATAGTTTATTAAATTTATGTCCTGATTATCAGGAATCACGTAGTAAGGCATTTTAAATTACTCAAGTCTTATACATTTCATAAAAATTATACTCTTGGAACATAAGTCTACATACACTTAAAAATTGATTATCCAAAAAATAAATCAGTATATTCAACCAGAAGCAGGTCCAGGATTAAATTTTGACGAGGGAAAGGCTTTTTATTTGTTTTTAAATGATTGCAGTAATTACTCTAGATGAAAAAGAAAGAAATTATACAAAATTATGTTTTTGAGTGGTCCTTGGATGGCCAATACAAAAAACAAAACAAAAAAAAATGGAATAATAACGCTTTTAGGGATACATTTTTTAACATGTGCTTATATTTAGTTGCGGTGCATGTTATAATTTAAAAAGAGAACATACTGTCATTGTTTAAGTATTTGGCCTAGATCTCAGACAGAAACAAACATGGATCAATGAAAAAATATACATATATTTTTTTATTTTGAGGGAGGGGGAAGGCTTCAGCTGGAAAGCCATGATGAGACAAAAAAAAAGGGGATTAGAAAACTATGATTAATATAAACTAATAAACAAATTTTAACATTTGATTTATTTTTATGGAATATGGACTTCTGTGGTTTAAAAATATATAAAAACAACAATAATAAAACAAAACAGAACCCTGCTAGGGCACAAACTATAATAGAAAATTAATAAATAGTTAAATAAATTAATTCGAAAGCCTTAAACTTCAGAAACTTTCAGACCATAGACTTTCTTCCAATGATACCTAATGTACTTAATCACAACAATGGGTAGTAAATGTCATTTCATATAAAAAATTATTGAAGCAGATACCCCTTCACCCTCCAATAAGCACCTTAATTAATCAATAATTCCTTAAAAAAGGTAGTTACCATGATAAACAAAACTTATTTTAAAATATTAAATGTGGTACAAAATGAATCGTAACACACTGGCAAAAGATGTTTCTTCTGCAAGTGGTATATGTGTCTCCAATGACCATAACACCAACGTTGTGGGGATTTGTGACTTTTCAACTTGGTGGGAAGGTGAAAACCACTCACACTTTACACTAAAAATAAGAAAAAAATATTAGAATCCACCAATTACTGTAAGGTGAATTAATAATATTTATAAGAAACAGAAAGTTTTACAAATAAATCAAAATTTAATAAAACAAAAATGCAGGTAATTATGTTACAATCAGAAACTAAAAATTAATCTGAAGGCAAAGTATCTCAAAGAGATAAAGCAAACAGGAAAACAGAGGAGGCTGTGGTGATAGCACATCGGGGTGAGGGTTCCAAAGCCTGGATGGTTCGATTCCCACCTGGGTCAATTAATTTTTTTTCTATGGTCTTGAGAAATGAAGGATCAGGATTATAAAAGGCAGTAACCTCTACTTAAGACAATAGGAGTTGGTAAAAATGACCACAAGGCCCATTCGTTTCCCCACCAGTACCAGAACCAACACAAATAAGAAGAGAAAGAAGCATCTAATTTTCATGTGTTGGGGAAGTATGTTTCTGACTTGGCCAAAAAATCATGAATAATTTCAATAAATTGATAAGCAACTGGTTTTCTAAAACATAACAGAGTACTTATGAAGTGAATGTAGACTTTTGTAACTGACTATAGTCATTTGTATTCATTAGAAACAACTTTTTTAAATATTTTTAACCAACAATGCATAGAAAACCTAGTATCACTACAATCTTATTTAAACAGGTATCCATTAAATTTTAACATAAGCTCTAAAAGAAGTGGATTCAATCTTCATTGTTCTTTGATAAATAAAATAAAAGTAATTTCTGTTCTGGATTTATAACATTTTAGAAAGAACAAACCTTAATTTAATTATTCTACAAAAATTTGATTTCTATATTCTTATATTCATATATGAAGTTCATAATTTCAAAACATACTTATGAATTTAAAAAATAATTACTATTGTATGTTAAGAGCCTAGTGACAATTACAATGTAAAACAAGTTCAAAGAAATTGACAGTCAAAACAGCTTAAAGATTTGTTAATGTAAGTAAATTAAAGAGATAATGATAATTTGGTAAAAATAATTGGTAACGAATAACATACTTACATGCAACATCATCAAAAACTAATCAAAATAATATGAAAATTAGCTCATCATGTTTATATCAAACTTTGAAAATTAGAAATTTAAAGTAATAAACCGAATTAAAAAATTTTGGTTATACCGATTTTGGATCATTATAAAAAAAAAGAAATTAATTTTATATATATTTTTCACTTCTATTGAAGATATGTTATGATGTTCTATTATACACTTTATTTTATAAAATAAATATTGTTATCACAGTGAAGAGTACTTTTAGTAAAATAATTTTTTTTAAATTCTGCATACACATATTTGATATGATGAATTAAGAGATAAGTAAAATTCTATTTCTAAAGCTAGAACAAATATACATAGAAAAACAAAAACAGCTTAGTGCTAACTATTCAAAATTTCTGTATCACTAACAGCTAATTTAGGCCGATGGGTTTTCCCTCGCATTCTCTTCAGGATAGAGAACAATACCAATGGTATAGGTGTCATCAGAGCAACACTTACAGGAACAACTACAAACATAAAGACATGTGAAATATTAATGAAATATAATGATATTATTAAAATAATGAACGTGTAACAAAGAGGTATTATAAAATAAAATCTTCAATTTGAAACGAAAAGCTTTCATTCAAACTTTATTGTCTACACGATAAACTAACTTGAATTATAAAGTACCATTGGAAGTGCATTAAAGTGTTTTATGTTAGGGACTGCATTATTATCTCTTTGATGTTCAGAGCCTTGAATACAAATTCTGCTCATAACATTTTTTGACCATACTCTCTGTTTATTCACTCTAAACTTGAGTTGAGGTACAGAATGGATTGCAGATAAACAAAATGTATAAAATCAATTTAATAGCAAGCTAGGTAACATCAAAAATCATTTGATTCACATAAAATCTTAACATTTTTTTGTTGTGAATACTGAAGATTCAAAGTGTAGCCTATAAAATAAACTACAAAACAGTCTGCAAATGGATTCATGAATATAGTGGGGCATTGAGAGCTAATTCTGTGGACTACATCATAGTTTCCCGACGTTTTTACATTCATGGAACTTGGTGCAGAGCAAGACTTAGATGAAGTGGAAGAAGACGCCTGAGCTATCCCTGTTGTCCACAATTGGAAGGAGGCAGCACTTCTCAGAGAAGAGTGAAGAAAAGAAGTATTGTAATAAAGTATTAAATATTCACATAATTGACTATTTTATTCAAAACAAATAATGTTATAAATACATTAGAGATGGGTACATGGTTGACTTGAAATTATAAGAATGAATAATGGTCAGGATGTGCAGTCAAAAATTTCTTTATTGAGCTTGCTAATGTTTTCGATCCAAACGTGTAGGTAATCATGAGGGCAATGGTTTACGTACAGTAAAAAAAGAACTCAGACTAACCTCCTGCTTGACACCTCTCTCAATCGGAAAAGGATCAGACTTACATTGAACCTTACAACTCCTTTTAAATTTGCATAAACAGATTTTATGGCAATAATGAGTTCACTTGGAACATATGATCATTGGTCTGCCTCCTAGAGCGGAAACCTGCTTATTCCATTTCCAGCCGCTCCTCCACATTCGTCAGAACCTTTTTTCCAGAATGTATATGTATGTTTTGTAGGCCACAGACAAGAGACTTATTAAGTGGCATGTAATACTTGCCTTGCCTGTCTGAATCTGCTTAAGAGCCGGTTCTACTTTCTCTTCAGTAATGGTTTCTTCACTGACTTGTTAGAGCATCTGTTCCCTTAGGTCTCCAGTTGCTTCTTCATTAGCAAAGAGATTTAGATTTAGATAGTACCTATGCCATCTACATAACATTCTGTATTGTTCTGTCAGTAGTTCACCATTAATGTCGTTTACATTTCTCACTGGCTTTGCTCTTTTGTCCTTAAAGAATTTTACAGTGTGCCTAAATTTGTTAATGTTTTCTAGGGAAGATTTGATTTTGATCAAAGCTTTTTTCAAATTCTTTGTATGTCTTCTTTTTAGTTCCTTTCGCAGCTGTATCCTCATATCTCTCATTTTCTTGGTTGGACTTCCAAGGTTGACACTATTTCCAACAGGGCTTAAAAAGTAATTTTGTGTACCCTCTTACGTGGGTAGAAGTAATTGCTAACTTAGAGATTATTGTCGACACAGAAATCAATTAATCGCTGGCCATTTTCATTCTTAACCATTTCACCTCCTTGAAGCCCCATCGCCCTATATGAGATTCTATAGCATCATTCAGTTCATTCATTAAGGTCTCCACATAAAATTACTGACTTTTCTCTGTTTCTGGTTCAGTCAACCACTCACTGCAGCAGATCTGAGAAGAGAAATTCCTTGTCCAAAATCACAGTACCTTCTGTAGGAGCATATATTTAGATGATGGTTATCTTGCCTATTGCCACTTGGAATTCTGCAAGAGAATGGTTCCTATTCTTCAACTCTACTATATGCTGCTGAAGACATTGCTATCCCTACTCCCTGTTTAGCACAAACTCCCTTTGACACACCCGGATATATCAAAACATATCCATCATCCAGCTCCACCTCTCCACTTCCATTTTCTTCACTTCAGTTATTCCCAATATACCTTATACTTCTTCATTTCCTCGACCAATTCGCTTTTATATTCCAAGATCCAAGTCTTATATCATTTTCCGTACCATATCCTTTATATCCTTCATTTAGATAATCCATTTGTTCTGAGACCATATGAGGTTATTTGAACCTGTTTTACTCCTTTATGGGTGATTAGCTCAGTAAAGAAAGCACCGTTATCTCTGGACAATTATATACTCAATGGCCAATGGGTCTTCCCAGGGGAGGAGACCCTACGGTGTTTACGATATATATCCTTGTGTTAGAGAATGTTGGTGCAGTGTACTGAACTCAGGAAACCGGGGGAGCATTAATCTTTGCTAGCTGTGTACATTAGCTAGCCCCTGCAGCTGCGATAGTAGTTAAAAGAGGATAATAAAAAGAAGTAGTTAATTAAATTTATAATTATGTTAATACAAAATATTTCTTCAGGCATTTCTAAAAAAATTATTAATAGAAAAAGAAGCTTATTTGATAAAAAGAAACTGAATTGATAACTAATAAGCTACAAACAATTAATTATAGGATATTGATACATGAAACCATGGCTGCTATAATCAAACAACATAATGAACTAGATTGAAGGAATAAAATGTGATAAAACATAAAATTGAAAGCAAGATATGGAAGCTATAGATAGATCTATATGGATGGAGATTAGTGGAAGCAAGATTAGTGGCTGCAAGACTCGTGATTTTAAAAATACTGTTCAACAATGAAAACATGTTCTTTAATAACGCTCCATTTTTACTAATCTTAAACTATCAGCTGTTAAATTGACAAAGAAAAAGAAAACAAAAGAAGAATGTACTGTGTTTTATATTTAATTTAAATCTTGCGTAAATTTTTGGACACCCTTTAGTATCTCACCTTTTGCAGGAGCTAGATACATTATAGTTGGTTAATGGCAGAAAGTCACTAATTACATTCTTGATACTTAAAGATACTGAGAACTTTTAATTATTTTTTTTTTAATTTAGATCTCATATACTGATAAAAAAAAACAAACATTAAATGTACTAAAATGATACAAAACGTTTTATATATCAAATATACTTACAAGTACAAAATTTTCTGATTTTAGAAAGGAAAAATTCATCAAAGCTCTTAGTGATTTAAGGTAATGAAATGACTTAATGACTTTCTGCAACAAACTGACGATATACACTATATGATAGAAATTACAAGAAAAAATTTTAAATTCCATAAATACCTAATTCTATTTATAAAAAATATTTAAATATTTCACAGAAGCATAAAATACTGAGGTGTCCTAGACCAACCTGTTGTAATATCTGAATCGGGTTGAGGTAAACAAGTACGAAGAAGAAATATTGAGATGCCAGTATTCTGCACTCCTGTTTCTATAGTTATTGCCAATTTATTTTCATCAGATTGATTCAATAAGTAAGAAAAGACCCAACCAGATAAATAACCAATCCAAGGCAACAACATACCTCCTAAAATAATCTGCATAAAGCACAACAAATTACCAGAATAAATGTTATTGATTGGACAAAAATAGACAAAATAATTTGCATTTTGGAAAAAATATATACCTGCCAGCTGAAAAATTTAAATAGATAGAAATTCGTGATTACTGCAAAACAGATAATAAATGCTATCAATAAGACAGAAAATAGCTTTAGAAACCTGACCATGAAGGCTGATATCCTTTTGAAATAAACCTGAAACAATCATAAACAATTTTATACAAAATTCCAATCAGAACAGTATTATATTTTTATAGATTGAAATTTAAATGTGGACAATAAAAAAACAAATTGTCCAGTCTTAAACGATGCATGAATGGTTGTAATAAGATAAAGTTGCTGAATTTAAGAAGTGATCAAAAACAGAACAGTAAATTTCGAGCTCAAGAAATAGGTAAAGCAAATTACAGTGTAAGGTCAGTAATCTGAACTAGCAAAAAAATAAAAAACTTTTCAGGCTATTAAAAATGGCATTTAACTTAATTAAATTTGTCTAACCCAATTTCTTTTTTAAGTTTGATACTAAGCCTGTTATTGATCATCCTTAATAATATTATTTTTATTTATTAAATAATGAAAAACTAATTTAGTGCAAAGATATGTGTTACCTGAATTCCAAAACCAATGCATAGACATATCAATGGTGTGACACCAGACGAAAACAGTTTCTGAAAAGGTACCTCCATTTGCCTTTCAGCAAATATTGTTCCACCAAGAGTCAAAACCCATAATGGGATAAAAGCTAAAACAATTAAATATTAAATGAAAATTAATGGGTAGTACACTTTGAGAATTTGGGATTAAAGAAAAAATGTAACATGTTATTTAGCCTATTCTCGACTGCACATTTCAATTAGTGAATCTGTGCAGGCCAAGTGTCTTCTTTTATATACATAAAAATGAATGTATGTATGTCTGTTTGTCCTTTATGCATTACCAAACCATTGATCCGATCACCATGAAACTTTGGGAAGTTGTGTACACTCCGGCAAAGGTTTCTGGCATGATACTCATTTTTCAGTTTTTTTAGGTCTATTGTGCACTAGACCATGTAGCTACAGATTTCGCTAATCTCAATAGGTTCAATAGAGTGATTAACTCACATAGCATATGATATTTTTTGCCTCTCATTAGTCCTGTAAAATTAGTGATCAGTTTCGATAATTTAAAATATTAGCTGTAATGGCTTACCAAATGAAGCAAGTGTGCTAACAGCGGTCATAGTAATACTTAAATCCAAGTTTCCTCCAAGAGTAAAGGTCCAGATGTTAGAAGCACCACCAGCAGGTGCGATTCCAGTGAAAAAAAGGCCTAATCGCAAGGTTGGGGAATCAGGAAAGAAATAATATCCCAAACCATAGCTGACCTGTCAAAAACATTATAATAAAGTTTTTATTCTTATTTTCCCAATGACAACAAACTATTATGCTCCAACCCGAAATATGATATATTTTATATAACAACTAATAAAAAAACAATTTACCTAAATCAGATTTTATCTAGTGCTTGAAGATTATAGTATTCTTAAATGATTACTAATTTACTTCTCAAAAGTTATATAAAAACATAAATTAAAATGTGAAAAAATAATGTTTGAATTTTCAATGTGAATAAATAAATAAAATATAAACAAATCAAAACTGTCATTTGTCCATAAAATAAAATAATTTTCATAAGTTTTGTTAGTAAATTTCAGAACTTACAAGAGGCAGTATTAAAAAATGGCAAACCAGACCAATTAAGGGTCCTATTGGTCGGACTACAGCATCTTTAAGCCTATTAGTGTCCAATGTACATCCAAAATTAACAAAAATTACAGCCACCAGAATAACCACGGTTACAGTAAAGATATGATCAACCACCCTTGGTTTTCGAATAACATGCACGACTAATTCATTGGATGTTAACTCACAATCTGTACCTACAACAATAAAAATATAAATTTAATAAATAGCATAAATTTATTTAACTTTCTTATATTACTCAATTTTACCCAGTAAACTGAACTAATGATTGTTTGATTGGTTAGAATCAAGTTAAAATAATGATTAAATATAGATTTTTCTTTGTGTTTTTTTAATTAAGATTTCAAGCCCAGCATTAGCTAATATTAATGCTAATTAAGGAGAAAAACCTGGTAGTTGAGCATGATCTTGGTCAAATCACCTCTCTGGACAACCGCTGACCAAGAAACACTACTTTCTTACAAATTACTAAATCCAAGACCCTCTATGGATGTAGAAGTACGGGTTTTTATTTTATATAAATTGCTCAAAATGAATAGGATTATTTCTAGTGGATTCATTGTAATTAAAATAGCCTTTCCTTTTTTTTCTTTTTTTGCTAGTTATGGATTCTCTTACTTGTTGGTAAACATAAAAAGTAAAAAAGTATTCTTTCTTTCTAATAAATTATCAACTAAAGGATAGTCAACATGAAGAATATCCATTGTGTATAAACCAAAATTTTAGTAATAATCGGTTTAACGATGGAAAGACATCATATTAAAGTTCACAAAATTATTGTGAGAATGAGTTGTCAACTGGATATCACCGATGCAGTTGGCATCTCCCTGATTGGGGTCTCCTGGGCTTAGGCCAGATCCAAAGAAACAGAAGTATCAATAGGAGACCTGTTAGTGGATCTTAGTGCATTACAACACCAAGAGATGACAAATATATTTTTTTTCTTTTAATATGTCGGCAAAGACTTCCACTGAAGTACTATATTGCCCCTATTGTTATATTATAAAATAATAAAGGTATGGATATAAATTATTATTTATTTATTTTTAAAAAGTCTAGTTCAGATTCTACTATAAATTTGCATAGCGACTAACTGAATGATATCCCTATCTAGATCTGCCAGCCCTTGGAGGAAAGTGCTATAGTTTCTGGTATTTATCATGTATGCTGCATTTTAGCATAACGTGCAATGGGTCCTCGATGGAGTTGCATGTCGAACATTTATCATTTTTATTAACTAGTCATTATTAACTGGAGAATTGCCAAGCCGTGATTGATATGACTGACCATGGTTAATTATCAATCTTGTAAGTATGACTATTTCTTTTCTGTTTAACTAAACACAAGGTTTGGAAAACAGAAATATTGTTAATACTGCAAGAAACAATTCTTTTCATAGTACCTGAAAGAGCCTAAATGAAGTGTCATATGTTCTGCCAAGGCTTGTATCAACTCAAATCATTCGCAATCATTTATGAAAAGTTGGTCTAACATCTTATACCCTTTAAGATGACCTGCAGCAATAGTGCATCATTGGAAACTCCACAGATTACGGTGCAGCAAGTGCCTACATGAGGATACAAATTGGAATGCTGTTATGTTTACTGACAAGTTCCGTTTCTGTATTTATATCGTAGGCGCCTTCCGAAGTCTTCCGAGAACAGGGCCATAATTGACAGATTTCTATTTTCTTGATGACAATATGCGACCTCATGAGAAAATTGTTCATCAATGTCTTGAAAATCTGGACATCTGCCCATTCCTGTATTGTCTCCAGATCTCAATCCCATTGATCACATGTGAGATATATAGCAGAGAAGGCTTTTCGACCACCATTTACAGCTTCTTAGCCTTCAGCAACTGAGAGCAGTAATACCATGCTTATGGTATAAAATTCTTTGTGATCAGTGATATAAAAGGTATGTCCAATAGGTGCAGAGAGGCAGTGCGTAACAGAAGATATTACACAGATTAATAAATTTAACAAAGTTTTTATAATTCGCATTTATAAAAACTTATAATTTAATTTTTTTTAAATACTTTTTATAAAATTTCCCGAGGTCAAATACAATCTTATTTGTATTAATTTTCAATGTACTTTATAATAAAAATTCTAGGAAAAATAAATCATACATATGTAACTAACAATATTAGTATTAATTTTTGAGCAGTTTAGATAGATAGGTAGATATATTACTAATTTCAATGTTTATATAATTTTAAAGGAAGGAGATGGCCTGGGGTCATAAATTATGACCGCCACTCCAGACCATCTTCCTTTATAATGCAACGGTTAACTGTTAAATATTCAATCATTTATATAATTTTATACATCTATTTTTTAAAAATATTTACAATTTTTTTGTCTCGTTTTATTCTATAATCTATATAGTTTTAAATATATTTATTTATTATACATTATTTTATTAACTCAAGATCATTAAAAGATACTTCAAGTTATTTGATAATTATAAATTATACGAATTAGTAGGGATGTCTTTTATATGATATAAAACACCACTTTGCCAACTGTGAAAAATTTTACTTACATTAAAATTCCCATGTATGATTCCCCAACTATAACTTGGAAATAAAGAATATATCGTTGAGATTTTGCAAAATGTTACTGAGAACATAGTTTTAAAAATGTGCATATAAATAAGACAAACACTATTACATATCAAATGTCACAATAATTTCATAGAAATGTTACTTAATGACTTTTTCCAATAACCAAAAGATATATGTCATCTAAAGAACCAGAATAATAAAATTCAGTTAATTAATTACTACAAAAGTAAACCAAATTTATGAAAATTACCTTTATATGGGTCTTTCAGACAAAGTTTTATCGATGTATGCCCAAGATAACTTCCAGATACATTAAAAGAACCTTGAACTAATCCATTATCCTCTTTTAAAATTTGTATTTGCCCAGTGTTGGCTATATCTATATTGCTAACAAGACATGATAAATTGTAGCCTTCAAAACCATTGGTAGGAGCAAAAGAAAAATTAACTTTCGTCGTCTCAGATACTATTAAATCGGAGACCACTGGTGGATTAAACAAAACAGTCATTGATGGTTTTGTATTCCTGGGAACAGCTTTGGTCTGCTTAGTGGTAAGGTGGCAGGCAGCGAACCAAACTGGTGCAAGTGATAGCATATACAACAGGATTATGTGAAGAGGCCATAATGGACACATAATCTACAAAATACAATAAAAGATAAATAATCTACAAAAGTTCTTAATTCTATAATAATTTCATAAACTATTATTAATGACAAAAGTATAATTCAGTATCTCTCTAATAAGCTTCGAGTCTCTTTGATATTCTTTTTTAATTTAATATTACTCAAAGGATATTAATTTAAATTTTCAGGAAGTAAAACTTTTGATAATTGACGCATTTTAAATCAAAAATATTTTTTATTGATTCCATATCTATGAAATAAAAATAATATTTATAATAGTCAGGTAATAGCACATATTACTGAACTTACTCCCAATATATCAATCCAGATGAGAATAAAAAGTAAAAGTGATTGACTGATGAAATACTTTCCAAAGAACTTTAGGTTATGGGACAGGATGAGCTAAGTACTATAGCTTACTATTTTAACGGAGTTAACTTCTCTAAAAAGTTTTGAAAACATGTTCACTCTTTAAGTATTCTGTTTTTCTGTTAATTCTGAACAGAAATTTATCAACTTTTCTAAGGGCTGAAAATTTCAAATTCATTGGTATCATATTGGTTTTGGAGCGTTTTACTTTATTGATTGACTTTTTATATCAGGTACACTGAGAATTAATATGTCATGAATTTATATTTAAAATTCTTATTAATTTTCATAAATGATAAATCACCTAGAAACAATAGTTAAAACTATATCTAATTTCGAAAGTCGAAAATGGATTTCCCTAAAACTAAATTTGATGAAAAATAACAATTACCTAGAATTATTTACGGAATACTAAAGTAGTTATCTAATCACTAATGAATGCATAAATAATTATATAGATCCATCATTTTTATTAGTTGTGGGATTTATAATTCTTAAATTGGGATAGGATTGTAGGGATAAATCAACTCCAGCTCCACTTCTTTTTAAGGTGTTGGTCTATTGTAAAATTGTAATGAAAATTGGTGCACTTGCTAATCCTTTCTTGCACAAAACAAGAAATATTTTTGGAAGAAATCAAGAGTGGATTTCCAGAAATTATATTGAGAAAGGACGCAAAAAATTTTCTGATCAATCTTAGAAGTTAAACAATAAGACAACTTATTAAAAATGATTCTTATGAATTACATGTTTTACTTATGTATTATTTATGACAACTACTATCATTATAAACTGTTTCTTCGGATCGTGCTAGATTCTTTCATGCTACAATATAGGAGGATAGCTCACAAAAAATAAAATGAATTCTTATTTCATAATGAAATATGTCTAGTTTAGAATAAAAATATAGAGAATATAATATGAAATTTGCTGCTATTTCGGCCTGAGGAACCTCCTTAGCTATAAGGCTTTGTCTCTTCAGACAAAGTGCTAACTTTATGAAACACTAATACGACAGGTACGAACCGATGCATTTGAGACGTGGACCGTGGGTAGTTCAGAATAGAAAGAACTTCTTATCTTAGAAAGAAAAATTTTGCGCCGTATTTTTGGATCCATTAATGAAGGAAACCAGTGGAGGAATCCCAAAGAAACTGCTATTGGGAAAACTGCACCGGTCGAGAGGAAGAGGATGGCCAAAGCTAAGATGGAAAGACGTGGCAATTAAGGATGATCAGGCCCTTTTGGGAGTACGAAATTGGAGAGCGGCTGCCCAGGATCGAGCCACCTGGCGAAGGCACATTGATGAGGCCAGGGTTCACATCGGGCTGTATTGCCATTGGAATGGAATGAAATAACAATTTTTTTTTCTTTATGGGGTTCTCTCATCTCCAGATCCACTAATGAGATAAATCAACTAATTCATTTGCACAAAGGGTCTCTCTACAACATTCGAGAAACTATTTCGATTACATTAAATGGAAAAAATATATATTATATCTATATTATAAGATAATCCGGGAGGAAACAATTGAAATGTGGAGCAGAGGGTGGGAAACGACTCCGAAATGGAGTACCTAAAGAAAATACTTCCCCACCGTTCAATCCTGGTTACAAGCGAAAAGGATCCTCCCGGACGATTGGGTTTCACAATGTATTACGGGACATGGGGTTTTAGACTACATGGCCTCGGACAGGATATAGATCCCCAATGTCTCGCTTGTGATGTTGCGGATAATATTCAGCGTGAGGTCATGGTCTGTACTGCTTTCGAAGGATTAGGAGCCATGATGACGAGAATTTACGTCCTCACCGAGGAGGGGTTTTCTCGCTTGGTGAGCGAGGAAAATCCCGTGGTTCAAACACTTTATAAATAGCTGGAAGACAGTGGGTCCAGCTCACTTCAATCTAGTGGCTCTCAGAAGGAGAAGATGACCAATGCCGGGAAGACCTCCGCATTCTGGAAGCCAGGTTTAATTGAATGAAAAATTGAAAAGTAAAAATTAAAAAAAAAAAAAGCTACAGAATGCTTAACATCAAACTACTGCGTACCTCCTTATTGCCATAGTTGCATGGGAAGGTGGAAATAAATAATTATTCCGAATATATTACCAACTGCATTACAAGCTTTCATAGAAAAACTGTGTACATAATTTCTTAAAGATGTTTTTTTGTCAGTATTCCGTATTTCCGTCAATTCTTCACGAAATCCAATGATTAAGAACTCATTTTTTAGACTTTTTTTCTTTTTCAGGAGTAAAAAATATTCGCATCCCCGGAAATTTAAAAAAAATATATTATGAAAGAAAAGAAACTTTATTTGCCAATAACACAGAAAGTATACAGTTATTGTCATTTCACATGACTATTTGAATGATTATTAAATTCCCAACGAAACTCACCATCAAAAATCATCGAAATCTGACTATTATCCATTAGGATATAGTTTATTATAATTTGTGAAGATGTTGGTTTAAAACATGAATGTAGTTTTAAAGTTATGTTTTCAATGGTCGATTACAATTACCGAGAAAATAAGAATTGATTCCTCCATCTTATGATATGTACATTGCATTATTTCATCATTTGTTTCACTGATCAATGTACTACATATAAATTATTCCCAGGTGCCAACTAATCATCTTTATTCCTCTAAACAATGTAAAATTATCAAGAAAGTTCATTTAACAGACAAAATTTGTGATTGATACTTTATATAGACCGTTGAGAAATAAAAGTTTTCTTTATAAGTAGGTAGCTTGTCCAACTGCATTTAATCCTTTCAGTTTAATAGTTCAGAAATAATACTTAACCATCTGTAAACTTTTACTCAGTATTTTTCTCACTGAGAATCATTAGGTTAGAGCAGAACAGCATACTTGGTTGGTAATTCTCTCACTCATTAAAAGTAAAATATATTAACAACCAGATATTTAAAACATGTCCACAAAATAAATTTATTTCTATTAGTAATATAGAAATATTTCTTGCCATATTATTATTTAGAGATCTCAAGGTTATTCTACTTTGTTTACCATTCCATTAGGTTTTCACTTTCCATAGGCTATAGTAGAAAACGACATTTTATTTTTAAATTTAAATGGTATGTGATAATTATTGCATGGCATATAGAAAGTTATTGGGATTCCTTCTATGTTTTATAGATGGAACATAGAATATAATAAGTATTCTACGTTCTATGGCTTCATATTTATTTTTGTAAATAAATATATCATAAGATATGCAACAGCATATTGAATCTTGGGGCTCTATCAAACCCTGCCACTATCAGATTCTACTATTGCTTTCTGTAGACATTAATCAGTTTCTGAAAATTTTTCTTCAACGCCTCATTTCTCTAAAAATATTGAAAGCTATTCTAAATCATAGTGACACCACCAGAAAACATCATTGAACCATTATGGTTAACTAGCGTTTAAAAAATAATTTCTTAGCATCTTCCTTGACACCAATCAAACTTCGATAAGAAATAGAATAGAATAGAAAAATAACTTTATTCTGGAATGAAGTCCTTTCAAAATTTCTTATAGGCATAAAGGATAATTTTCCGAGATCAAAAATTTAATTCTTCTTCTAATATTACTTTTTTTTACTTAAAATATAACACTTTGCGCTAATCCAGCATAAAATGTGTTAGAATAGTAGAGGGTCAGAGTAGTGTACTAGGAACACTGGTTTCATCTTCGTGTTAGTCCTCAGACCTCGTCAGACCAGACTTATTTGCTGATAACACTATTCTCTATTCTTCACAAAAACTCTGTGAAAGTGTCTTTCCTTAAAAAAACACTTCAACGATATTGTCGTTTGCGCTATCAGTTAGAACATAAGAATTTACGAAGTTTTAACTGTAACTATGGATTATAAAACGGTACCAAACATCAAAAGAGAGTTGGTACTTTATAAGAATCACCATTTTTTGTAGTTTCAAAGATATTTACAATAAGGTGCAGGTGCTTTGTTGTCATCTAAAAGCCCCCTTTTCTTTTCTTTTTTTTTCAACTTCGTTCTCGATTTGTCCTCCCGTTGTGTAAATTTCTGTTGTTCTTTATCTCTTAATTATAGGTTGAACGTATTATAGCTCTTTGTTTTTGGGGGTATGATAACCTGATAAGAGGTTAATTCGGGCACTGGAAAATTCTGTGTTGTGTTAATTTTGTTGATTTGGTGTTGTATGTAATTTATTTCAGATCACTGGCGCCTTCTTAAGCCTAAGATAGGGATGGCTTCCAGAAAAATGTTTAATAAATTTGTTTTTGGTAAGGTCTAATGGACATAAATTATTGTAACTATTATTGTAAATAGTTACTAACAACTTTTGTTTTTAGGAGGGAGGGTTGGTTGGTTTTTACCAACAAGGAGCTTAAAAAGTTTTCCTCCGCCTCCAAATTATGGAAGTAAGTTTATCTATTTTTGTATTGAACCAGAATACAAATTTCTATTTCTTTCTTTATATAATAAATAAATAAATGTATGAGAAAATAATTAAAATGTATAGGTCTCATATCATAATCTTTCTAGTTTGTATGTTATCATTATGATGTAAGAGAAATATATCTCTGTTTTACAAAAAAGTTTTTATGGACACATATTTTATTTATAAAGAAGGAGATGGTCCAGGGTGTTGGTCATATATAGGCTAAATAGTTTTGCCACTATTTAGTCTATTTATGACCAACACCCTGGACCATCTGCTTCCTTAATAATACAACGGTCAACTATTAAATATTCAATATTTTATTTATGTATCCAGAACAGGACGGATCATAATGAAGACACATTATTTCTTATTCCCAACAAATTTCACACACTAATCATAGAATGTAAACAAACCATTTACAAAAACAAATATTTAATAGTTAAAAATAAATTATGGAGGATTAAAAAAACAAACTTTAAACCACACACTGTACCCAATATTTACAATAATAGCAGATTAACACAATGTACACTTCTTCTTATTCGATAGCTCTACAGCCCGGGGTGGGCCTTGGCTTCCTGAACAACAGCTCTCTAGATGTCCTGATCCTTAGCCTTTTCCCTCCAGTTTGTAACTCTTAACCGCCTGAGGTCGTCCTCCACATACTCCAACCACCTTTTTCTCGGCCTTCCCCTTCCTGACACCATAAATTCTTCCTTAGCACATTTTTTTGGTATTCTTTCATCTGGCATTCTAAGAATGTGCCCCAACCATTTGATCCGCCGTGATTCTATAAAGTTTACAATTTCACTGTGATCGAATAAATCATATAGTTCCTTATTGGTTCTAATCCTCCATGCTTGAGTTGTTTTATCGTACAAGGGGCCAACTATTTTTCTCAGAATCTTTCTCGAAGACCCTTAACGAATTTGTCATGGTGGCAGTAATCGTCCATGTTTCAGCCGCGTAAGTAAGTATGGCTCTTATTAAGGTAGTGTATAGCCTTATTTTCATTTCCCTTGATATCAAGGATGATTTAAAAAGCTTTGAATTCGCGAAATACGAAGCGCCATTATCCTTCTGTGCACCTCAGTCATAATTCTGTTTTCATTATTTGTCTTTGCCCCTAGATAGGTATTGACGTTTTCGAAAACATGTCCTTCCACCACAAGATTATGTGAATTTCTTGAATTGTCTGAAGCAATGGACATATACTTCGTTTTTTTATCATTTATTTCAAGACCCATAATTTTACTATCAGCATAAATAATATTAAAAATTTCAGTAAGGGTTTGAGCACTTCTGGCATCAAGAGCTATGTCATCTGCATATGCACAGATTTGAATGCTTGAATGAAATATATTTCCCGTATTTATTCTATTAACTACCTTATGTAACGCTTGGTTGAAGAGAGTGGCAGACAGAGCATTACATGCCTTACATATTGCATACTCTTTGGCAATAACTTTGGCATTGCTATTGCTTAGATTCATCTGGATCAATCTGTTTTTCGGAATGTTGTATTCTAATATTGCTTTAATCAAGTTCGTTAATCGTTTCGTTATTGGAATGCAATTCTTCAATTTCTTCAACTTTCTTTTTCATGTACATCCTTTTCTTTGTACATATAAGTTTTCTAGTTTTTCTACGGCTTGTCTGATATTCACACTTTGTCTAGTAGAACGCTGCATCAGCGCTAATCGGTGGTCGTTTCTTTTCTTTAATGCTTCCAAACATTCATCGTCAAACCTCTCTTCTCTTCTACTCCTATCCTCCAAAACGACTACCTCCTCCGCCAATTTCATCATTACGGTTTTTATTCTGTGCCATGTCTTTTCTACTCCCTTATCTTCCTCTCCATCCTCTTTCAGTTTTTCTTCCATATTTTTATCCATTGATTCTTTTAAATCTGCGACTACTTGGATCTTTTAGTGTCTCCAAGTTCCACCGTTTCCTATTGTGATGTTTTCCAAGTTTGACTTTTGTGAGTCGCTCTCTAAATTTGATTCTAACCATACAATGGTCGGTGTCACAATCAGGACCACGTGCAGATTTAACATCTATTATTGAGGAGCTATGTCTTTTATTAAGACATGATCTATTTGAGTTTACTTATGAGGGAAGTATGTACTCTTTATTACCATATTATTTGATTTTACAAATTGACATAGAAATTCAGCATTCTTATTTGTCACATTATGTAGGGAATGAGCAATGGCAACATTTTTAATAAAATCCTCTTTTCCAATTTGGGCATTCAAATCTCCCATTAGTATTTTGGTATCATGCATTGGGCTATTCTGGTAAGTTCTTTCAACTTTTTGGTAGAATTCGATCTTTTCATCATCATTACTATCTTCTGTGGGGGTATATGTAGATATAACAGTGATATTTCTGAATTTGCCTTTAAGTCGAATTTAACACATTCTATCACTAATAGGCTCAAAAAGTAGAAGGGTATTTCTTAATCGCTTTGAAATTAGAAATCCCGTCCCATTTTGTCCGGTTCTTTTTTCTGCTCCACTGTACAGTAAGGAATACTCCATTTTGTCTATCCTTCCTTGGTCATTCCATCTTATTTCCTGTAGAGCTACTACGTCTACTTTGAATTTTATAATTTGTTCTGCCTCTTTCACCATTTTTCCTGGCTGTAGCATTGTTCTTACATTCCATTTAAAAATTGTTAACTCTATTCCAATTGTTAATATGTTTCTCAACAAGGTTTGTTTTCCGAGGCAGAGTCGTAAGCTCTGCGCTCAACCTCCAACCTGGAGGGCCAGGTCATTTAGCTTACAGGTTTCCGTCCTCGAGCCTGGTTGCTTCCACTACAGCTTACAGTCCAGACCATCCTTTGCTTTTCTGTTGGAGTTATCCTCTCCTAGCCTTTGAGTTTCCCCACCCATATCGTACAAGGCAGTACGAGGCCGTGCTTATTTGATGGTGGCACCAACTCGCCATGTTACAGCATCGTCTTCGGGTTATACAGTATTTAATGTGAGAGTCCTTGCCAAGGGACATCCACCTGCCTCTATGGATGCTGCCACCTCTAGTCCGGGACTGCTTATTTGGTTTATTTTTTATTCGCAGCTGACCTGTATATCTAAAGGTCTTTCCACTACCCACCACCTGTGGACCTACCCAATGGCCGAGGTAAGCCCTGGGACACAATGTACACTATTTACAAACAAATATGGGGGTTGGTCCGCCCTTAGGCTGACAGGGGTACCCTGTAGTATTTATTAATTACCTAAATTTATGTAATGCATTAAATATTTATTAATATATGATGAACAAGTTGTCTTTGTAATTTCTAATAAATATGTTTCCAATAACATTTTATATATATATTTATAATTAAATATTTAAAAGTCTTTGCAAATTACAGATATTGAAATACCTGAAAAAGGCAAACCTAGATTTGTTGAAAAAGTTCCTCAACCATGGGGTAATGTTAAAATGCCAAAAATGACTAAGAATTTAAAATTCATGAGGGGTCCAGAAGAAATTCATAACAGTCTCATACACAAACAATATGGAATAATTGTAGGTATCAATTTTATCATACAGAAATTTGTTCTATATTTTAATTATTTATTAGTAATGTCCTATTGTCAACGTTTTGATCTTTTAACCCATCTTGAAGTGAAAAGAAAAATAATTTTATTCTGGGACTCTAGTCCTCTTAAAATAATAGTAGAGTTAAAAAATATGTACATTTCTTCTTCTGGACTATTTTTCTTTATAGTTGTGATTTACCTTATTATTTATGACATTCTATTCTCATTTGTCATTAGATATAAATAATATACTCATTTTATTAAAGTTCTTGAATAAAATTATATTGTTTATTGAGAGTGTTTCTCTGTATAATTTCATTATTACACTTTTTTGTGTCACTCATATTGTCTAAATTTTTATTTCTTTGTACTATATATAACCATAGTTAACATAACTTAACTTCAATTTTAATTTATTAATGCTATTTATATTTTTGAGGCCTTAGGTGGAGGTAGACTAAAGTTTGGACATTTTGAAATGATGAGATTAACTATTGGCCGAAAGATGGATCCTAGTAGAATGTTCACAATGTGGAGGGTTGATCCTCCTTGGCAACCAGTGACTCGTAAGGTAATAAGCTCTTTACTATATAAACATAAATAAAGTTATATGAATAATAAATAACTAGCTAAAAAAGGCAAGAAAAAGAAAAAAAATAGAAATTCATTTAGTGAGTTGTGTTCTATTTTTTTTAATAACGTCTCTAAATGCCTCTAAGGTAATGCAGGTTGTAACTATGTGCTTGTCAGTTTTTAAATGTGTTACAACTGGAGTTTAGGGGTTGATTTCCCTCTCAAGATTGGTATTTGATGTAAAAATTTATTTTTGCTGTACAGAATGAGAAACTCAATAATATAATGGATTGGCCTAATTCATCTTTAGCCTTTACAACTAAATAATAATAGTATTCTTTATTTATTCTGGGACAAATCCCTTTAGAATAAAATACTGTAACAAAGTTCTGTGGTTGTAGAGCCCCAAAGCTAAATCAAAAAGAATAATAAAGTAAACAAACAGAAGTATTAATTATATACTTATCAGAAATGGCACTTTATTTTATAAATTTTTACAATTTTCTTGAAAACAGCCCTAACAATTTTGATTAAATTCATCATATTGATGTATAATTAGATATTCTTTAGTATCAAGTAGGTACTAACCTCATTGAATTCGTCTGATTGAGCTTAAGTGCCAGAATTTTCAAAAATAGTTCCTTTAAAGTATTTTTGATTTTGTATATTTGAAAATATTAACTATCTCTCATTGGCAGTATTCACAGCAAATGAATAAATATAAACTGTGAAGAAATATAATAATTTACTAAAATAAAATAAAAAAACCTTTTTCCAGATTAAAATTATTATGTCACTGGCTATATGAGGATTTTTTTGGGGGGGAGGGGAGAAAAAAATAAGATAGTGGAGAGTAACAAATAATAATTTTTGAAAACTTTAGATAGATGTACCCTTAATATAACTAATAAGATCGTTAATTTTCAACTTGCGTCATTTCATTTAAGTAACTTGTTTATTTTTCTTAGATGAAAGAATTTTAGAAAATTAGGATTGTCACATCTCTGTTTATTATTCTTGTTTGATCATCTTTGTTTATTATGACTTATTATAAATTCTCTGATGTTTACTGTGGCTTTCAGGGACAAGGACAAAGAATGGGTGGAGGAAAGGGTGCCATTGATCATTATGTTACCCCTGTAAAAGCTGGAAGAGTGATTATTGAGGTTGCAGGAAAATGTGAATTTAATGAAGTATGACCATTCATTTATTTGTTTTTTTATTGTTTATTGCGCCTCATCTAAAGTTTGACCAATCAATTAATAGTTAGTTAAAATACTGACCTCTTAATTAATTGATTGCCATTGTACAACTTCATGCTGAATCAGGTTAATGTGAGAGTTAGTGTACAGTCTACGAACCTTTAGAAACTAATTATATGATTCTCTTATCAGTAAATGTATGAATGATTGTGTGTGCAAGTTTTAATATGAAAAGATTATTGAATGATCTATTAAAATAGGTATTACATTATGTACAACTTTCTTCTAAAATATTTCTTTGAAATTTAAAATATTTCTGTGAATTAATTTCCTCTATCTCCGAACATTGAAATTTGAGAATGCTAAATTAATGATACTACGTACAGTTAGCCTTTGGTATTATCAAAACTGTCAATAGTATAACATTATTCAGATCATCTGTGAAATGTGTCTTAGATTCCTATTATTGTTATATGCATCTTAATTGTAGTGAACTTTTATAAAATTATTTATTTATAAGCTTTAATTTTTTTTAGGTGAAAGGATTCTTGGAAATAGTCGCAAATAATCTCCCTTTTAAGGCTATGGTTGTATCTCAAGAAATTATGGAAAAACAAAAGAAATTAGAAGAGGCTAAGGAAAAGGCCAACACAAATCCTTATACTTTTGAATTTATTATTAAAAATAATATGGGAGACTGCCATAGATGGATTAAAAGAATTGATCATTTTCATTTTGGAAAATATGTTTAATAATACATGTTTTGTATAAATTGAATATTTTAAAATAAGAATGATGAATCTTATGAACTTGATATAATGAAAGTTATTAAGAAAGTTATATACACATTGCAACATCAAGATGTTGCAGAAAAATTGTTTTAGTATCTATGTCAATATCTTTTTCAGAAGTAAATTTTTTAAAATTTTCTCAAAATAGAGGCTAGTGGTTCTTGTAGTATAGGACTTGAACTAGATTGCAGTGGTTCACCTAATTTTTTATCAGGTGAAATTAGTTAAGTGTATAATTACTACTTATTTCAGAAGCCATGCTGAAAGCATCCCATTAATAGTTGCACTACTATCAGGCAGATCCACCAGATAGAGTTCTAAAGTTTCATCTGGCTGGAATAGGTTGAATAATGTGTTCATCCTGCTCCAGTTGCAGATGTTAAGTCAAAATGAATAAAGCACTTATTTTGTATTTTTGTACTAGATCAATGTTCTATGAAATGTAGAAAATAAATGTAATATAGTGTTGCTTGTAATAAATAATGTGTATATATAAATTTAATTATTTTTTTATTATTGTCCATTTATTCCTTACTGATAAATAAAGAAAACTACAGCCTTATCAATTGTTCATGAGTCATAAATGTAAAAAAAAAAATTAAAATTTGTACCACATTTAGGATAGAGATTGATTTGGAGCATTTTACTAGTTGTTGATGTGAAATATGGAGAACATTCCACAAATTAGAAATATAATTCAGAAAGGCCATGAAAAGGTGAATCTTTAACTGTATTTTATATATTCTCTTAAGTATTATTAGTGATTCTTGCAAATTTAAAAATTGTGTTATACTGTATAAGTGTGTTCCTTATAAATAGAGAAAATAGGGTAGGTAGTTATTTACAAGTTACCTTTACTTATTGAGAGCCCTAGTGGTACATGTTTTTTTATTTTAAAGGCGCCAACCACCTGTATCATTATCGCTTTATTTTATTAATGATTAAATTCTATTGTCCAGCTTGCGCATTTCAAAAAATAAAAGTTCTTCAACAATACTCATATTGTCTTACAAAATGGTGTGAGCACATTTGATTTGAAAATAAGGGTAGACAGTAAATGATTACCTTGAGATGTGTTCAAGATTGAATCTATAAAAAAAAAAAAAATGTTCTTGATTACAGATTCTACTAACAAAATGTAATAGATCCAGTCAAAATGAACACTGTACAGATAACTAGGTGGCAATTAAATCTAATTCCAGTTTCAGTGACAAAACTTTCTGCTGAGTGTGTGTAGATCAGGGTACTTGTGAAAAATTCATCAGAGGAAATGGTTGATGTAAATGTCTCATATTGGTTTTTTAATCTAATCCTGTTAAATTTATTGGGAAAGCCTATTAACTCAATGAGAATATTTTAGAATTATTTATATGAGCAGGAGCTGTTTTGTTAATTTTACCAACAGTATGGCCGATAAAACAGTCTCTTCAGTTACTTCTACCTCCAAAAATAATTGTTTCTTTATAGTTAAAAAATGAGTGGAGGCAATTTTTCTGTGCTTAATTTAGTGGATATGCCTGTGCCTAGATCCACCATCGTATATGAGAAAATTTTTTATGAGAATTAAATTTTCTAACTATGTTCTTAGTGAAAGAAGAATAAAGGGAGATGTACTGATTGACGTTCATGTTTGTGTGGACCTTTTTTTAAATAATCCTAGACACCCACCTATGGCAGAATGATGGGCTCTATTTTTTATTTTTTTATTTTTATTTTTTTTGTAGCAAATGTATCTCAGTGCTATCAAATGAAATTTATTCCAAGCAGTGTAATGCTTTAAAACACTAGTTTTTTTCCTATACTAGCAAATTTATTGACTTATTTTTTACACATTCACTAATATGATAAGCTTTGTATATTTAATGATGTTAGAAATAGTGGCAATGAGATCACCTTTACTTTGTTCATGGTTGGAGAAGTGATGGTAGAGAGAGAGGACGTAAGATTATGAGATGCAGACATTTTTTTGCTCAGAGTACTAGTAAACTTGGAGCCGCCACAAAATGTTGACCACTAGTGTGTTGCCAGACTAATTGATGTTAGAGACAGTAATGTATATTATTAATGTTGGGTTACTGGAAATTATTGGTCCAGGATTGTGGTCATAAATAATTTAAAATAGTGTAAACTACGCAATTGAACTTAACTTTTGATCAACTTTTCAGGTCTTCAACAAGGATTAAATATACAAGGTCTAAAACAATGTAAAATATTGTAAACGTTTAAAGCTAAGATAAATTAGTTATGTAAATGAAGTAACTATTAATAGTAAATAAAAAATATAGTGAGTAATGCACGGGGCTCCTGTTTAAGGTCCCAGGTTCAGGTTCAGCTGTGCCAGGCAACTATTTATTCTCTTAGATCAGTCATGGGTCAACCTGGGTACCAGGCAAGACTGCTGTGGCACAGCCAGCCTCTTTAAGTGGGTACTCATAATTAAACAATGGGAGAAAACATAGCAGTTGAGCCTGATCTTGGCTGAATCAGCTCTCTGTACAGCCATTGGCATTGAAATAGTACTTAGTTGCAAAATGCTAAAGCCAAAACTCACAACCCATGGAGAGTGTTAAGGTTTTTTTTTTTTTTTTTTTTAGTAAAAAGCATTTGCAAAAAGTAGTTGATCACTATCAATATCAATCTATATTAGTTGCCATTGTTATCATCATTTAAAATTTTATGTCCTTACTATCATAGGGCCAGACTTTCTATTCTGGTTGTGGAGATGGTTCCTCCTCCTCTCCCGCAAAAAATAAATTTTAGAGAAGGGGTATTTCATGGCACAAGTTTTAATGGCATATTTTGAAGGGTTTTTGAAATTTTAAGAGGGACAAATTTCGACAGGGTTATGAATTTTCGGACAAAGGGACAAGGGGAAAACATGGAACAGACCACAGTAAGTATAAATATGATCTATGATTTTTCTATTTCTACGTGAGATGGCTTTGTTTTTAAGAAATGGTAAAGAATAAGATATCTAGGGAGGTGGGGGGGAGATAGGTTCTTGCACCATCCACCTTGGGGGAGGGAAGGGGCACCCATGTTTGAGAGTTTATATTATGTATGAAATTATGAGTGATAATTTACATAATTATTGTACAACAAACGTTGTAATATTATTTATAAAAATAAATTTATATATATATATATATTTATTTTTTTTGCACATGGGTATATTTTCAACTATGTTAACATAGTAATTAAAAATATTACATATTTTTACCAAAAGGTTTGAGGCAGTGAGATGAAATCTCAATTCTTCAAATTTGCTGCGAGATTGTGCGATAAAATCTCATAAAAATGCAATGGTGCACATGATTGAATCATAAAATCCTAGGATATGTTGCTACATATAATTATCATTGAATATACATAAAAATTTCAATGATATTTACATAGAAGCTGGTTAAGTACTTGCATACCTACATCTATGCCTTAGCTTAGCGGTATAGTCCACTTTTCCTATTTTATTAATTGATTTTAGTTTACATAATTTATTCATTCATTTGGATTAATGTTCATTTTATTTTTGTTCTTCGAAATATTGGGGGAGAGAGGGGGGAGGGAAGAGAGAGCGCGAAACGATATTCTTGCGTATAATTGCGTTGATTACCCAATGTCTGTCGTCATGCTTAGTGTATGTTTTATTTACTATTAATAATTATTTAAATTTTCATATTTTATTTATTTTAACTTTAAACTCTTACAATATAATAAATTATTTTGTGTCTTGATTTTTGCCATGATTAAGACTTGCAAAGTTAGTTTGTATAATATCCTTATGTAGAAAGTATTTCATAGCTTTAACAAGTATACTTTTGCAGATGCTATTGATCATTTTGTAAAATCTGCAACATATTTTGACTATACCGTCTATCATCACTCAGATAATTCTATAAAAAACCTACACACAGTGTTGGCTTTAGTAACACTTCTGGCATACGACGAGGGCGATAACCTATTTGAGCCGCCCGCCACTTGTCAGGAATTTTAAAAAATACTGAAGTAATGAGAATAATTAAATTTGATCCATTAATAAAGTAACTGAACTAGAGACACGTTGAATGAAATGTAATTCAAATATTACTTAGTATTAAAAAACTTAAGAAATAAATTTAATTTTTTGGGGGGAGGGGCAGATAACGTATTAATTGGGATCGCCAAATGTCTAAAGCAACCTCTTGTCTTGCTCAATCAAACCCACAAGAGTTTTTTAAAATTAAAAATGAAACAATTATTTTTTTCTGGACACCTGCCCTTTCAGTGGTTCCTTAACATCTTGATCGAGCGGAAGTCGATGTCGGTGTGTGACTTAAGCATCCGAAAATTTATAATTCTTATGAAATTAGATAATTAATGGATTAAATTTAATTAATGGATGAAATTAGTTCGTAAATATCGTAAGTCGGGGGATATGACAACCTAGAACTCGTAATGGTGGAAAAAACTAAATCATCTTAATTTAGCTTTAGAGTGTAGATTACAGCTGCTTACTTCCGCTCACTGCCGAGTTAAAGTAATTCCTATCGTAAATAGGTTCAGTATCAGCTGGGGACGGACTGATAACGAATGTGTTAGTTTTAGTTTTTAATTAAAAGAAAATACTCCAGAGTATGAACCCATCATTTCACAAGTAATAACTTGAAGACAAAAAGTTGTATGGATTAGTAGTTAAATAACAATGAACATCCTATGATCTGACCTAGATAAGGAAATAGAAATAGAAAGTATTGTATTAAGAAAAACTCCTCACTTCCGGAATGTCTTTTTTGCAATTTATCTTTATATGAATCTGAAAAAAAACGTATTGCTACGAAGAAAAAATAGGTACTTATAGATAATCTATGAACATTGCTTATTATCAAATGTTAGGAAAACGTTGTTTTACTATACATCTCATATTCCATAATAATAATTCTTATTTTTCTAACAAATGTACTATTAGTCTTTGTTGGAATTAAGAAAAGGAAATGTTTTTATTCGTATAAATTAAACCACTCGGCCTATTTTTCTTCCTGAAAAATGTCTAGATATTTTAACTTGTTATAGAAATTTATCTTTTCACAACAGAATATAATGGACGGACAAAAACAAATCGATTTATGCTTGATTCTTATGTTATGTCCATTCTCCTTGACAACTACTAGTGGTGTTTAGAAACTGATGTATCTTGACAACTACTAGTGGTGTTTAGAAACTGATGTATACTCATTTTCTCGTTACATTGCAATGTTTAAAAGTAATAGATCACTTTCACCAGATAATTTACAGTCGAATATACCGGAATACGACAATATACCTTCCAAAAAATTTATTAAAATAGGTAATTATAATTCCTAAATGCAAACGGATATTATCAATAATATAATCCTTTTTAAGAAGTTGTAAACATTTTGCAGGTACACATGTTCTATCTAACTTGCCTTTGCAAGTGTCTTTGTATTTCAATTTGATTTTTTTCCCATTTTGGTGTATGGTTTATCTGTTTATGATACCAGAAAAGGTAGTTTGTATCCATATTCTAATATTTGAACTCAAGGATCATTGGCAGTTTGTTGAGTTTCTCCTTTTTTCTAGTTGGAATCCCTCAGTACACTGTATAAGTTTATCCTGGCGCTTACTTTGGTTGTTATAAATCTTATTGAAGCAATTCGTCTTTACATCGGCTACAAAGGGAATTTGAGGGAGAAGGTAATAAATTATTGAATTATGTTTTTGCTATGCATTTTTCATTTTATACATGTTTTTGAATAATTTTTGTTATTATTTTTAGATTGCAGATTTGGCAGGGTTTTGGCTTATTACTTTTCTTTTGCAGTCACCTCTGCAAACATTTCTATTGTTTTCTGCTGGTTTGAAAACAAGTGTTATAGAAAAAATTGTACAAACGATTATGTGTTTATTTTTGATTTCACAATTGTTATTTGGCTTAATAGCTTTGAGAAATTCTTCCAAACATTCAACCTTAATGTTTCATTCATCAAATGTTCGTTTGGAAGATTCAGAAGATAATAAATGCAATTACAAACTATATTTTTAAATCTGTATTTTTCACCCATTTCCCTCATAAGTTATGTGAATTAACTATTAAATATTGAACACTTTTGTTTCTGAATTATTTACGAATTTTGTATTAATATTAGTAGGTAGTGGTTTTCAAAACGTTTTTTTTTAACTTAGAAAACTGTTTTGATTAGTGTTTTACATATTATTACACAAGTATGTAACTTTTCCTTAATTCTGAAGGAGAAACAAATACATAAACCTATATATTCATATTTCAAGCTTTGATAAAGTTAGCAGTTGTTACTTTGTAGCTTTTATGTTGGTAACAGGTCCAACTGAACCTAACGCCATGTTGCATTGAGTGGAGAATGTGGTGTAGGAATATTTCTCTACGGAATTCGAATAAATTCGGAATTGATTGGCTAATAAATCAGTAAAATGAGCACATTCCTAGAGTTTGTTACAGAGGATCATTTTCTTTATTTTATTGTTGATGGACGAAGAAAATTGTGATAACACAATGGTAAGCTGAAACTATTTTATCCACAAATATGGCGTCGATGATCTCTTATTTTGTTTGTCCAATTGCCACGTAATGGAAATTATTTAATAAAATGTAATTGACGATATAGAAATTTATTTTTTTGACTGTTTTAAACTAGTTTTAATATGTGTATGGTGATAATTAATGTCGAATTGAAAAGCATCGTATTTATATTTCAAATAATTCGAAACTGCGCGGTGCCAATAACTGAATCATTAAAGTGTTAGACGTTTTTCTCTCAATTTTAAAAAAGATATTTTGTTATTGTTATTGATTCATGAATATCGATACTTTTTATTAGTGGAATCAAAATGTGACAGATGCTGTAAGTAATTTATTTAAGTTATATGATTCTTTGTTTTTATTTATTTATATTTATTTAATTACTAATTAAAGGAGTTGCATATTAGTTTAAACTTGAGGCATATACAGCTAACTGCCACCCATTGCTGTGAAATAACATTGTTACATCCTTATAAACAAAAACAATATTTTGATAGGTTCTTTTTGTGCGTTTAATGTTTATCATAAACCAATTCATCATAACAATTCATTTCTGAACAACTTTTTAAAAACTTTGTACATGTCATTAGGAATTTGGTTGCTGGTTCTATGTTGATATACAGCATTGATTAGTTAATCGCTCTTATTTTGGTATTGTCATTTGAGTTTGTAATATTTTGACTTCATGAGCTTATTTGTTTCCTCTTTGGAATCAATTGTGGGACTTTTTATTTAGGTTTACAATTTAGAATGTGATTTTGGCTGAGTACAAACTTAATAAGAGGGAGATATCTGTAATACATTTCTTTTATTTATTATTTTGTTAAGATTATTTTATTGTAAAAGCCTAGAGTAAATAGAAAAGTTTAGGATTAGTTGGAAGTTTCTTCAGTATTGTACATCGTAAGAAAGAACACATTAGATGGAGTTAGGCATGAGTGATACAAGTTTTTGTGCTGTCAGTCTGGTAATAATTTTACTTAATATTCTCAAGAATTTTGTAAATAGTAATCAAATTACCATATTTATCTAAAAGCTTTTGTAAATTGTGATTACGTCTTTAATAATTATTAAAGGAATATGATTGTATACAGTTGAGAAAGCCATTGGGATTTCTAGTGATATATATTCTGAGGGACATTTGATCTTATTTTGTTTTTATTGTTTCTAGTTTGTGATTTTTAAGTGTTAAAATGTCTTTATAGATGAGTGGTTATTAGTTAATGTTTATAAATAGTTTTTGCTAGGTATCTAGTTTCTTATTTCAGGATTTGTTATGACTTATTTTGTTATTGTTTTTTCATTCTTTGTTTATGTTTGTCGTATCTTTAAATTTAAGGTTTATTATCCTTATCTTAATATTCTAGTGTTTTTGAAATGAATTTTTCATGATATAAGATCATGAAATATTACCATTTTCTTTTTAGTAGATGTTTTAAGTCTGAATCAGAATCCCATTCCATATTTAAAGTAGAGGATGTGTCCTCTTCATCATCTTTAATTATTGAAACGCCATCACATATATAATCTTACATACTTTCTACAGAGAATGTTTGTCTCCTACAACCACATTTATCCTTGTAAATTTTGTACACTGGTGAAGTATAATATTTGCCTTTAGAGCGGGTTTTCTTAAGTTGTTGAATGGAAACTATATACATAGGCCTGGTGAAGGGGGATTTTCTCGTTATCTTGTCTTATTCGAAGTTAGTTACAGAATCTGCTTATGTGAAACAGCATCTATTCTGGTTTTAGTGGTCTAGATAGATTAAATTTATTTTCTTCTCAAAATCTATATAACAAATTTACCTGCTTGTTTACAGATTTTTCATAAATTTCTATAAAATATATGAATCTATAAAAATTGTTAATTTATAAAAAAAAAAAATCATTAAATTTGAAACGATGAGAAAATATTCAATGGATATCATATTTGATGACTAATAATTTTAATTTAAATTTGACTGCACCTATACTGTGTATATTAATCTTATGGGATTCACACTCTGCAGATATACTACACATCACATGGCATCTAAAACACCATTTCTTTGTCTTGCTATTATTGTGTATATTCCAAGAGTAAATCATGTAATCATGGTTTTAATTTAATTGAATCGTGGTCTTACCCTAATCCCTTATTGATTAGTGAAATTCATGGGAACGCCCAGCTACTTGCTTTAATTTAGCTACTTAAGACATAATAATTTTCCCATCATGTCACTGCCTTATAGGTGTTTACATTTTTCTTATTCTACTTACTTACTTCCACGCAAGCTTCTTTTTTTCTTTTTTAACATGGATGATGAAACAGTAAATATTTCTAAAAACCTGTAATCCTATTGAATTATTTAGTATATATTTTTTTTCTTAAATATTAACCTTTCATTTCAATATTAATCAAAAATTCAATTTTTTGACGGATTAATGTCTTCAAAAAGTTACTATATACTTATTTTATTAAAGTTTAATTATATTTCTTATAATTTTATGGTTATTATTTTCAGAATTTGATATGAACAATCCTCACCTTGGCTTTGAAAAGCCAGTTGTTGAAAAACCTTGTGTTGGAACTCAAGTGCTCCCCTTGGCTCCTCCCTTGCCAACCCTGCAACAGGTATTGTATTCATATATTTTAGATTATATTTATAAGTGTTTCCTTGATACATTAATTTATATGAATTAGAGTTAGATTCTGAAAGCCTATGTTAATCATATTGATCAATTTTTTGCTTCCTCACTACTGAAGATGAGGAAAGCATTGTATTCGTGCGTGAGGTTAAAAAATTTTTTGTGCTCAGAATCGAAAATTTCCACTCTCGTTTTACATTTCAGACATCAAGGATCATATTTGGTTCGGGGTCTGTCTGTAGTCTAATTGAAGTGAAGGGCGTATCACCTAGTACCGTTCATCCGATTTTCATGAAATTTTCAGGGATTGTACATGTTGATGCCTAGATGGTCCCGTATTAATTTTTTCAACTTCCATCCAGCACAATTGCTTATGCATGCACAAACATATTTTTTTAGATATGCGAATATTTCAGAAAAGGCTTGTACTTGTTCAATTTGGCTCAAAGTTGGATAAAACGTAGGTATTTGTGAAAAAAATAATGTAGTGTCAATTTTATTGAATTCCTTCCATTACTTTCTCTTATATATGCGCAAACGTGTTTTTCTTGATACGTGTATATCTCTAAACTCCAAGTTCCACTTGGCTCAAATTTGAAGAGAGGTTAGGGATTGGTAAACAGATAATCAAGTATGTATGAATTTAATCTAAATCTATCCATCACTCCTTAAAAAATTATTATTTGACACGCTTATAGTTTGATAACAGCCCGTTCGATTCGACCCAAACTTTGAGGAAATAGTATAGAAATTACCCAGCATCAATTTCATTGAATTCCATTTAATAATTAAAATAAATATAAATAATTGTTGACAATATAATGGCTGTGAAATTTGGAAGACTTTGATCATCTGGAGTGGGAGTTAAGTTAAGAAAATATTTTTATGGTGTTACAAAATATTAGATTTTATTTAAAAAGTTAATTTATAATGTATTGTTTGGTCGACTCTAAACTTTACTGGCACGATACTTACTGCTGTTACTTAGATTTTATGTAATTTTCAGTAAATTTAAATTAATTTTTACTCTGAGTTTGTGATAAAAAAAAAAATAGACTTATTTGTGATAGTGTTTATTTCTATTGAAATTTAAGCAACTTATCGTTGTCTCGATTTCCAGCTTAAATGTCAAAGTTTCATAAATAGCTTCATCTCATTGTAATCTACAAATATTTTATTTACGAAAATTCTTGGAATAGGGGTGTTTTCAATATGGAGGTCGACAAACTTTGTCTACATAATTAGGTAATTAAAACTAGTAAATACTCATTTGCTTTCCACTTCAATCGTGAGATAACCAGCTCACAATCGATAAAAAAGGTGCCCTTCAAAAATATTGAGCCATTTGGCATGACCTACACCCCCAAATTGTCAAAATAATAGGGTCATATAGGCCAAATGGCTCAATATTTCTGAAGGCCACCTTTTTTTTCGACTTTGAGCTGAACTTATCTTATGATTTAAGCGGAAAGCAAATGGGTGTTCACGAGTTTTTAGTACCTAATTAATTAGACCTCCATATTGAAAACGCCCCAATTCCAAGAATTTTCGTTAATAAAATATTTCCAGGTTACGATGAGATAAAGCTATTTACGAAGTTTCAGGCAGATGTTAATAGTTTGATAAAAAGGGTTCTGTACCATGACTAGAACTTTACAAATATTTTTATATTCCAACTTATTTAATTTTTTCTGACTGAAAAAAAGTATTGGGTATCATTAACTCCGAACAAACAAAAGTTGATTTTTTCCTATGGAATTTTTTATTTCATCCATTTTACGAGTGAAAACCATACCTATTAAAAATATATCATTACTGTAAGTGCAAAAGATCGTGTGTCAAATTTTATTCTATTTCTTTTAAAGGTAATATTTTGTAGTTTTTAACTGATATAAGCAGTCTGCTATGATAGAAAATAGCACAGGGCAATAAAATATAAAATTCTACTAATAAATCATATAGAAACAATTAGTTTTTATACTCTCATGTAAAGCACTCAATTTATGCATACATTGATGTGTTCAGTATGCAATGGATTTTTTTTTATTCACGATTCATCAAATAAGTAATTTGCGAATGCGTAACTCTTTTGCATTGTAATATTTGCTGATGAACAATCAAACCTGTATATGTTGAGGGGTTAATGAATTAATGATGGGATTCTGAAAATGACTTCTCCCAGAGATTTTATTCTCATATGAAAAATGGTTAGATCTTGTATTACAGATAATTTTAAGCCAATGAAAACGGTGAAATGGTGAGGAAGCTATACTGACTTTACTTGGCAGACGTTTTTAAGCCTGTCAATAAATGTCTACTGTTTTTTGATAGATTCGAAAACCTTATTTATAAAAAATTGTCAAATGCAGGTCATTCAAAGTATCGTTCATTGCTAGCCACTATTTTTTCCCATCTTTCATGTAACATACGGATTTCCCGTTAAAAAAAAGAAATATCTTTTGAGGCAATCCAGTCATCGTCCCATTTTTTAGTTTTGTCATAAGAATGGAAGCTCTACTGAGCCAGGCAGTGAGTTAGAGATCGAAACAAGTGGTAGTTGGAAGATCAATCTGGAGGATACAGGGGAGGGAGACGGAAGGGGGCAGAATTTCTGGTTTCAGCTTTTCTGAATAAAGTTTAACCGGGTTAGCTAGCAACATGAATTCGTTTAGTTATCATAAATTACTTTATCATGTCTCTGCTTGTATTTCAGTCGCTTTTGCTTCAGGTCTTGACTGAAATGTATCAATTATAGTCTATAGTGATCTATGATGTATTGGGATTGATGCAGCTTTCGTTTTATTTTTTCAGCTGGATGGTCGTAAAATCATTGTTTTAAACGCATTGAAACCATTATCTGCATGTTCTTTCCAATAGATCATAAGTTTCTACAAGAGTACTTTGCTCGTCAGCTGCAGATTTCTTTTGAAAAAATAGTATTGAAAAATTTCCTGCTAAAACAGTTTTGAATGTACAAAATTCTCAATGTTTGAAGAGATATAAGCAATGTTATATACACCATCAGAATTTAAAATAGACTGATGATCAGAGTACAAAGGATTAGCTCTTGAATAAAATTGATTTCAATGTTGCCAGATGCATGTGCTAAGTATCTATTTCCCTAAGTGGGAAAGCAATTCAAAAGTTTGCTAAATATAAAGTTACCTATGTTTTATTTATTTATTTTTATTTTTTTTTTGTTCTTCCCTACCTCGTCTTTTAGGCTATAGGGATTTTCGCGGGACGGGGGGTGAGGGCGGGGAATTTAAAATCCTCTCCGGCACCGGGACGCGAACTCGTACTTTTTATATCATCTCAAACCTCTGTTATTCGGTTGCCAGGCAACTAGTGGTGCTGTGCACACGCTTTAGCCTATTCGGCCACCCCGCCCCCAAAAGTTACCTATGTAGGTAAACAAAAATTTTCTAGACAACAAATGACAAAAACATATTTACACACCCTGTAATTCATTAATTTATAGATTTTTACTTTCCCTATTGCTAAGGTAATGAAGGTATTGCAGAGATAGTGACTGACCTGGAAAAATGGAAAAACTTTGAGAATTATTTTAGTATATAAATATCTTTTTCAAATTGGAAATAAATTTACACTTTATATCGTTTATAACGATCTTGAAGAAGTAAACTTCGCTGTTATGAACTACCACAGTCTCTTTATCCATCCACCTTTGACTCTTAATAACAACACTGAGCATTGTATTGCAAATTTGCATTGGATATGTCAGCATTGTGATAATTCTTACGAACTTTCAGCTAAACCTTTGAATTCAATTTGTTAGCAAACTGAAAGAGAATGCTGGCAGCTTCACAAATATTTTTTTTTTAAACATTATCGTCTAGAGAGCAAAATATTAGTTTGATGTTCATCAAATGGATTGTGAATTGATTTTAAATATTTGTTAATCTTTTCGAATAAAATCTGCCTTAACTCGTTTTTTTTTTTTTTGTTTTTTTACTTAGATTGTTGTTTTTTGGGATTTAAAAGATTGACCATATTCAGCATCCTGTCTTGAATACATGCACAATTTTTTCAAATTGTTAAAAGACAGGTTGAATTCTTGAGCAAGGCTACTATTTCCTCTCCAGTCGGTAGCATATACTCGGCTTTTACTAGGCCGGTTCAAATCTCTCATATTTTAGATCTTATCAGATCTGCTTTCACTACTCATCACAACGCGACGCTCTGGTATAATAGCATTCACTCAAAACAGTAGTAGTGAAGGAAGAAACATAAAAAACGCACATAGACAAGGAATAGATAGGAATTAAAGCATTATAAGTGTTTAATAGAAAATCAGATCCCAGCTGACCTGCCAAGAAGAGATGCAGTAGCCTGCTTCCATCTGGCGTCTGGCCACAAATGGAAAGATATTTCTTTGTAATGTAGCTCTGTCCCAGCACTTTTCTCTGCCTAAAATCTTCACAATTGTTTAAAAACTGAAAATTGATACAAGTTCTCCTTTCTTTTAAACTTGAACATTTCTGTTGATGCTATGAATTAAGAATATTAATAACTACTAGTTGGGCCCATGCGAATGGTTTATTGGTCAATGGTCAAATGCTAAATCAATAAGAAATCTGTTATTGTTGTTAAAAGTTATATAAAAAATGTTGTATTGATAGTATAAAAATATAAATTACCAAAATATTCTAATTTCTAGTCTGAAGATAAGAAAGTGGATCCCGAAACGTCATAATAAAATAAATAATAATTATTGAGAGAATAAATACTGTTATAAAATCTTACTTATATACCTCAGAAAAAAAGTATCTCCCTTGGGACTATTGAAGAAAATATTGGAACGTATCATAAGATGGAGAGAGAAATCAATTTTTGTTTTCTCACTAATTATATTCGTCAAAGGAAATTAATATTATTTTAAAACTTTATTCATGTTTTGAACAAAATGTTTACAAATTTCAATAATCTGTATCTTTGCTAATAATAGTCCAATTTCGATGATTTTTTTTTTCTCATTTATAAGGAATTTTAGTAGTCTTATTAAAAATCATAGGTGTAATCAACAAAAGAATGTATACTTTTTGAGTTATTCGAAAAGTATACATCGTTATTCTTGTACTATCTCGAAAATAGTGAGGTAGTTCAGAAGGAACTAATCTACCAGATCTTGTTGTCCGCTTCAAATTCTTCAAATCCCGATTTTTCCCATATCGATCCACCGAGTTTATCACTGTTCAGTATTGAAGCCTAGCAAAAATATTTATATCGACTTTATTTATTTTAGAAAGAAAAGCAAAAGTAGATAGTACGATTTGTTTACCTAACTCCCTATGCAATTCTATATCCAACTGTACCCCATTCATGAAATTTGTGCATGATAGGAGCTTATATTTGGCAGAAAATCGATCGTGAGCCTTAGTGTAATAATATATGTAGGGATAAAAAGTGTTTATTGGTAAGTATTAATGGTGCGTGTACTGATACTGCTTCAGTTTATAGTAACGTTTCCCACTGATGAATTTCTTAAACTATTATTTTAATTATTAAGTGACAGTTGATTACCACTTTTAAGTCTTCTTGGCTTTGTTATAATTTTTTTAGGCTATAGTTAAAGATGATTTATTTTATAATCACACTTCATATTAATACTTATAGACGTGAATAAGTATGACTGAATCAGAATATTTCATTTAATCACTTCTCAGTATATAATGGTTTGTTTATAATTGATTAAATGTTTTAAGAATTTTATTGTGAAGTAATCTGGTGAATGGGAAGTAATTAGATTTATGTCTACAATTTTATTAATTTGAAAAACTAATAAAATTAAAGCCTCAATATTAAAGAAATTGTTATTTGTTTATTATTTTGAATTAATATAGATTGTTTTGAATCATTGGAAAGTTATACTTAGAGAGAATTATGAGATTCAGTAATAATAATAATAATAAGCAAACTAAAAATTATAGAATGATGAATGACATGCTAATGATCTGACTCATAGAGCTTTTTAATGATTCTTCTTCTGAGGGAAAAAAACTGCTATTTTTTTTGGATCCATTTGATTTCAGAAAAAACACTTCCCATAAAATGATTTTATATATTTTGCTAAATAACTATGTAACTAAACCAGTTTGGGCCATACTTGTATATATGTTTATTTATACTTATAACTCTATAAAAATATTATTTTTGTTATACCCATATATGTACAAATATATTATTACATGCTGCATATTTAAAAACTTTTTTTCTCTTTTTCTAGGGTCCACCGTCAATGACAAGGTTGGCAAACTCGAGCCAAGGGGGGCGACTCCAAGTCCGCTCCTCCCCGACTTCTATCCTGTCCGATTCTCCTATGATGACCAATCTCCAACCTCCTAGCCAAGGTAACCCTCAACCATCACTATCATTAAGTTTGTCATCATCTTCAACGAGAAAACGCAAGCTGCCGCTTGACGAATATAATTCCTTTAAAAAAAGAATAAGAGATTTAAATGATAATAAAAGTAAAAGATTTCAGACTAAGTTTGCAGAGAGATGTGCTCTTCTCTGTTATCTGCAGGCAAATGGTCACCTCTCAGATTTCAGTCCATGGAGGTCTCGTTTGCCTATAGTTCCTTTACAGACATTTCTAAAATCAAATAAGTTAGATACTGGTAATGATGGAGAGGATCTGTATAAACTTCTGCAATCGCAGAATCATTCTCTTCTACAATCTGCTCTTACTGGGAACAGGCAAGGTAATGTGTAATGAATTTAAACTTTCTACTGGTGCTGGCACACTAATTTTGAATTTGTTTTGTACTTGGCATGCTAAGTAAAGGAGGACCTTTGATTATTAATTTTTCAAGTATTTTAGTATTAAAACTAATATGCTAATACTTCATAATCGATTTTAAGTAAATAGTAATAAAAAATTATAGTAGATAATGAGCTTATTATTCTGTCCTAAATGCTTGTGTTTTCGTAAATGACTTGATGGAAATTTATTTTGTTCAATAAAATGAGCTTAGTATAGGAAGGTTGTTAAATGTTATGAAGTAGTTAGTTTTTTAATAATTTAGCTAAGCTTGAAGTAGTTAAACACTATTTAAATAGCTAAACATTTTATTTATAGGGTGTGACAATATATTAATGCTTTGAGGTATACTCTTGTAATAAAGGAATTTTTAAGTTAAAGGATTATCATTTTAACAAATTAAATCAGATATAATTGTGCAATGGTGTTGACTACATTACAATATTGGTAAAAATAATATAATTCAATATTCAGATATTACTATGGAACATGAGTGTTTATGGGAAACCTTTTGGTTAATAGAAAAAAACATGGACAGAAAAACTAGACAATAAGAAAGCTACTGTAAAGTTAATACTAGCTGTTGAAAATTAAACTGAATGAATTTCATTTTAAGATGTGAATTATTATAAAGTATAAAAAAAAGAGCTAATATTTATCTACCTCTTCATCTGATATATACTGGCACATAAAGTTCTTTATAAATTCTTCTCAATACACTATCCTTGCATGTTGCACTTTATTTTCTCCATGTTACCAATGACAAGATAAAAAATTGAAAAAAGTATAAAAAGATAAAATAGCATTATGTTTGATAAAAAAAATTCAGTGCTTACATTTTGACTGTTTGGTACTAAAAATAAAAATGTGAGTCGTGCAGCCAAAGCTACATTGATTAGACAATAACAAAGTAAGGTAAAGGTGTAAAGATATGAAATGACAATATAAACAAAAAATAATCAAATGTGGTAAATCTATAATGTAATCAGTAATCAAATGTAGATTTACATTGAAAAGTATTCATCATAAAAAATAAATTGTATGAAACTAAATGAATACAAATATATAGACAAGCAAGAAAAGAAATTATAAATTAATGAGAACATATCCCTCTGATTACTTCAAGCATTGTAATTATGCCATCTTTGAATATTCTGAGCATTATCTAAATCCTTATCCCTCTTCCACTTCTCTAACCTTTCATTTCTGTTATTATTCTTCCTTCATTACTGCAAGACTAATTCTCTTCTCAGCTCACCATTAGGCTAGTACTTTTTACTGTTAATAATGTTTGTACTTGTTAATAATTAGTTTTATTTATTTTTATCATAATGTATTTATTTTATTAAGCTTATTTATGTTATGTACTTAATTTTTTTTATTTACTTTTTTTTTTTCTTACTACTTCTTTGTTTATTTGTTCAGGTTATCCTTTGATGTTCTTTAATCCCATTACTTTGTCAAATATCTGTTTGTTTATGCTATCTTTGCTCGTTCTCTTCATTCCAAAGAATTTCAATCTCCTTTTCTTCATTGATGTTTCTAGATCTTCGATATCTTCACACAATTCTTAATTCTTTTTAGGCCAGTACTCATCTCCCATCTTTCTTGGTCCATGAATCCGCCTTATTATCTTTCTCTCTGTTTTCAGTAGCTTTTCAGTACTGGTATCCCATTATCTCCATTCTATATAACACTACAGGTTTAAGTACTGTTCTATAAAATCCTATTTATTGAAAGATTCTTGTTACATTGGTTTTATGGAACTAGATATCTCAACTGTTTAGATTAATCCTGTATTTAGTTCTAATTTTCTTTTCAGTTTCTGCATTAGTTAGGTAGGTCGGGCCATTGGAATACATATCAGATATGGCAAGAACGGAACAAATAATGAATACAAAAATAAACTTGTTCTTCTTTTTCTATCTCTAGTGGCTCTCAGCGTGGAGGTGCCTCGATCCAAGCTTTCCATCTATCCTGGTTCCTTGCAAATGCCCTCATGGAATCCAACAGCTTTCCTCTTTTCTCTCGTAGTCAAGCCACGACATCCTTGGCCTGCTTCTTGGTCTTTTTGCCAGTCGGTCTAGTTTTAAAGAATTTGTGTGGTCCACGGTCTCCATCCATTCAATACCACTTCAAATGCCTCTTCTCAAGAATTTCAGTTAATGGTTTCATCCCTAGCTCCTCTCTTATTTTGGTATTCCTGAAGTGTTCTCTTCGTGTTCGGCTAGCTACTTTTCTGTGGTATTTCATTTCTGAGGTAGTGATTCTGTTCCTCAATCTGTCTAAAAGGACTCAGCTCTTACTTCTGTATAGTAGGGTGGGATGGTATATAGCATTAAAAGTGTAAAGTTATACTTTTTTCTCAACTGTGTGTTTCCCAACAACAGTTTGTTTGTTTATTTAAGCTTTAAGGTCATCAATGCCTGTGAGTCTGTTATGTTTGTAAACTCTTTAGAGGAGAAATAGAAAAAAAGAATGAATAATCAAAAATTAATAATAGATAGATAGAGTAATAAAGGGAAAAGATTTTTAAAAACATATAAAAAATGAAATATATTAAAATAAATATATAAAAAAAAACAATAAAATAAAAATTATATTTATTTTTATATTTTATTTAAGTCTATGGATTTTAAGAAATTTTATAACTGTTTTTATGTTTGATACATTGTTGATTAATACTGCTGATATATCCGGTTTTAGAGATAATCGATTTAGGCTTGAATTATAATAAGTGCATTCTTGGAAGATATGGTTGACTGTGAGAAGGCTATTGCAATGCTGACAATTTGGTGGTGGCTGCTTAGTGATGAGATGTACATGAGTTAGGTTCGTGTGTCCTATTCTCAACCTGGTCACGGCGACTTCCTCTCTAGGATTAGGGCGGTTTGATGTGATCCAGGGCTTTGCTGATTTTTTAATAACTTTTAATTTTCTAGGTGGGCTTTCGTTCCACATAGATTGCCAACTATCCATTATTTTTTTTTGAGAGGAAAACTCATTTCTGTAGGGGTCAGGATAGGAGTACCTCGTTCTGGAAGCGCGAGTGCCTGTTTGGCTGCCATATCCGCAAGCTCATTACCAACCATACCCATGTGACTGGGAACCCATATAAAACAAGCCGATTTACCTAAATTTTCCAGAGTGCGAAGGTATTTGTGTATTTTAAGGATAACTGGATGTTTTGAGTACATATCATTTAAACCCTTTAATGAACTCAAGGAGTCGGTTATCAAGACTATCGAGGCTGGAGTTATTGACATACAGAAGTGGAGGGCTGAGGCTATTGCGTGAAGTTCTGCTGTGCATATTATATGCTGCTTAGTTTATGTAGTTTTATTTTATGTTCCCAACAACAGTATTACAGAGTTGGTAATAAACGTTTGCTTTTTTAATTCTATTAGATATTTCTTGTTGAATTTTACCATCTCTGCTATTAACTGTACCTAGGCACATGTAATCTTCTGCTGCCTCTATGATCTCTGCAAGTAATCTGCACATCTTCAGATTTTCGTCCAATTTGCATGACTTTGCTTTTACTTGTATTTATAATCATGCCTTTTCTCTCCAGCTCCGCTACCCATTCCACTGCAGCTTACTGAAGATTCTGGACGGAGTCGACTATTAGTGTAATATGGTCTGCATAGAGAAGTGTCTGAGCAAAAACTGTTCTCAAGTTCCATTTCCCTGCTACTATTCGTGTCGTTGTTCTTTTACATATTTTCAATACCTTGTCCATCAAAACAATAAAGAAAAGGCAGCTCAGACTATCTCCCTGTTTGACACCTCTCTTAATATTAAAGCTCCCAGACTCATTTGGTTTGACAACATTTTTACTTTGTATCTTGCAGATCAGGCCTGCATATGAAGTTTTTTTCTGAATAACTAATTTAATTGATAATTTTATTAATTTATTTTATGTTCTGGAAATAATTATTTTGTTTTCTATAGGAAGTAATTCTGATGTAAGGATACCATCTGCTCCTAGTGCTACTAAGACAGAATTATCTTCTAAATTCCAAAAATTGACTCCAGTGAAATCAGCTGTAAAAAATGCCTCCCCAGTTGATGGAGTTAATAGCCAGGAACAAATTGTTGAACGAGCTAAACAAGTAAAAATTTTTGGTTAATGATAACGTTAAAATTTTTTATGTTTAAAAAAATATATGGGTGGTTTCATATCAAAGGCTGTCTGTGATTTTCATAAAGTGAAGAAAAAGTCAATTTTTGTTAAAAATTTTCAACTGAAATTGTTTTTCACTGTTTCTGAGAATATTCAAGTTGACTTATTAAAAAATTATTAGAATTGGTTTAAATTGAAGCTGTGTTACAGAAAATTGACTTTTCTCAACTTTTTAAAAATTACTGATGTCCGTCTTTTATATGAGGTCACTCTTATATTGTTACATTTGTTAATGGCTGCTGTTCAAAGAGATGTTGACACTGCAACCCGAAGAATTGTCTTTTTCATTATTTCCTTTGTATATATTACTGTTAATGTCCAACTCTATCTGTATGGGCTCTTCCCCGAAAACAAATATATTATTGTTATATTGTTAAGGTATTGCATTTCTGTAAAACAAAGCTTTTTATTAATCTAATAGTGGAATAGTTTAAAAAAAAGAAAATGAAAACTAATTTATTTTGTTTTGCTGAAATGCAATGAAAGTTTTCTTTAAAAATTTTCTGTTGATAATTTTTGTACCTATTTGATCATTTTCTTTTTACCTTTCTTCTTCTGCTTGAACTTACCCAAATGGTTTCTGGGTTAGTTTTTTTTTTTCATGACAGCTATTCTGTTTTGGTTATATGTAACCTTCACTTTTAACTTTCAATCTAAAAATACCTTGGCAGTATTGTCTTTGATCGTATTTTGAATACATTTTTTTATTTAATTTTCTCAAAATGTGTGATAATAAGTGAATTAGTTTACTTATTAGTAATTTAAACTATATTAATTCTATCAGAAAAGTATATTCAAAAATGAACTATGAAGAGATGTAAAGCTGAATATAAGTCGACCACGAACATAGGTCAAAGATTTATTTTACTGGAGAAAAAAAAAAATATATATTCAACCTTTATTCAGTCAAATACGGTAATGTGATAGAAAGTGTCCTATTTTCAAAAGTAAAAAGTGCCGTAGGAATGACCTTAGGAATTGTTACTTCCATAGTGATTGGAAACAGAGAGAGGACAAAAACGTTATTGGGTTTAGTTTGATTGAAGTTAACTCCCTCGTTATCTCTTTTGACTTATCACATGACTCAGTTTTTCTCTTGGTTTGATGAATTTAATTTTTATTTTGTAAGAAAAATATTTTTTATAAAGTTTTATGTGTTAACATTTATTTTTGTTTGTTTTCAAGGAAGCCTATGTTATGCAAAGGGTAGGTGAGTTACAAAAAGATGGATTGTGGCCCGAAAAGAGATTACCTAAAGTCCATGAACTGCCACGGGCTAAAGCTCACTGGGATTATCTATTAGAAGAAATGGCGTGGTTAGCTGCAGATTTTGCCCAGGAGAGGAAATGGAAAAAAGCAGCTGCAAAGAAGGTAATACTAATTTGTGAAATAATTTTATTGATTTATTTTTATTTCTATGTATCAAAGAAATTAGCAATATCAATGTTCTCAGGAAGATATGTTTAACTAATGTTTTCTTTATTCATTTCTCTTTCTTTTTACTTTTTGTGTTTGTATTTATTGAGGCCAGATATAATATATTAATTTTGTACTTTTTTGTTATTCTAAAGTACCATGATGATCTATAAAAGTGGAGGAATTCATAGTTAATTTTGCGAAAGCCGTTAAAGTTTTCAACTTCAATGTGCTGCTAAGGTTTAAACTGTCACATAGTTATTTTCAACATTTAAAGAATAGAAGAAATTTTTTTCGTTAATTATATATAATTATCCTGATCGTAGTTTGTTTCTGGTTTTTCCCTTGTCTCCTGGTTTGAAACTTATCATTCCAAAAATTCAAAACCCAGTAGAAATGTATCCCCTTCAAAACTTTTGGTGGCCCAACTCGGGCCTTTTGGTCATTACTAAATTTAGTAGAACAGAAACAAATAGCTATGTTCAGATTAACCCTTTCAATTAGGGTACTTTTTAGTATTATATTAGTCATAGCTCATAATTCAGTTTTCATCGTTCAACTTTCATTAATGATGCATTGATTTTTGTTTTATTATTTTGATGAACTTAATGATTTTTTTAATCAATAAAGAAAATAAATATTAACCTCCCTACCTCAAAATTTTAGTATTTGCATTTTAGAATACTGAACACTCAAAATTCAAATAAAAATATTTCTCTGCAGCTATTTTCAGAGATTAATGGGCTGATTTTTCAACCCAACTTCTCTTTTGAACCTGTCATCCGTAAATTCTCAGTACCTTCTTACCATTTATAGAGAACTTATAAATATTCCAGCTATGTTTATTCTTTTTTTAACATATATTTCTAAACTTCCCAATGATATGTAGGCGTCTTCTGCTTAAAGTTTAGTGAACATTATGATAATTTTTATGTTGTCAGTAATTTTAAATATTAATTATTATAAATTATCTATTGTACATTTTCCTGGACTAATTTATCTATTTAACATTTTTATGGAATAATTTATCTAGGTATTAATTTATCGGCAGCCGTAAGTTTGATCAGTTCATAATTGAAGGAATGAAATGAATTAAAACTTGCTATCCTACGCAACCAACACAGTTTAAGCCTAAGCCTTTCAGATATAGTCTGAAATGACTAAGCCTCTTTGTCATTAAAATTCAGCATCTTTAATATGATGTTTTATTCTGGTGCAATTATTTTGTTTTTATGATGCAAGTTTGTGGATCAAACTGAGTCAATTTGATGGTTTCTACCTGTTGTTTTTTTTTTTTTAAATCATATGAATTATTATAAGACATCAAATTGATTATTTATCTAATAATTTTCTATTTATATATATTATAGTTTAACATACATTATTTATATTTCTTTTTAATGTTTCAGTGTGCAAGAATGGTTCAAAAACATTTTCAAGAAAAAGAAGCTCTTGTACAAAAGGCTATCAAAGCCCAAGAAATGCAATTAAAACGTATAGCTTCTTTTATTGCGAAAGAAATCAAACAGTTCTGGACAAATGTTGAAAAGGTACGTTTAATATTAATTGTTTTAATTTGAATTTAAATTAATGTACACCGGCAATTGAAAAATCTGTCAGTGTTGTGATGTGATTAAAAATTGTTAAAAGTGTAAGATCCATGCTTTGCACATACATTTTAGAAATTTTAATAAAATATACATAACATGGATAATACAAATAGGTACATAAATGATAGATAAATAAGCTGTTCCTGATAGATTGGTAAAATGCTTTAAAATATCCAAAAAGCTAAGTAAAATTAAATAAAGTTAAATTTAAAGGGACTATTAATACAAATACCATGTATATAAAATTTATCATTTTTATTCTTCTAATTCGCTACTACACAAATTGAAGAACAGTTGTGTCTTAAATTCTTGTTTTATATTTGATGTAATATGGTATTTATTATTGAATTATTCAATAATTTAATTTTTATTAATAATTAAATGTTGTAATGCATTTGTTTTATTTTTAATTAACGATTGTTGTTGCAGCTAGTTGAATTTAAACAACAAACAAGGCTAGAAGAAAAAAGGAAAAAAGCTTTAGATCAGCATTTAAGTTTTATTGTTGATCAAACAGAAAAATATTCAAGTCTAGTTGCTGAAAGTATGAACACTTCGAGGCCTTCTTCACCCAAGCATCATTCTGATGGTAAATGATTACTTTCCGTAATATTATTCTTTTGATTTATATTTTTAATTGAAATTAAAATATTGTAGAGTCTTTTGTTTATATCTATCCTATTCTTAATTAATATTATTTTGTTATTGGTACTGTTTTAAGTGTTAGTTTTTTCCTGAAACAGTTATTATTTTTTAATATATCTTAATTTAAAGACAATCTTGTACATACTTGAAATCTGATAATAATGAAATCTTGATTGAAAAGGGAAATCCCTTAAGTTTACACTTTTGTTGATAATTAACATGTGATCTTATATTATCAATTAACATGTGATCTTTTATCATCGTCAACATGTTAAAGTAACGAAAGTGAACCTTTCCACGTTGCACTTTAATTACTTTAACATGGTGTCGACGATATGTTGGAAGATGCAATTCACTCACTGACTTATTGATACTTTATCTTAAAAATGGCAATGTGTTTAAAGCTGAAATTGTGTTGATAGTTTTCCTTATTCTTTAAGTGATTGATAAGGTTGACTTCAGAAAAATTGGTACTCTTATAGAATAAAAAAAAATATTTATGATCCCCCATACGAAAATTTTTTTCTGAAAAACTTGAATTGAAACTACGTCTCCTGATAAACTATAGGTACTCCACTCTAGACTTATGTATTTTACTTTATATCAAAGTTTTATTCACAAGTTTCCCTTGAACTTAGTTTGTTCCATGTATATATATTTTGAAACTTTAATTGCCATTATATAAGATTTAAAGTCTTGTAAATATTATTAAACCACTATTCTCTATTTTAAGTCGTTAAGATTGTCACTAGTCTGAAATAAATCTTAAGGCATTCAAATGTGTAACTCAAGTTATTATTTGTATTTTAGCTATCCTTTTTTAAACTTAAATCTCTTATCAGGATAAATTAAATTGTAATTGTAGAAAAAAATATTTGCAAGCGAACCCATAGGAAAAACCTAGTTTATTAAAAAGTAAAAAATGTTACTAGATTTTTTTTTAAATCCAAAGTACTTTGTAGTCAAGTCTAGCTTACTTAAGATAATTTAAAGAGCATGTGACAATATGAAAATATCTTGACATCATGTCTCTCTCAACTTACACAAAGTTAAGAGGAAGGGTATCCATTTTTAAGCTCTTTATTTTGTAGATGAATTCGAACCCGAAGATCCCTCTGATGATGATGAAGAGACGATTGCTAAGGAGGAAGCACTTTCTGCCAACGATGAAAAATGTGATAATCAAGATGAAGTTGATGTTCTGAAAAGAGAGAGTGAGCTTCCACTTGAAGATCTGTTGTCTAGCTACCTTGCTCAAAGGGATTCCATTTCGACTCCTCTCAGTATGGTTAGTATGTTCAAGTGTTCTATTATTTTTTATGTAATTGTTGATTATTCTTTAGTAAAAGCTTTAAAGAACGCTTGGATAAAATAAAAATAAGTTATTTTCTACTTAATATTAATTAAAATCTACTTTCATACCTATATATTATCGCTTAATGAAGCTATTTTAAATCATTGGGCTTTTGAAGTGACAGATTTTGGAATCTGATGTAAAATATATTAATAAGAAGTAAAGGATTTACTTTAAAATAAAATTATAATTATTGACTAGTGAAAAAAATATTAAATGTTACAGGATGAAGATGGTGAGGATGATGACATGGAATATCAAGATTCGGGCGATTCTTCAGACGATGAAGAAACAATTCTGGAACAAGAAAAAACTGAAGGAACAGTTGATTATAAACAAGAAATAGATGATTTAAAGGTTACATTACATTCTCTTATCATATTTTGTTTTAAACAATATTTGTTAATGATAACCATTGATTTTAATTAAAATTTTATTGTTGATTAAAATGTTTTTGTATAAAAATTTTTAGGAGGAAGGAAATATGAGCATAGATCAACTTAAAGCAAAATATGGCATCCAGCAAACACCTGAATCTTTACCAACTAACGGAGGTAATTTTCTACAGTTCTATTTTTTAATTCATAATATTATTTTGATGATAAATTGTTCTAAAGAGTTCTTTAAATTGTATCTACAACTAAATGTTAATAACAGCTTAACAGTAACTATATAATTTAATTCCAGATTCCATTTCCCAAAGAGCTAGGAAAAGAAAGGAAGTCGTGAATGAAGAATCTGACGAAGGCTCAGAAGAAGATTCTGAAGATGAAGTTAGCGAAGAAGATGAAAGCAGTTCAACAAGTGACAAAGAAGATTCTCCGTTGAAAGCTCTTATAAATGACTCTCATCATGTGGAGGTTGTATGATATTTTTTTGTTTTTATAATTGTCTTGTTTATAAAACTAAAAGTTTTTAGAATAATAATTTTTGCAGTACTTTTTAATTTATGTTATGTTACATTATATATCTTTTTAGGAAGGAAGCCAAGACAAAGACAAGGAAATTAATGATGTTGCTGCCATAGCTGAAAGTCTTCAGCCTAAAGGAAACACATTGTCATCTACAAGTGTGAGTTTAATTAATAATTAGTTTTATCTTATTTCATTGATTTCTGGATCAAATGATATTGTCAGTTTGTTATTGAATTTTAATTATTTTTTTGTTTAATTATTTAAATATATTTTTTTACAGGTTGTTACTAAAGTTCCTTTCCTTCTTAAACATCTTTTAAGAGAATACCAGCATATAGGTTTAGACTGGTTAGTTACCATGTATGATAGGAAACTAAATGGAATTCTAGCTGATGAGATGGGTCTCGGAAAGACAATTCAGACCATTGCATTAATTGCTCATCTTGCTTGCGAAAAAGGTTAGTTATTAAATTCAATTTATATTTCTAAGAATTTATCTATTTTAAAGGCATTAATAAATACATTTGTTGTAATTTTAATGTTATTACTTTACATGAACTCTCTCGTTAAGTATCTATTTCCTCCCCCCCCTCTAATTCAGTCAAATTATAAGTGATTTTATTGAAACATAATTAGTTGTATAAAAAATGTAATATCAAGAAAGTTTATTTTACACATACAATTGGTGGAGCTACGTACTTTGTCTGTTAAAGTAATTACTTTATAAATAATTAGCTTGCTCAACAGAAAAATATCTCTTTAGTTACAGAAATTGATTTAAAAGGCCAAGTAAATCTTTGATTTGTAATTCTCTCACTTATACTGAAGCCAAATATGGTTTAGAACTATATCACCACTAAGGTGGTATAAACAATCAAATAGATTATTAAAAATATTAGTTTCTATCTGTATTATCTGCGGTGTCTAAGGGATCACAAAACTATTCTCCTTTGCTTACCTTTTCAATCGATTATTAGTTTATTGTAGATTATAATAAATAACAATATTTTAATTTTTAAAAACTTAAACTACAAATATGAAAAGTATCCCATGCATTATAAAAATTTTAAGTTTTTTTTTTTTTCAAAAATGGTAAGGCTTTAAAATGCAGGGGTAAGTTCCATAGTCGCTTTACCAAGTCTTGTTATCCACGTTATAACAGAACTACCAACTATTCTCTGACTTCTAAGTGTTCTTTATATAGTTAGTCTGTGGGCCAGACCCCCTTACCGTGCACCCTCCCCACATCCCTATAAATTGCATATCGTTGTGTTCCTTGTAACTATTTATTAAAAAAAAGCCAATGTTCCCACAAAAAAAAGTGAACGCACTGGCCCAAAATGGCGTCCAAAGATGGCGGATTGACGACTTTGACTTTAGTTAGTTTTTTGGTCACTGCGAATCAGCATTTGGCTTAATTTCCTCATAGTTGGTCTTTTATTAAAGCTGAATAGTCATAGAATAATAAACCATGAAGACATATTAAAAAATAATTGGCTTAGGCTATAAAAAACACTACTAAAGTCAATTTTTTTAACAAAAAAATTTTCAAGTTAAAAATCAAGCGTCATTTGTAATTAAACGGCATTCTCAATTTTCAACTTCTCTTCCAATGTGCAACTTGAGTTTCTCAATCCATATCGCTCTGGCAATCGACAATATTTCTTATTCCAGCTTCTACGATTCTTAATGTAATACCCATCAAGATCCATTCCTGTTTAGTGTACCAAAGAAATTATACTCAAGAATCGTAGAAGCTGGAATAAGAAATATTGTCGATTGCCAGAGCGATATGGATTGAGAAACTCAAGTTGCACATTGGAAGAGAAGTTGAAAATTGAGACTGGCTTCACTTTAAGGCAGGTTATAGAGAAGTCTATATACAACGAAAAATATCTCTCTATCTCCTTAGTGCCTTACTATTTGGATTGTGCTAATATCTAATTGGCTTTCAGAAAAGCAGGTTTTCCTTTTAGATTCCTTAAAAAATCGTTTGCAAATGCACTAAGCAGAAGGAGAGCTATGAGCTATAACTTTCTCGATATAACATCTCTATATCCTGCTTCAAAGTGAAGATAGTCCCGATGTGCACCTTCAGCAATCGAAAATAAAGTGGTTTTTACCATAATAAACCTACATCGTCCACTTAATATCATCCAAACTGCAATTGACCCCCTTTTAGCAGCATCTTGAAATATTCTCTTCATCTGTCTACTATACATTCGTTTAGCCATATAATGGATACTGGTACTTTTTATCTTTTCCGAGGTTTTGGCACTTCCTTTCTCGTTCGCTTAATGTATTTTTCCAGTTTTCGGGTTCAATTTCGCCTTTTTCCTCATTTCAAGACCAAATCCAAACAATCAGTTCTGGCTTATAGAAGAACTTATAGCGTCACCGTTTCTATCTTTCTTTGTGCAGAGAGAATAATTCATTCAATAATAAAATTTCCTATTTATTTATGATATAGTCCAACTTCCGCACAAAATAAAGGAAATAAAAATTAATTTTTTAATTAGTGATATATGAGTTTTACTATACAACCCAGCAGCTATTCATTATATATAGTTCAGATTAGGTATATATTATTTTAGTTTATAAAACAGGTATTAATACGACTCATTTCCTGGGAAGTATATATAAATTTTAATTACCTTTAAGAATCAGTAAATATACAAAACACAATGTTAAATTGCAAACGTTAAATAAAAAAAAATCAAGATATTTAGCAAAGTTTTTTAATTAAGTTTTATTATTATAATTATATCATTTTTACAATCAAGGTCTTCTTAAACGACCTACGTGTAGAATAAAGAAGATTAAATAAAAAAAAAATAATAAATTTTTTAAAAAAATTTTAATTTTTTTTTTTTACAATTAAATTATTGCATTAATATTTGTTCGTTAATAAAACCAATATAATGTACCAAAAATGTTATTATATCACTTTAACTAAGCCATTTATGTGTACTGAATGGTGTGGTAGAGGCCTGTAGGCACCCACGCCAGTACCGCTTTTCTGCCGCATAAGTGCATTTTCTACGGAACTGTTTAAAAGTTTTTAAAAAATAATCAGCGTTTTGGAAAGAAAAATATATTCTCCAGATGGTTTATTTCAGCACGTTTTGCGTTATTGTAGGCCGTTTAATTACAAATGACGCTTGATTTTTAACTTGAAAATTTTTTTGTTAAAAAAATTGACTTTAGTAGTGTTTTTCATAGCCTAAGCCAATTATTTTTTAATATTTCTTCATGGTTTATTATTCTATGACTATTCAGCTTTAATAAAAGACCAACTATGAGGAAATTAAGCCAAATGCTGATTCGCAGTGACCAAAAAACTAACTAAAGTCAAAGTCGTCAATCCGCCATCTTTGGACGCCATTTTGGGGCAGTGCGTTCACTTTTTTTTGTGGGAACATTGGCTTTTTTTTAATAAATAGTTACAAGGAACACAACGATATGCAATTTATAGGGATGTGGGGGGGGGGGGGTGCACGGTAAGGGGGTCTGGCCCACCGTGTAAGTTATTTCACTTTGCTAGTAGTATATAATATTATTTAGAAAATATTTCATTAACAGTAGTAAGTTACACCAAAATTTATTCCATTTAAAGAGTTTGTTATCAGTGATTATAAGAGTTATTTAAACTTACAAAGTTTTTTACTATTAAAAGTGTAGCTTTGCACTCGGTTACCTGAATTAGACTGATTTTAGGGTATCTGATTTATTATTTATAAAATAAAAATAATCACTTAATTTTAGGAAATAAATGATTATTCTTGTCATAGGTAATTGGGGACCTCATTTAATTATTGTTCCTACTTCTGTGATGTTAAATTGGGAAATGGAGTTCAAAAAATGGTGTCCAGCATTCAAAATATTAACCTATTATGGGACTCAAAAAGAACGGAAGATGAAACGTTCAGGTAATATTTAAAGAAATGTTTATGTACGAGTTATATAAGAGGTAAACTTGTTTTATTAAGCTTTTTATGTAACCTAGGGTGGACGAAACCTAATGCATTCCATATTTGCATTACCTCATATAAATTAGTCATACAGGATCATCAAAGTTTTCGCAGAAAAAAATGGAAATACTTAATTTTAGATGAAGCTCAAAATATCAAAAATTTTAAATCGCAGCGTTGGCAGCTCTTATTGAATTTTCAAACTCAGAGGTCAGTATCAGTTATTAATGGCTTTTCTAGAAGTTTGTAACCTTATTTATCGACTAGTTTTTATTACTATTTTTTAATTTATTTATATTATCTATTAAGGTGTCATTTATTTTTGGTTAGTTCATAGCAGTAATTTTCAGTCTTCATCTGTATATTATAGGATGAAGTATTTTATAGAACCAGTTGGTCATATAAATACATATAATATATGTAATATAAATACACATTTATATCATTCTAATTATATTTAATGTAATTCATTAAATTAATTATAAACAAAATATATAAAAAAGTTTTAAATCTTCTAAGAACCATTTAATTATCAAATGTACTTCATGGTTACTTACAAATTAAATTGTTACTTATTATATCTAGAAAAGTAGCCATTATTATATCACTGATCACTTTGTACTTGTTTATTTTTCATCAATATATTCTTACTGGAATAACTTTGTCCCACAACAGGTAAACAGATTTTGTGAGCTGTATCTAAACAAAGAGAGTTATCTTTACTTATTTATTGCAAGGGCTATAATATTAATATCACTTGGTTTGGGTACAACTCGTAAAATCTGTTTTCTAATTTTGGGCCAAAGTTAGCCCTTATTCGGCTGTGCTGGTATTCTTCCATAATAATTTCCCTTAAATTACTTTTGATATTTGAATATTATAATTTATTAAGAAATATAATTAAACATAAAAAAGGTATTAAATAATTTGTTTTAAGGAGTAAATAAATACATATATTCACTCTACAGGTTCAGTATTTTCATTTTTACTTTCACTTACCTGTATATGAAATATTTAGTAAAGGAAAGTATTGCGATCATGCGTTCTTGCGTTTATGAAAGTGAAATTGCATATTTTAAGGGTTTTTTATGCTAGAGATGTTACAGTAACTTTTTTGTCAAAACCGACTAATCGGAAATGGCACTTTATATCATGGGCTAAACACATTTTTACAATTTTCTTGGAAATGGCTCTTAACGATTTTGATTAAATTTATTATATCAGAGTAAAATTAAGTAGTTTTTATTCTGATTGATGTTCTCTAACAGGGCTTAAATGGCTAATTTTCAATATTAGCTCCCTCTAAAGTACCTTTAATTTTTTTTATTTGAAACAATTGACTATTTCACATTAATCTGTAATATAAAAGATAGTTTAATATAAAATATGAAAGAATTTGATAATTAACTAAAGGAGAAACAAAAAATTGTAACGGAGAACATTCGTAATTGATCGCACCCGAGCTCACACGAAAGATAACAGGCTTCCATACGTAACATGAGCTTAATATAATACGGACTCCGACAATGTTGTATAAATATAAATATGTGGTTTTCATAAATGCTATTGTTGGTATTATCTAATATGTAATTGTATAGATTACACTGATATAAATATTAAAATTTGTATATATTAGGGTATTTGTACAAATAAAAATACCCACAATGAAATATAAATAATTACAGTGCCTATAATTTTTACTTTCACTGCTCCTTCGTCTGAAAATACTTATTTCTTCTAAGAAGAGGGTGGTAAGTGAAAGTTGTGTGATCTGCACACCGCACCAGATTTTTTTTAGCGTTAAGTTATACTCACACAATTTAAATTGTAGCTCATCCAGACTATGGTATAAAGTGGGTACATGTTATCCACTAAGTTAAATCTAGTGCTCTGCTTCTTTCCCAGTATCTTAAAAAGTAAATTATCAAAAATTAATTTATCAATTCCCATTTATTTGTTGAATTCTAGTTTTCATTCAAATTGTTCCCAAAAAATGTTCACATATATGGTAATATAAAAACAAACATGTCATTTATACTTAAAATTAAAACATTTTGTCAGATAAATTTAATATGGAAAGGAGGAAGGGTTTCTTCCTATCTCTCAAACAGTCCTCATCTTTAGACTGCTGTATTCTTATGGATGAGCTTTAATACTCTACTGTTTGAATTGTTAACAACTGCTTTTTTACTAGTTATTGTATTTCTTAATTTGTTGTTGTAGGCGGCTACTACTTACTGGTACTCCGTTACAAAATAATCTAATGGAACTCTGGTCTTTGATGCATTTTCTTATGCCTAATGTTTTTGAATCGCATCGTGAATTTAAAGAATGGTTTTCTAATCCAGTAACTGGCATGATTGAAGGAAATTCTGAATACAATGACACAATTATTAAAAGACTACATAAGGTGAGTAATATTGTTATCTTCTATTAATTTCTATATTAAATACAATAAAGTCTGTATTAATAAAATAAAATAAGTATATACAGATGGATATATAATTGACTGTTGAAATTGTAAGGATGAAAAATGGTCAGGTTCTTTAGTAAAAAAATTATGTTTCTTGAGTTGACTGACTTTCGACCAAAACCTGTGGATCATCATCAAGACTAAAATTTAAAAAAATACAAAATTACATGAGAAAAATGATAAATATAAAATTATAAGTTAAAGAAGAAAAAGGTGAAACGTAAATGTAAAAATAAGAATGAGAAACATAACAATTTGATGAAATTTTTTTTTATTTTAAATAATTGAAAAAGATAAGTATATCAAAAATAAAAATTAATAAACTAAATAAATAGTCACATAAAACAATTCAATAAATAAGAAGTAAAGAAAAAACAATGTATAGAAATAAAATTAAAACTCATTGGAATGTAGATTAACAAATATAAATAGTTTTTAAACAAATACTAATGGTTTGAAGGTCAGACTAGAACTGGAAAGGAAGTGGTGTGGTAATGGCTATTTAACAGAAAATATTTTAAAAGTATCAAAACTAAAATCGTTGTGCAGAGCAGATTGGCCTACAAGTAAATGAAGACAAAACAAAATATATGATAATAAGCCTAAAATTCCACCCCAATATCAGGATCTGGGTAGAAGGAAAATCATTCCCGAGAGTAGAAAAATTCAAATATCTTGGGTCCACAATAACCTCAATGAATGACCAACAGACAAAAATAGACCAGCGTATAACTAATGCAAACAGAGCTTTCTTCTCCCTGTAAATGTAAATAAAAAAACATAAAAGAGGCTTAAAAGTAATTATTATAATTTTAGAAGGCGGAAGATATGACAAGAGTAAGTCGACAACAATTAACACATCCCCTCTTTTCCGAACTTCCCTCCCAAAACCATAAGCACACAGTTCTCGTCCGGCCTTCAAACCATTGGTAATTATTAGAGAACTATTGGTATTTGTTTATTTCTGTACCTTGTTTTTGCCTACTTATTGAATTGTTTTATTTTACTGATTATCTTATTTATCAATTTTCACTTTTGATATGCTTATATTTTTCATTTATTTATAATATAAAAACATTTTCTTAACATACTGTTATTTTTATGTTACTGATAACTCATTTGTATGTTCCATCTTTTTCTTCTCTTATACTTTTGTATTTATCATTTTTTTAATGTAATTTTTTATTTTTAGCCCTGATGATTCACATGTTGAAGTAGGAATGTTAGCTAAGTCAATAAACATAATTCTTTGACTGCACACCCTGACCATTTTTCATCCTTAAAAATAATAATTATGTTTCAATTTAGATCAAATTTATAACATTTTAAAAGAGTTGGTACTTTTATTTTAGGTGTTGCGTCCATTTCTTTTAAGAAGATTAAAATGTGAAGTAGAAACCCAAATGCCTAAGAAATATGAACACATAGTAATGTGCCGGTTATCCAACAGGCAACGATATTTATATGATGACTTCATGTCAAGGGCTAAGTATGTATTTAAGTTTAATAGTATAATGATTCAGATTTTAATTTGAAAGTTTGCAATTACTTATAAAATGTTTACTGTTTTATGAGTGTCGATGTTTTGGGCTGCTTCGTTTTTGCTCATTTCAGGGTAAATTAAGTAAGAGGAAAGAGTTGTGAAGTATAGAATGGAAAAGAGTAGTTTCCATCCACCTCTCTGTTTACATACTTTTTAATAACTATTTTTATGTATTTATAACCTCATTGCCAAATAAAGAAATAAATAGTTACATGTTTTATTCACAAATAACAACTAAAACTGAGAAAATTTACTGAATTTAAATATTGAATTTGACTCTTAAACATTTTCTTGACTTATACTGTGCACTATCCCTGCTTCTTGGAGTAATTGAAACATGTTTTCTTCACTCTGGAATGTACCTGGTAATTTTGAACAATTTTTGAATTTTTTAGTATCTGAACATTTAAGAACGTACATAATAAATAACCCAATGGGTAGCAGTTAAACAAATTTAAACCATTGGTTCTTATTAAAAAATGACTTGTGGTAGCGAACTGAAAGAAAAAGACTCAATATAAATATATATAGAAGAAATCTTCTAGAATTTCAAAACTATTTTTTTGATTTGTGCTGAAATCATTAAGTAATATTATACAATTAACACTCATCCCGTAGATTTAATTGTTTAGATTAATGTGAAATCACCTTTATTCAGTTAAAGAATTGACACTTTTTAGATTTGCCTCCTTGGTCTAGTTCTGGTTTTACAGTGAACTAAATTTATTTTTATTCTATGATTTCTTGTTTGAGTGGTTGTATGTATATAATTTTTTTGTAATTTTTTATATTTATTTTCTTTTTAGTAAATTTTTTGGTTTGATTTATCTTATTTATTAATAAGTACCAATAAATGCAGAAAAAAACAACTGAAAATTTGTAGGGTTGGGGAAGCCATTTACCACTGTTTAAGCCACTTTTCAATTATGGCAAAATAACTCTCATGAGTTTCAATAAAGCAACATTCTAAATTTTATGGCAACATTCTAATTTTTAAACAGTGGACTGTATCTTAAGGGGTTGGTAGATTAATGATCGTGCAAAAAAATAGGTTACCCTCTAAATGCCAGCCTACATCTTTTTTACCTTGGAAGGCTCTCCGCCTTGTGGTCCTTGCTGGGTGAATGCTGGTCAAGAAGTGCCCTCGAGAGAACCAGTCGCTCTCAAAGCTTAAGTGTTATCTTTTATCTTTTAGATCTGCCCCCACCACTCGCTGTAACGCGGGAAATTTAAACCTTCCCTACCTTCCCTGGCACAACCAACCATATAAGATGTGTAGTACTTTTGAACAAATTAATTTAAATTATTTAGGGATGGGTTTATATATATATATTCACGTGTAGAAGCCATTTATATGATGCCTTGCTGAATTAATATAAGCACTTGCCTGCGTTCTCATGTTTACGGTTTTTTGTTAATTTTTTTTTTTTCAGGACAAAAGAGACACTTGCTTCTGGGAGTTTATTAAGTGTCATTAATGTACTAATGCAGCTGAGGAAAGTGTGTAACCATCCTAATCTGTTTGAAGTTCGGCCTACCGTGTCTCCATTTCAAATGGATTCTCTTGAATATCATGTTCCATCTTTAGTATGGAGTGCTTTAGAATATGATCCGTTTAAAGTAAGTTTGTGAAATAGCATAATATTTTTTAAGTATACATTTTTATATATTTGCTTAATTATAACATTTAGACTTTCACATGCTATTCTGACATTCCCGAACAAGTCATGTACCCCCCTGAATTTATCACCATCACAATATATACCAAATAGTCTATTTCATGTCCATATGAAAATTGTAAACTGTATATTATGTTTTTTTTCAGCACGTCGATCTAGTTTTCCTTAATTTGCGTATAATCGAGTTTGAACTATGGTTATTAGCATTTGTTGCTCATAGAGCTCGTAAATACAAAGTTAATCCTGAGTACATTTCCTCCATTGATTCTGCACCTCCTGATCCACCACCTTGCCCTAAAGGGAGAGTTAAAATCAACATCAAGAAACGCATATTACCTCAACCACCTCAGGTTAGTTGTTTATTTATTTTAAAAAATTTTGTGTACTTGATGTAGGATAGTTGTTTTAGTTGCATTTACGTTTAGAGATTATGTTTAGGAATTGGTCTTAATAAATCACACATTAGCAGTACATTATTTATTGTTGAATTAAATTGTATGTATTATTTTTAGGTTTCTAGCCCTGTTAGGCCATTAGTACAGGTTAGTAATAATCATCGGGTTACTTCTTTTCCAACAAAAGTCGGAACATCACCATTAATAAAACTTGGACAAAATGCTAGCCAGGGTAAGTTAATATTTTATTGTTTTTAAAAGATCTACTTGTGTTTGTTATAAAGTTCTTGGATTTTACTTTTTAGTCTCTTATTGATGGCATATTTCATAATTTATTTTTGAAAAGTAATAAATATGTAACATAGTTCATTTATAACTTACTAAGAATACACTTCCATTTTTATTTATTTTATGTTTTCCCTATCATCACTTATTAAGTTTACTATTTTTCTTTTTTTTTAAATGCATTTTAGTTAGGGGTTATTTGAATTTTAATCTACTATCTTTCCCTATTCCGTTTTCTTGTTCTTAAAAGAATTTTTCCATTGGTCTTTCTGTGTGTTTGTGCCTTGATTATCTCTTGAACGGGTGGTACGATTTTGTTTCTTTTTGGTGTTTTCACAACAAATACCTGGGAACTAAATCAAGCCCTCTGCATGATAGTAAGAAAACATGTTTTTCTGTAGACTGTAGCATCCAATTGAAAAAGATTTCAATGAAGCTCACCTGAAGTACGGAAGTATTCATCTTGAAATTTTCATTTATATCGTACATCTCAAATAAACAAGTTATGACAAAGACATTATATTTGTCATTACCCAAAAAATATACTATGGTAAATTTTGTAAACATAATCATTTGAAGGATAATAAAATTCCTTACACGACAAAGAAATATCTAAATCAAAGTACTATTATCATAGATAAAAGCTGTTGGACATTTTACATCTGTTTTATTGATTTCATAACTTCTACTAAATAAGGAAAGTATTGTAATCGGGGTAACATTTTTAATGTGCCGTTTTCAAAAGATCTTTTATTTATTTAATTTTAGCTCTTTATTTTCATTTTCTTATGGCTATAATTTGAAATATAACTAAATTCCCTACACATATTCATCTGTAAATTGAACCAGTATTAGAACAGATATGGCAATCAGAATTTCGCCCCCAAACTGTCCATCTGTCAAGAAAGTAACTTCAATCTATAAAATGTTTGTTAAAATTTTATGAAATGTATATTGTCTGATAATTAACCACATAATTTTTGTTTCTGCAACAAGATATGCTCTACTTATAATTATCGCCAAATCCATTGGGAATGCACTTTTTATTTCAGATTGCAGTTAGTTTATCCGTATTTGTTTTTAATTATTGTTTAAACTGTAGTTCTTAGCAATTTTTTTTTAAATTCCTGTTTCTATTAAACTTGATCACTTAATCTTATGACTTCATTTTTCACTTTCAGTATAACTGCTTGCCGTTTTTGAGAAACGCTATTAGACAGAACACTTTTATTACTTTTTTTTTCGCATTACCTAAAATATATCAGACGAGGGCTGGAAACAATTGAAAAAAACATTTCCTTTGAAATATTTTTATTGTAAATAAATACTTGACAAAATTAGTAGAATAATCATTCTTATTCGATGTATTTGTTTCTGGGAGGAGGCTAATTACATTCATGTTTGTTCCTGCCAAACAAATTTTTCGAGCATTGTAACTTTGAATTTGTTTTGACATAAAATGGTTCCTTGTAGAAGTAGCTTAGGGAAGTAACTTTATAATAACTAACTAATATTGTTTGGCAGCAAAAGAGCAGTGAGTTATAGGCCTCTGTTGACCTGGTCCAACCTAAGCTGTAATTAAATCAATTGATTTTTTTAATTTATTTAAATAGTAGTAATTTACATTAATTAAATATTCCTTATTTTCAGTTATTTTATTTATACATTTTGCATTGCAGGTGTGACGCTAAGGTTGGCTAATCCTTCCTCTGGGCAGATTCCTAATTACCTTCAGTTATTACAACCTGGTGGAATGAAAGGTAATTATTTCATTATTGTCTGTCTTACACAGTTGTGATTAGAAATGCGTAAACTAATGAAATTCATTGATTAAATAGTTGTTCTTTCCCATTTCCAATTAAATTTAGACATTTTTGACCATACCATGAAAGGCGATGATTAGACTGTAGTGAAACATGAAAAAATTGTTACAATAAAAATATTTTCTACTTAATGTGTACTGACGTTTTGGCTTATATTATGGACCTCTAGCTATGGAAAAAAAAAAACATTAGAGCTAAATCAGGTCATTTAGATGTAGTGTAGGAGATGAGATTTCTCCGTAAAGGTGTGGATGTCTGCTTGATAAAATTCTCAACAACTCCAGAGAAATTTAATCTCCCTCCTTCATTCTCATGATCTGTTATTTATCTTTTTTCCTGTAGACCTATAAACAAGGTGTTTTCTGGACCTGTAAAACCTGAAAAGTTTTAGGAATTTTTCGAACCCATAATAAATAGTCAGAGAATTTTACTAGCTAGGAGACACAACGGTGACGTTTTTCGAATTCAAAATAATTTTTGGTCCCAAAAAATTCATAAGAAAGTAATATTTGCTAAAGTATACTTCAGACATGTAAACGTTTTATAATGTGTTCATCCGTTTTTTTGTCATACGGAATTTTATTTTATTTTTCAATGTTCGGTTTTTGTTTCTGACTAGTTGTTTAAAACTTATCAAGTTTTATGAAATAATGTACCTGCACATCTCTAATACATTTTTGAAAATGTTTCATAGCAATCTCAGTGGCATCTTTAACAACTACTAGTGGAGGAGTGGTTAAAAATGAAGGCAACACCGGTCGGTTGGTCCCCAATTCGCACAATTAGTTAATACCCCTACTGGTAGGCAGCTAGTTCTGTCCCCGCAACCTGTCATTGCTCCTCAAGGAAGTGCTACCACCGGTAAGAATATTGAAATAAGAACAGTATTACTTTATTATAAATTTAATGGTGTTTTGATTAAAATAACAATATCATCATTGCTAATACATTAAATTCATAATAATGGTTGACATGATCACACCACTTTATTAGAAACTTCTCATTGTTGTAGAAATAATCTATGTTAGTTGTGTTAGAATTATTTAGTAACTATTACTCTTAATTAAAATTTTTTTATGAACTGCTAGTGAAGGAAATGGATAACAAAATGATTGTTTAGTAAGGTATGTTGTTTTGAAGTGAAAAAAAATTAACTTGAAATTATACTTTGCCCTTGCTATAAAAGTATTCTTTAATTCTGGTAATTATAATAACACTATGACTTAGTTCAATTTAGGTCTCTGTCTACTTGTGTACAAATTTGGACTAATTGGATTCTAAGTAAACATATTCTCCTGTTTTAACTGAATTTAGGACTTAATCAATTGTTAAAATTATAAAAATAAATATTCCGATTGTTTATATATACACAACAAACAAACTTTTCCATGCACTTGTTTCATTTTGTGAAACAAATAAAGCATGTTAAAAATGAATGAAAAATCAGATGAAGTACATTGAGTAAGGTTTCTTAACAAAATACAGCAAAAATAGGGTTAAATTAATTGTTCTGTTTGAGTAACATTATTTGAGGAAGTGTAACCATGGCTGACATATAATAAAACTTTAACCATAGATTAAAATGAGTCATATTTGAAATATTTCTGTAAAAATTAGTTTGTCATCAAAAGTTAATTTTTAACATGTTTTATTTGATTCACAAAATAAAAGAAGTGCATGAAAAAGTTTGTTTGTTGTGTATATTTAAACAATTGGAATATTTATTTTTATAATTTTAACAATTGATAAAGTCTAAATTCAGTTAAAACAGGAGAATATGGACACTTATAATCCAATTAGTCCAAATTTATACATGAGTCCTATACATATACATATACAAGTCCTAGTGTTATTATAATACACATTATCTTTATAAATTTGAACATAAGGGATCTCCAAATTCTGAACATATCACTCATACTGAGAGAAAATATAACCCAATTTTAGACCATTTTGTCAGATTTGGCTATTTATTATAAAATATAACAAAAGGAAGGCATAAGTAAATATAGGTGAATGAATAGGGTTTATTTAGAGTATGTTAAGCCTTGGTTACGTTTATTATTATCACTCAATACTTTTTTTAACTTAAGGAATATTATGTAGCCCTTTAGATCATTTACTTGAATGAAAGAGTTTATGTTATTATAGCATGTTGTAATCAAATAAATTAAATCATATATTGGTAAAATACATGATAGTATTTAGTGTTTTACGTTTTTTTTATTTTTATTTTTAGTTATGACAACTACTGGGCAAAGATTAACTGTGGTTTCCAAACAAGGCAGCAATGTTGCTAAACTAGTCAATCCTACTTCTGTGACTCAGATAAACTCTAATCGGCCTATTATGAGGGTTCCTCCATTAAATATAACTTCTGCCGCTACTGTTGTTGTAAGTAACAAAATTAAGTATTAACTTATATTTAATAAATTACAAATATTTTAATATTTATTTCAGATTTGAAGTACTTGCTATTCTATCTATCTATCTTCTAGACTTTTATTTAATATATTTCCTAGTGTTAAGATTTTCATTTCCCTTCTGATCAAGAATCCTCCTTTTCTCTATCATTCCTTTATATCCATTGTATTATATCTTGATTGTTAGCCTATATATTTGTTGACTATATTAAAGTAGTATTAAAACTTTGATGCCAGTAAGAAACCCATAGTGATTATTGATTAGTGCAAAAAAAAAAAAAAAAAAAAAAAAAAATGAGAAAATTGAAAATAATTGTTTTTTATTAAATATTGTGTGCCAATTTGCTTTTGAACTTAAGAATGAAAAATCTGGTGCACGCATCACACAACTTTCACTTAGCATCCTTTTAGCAGAAATAAGTATTTTCAGACCAAGGGGAAGTGAAAGTAAAAATTATAGATGCTATATTTATTTACATTTCATTATGAGTATTTTTATTTGTTTAAATACCCATATATAAAAATTTTAATTTTTATATCGCCGTAATCTATACAATTAAATATTATATTATACTAGAGATAGCATTTATGAAAACTTCAAACGCATATCTAAAAAATAGTGCCGGAGTCCGTATTGTATTAAGTTCATGTTATGTATGCAAGCATGTTCTAATCTTTCGGGGGCCCTCTTAATCCTTTGGTTTCTCCATTACAACTATTATCTGTTACGATCTCTGAATTCTCCTTTAGTTAATAATAAAATTCTTTCATATTTTACATTTAACTATTATTTATATCAAAGATTAATGAGAAATGGTTTAATTATTTCAAATAAAAATAATTTTACCATTTTAGAGAAAGCTGATATTGGAAATTAGCCATTTAAGCCCTGTTAGATAACATCAATGAGAATAAACTGATATTATGATAATATAGAGATGTAAATATGTTTTGAACTCTGCTATTTCTGAGAGGACTTAATTCTCGGAACAAAATTATTTTTCATTTTCATATATTGAGTTTGATCAAAATTGATAGAGCAGTTTACGAGAAAATCGTAAAAATGTGTAACATCGATTATATAAAGTGCCACTTCCGGTTAGCCGATATTGACGAAAAAGTTTTGTAACATCTCAGTTATATACAAACCTTAAATACGCAATTTCACTTTTATACGACTTTGCATTTTTTAGCTAGATTGGTCCCATACATACATACACACACACAAACCATTTTGCGGAACCTTGTTATTTGGACTCAGAGATATCTCAAAACATGTATTTCTGTTGAAAACTCAAATTAAAAAATTCTCATGATCGTAATACTTTCTCTTACTATATCTCATATATAGGTAAGTGAAAGTAAAAACATTGCTAATTTCCAAAGTTATAAGCTCAATTACAAGTGTTGAATTAAAATGCCTTTATGGCATAATATATTGCTACAAAATATTTCAGCTGATATCAGGAGTTGTAAACTACAAAATTCTCTACAGGAAGAGGGACGCACCCCCACTCCTCACCTTGGACTAATTATATCAGTTTTTTTAACTCTTTCTTAAAATTTTCTTATAACATTTTTCTAATTTTCAAAAGTATATATGTGAATTGTTAATTATTTTCACTTTTTTTTCTTTCCTTCAGCAAAACAGTTTGACCACTGCTAACAATTCACCTGTTAGTATATCTGAACCAACGCAAGGGAATGGATCAACCCCTAATTCATTGCCATCTCCTAAAAAAGTTACCCGACAGAGTACTCTGAATACTAGTAAAAACAAGGAAGAATCTAATCCTTACGAAGATTTGAAAGATGTAAGTGATGTGCTATATAACTTTTGTTTTTATGAATTTAACGAATCAAAATCTAAATATTTGATAACAAATTTACAGGAATATTTAGAAAATCTTAGGAAGAAACGGCGAAAGGAGAAGTTGGAATTGATTGCGAGAGTAAATGAAGTAAGGTGTCAGGCCCTTCCTATTTACGGTTCTGACTTACTTTCATCTTTAACATTGGACGAGGTTCCTGACGAAAATAAAGACTGCATTGGAACAGTTCACTGTAGGAATGCTTTATCTCCGAATCCACTTTTATTTTGGAATCAGACTCATGCCCTTACCGCAGCTATTCATTCCATTGAAGACAGAGTAGCAGAGCTTTCAGATATATTTTCTAGGTATGGAAATAGACTGAATAATTCAATTTCTATTTATCAATGTTTTTTGGGGGTTAAAAAAGTATTTATCATAGAATTTGAGGCTATATATTGAAGTTGAATGATGAAATAATTATTTTTCGTAATTTTTTAAATATTTAAGGTGTCCTATTTTACTTTTTTAGCAATAACTTATTAATAATAATAACTAAATTTGATCAAATTGTATCTTTTCTTAAGGCTAAGATAACATTTTGCTTTATTGTTTTACATTAATTAGTTTTTGATTAACCTGTTGAAAAATTCTTAATTCTAAATAGCTGAATATACATTTTCTTTTGTAGGTTTGTTTTGTATGTACCTGCTGTTTCCAGTCAACCTGTCCGTTTACACGTGCCACATCCGCCCCCTTCCAAAATGTTCAAAGAAGAGAAAAGACTATCATTAGTTGAAACTTGGTTAAGACCTAAACTTCGGTTACTTCATAGTATTTCTTCAGCTATGAGTACCCAATTCCCAGATCGAAGACTAATTCAATATGACTGTGGAAAGCTTCAGTCATTAGACAAGCTCCTGCGAAGGTTGAAAGCTGATCATCATCGAATATTAATTTTCACGCAAATGACAAGAATGTTAGACGTCCTGGAAGCTTTTCTTAACTTTCATGGTCATATATATCTTCGTCTGGACGGAACAACGAAAGTAGACCAGAGACAGGTATAATTTTTATATTTCAATTAATGTTTGAAAAAAAAAATCCTAGTTAATAATGAGGTTCACTTATAGCATTTCATTTTTATGACATGTAATCCATAATAATGTTAATATTTGTGGTTGAAAACTTGGAGTAAAAAATGAATAAAACAAAAACCAATGTAATAGATATCATGAATAGATATCATGATCATGAATATTTATGAAATAATTAAATATAAAGTCTGATGCTTCTGATGAATAAAATATTGTTTTTTCAAACATGTATGGTACCTCTTTTTTAAATATTAGTGAGTTTGGGAATTATTCAGGATTTTTTTGTTTTAAGCATTTTCAGGATTTTTTTGTTTTAAGCATTTTAATCTTCTTTTTGAAAATTAGAAAATAACAACTGTATCTTGATAATAACTTCTTTACTTGGATAACATGTAATGTTTGGGATATTGAGATGTTTTATATGTTGGAAAACTAAATTAAATTACATATAACTTGTGTAACGGTCAGTTTATATGAAGATTTTAATTTTCAGCTCTTAATGGAACGCTTTAATGCTGACAAAAGAATATTTTGCTTTATTCTATCAACAAGATCTGGAGGTGTAGGTATAAATTTAACTGGTGCTGATACTGTTATATTTTACGATAGTGATTGGAATCCTACCATGGATGCTCAAGCTCAAGACAGGTGCCACAGAATCGGCCAAACAAGAGATGTACATATTTATAGGTTTGTAATTTTGTTTATTTATTATAGTTTTGTAGTTAATTTGTTTTCTTCTATAATTCACCTATAGTTTGACCACGATTAGTTTATCCGAAGGACGATTTCATGCAACACTAAGTTGAAATTGAAATTTTATTTTTTCTGTGATTCTTTGACATTAATTACAAAATATTTATAATTGCATACACACATTGGTATACGCACAATAACCAGAGCAACCTGGGATTAGAGAACTAACACATGGAGAAAAAGACCAATAAAGAACTTCTTACAGAAACTGGTCAATCGATATCCCATGATATAAAGGTACGGAGGTTAGAATGGGCGGGGCATGTAGCTTATAGCAATCCATCTGGAGGCCTCTTTGAAATAATGAATGCCTTAATAGAAGGCAGAACACCAAGTGGAAGACCAAAAAAGAATGATGCAATAGAACTGCATGCAGATAAATGAAAAAAAAAATAGCCCCAAGACAGGCAGAGATAGAGCAGGCTTTTGTTGAGGCAAAAGATCTATATGGTCTGTAATGCCAACAGAAATGCTTAAGAAAATTTCTTAAAACTTGTGGTGTACAACTTTAATATTCATGTTATTCAATTTTTCTTGTATTCACTTCATAAAATTACTTCTCACCTTAGCAAGACACATTGAAAATCCATGAAAAATCCACCTCATTTTTAAATATATCTTAAAAATTGCAAATTTAAAGACTGTTTTTGTTGTACCTGTATGTGATACTGTTTAACAAGGAATATTCTTATAGTTCAATAGCAGATTCAGGATTTAATTCTGTGAGGGGAGGGGAAGAGAAGACTTCAGCCGGAAAACATTTTTTTTTTTAATATGTAATGATAATTAATATCTTAAGAAGAAAAATAAAGGAACTATTTACTTAAAAGAAATGGTGTTTTAAGTTATTCTTTAAGTCCTTTTTAAGTGTAATTACATGAATAATAATACTTTTAGAGATAATATTTTTCTTAAGACATGGTTATATGTTTTCATTTCGGGGGAGCGTCAGCCTGAAAGCAAGCTTCCCCTTATTACCTTTAACTTTTTTTAAGACATAACTTCTAGTGTTTCCTAACTTTATTGGTAAATGCTGAACACTTGTCAAGAGCCTGTTTTTGGTAATAGAAAAACTTATTTTTGCTTTGTATTTAATTCATATCACTATCGATATCTTTCTTTTTTTTTTCAATGAGAGAATTGTGAATGGTCCCATTTTTAAGACCCGCTACATAGATATACTCAATATATCTATTTGAATTTAAGCTAGTACATGCCTGTCAGCTAATGGTCAAATGACCCAATACAAGGCTCCAGTTAGCTGACGTCCAATAAATTTCCAATTCCTTTCGTTAATATAAGTTAAAACACAATCTAAAACCGCTCTAAGAAAAATAAAACAAAAAATTTGGGGTAAATTAAAATAGTTATAGATGAAAAGAAAAACTTACTTGAAGTATTATGGTGCCCATACTGATAGATGGTTTTTCCTTAGACATTAGTTGGACCTTGAAAGACTTAAAACAGGCATTATTTCGTTTACAGTTTCCAACAACCCTAAAGCAAAGCAGAGAAATATACAAGGAGAAAAGTTAGAAACTAAATATAATAATTTTAACCGAATTTTATAAGGAAGTCACACTTAAAGCTCGCATTTCGAACTGGGGAGGCACATTGAGATTTAATATTTATAAAACGATTGCCTGTATTATGTTAATACCTTTAGTGTGCCTATTTGTGACAGACAATAGGGCCTAAATGCACAAATGTTTTCTTAAAAGCTCCATCAAAAGTGTTCTTGGTTATTTTTTGCATTAAACCGATAATATATGAAAACTTCTTTTCACTAATAAATAATGTTTTGATTTTTCTTTCTTACAGATTGATTAGTGAAAAAACTGTAGAGGAAAATATACTTAAAAAGGCTAACCAAAAGAGAATGCTTGGAGATGTTGCTATTGAAGGAGGAAACTTTACCACAGCTTACTTCAAGAGTGTAAGTTTTAAGCTGAGTGTATACTTATTATTTTTTTTTTATTTAATAAAAGTTATGTTAATGCCATATTTTTATCTTATGTAAGTTGGCAGTCAACGTAGTAAATAAACAAGAGTGGTTCTCTGGTAGTGGTAAAGTTCACTACAGTCCAATTTTTTGGGTTGCTACACATGAATTTAGGATTTGTGGACAGATATTTTGCTTGGAACCTTATATAGTTTAACTCATCTTTTTATCTCTCCCTTTGTATGGAAAATTCCAACAACAATGCTCTTGTAAATTTATAATTTTGACATATATCAAGCACCAAGATAAATTATTTTATTCTTTATTGAATTTCATGTTTTTCCAGGGTGTGAGGCCAGGCTGGGGCTGGTTAAGACCTGCGGGTTAGATATGGCCCCAGTCGGTACCTTGCATTCTATAGTATGGACGTATCCGCTGTCATTATTCATTAGCAATCATTATTAGCTTGATCATTGTAAAGGTAATTAGTTAGGGGTACGTGTTATAATCATTAATAATCAGAAATCATATTGTGCCAAATATCACGAATTTGAGTTAAACAACATAGAACGGCATACATGTCGAGAGAAATACAAAGTCGGTTGTACATAGATGCCCTAAGTTTTACACATAGATGCCCTTAATTACTTTTAAGCTATAAGCTTGCTCTAGCAGCTCAGACCTTGATTGCAGATACAAACTTTATGGGCATAAATTGTAGAAAATTTTGTTTATTTCAATTTTGACAGTAATTTTTGAGACTTGAATGAAAAAACAAACAGTATTTTGCCAATTTTTTTTTTGTTCCAACATAAGAATGCACCGTTGCCTCAAGAAGGCGTATTTTGTGCGTCGTCCTAAACTCAATTAAAACAGGCCAGATGCCTTTGCGAAGCTGTTAATAGTGATACTATAGCCAGTGATACTATCACATCTACAGATTATGTGATAGGCCGTTTCATCCTGCAGGTGGAGGTCTCACTTATACCCAAATTAAAACGCCTAATGGTACTCCTGTCCATTAAAAGACGTGATTTACTTCTCTTGTGACAGAGCCCTACTAACATCCACCAACTTTGAGCAACTTGCATAACTATTCAGGGTCCCAATTGTGCTTGACTTTCCTTGTATATTGTTATCAATTTATTCACAATGTCTTCCCTTATTAGTGATTGAGCACAGAAGTCGATAGCTAAAATATCAGCTTGAAAGATGGACATTTATCTACCTTGAGATATGAATATTCCCTCATAAGGTTTAACCTTTTTCCAGATGCCAGTCCCTGATCCCTGCTCCATCAAGGAGCCGTTGGTAACAGTTAACTCCATTACATGGTCTATGTGAATTATCCCTGCCTGTGAATAATTATCGACTTCAGGTCAGAGTTCATCGCAAGCACCTCATTGCTATCAATCCTATCAAAAATGATCCCATGACTCTGAAACATCAGAAATTTCGATCTCGTTCCCATCTCGATCCAATTTATAGGCAGTTCTGCAGTAGGCTTCCACCTCTAAATACAATGGTGTCAGATTCAAAAGAAACTTCATTGCAATAGTGGGAGTAGTGCTCATAGCTCCCGTTGTCTTAAGGCACGCAAGCCTTTGAAGCTTGCCAAGCAGCATTCTAGGTTTGCTTACAGCTGCCCTATGCCACTATACAACAGTCACAGAGGATTAAGGGTCTAATCCGCAGGTCTGTATAGCCATAAGGCCATGCTGGGTTTCAGCCCCCAAGATTTGCCAACAACACTTCTGCACGCCCATAGACAGCATATAGCCTTACTAATAATCTTTTCAATATGATTTAGCCAGTTAAACATGCTATCTAAAGTAATCCCAGTATGCTATCTAAAGTAATTTTTTTTCAGTCCCTGTTTGCTCTTATCTGTTTTTTTTTTTCTAGTTTTTCTAGAATACGAAGAGAATCAAGAATAAAGAGAATTAGAGATTTTGTTGACAGTTTTTTTGAAATTTCAGAAAATTTATGGTCAGGATTTTCAGATTAAGTTTTTAGTTTCACTTACCCATATATGTAATATATAGTGAGGAGAAGGGAAGCATTGTGATCACGAAAAATTTTTAATCTGAGTTTTCAACGGAAATACACCTTTCAAGGTTCCCTGAGTCCAAATAACCAAATCCCACAAAATGGTCTGAGTGTGTGTGTATGTGAACAGTCTAGCTCAAAAACGAAAAGTTGTTCGAAACTGATATTTCGTATTTAAGATAGGTTTATGGAGTAAGAAGGTTTTTATTGCCTACTGTAAATATGATAAATAGGGTTTTTATTATTTTAATAGTGTTAATGATTTGTTAGCTGTAAGCTAATGCACTTCAAAAATTTTATAATAGCCCATCATTGCCAGAAAATAATTTCTATTCAAAATTTGAGCGGTAAGTGAAAGTTAATTGTTGCACGCACCAGATATTTTTTATTCTAGTTACTGATGTTTCAAATCAAACATGTGGATCTTTATCTGTAAAATCCTGACTGAAGAAAATTAATACATTTGTAAAAGTGTTGTTTTAGCCATTGTAACATTTGTATATAAACAAATATAAAATATATACATATTTGCTGTCTTTACACATTGGTTGTTACCGAATTGGTGTAGATTCGAATTTGAATTTGCCATTTTTTCAGAACACCTCCAAAACGAAAATAATAAGTTGATGCTTTATTACTCATTTTGTTGCAAAGAATTTTGGTTAATTGCATTTGCTTGAAAACGGCGGGATGTTGAAATTGGTCAAGATAAATAATAAATTTATGAAGAAAGTGATTAACTTTAGTTAATGCATTAAATTTTGTGTAACAAATAATAAATTAAAATATCTAAGTATAATTATTTGTTTGTGCCAGATTTATAATTTTTATTTCACCATTTATTAAGTAGCTTGTGATTTTATTAAACATTTGTCTTATTTTTTTCTAGTCAACAATTCAAGATCTATTTAATGTTGATACCTCCGAGAATGATGCTTCCCGAAGGATGGCTGAAGTTCTTCATAATAATGATAAAACTGCTCAGAATGCTGAAGATACGCAGGTGAATTAATTGTCTATCTAAAAAAAAATAAAAAATTAATCTAGTTAAAATAAGTTTTGAAATAAGATGCCGAGAAGCCAAGGGATAAAAGTAAAAATTTAATCATTTTGCTAAATTGCAGTTTATAAATTAAACTTGTAATTTCCTAAAATGTTTAAATGTGTTTTATGCCCATGTTAAGATTATACTATATATCCCCCATGGTTATTGATCAATATGTTATAGACAAATTTAATTAGACATACAGTTTAATTCCAAAGATAAATGAGAGTAGAGAGTGCCAAATAATTCCTATATCGCCACCACCCTAAGAAGTTTGTTCAAATAAACTAAGTTTTACACCAACTTGTCCAAAATTGTGGTCTCCTTCCCAAGCTTCATGATTTTTGTCATCTTACTTTTATAGTTGTACTGCTTGACAAACTGGCTATAAATTATAAAATTATAGCGTCACGAAGTTATATACTTAGCCAGTTTTTATGAAAATTAACTATTTCCCTGTATTAACTTATGATAATAATTTTTTAATGGTATATGAAACGTGTTTGGAATTAATTTTGTCATATTTACTCTACTATTGGGTAATAAACATTTATTTATTAAAATGAACTAAAAGGCATCACTATTAAAAATCCTACAAAACAATATTTTATATTATGATGCTTACAAATAATTTATACGGATTATAAGTAAATGTTTATGATGCAACTGTATATTATTAATAAAGTTATTTTCAATTTTTTTTTTTTTTAGGTTGTTGCTAACTCTGATGAGAAAGTAGCAATTGGTGCTCTCGAGAGTGCTATGGCTCAGGCAGAAGACGAATCTGATGTGGCAGCAGCAAAGGTTGCCAAAGCAGAGGCCGCTGCTGAACTGGCAGAATTTGATGAGAACATCCCCATTGAAACCCATGATGGGGTTGGCGGTGGCCAAGAAATGAGCAAGGCAGAATTAGAACTTCATAATCTTATGCAACAAGTATGTTTTTTCTTCAGTACTTCTAATATTTAGTGTGATATCTTAATTTTAATATTTGCAATTCTTAAGGTTATATTTCACTGGTACTGCCACCACGCTAACTGAAGCACTGCTTTAGTGGAATAGAAAGAAGCCTATTTTGCTGTCACTGCTCGGCAGTCTAGGTATGGCGTCATATCTATTCTGCTGCTTTCTGACTGCTCCTGAAGCAGTAAAGCTGTTAGCAGTATGACAGTTTTAGGTTATGTTTTCTTTTCTTTTCTTTTTTTCATCAAATCGGACAAAATTAAATGAAAAATTGTTTAAAATTTAAACATTTCAAAATTGAAAGCTGTAATAAATCATGTTTTAGAGATTGAAGTAACAAGATTATTTATTACCAAAAAAGTAATTTACTAAGAAATTCAAATATTCCCAAACCAAATGACACTGAATAAATTAAATAATAAAAAAAAAATTAATCTCAGGTAATTCCACAAATCCAGACATTGAATCATCAAATTGTCTTTTTTAAGTAAAGTGCTGATTTACTGATGACTTATTTATTAAACTGTAAAACATTGCTGTGATTTCATTTTAAATTTATGATATTTATTTCTGAAATAATGATACTAATAATGAATAATAGATTTAAAATGAGTGATACATCATCAATTCTTAAAATAATACTCAGTCATCTTTCTATCATGATATAAATGTTTTCTATTCAAAATATTACAAGAAACCGTAATTTTTTATAAGGTGGGCATATATTTAGATAATTGTTAACATTTTATAGTAGACATAATCTAACCTTGTTATTCAACTATAACTACCGGAAAAAATAGAGTGTATTAATTAAAGAAAATCGAACCTCCTACATCATATGTATCGCTGTGCCGATACAAATAAAACCATTAAATGTAAAGCTAGATGCTGAAGTCAAAGGACCTGACCATGACTATGAGGAGTTTCAGCGAAATGGACAAGCATTAACGATTGGCAGTATGGAATGGCGGTCACTCCCATAGATAGCACCAGTGAAAATATTACCTTTAGTATATTATATAATATTCCATATTACTTTTAAAAGAATAAGTGATTAAGGACTAAAATGATTCATTTTGTTGGTTTATTGCTAAATGGCACGTACGTTAATTTTTTATGGAGATTAAAATTTTAAGTATGTTTTTTTAATCAATTTTGTCCTTATTTATTGACGTTAAAATACAGTAAGCCCATCAAAATGAGACAAACTCATATATAAATATTATATACACTTAATGGGCTATGTTCTAATACTGCAGGAGAAAAATTGATCAAAATACTTAGTGATTTAATTTTATAAAATGTTTGTGACATTTTGCAATAAACTGTTAGTTAATTTTAAAATTACACGTGATAATTCTGGACAATATTTATAATGAGTAACTAAAAAGGTTTGTAATAAAGTTTATTTAAATAGACAGCTATATTTCCCGCAATACACTGGTATAACCCGTTTAGTTTTAGGTAGGCATCAATAAGCATCTATTCTGTAATAACAGCTAGAGTTTGTTTCTTTTTTCTAACCAGTGTAGGTTTATTTTGTCCAGATTTATTCCTTGGGATTACCACCTAAGGGAAATTGAAACTGAGTTAATATTTAAGTATGTATGATGAAATATTATATTTAAATAGGACTCTATGTTTATCTCTTCGGATCTCTTTTCTGTACATTCTATTCTGATTTCAGACTTCTTATCAAGTCTATTAGACTCTTGAGATAGTCCCTGATAAATATCTTTGTATATAGTTTTAGTGATTCAGTCTTTTCATTTGAGCACTAAAATACTACAAGGCTGCTAATGGTGTGGTCTTATTAGCTCTGTTACTCCTAGCTGGTGTCTATCATTGCGGAATATTTCAGAGATTTTTTTTTTGCTTGGGAATTCACATTACATTTGGGGAAAGTCATTGGTTCTAAACTTTTGTATCTTGCTTCTATTTTCATGAGCCATGGGGTAGCTAATTTTGGCAGTTAAAAGAATGAAAGAGACTTCTACAACTCAGTTATGCTTAAACTATTAAGGTTAGAGTTAAACAGGAACTACTTAGGAACTAGAACTACTTACTTAAACTACTTAGCTTATAGTTAAACAAGAACTAGTAAATAAATACTGTTAAGTCATTTCAGTGAGACAATGTCAATGGGTTATCTTCGTTCCGGACACCAATTTTTTTCCATGTTTCTCTTTATTTCTTATAACTTGTATTACCGATGCATTAATTTTTGCTTATTAATTTCAAGAAAGGACTTTTGTCTCTATGTTTCTAGATACACACGTGCCCAAAATATTTATCTAATGCAAGAAGTCTAAGCATGATGTATTAAAATAAAAAAAACTTCTATTATGTTTTTAAATTCTACTCCTCTCTAAGCATCCTGATTTCATATATTTTTTTGTTCAAAATGTGCTGTTATGCTAATGGAACTTAATAACATTTTTAAAGTATTGACAATAATTTATTGCTTATTTTCTATTATCTTATGACTGGTTAACTACTATTGTAAATGATCAAAGTGACATGTGATTGAAATTTCTGGTTATAATATGAACGTAATGTTTGTTTTAGCTTACTGCTGTCGAGAGGTATGCCATGAAGTTTATGGAAGAAAATGATGCTGCTTGGTCCAAAGAGCAGTTGGCTGCAGCTGAAGCAGAAATCGAGCAACAAAAAAAGGAATGGGAAGCTGGTAGATTGGCTGCCTTGCAAGGTCGGAAATCACCTTCTGGAGAAGCTGAGTCTGAATCTGTTCTCACTTACTCTGGCGTTGACTCACGAAATCAGGTCAATAAAACAAGAGCTAGTGGGGGTGGGGGAAGAAATTGTCATAGTGGCAATAATGTGGAGGAGGGTACTCCAAGGACTAGATCGCATGGTCGTGTTTCAATTGATCTGTGGACTTTAGATGACAGTCCTCAAAACGGGGGGAAACCTTTATCGGGACAAAATAGAAAATTTAAGACCGGTAAACGGCGTACTACTCCTCCGCCTCCCAATCCTACTCCACCACCTTATTCAAATCCTAATCTTGTAATTCGTACTAGAAGAGCTTCTGCTGCCTCGATCAATGAAATTAGTAAGGTCAGCAAAAAAGTTAGTCGGTTAAGTAAAACAAAGCGTCCATCAGATGTTGTTCCATTGACTATAAGTACAAGTTTGGGTTCATGATACACTGCCGGTTAATAGTTTATTATTATAATTAAGAATTTAAAGCTTTAAAATTTTTCACAATCAAAGGACTAATTTAAACCAATTTTGACCGATCTTTCAATCATTCGTTTTTGTGTTTTTAATTTAGTTCGGATACTTTTGATCTCATGACATTCATAATCATAGTTAGATGATATAAGTCTATTTCTACAAATACTCTTATTTAATTTTTTTAATATCTTTTTTTAAATAATGTTCCTCTAATATTAATAAATAACTTTTTTTTTATTTTCACTTTTTATGTTCTCTGCTTTATTATGGGTAAAAAAAATTTTTTATTTATTTAGTTTTATGTATCGGTTTTCGATGCCTGTACATCTCTTTTTTTTATTATTTGTAATTGTGATTAAAATTAAAAATTATACTGTACATATGCATTTTAACAAATCTCGTCATATGATTTGTTAGTATAATAACTAACGTTTCGAAAACTATTCAAAATGTCAAGTATTTTCGTGTCCCTCTTGTAAATATAGGATAATAAGAGTAGTATGGTTAAGGTGTCACCAGTACATTTTTGTAAATATCTATGATTCCAATAACCAGGAATTTATATTTTGAATATGTTGATAGTATTGTTAAATAAATATTTGTAATATTTCGATTATTTAGCTATAAAGTAAAAGTATCATTTTTATACTTTTAATAAGTTATATGTAAATAAATGTCCATATTATTAGCACTATTGAGCGATTCACATTGTAGCAATGTTTAGCCATGTTAAAAAAAAAGTGATTACTGTAAATGAGGCTGTCATATACCTGTAATAACATGGCACTTTTTATATGGGCTCCTTGATTTAAACTATAATTGAAACCAATAACAGTGAAATTAAATTTCTAGAAAAAAAGACTGTTATTTTTCATAATTTTATAATAGACTGTTGGTTATTAAATCAATTCTTTTTTTTTTTTTTTTAAATTACATCATTGTCTATGACACAAATTAATGATTATATCATTCTATTATTTAAGGAGTTCATGTAAAATCTGTGCTCAAGTTATGTGTTATTTTATAGTACTTTATTTATAATTAAATATTTGCAGTACAATGTATTTATAAATAAAGTAAATATTCTCTATGTTGTGATTTCTTGGTATACTGAATGTACGTTGGGCTCTGTTTTGGTGTCCATTCATTTATTTTTTATTTGCTCTTTGTGCACTCTTCGTATTTGGCTTTATTTTTATTCCTAGTCATGTACTAAAGGGGCACATGCAATAGACACTTCATATGTAATAAGAGTTTCTTTTTTCATGGTTAAGATCTTTATTATAATTTGATTATAAATATAAATAATATCAGTGGCACCAAAACACTGCCTTTACCGCCATTTGGAAGATGATTACCAAGAGAATTATGCACATAGAGCAAGTTTTTTCTATAGGCATCAAAACATGGCTCAACGTTGTTCATGAACAGTATTTGAATCCTTATCTTAATTTATAACTGTAGTCTTCTATAGATACTAAATTAAGGAATTTTCAGTTTAAAAAAAAAAAAAATAGTGATTATTTTCAAAATAAGGTAATTATGCTTCGGATATGATATAAATTATTTCTTGCATTAAAGAATTGTGATGAATGCTTCCTGGATCTTGTGGAGTATAAATGAGGAATGTCGAGTACAGTGCTGACCACACTATCCTACAATTTGAAAGACCAGGCATATCTATCTGCGTTCAACTCTAGTTCACTTCATACCAAGAGGACGCTATTTACTTTGAACTGGTACAATCCAATCAGAATTCTAACTATCTTCATTCTGGATATATCGATAGAAATCACTACGTGCCAAAACATTTTCATTTTCTCTTCAATTTTAAAGCTTTTATTATTAATACATAAAAGAATTATTCATTATTGTTTAACTGTATTAAATAATGAAAACTAAATGAGAACTCTAAAAGATTCTAAAAATAAACTAAAACTTGCTTTGTCTCTAGTCTCAGGGTATGAATGCAAATTTGAAACTATCATCATGGAAAGGTCATTTGTGACTAAATTTAGTTCTTAATGAATTCAAATTTTTCTCCATTTCATTAACTGGAAGATACTATTTTGATCTTTTTTTCTTTACTATGACCTGCTTAATTTTAAATTCAATATATTGACAGTGAACCGAACCATCCATATCTGGCAAGGTTAAATCATCTATGGATTAGTCTAGGTTGTTTCAACCGTTTGAATGGAGATATAACTGGAGATAATGGCTGTAACCATGATTCCGTTTTCTTTTTCTTTTAACTGAATTGTATCTAGTCATATTTCCATAGTTCTCATGGCTTAAGAATTGTCTCAGTTTTGATGAGTTGTTGTTATTTTGGATTATTTTTATAGATCCTTTAAAAAAACATCAAAATTAGTTATATTTGAAGCTTTTTAACAAAAATTAGATTTTTCTTAGTTTTTTTTTTTTCAAATTAACTAGTCAGACGACTTTCAAATAACACCATTATTATCTTATACCCTCTTTGTGATGGGCTAAAAATTAATGAAACCTAATAATATACTATACTGGAAATATTTTCGATTTTTTATCTTTGAATTTAAACATATTAACCAATCTCTAAGAAATTTTTTTTCTTTATTCTAATTACTTTCTCATCTTAAAATTATATAGAATCCATTTTTCTCCAACACTTAATTATTGAATTAGCTACTTTACAGCATTTATTCTTATCCATTTTTTTCACCTATAAACCTTATTTATTAAATGAAATATGGAAGATGAAGGCAGTTCAGCCAATTCATTAATGTTCATGTTGAATTTTAGTTCAAAGAAAAGTTAGCATTATTTGATTTTCGAAGATCGTGAAGGCTTATTTACAACTAACCAATTGACCTTGTATGTCTATTTTATATTGTTAGATATAATTAAGCACTTTCTATCAAAAGATTATTGTTGAAGTATTTGTGTTGAATGGGAGCTTTTTACATTATGGGGAAGATGAAGAGAAGTACAAAACAATTTTTACTCATTAAATTTTTAATTAATTTATAAAATTATAATTGATTGGATTTGAGAAATATTAAAAAGGAAGAATATATTCTTGTTTGTCTAAGGTTCAATTAGTTCAAATGTTTTGATATCAGTTGGGTTTTTTTAAATTCTAAGTTCGTATTTGAAACTTTTGTGTGAATACGTATTAGGTGCGTGCAACAATAATAGGCATGTCCAATACGTAATGCTATTATGAACAACACTATTATGATAGTTTCTGCAAATAAAAAAAAGTTACTAACATACCGTAATATGAGTAGTTCAGTGTATCATCAAGATTTAATAATTTTAATACAAATAAGTGATTGCTCCGTTGTCAAGTTGTAGATATTCAAAATTAAGCACTCTTATTTCAATAATAATTACAAAATTTAAGCATATTAATAAATTTTTTAAACAAAATAATTGTATGGATTGGTTTGAATAATAGGAGGCTAGAGATGTTAAGGTATTATATAGAGAAAAGCTATTAAGTTGTTCGGAAGATGGAGAGTACCCGTATTGTTAAGTGTGTCAATGTGATTTACAAAGAAATGACTCTGTCAACATTTTATATTTCATTATCAACTGTTTTTAATTAATGGAAGATTTCCAAAAACATATTTTTTAAAAAGGCATATTAATTATTTAAAGAGCTATCGAGTAATTATAGAAAAAAGAGTTTGAGTGAAGGAAACAACTTTAAAATATCAATTATTTTTAATTACAGTTTGATGTCAAATAGAAAAAAAAATTATGACAAACTGAATTCTATAAATCTAGTGTGGTGTGTGCATCACATTTTCAGTCACCAACCTTAAAGTACATAGGTATTTTTATGTAACGCAAAGTCAAAATGAAAATGACGGCATAACTCCATTCAAAAAACTTAATTAATTACCATATTTTTTTCACCCATCAAATCAGATAAATTTATAAGTATACATCACTTTCCATTTCCTTTTACAAGTGTACAGAGTATCAAACTTTACTAATGATTGTGACTCGTAGATTTATCATAAATCTCGTCAAAAAAATAACATTTGTAAATATTGTATTTTATTAGATTTATATTAGTAGATCTTCAACATTTTGTATGAAAAACTTTTTAAATAATTATGGATAAGTGATGTATTAAAGTGAAACTAACAATATGAAAGCCCTATACAGAGGGTTAAAGGGAGTTGATTGGCAAAGCATGGGCGCTCTGGGCTGTTTCAGTATAGCTTCCGTTATTTCTCCCATAGTTACAAATAAATTTTCTTCATTCATTATATTTAAACACTTTTTATATCAGTTTCAAATGTGGAATGGTTAATTAATTCAAATTAAAAACTTTTTAAAGTACTTTAGGGTAAGAAATTTTGAAAATTAGGCACTTAAACTCTGTTGGAGAACATAGATGGAGATAAGATCTATGTTATATTAAAAACTGCTTAATTTTACACGGATATAATGAATTAAATAGAAATCGTTTGAGCCATTTTCGAGAAAATTGTAAAAATGTGTAAAATCAATGATTTAAAGTCTCACTTCCTGTTAACTGACACTTTTGACGAAAAAGTTGCGGTAACATCCCAAGCTTGTAGAAACCTTAAATATGAAATTTCAGTTGTATACAACATTTTGTTTTTAAGCTAGACTGCATCTTGAGTTGCATATCTTCTGTCACACCATCAAACCAACATAATCTAGACTTGCCTTCCTTCTTGTGCCATACAGCGGTTGCTTAAGGAGCTTCTTTGGTATTTCCTCATCTTCCATCCTTGACGCATGTCCTTCCCACTTTAGCCTGCCCTACTTCATGATTTATATGATGTTGGGTTTGTGGAACATGGTTTATAATTCCCGGTTGGATCGTCTTCTCTATTGTCCAGCAGCTTGAACTCCTCCTTATATTCTTCGGAGGATCTTCTTTTCGAATATTAGAAGGTCCCGCTCATCATTTTGGGTGAGTGTCCATGTCTCACAACCATAGAAGAGAACTGGTGGCCGTATCAAGGTTTTGTTGAGCTGGACCAAGGTTTGCCTAGACAAGAGGCAGCTTTAAAACTCCTTGCATTAGCTGTAATAACAACAGTTGACATTGTAAAATTTGTCACTAATAAGCTTAAATAAGTGAACTTTATCACTTTCTCAAAATTGGACGAGCCTATGTTCACTATGTTAATGTCTCCTGGTCTTGTTGTGTCTTCTGTCACCAGGTGCTTGGTGTTCCCTTCGTTGATTTCTAATCCTTGATTCTATTTTCTGGCCTAATCATTGACAGAAATGCTTCAGCAGCAAGTTCTTCAGAATGGTCTCCTTTTATCAGAACCATACATCTCATACCTTTCATAGTTAATTCATTCATGCGTATGAGCTTTTTAGAACTTTTGAATACTTTGAGTGCTTTATAAATCTCTTCCTGTTTAACTATATCGTTGGCCGCTTTAAAATCGAACAGGTGATGCGTTTTTATATTGTATTCACGCCTCCTCTAAGAATTATCTGTAAGCTGAATATATGGTCGGTGACCCTTTCTGCTAAGGTCCAAGTTCTTGTTCTGCATATGGCAGAAGACGTTGAAACAATATATTTTAAATTATTTTTATAGTCAGACGAGATTAGAGTGATTCCTCTATAATTAGTATATATAAATCGGTCACCCTTTTTGTAGACAGGACATATTAATCACTTGGCCCAATCAGATGGCATCAATTCTGTCATCCATGCTGTAATTGATATATTCATATAAAGGCTGTTTAACACTGAAGTTTCTTGACCTAGAAATTGTAGTTAAATAGTTTGATTTTCAATGTGGAGGTTGACTTTATAGACTCTTTTACACTTAAAATTTTTGAATCATGTCAGGACTTTAGTTAACATATTTCTTTGCTAAGTGTCCCAGGAAAGTTGCCTTACTTTACTTAGAGTGTGGTTTGTTATTTGTGTTAAAAAGAAGAAGAAAACTATTTTCATTTAAAGAAGTAAATCTCAAGAATAACAAAAACAATAATCTATTGACATAACCTATATCACATCTTACAATGATGGTCTGTCTCTTATCGCTTCAATCAGTTTTAAAACTTGAACCTAATATTTTTACTCTAAAATATAATTAAAAGAAGATTCACATTGATCTTAATGCAATAGAAAAATGGGACACACGGCGAGCTTAATGGAATAGTATGTTTCCTGAAAACAAAGAGCTCAACAAAATAGTATAGTAACAAATTTCCAACATGTTGGATCAATATGGTTGCATAACTTAACAAAACCATTTTATTTTACACAGTTAAATATCTTGACCAAAGTGAATTTGTATAAGAAACTGTTAAAAAAACTTCAACATTTATAAGGCCTTAAGAATATAACGTATAATTTCATAACATTCATGTAACGTCAGATTTCATTTGGGTAGAAAAATTTGGATGTTTCATGATAAACTGAAGCTATGATATGGTGTGGATATGAGAGAGAAAAGTCTACAGATTATTTTAATATTCATTGTTTTTGTTTTTTTAATATTAATAGTTATAGTAATAATATGTTTTAATAATAAATGAGTATTAAAACAGATTGTTATAATATTCATGTAAACAAGGAATAGTTTCTTGGTTTATTATTATCTTAAGCATCACCAAATTGATTTAAAAAAAAAAAATTGTATCTCATTAATGAAGAAGTCTTATGATTCTCAAGTACTGTTCTCCTTCCAACATAATGTGGACTTCTAAACCAAAGGTTGTCCAATAGATTATTATTGTTCATTAATTTCTGGACAGATATATTTCCCTTTCTCCTCTTATGCCCTTTTTACAGTCTCAACTTCTTATATTTAGATCACTTCAAATTATCACTTTCTTGTTTCTATAGCAACTGTAACATTCACTATCTCTCTTAAGTCAATGATATTTCTAGTGGTTTAGGATTGCAGATTTGTCTAAGGAGTCATATACTGGTACTGGGTGTATTAAACTATTAAACTAGTCTAGCAAGTGGGCCTATAATGGTCCTTTTTGCCAACCCCTGACGGCTACCTTTAAGGTTGCTGCTGCGTTCTTGCCAGAGTGGGAATGTCCGATCCATTTCCCGGTGCCGCCGAGAAATGAAAAGTAACCGACCCCCCAGGTGGGAATCGAACCCACAACGTTCAGAACTGAGCACTCTTGGACCCACACCCCAACGTGCTCGGCCATCCCGTCCTCAAGAAGTCATATAGCTGATATTTATAGTGATAGGCATTTAGTGATTTTATTGACTGTTACATGTCTATTTCAATAACTTCCATTAAAATATTTTTTAAAGAATGACCATTTTAGAGACTTCGTAAGACAGGGAAAATTCGAAACAATCCTGGCTGAAGTTGAGAAGAATTTCTGAACCCCATGATTGTAACTGCAGCTAACGTGTTAAATTTACTTTAATATTCCATCACTGATTGTTCACATATTTTAATAACCTAACACTAGTAAGAACTTGAGGTTTCTCAATTTCGTTGGGTGGAGAGAGAGGGGAGGAGTAGGAGGTTGAAATTTATTTCATGATGGGTCCACATGGTCCAGGCTGGTTTGTTGTTAGATAATTACCCATAACTGGTAAAAGAACGGGATAAAAGAAAAAAAAAGTTTTCGATTTCAACTTAAGAATAAGTTATATGAATAAAGTTAAGTAACAGTTTACTGTCACAAAAAAAATTTCTTTTTTTTTTTTTTTTATCATTTTTTGGGATCACTTTATTATCCCATCTTCAGACTAGAAACAAGAAACATTTTTGTTATATGTACTTATTTATTTTCATTGCATATATTTTAATTTTCATTGCATTATATTTATAATTTAACAATGAGTACATTTATATTTTTTTTTTTTATTTCAGTTGTGGGTATCTGATGATGGAACTGATATAATGCCGGTATGTATAAATACAACTGTATTATTATTACTCTATTATTCTGTAAACATATCTTTTACACACAATTTATTTGATACATTTAATTTCTTTTCTAACAAAATACTCTAGCCCCATTATTAAACTTAAAAAAAAATCACAAATGGTTTCAGTGATGTGAAAGTTGCACAAATCAAAATGCTATGAGCTAAATGTCAGGTCCGTTTAAAGTTCAGAGTTTATTGAAATAACTAGAATAAAATTAAAATTTAATTCAGTCTACGTTAATGCTGGATCTTTTTCCATTAGTTACATGTATTACAGCTATCAATCTTAGTTTATTAATGTGAGTTAAAGCTATGATAAGAGATACAGAAAAAAGAAAAAAAAAATTTTAAGTCTTTATGTAGACATATTATTAAGCCATTAAATTAATTAATAAAATAATCCTAAAAATTACTGGATAAATACTACTAAATAAATAACCATGAAAACTACTGGAAAAGTTTGCATGCATTTTTTTGAAAAAATTATTGTATTGTCCTGAGAAGGTTTTAAGCTTTTAAAATCCTAGGTCAGAGCAGTAAATGAAATTTAAAAATATTTTCAACTGACTGCGTATTAAAAGAATTAAGTGATTGCAATTAACAATGTTTGACTTTACATTACTATTGTTAAAATTGCACATTATCATTCTTGCAGTTGGTAAAAATGTCCCCAAAATGACGAAATATTGATCTTTCACGGATGCAAACTCGTATTGATCCAGAAATTCCGAACAGTGAGGAAAGCTTAACGTGGTTTTCTACCACATTAATAATTCATTAATCAGTAAGAAGGAAATTAATAGAAATACCAAACTGATGATCTATTAAACAATATTCTTGCCAGTATTATTATATGGAGCAGAACACTGGACAATTCTGGAGAAACATATCTAAAGAATAACCACCGCACAAATGATGTTCCTCAGAGAATTGTAGGAAAGACAAAGAGAGACTATATAGATAATGAAGTTGTTTAGGACGAAATATAGTACAGTCTCTTTAAAATCAAAATTAGAGGAAGATCAACTCAGATGGTTTGGACATGTATCGAGAGTGCCAGATTCCTGCTTGACGAAATGGTATATGGAGGCAAATCCCATAGGAGGAAGACCTGTAGAACGGCTCAGAATGAATTAAAGGGAAGATCTGGGGAAAATAAGAGGAAAGGTCAAGTGCTGAATAGCCGATGACAGGAATGACTGGAGGAGGTGAACTGAGTTTCGTGCTTGGCACTGAAAGGTGCAAAAGCAAGGGAAAGAAAAATAAGAAGCACAGATGCAACCAAGAAGAAATCAAAAAACAAAATGAAACAGAATAACAAAATAGATAAGCCCCCTTTTCGTTTGTTAATGTCAGTATAAAATGGATACACAGAATGTTATTTCTTTGTACTTCAGCAAGTGTTAAAACTAATTATTTTGGGGACACAGCTCAAAATATAACTTATTTAGAAGCCCTATAAATTTACTTTTCTCTGTTATACAGTACTAAATTGCTGGATCAATCACAAAAAAATAATGCAGAAATTATTCATTTTAGTTCTCAAAGTTGTATATTTATTTAGTGGGCAAAGCCACAACACGGGACAGTATTTTATATAAAAGCAAATGTTATTGGTTTTTAATACATAAGTTACCCCATAGCCCTGTTATATCATAATTTAATCATTGAATTAAACATGAATATTTTTGTTCAGATGTGGTGCCCTCCAACGCCCCCACAAGATGATGGTGACGTGTACATCGATCAGGCTTTGTGCCTGCTGTATGAGCCTGAAGTTATGCCTGACTCTCAACTTCCTCCTGTTTACATTAAAAAAGAGAAGAAGCGGAGTAGGTTTGAGGCAGGTCTTCCAGAAGGTAAAATATTTTTCTATCTTGCTTCTTTTATTTTTAACAATTGCAATGACATCTTCTTTTTTGGGGTGCTCCAGACTCTGCCATATCCGTAAAGTCAAATAAGTATGAAAAAAAAAGAAAAACTTAATTTTTAATTTAAAAAAAAAATCCTTTAAACCACAATGGAAAACTGGAATAAACCATAATAATACGAGTTGTTTAGTTGTGTATTTAGATATAGTAGAATAGAGCACTTTATTCTGGGACAGTAATATTAATAATATCAGCAATGTGCAGAAAAATAAAGATTATCAAAATATCATACACATAGTATAAGTCTTTTGATAATTTTTGTGCACATTGCTGATATTATTAATATCATTGACTCATTTTTGTCTACTTCTCAGGATCAGTGCAGTTATCATTGATGCATTTACTTTGTGTTTTATTTTTTCTCATTCTTCATTTGTTGTTTTGTTATAAAAAAATTATAAAACAAATTAAGAATGTAAAAAATATAAAACTAGGTACATGTATCAATAGCAATTGTAATGATGCTGAGAAGTATGGAAAATGAGTTAAATTAATCCAACATATGGTATTGAAAATTAATTGCTTAAGATATCTATGTATCTTACAACTTTGTTTTCCTCCTTGTCGATAATTCTCCTACTTCAAGCTTTTGTTATATGTTATAAATAATTGTTTTATATTCTATTTGATGTATTGAGACATTTACTCTCGATTGTAAAATTCATTCCAAAAATTGTGCTTTCATTGCAGCTAATAAATTGCTTTCAACTTAGCTTTTAGTTGATTAAATAATAAATTTTACTTACTTTTGTGTGTTTGTAGTTAATAAATTGTAATTGATTCTTTGTAGGACGTAGTCAAACGAAAATTCGTCACAGAGAAGAGTCCTCTTCTCTTTTACATGCTCCACGCTCTCTTTTTGATCGACCAACACCCGCTCTTATAAAAATGAGACAGGAGCTTAAATTGCAAAGATATAGAGGGCTTATGCGACCATCAATTCAAGGCATTGCCAATAAACCCACAGTGCCGTTAAAACCACTTCCTGAACCAGAGCATGTTCCTGACTGGCTGGTCCAAGAAGATTGGATGATTCTTCAGGTACTTTGTTTTTTCTTTTTAACTTTGTAAATATTTATTTTCTGTTAGAAGAGTCATTATTATTATTTAGTGTAGAAAAATGTTGTTTTTCATGAGTGTGTTTTTAATTAAGGTAACATTTATTATTATCTTGTGACCAATTTTTTATTAATGTTCAGAAATAAATAAAAGATGAAGTAGAATCTTGGCTTCTACTGAATTATTAAAGATTTTACTTTTTAGCTCTTACTTAGTTTAGTTTTAGTCTATATAATTATTGACTGGTTAGCTGTCTTTCCCGCAGAAATGACACTGAGGATTGGTTTGTACCGTTTTGATTTTGTTTTGATGAGTTCGTAGCAAACAGAACTGATGGCTTATTCAGATCCAAGAGTTGTAGATCAAAATGATTGAATACTTAGTTTATGCCCATTGTTATGAGATTGCAACAACTTCAACATTATCATAATATTCTATGATTATTATTTTCCTTTTTTCCAAATGGAATCTTAGGATAATTTTCTTACTCTTCTGCGATAATAGCAAAATTATTCTGTATGATGGAACCCTAATATTTATATTGTCATCCATTTTATGTTCTACTGTTTTTAATAGTAAAGAATTGCATCTTTCTGACGGATTCAGTTATTCTCTTTACTAAATTCAGATATATTAATAAAGGTCACAGACAGACTAGGTTCTCTGTTTTGAATCTAAAGTAAGAGTTCTATTAAGCCATGGGTAGCAGTATTTTAAAATTTGCAGCTTCTTTTTCATTAATTTGGCCATTGGCAAATGTCCTGTAGAATCCATTATTTGTTATTTTTATTTCTTAAATTAGCTATTATCGCTTCTTTTAGCTGCAGTTAAAAAGAAGTACTTCTAATCCCTTATTAATTAGAATATGTTGTACTGATTCAGGTATTGGTAATGGTGGAGGGATTAAGCCCAGCAAGTGGGCCTATTTGTCCTTTTTGCCAACTCAAAAAAAAAAAATAATAATAATAATACCAACGATTGTCAAAAAAAAAAATATATATATACCAATGATAGTCTATTATACCTCCTACTCTGTCTCAAACCTTTTTGTTCTTCTAATGAAGTTCAAAAGGCTGGACCATTTTATGGAGGAAGCTTCGTTTTCTTATATTCTATCTGAGTCCTGAAGTCTGTATCAGAGTGAGGCTAATCGGTTGGATTCTGTAATTAGTGTGTTTTGTAACAGTACTCTGATTATGGGTCGGATTTCCTTTTTAGTTAGTCCCAACAGCCACTTAGTTTAAGGGGGGAGGGGCTTATGATAAATTGTTTGGCTTGTCTAAGCCGATTGCATTCCCTCCACTCCTTACCTGCTCTTTTCCAAATCCAATCAAGGACTTCTTTTCTCTGACGATTCTTGAATAATCCTATTACAGGTTCCGGACCTACAATAGGAAATTCCACTCCTTTCCTTGCGAGGGCATCAGCTTTTCATTGCCTTTAATTCCCTTCTGACCAGGAACCCACACTGTTTACACCCCTCTACTAATGTGGAGATCATTTAGTGGATTCTAATGCTTGAAGTGCCGACTGACTATCCAAATAGATAGTAATACCAGCACTCTCACAATTAATAACTTCTATACAGCAAACACCTCTGCTTGAAATACTGTAGCATGTTTACCTAATGGTATGTTTAATTCTATATTAAAGTTCTCTATATAGACTCCTACATCCCCTGAGCTAGTTAAGTCTTTCCTCGACCGATCAGTGAAACAGAGCAGGTAGTCCTGAGTTTCTATTTGAACCCTGTGCCCAATCAATTATGTTAGGATATAGATAGGATTTTTTCAAGCAACGGAGAAAGGTACTGTAAAATGGGAACTCTTTTTTTTCACCATTGTGGCTATTCCTATGTGGCTGGTGTGAGAATATGTAGTAAATCTCTATGCAAGCCATTTTTTGCTAACGAATCATTGCCTCGGATAACTCATATTTATGACTGTCCTCCATACAATGCTTCCATATTGAATGTCTTACAAAATATGTTTATATTTAATGGCCCTTGGGTCATTCATGTTTACATCCTCAAAATCTCTTTTTTTTCCAGAAGGCTACTTTAGCTTTCCTTTTAATCTCTGTTAATTGTAGTTATCAGTTAGTTTGGTGTCCAAAATTAATAATATAATAGCAAAGCAATGTAATTAATATTTTAATTTTATAGTCAGACTCCTTGAAGTTTCTAGATTCATCTTATGACCAACTGTTACCAGCATCAATTGGAAACTATTTAAAAATACTCTCCAATGGACTTTAGGCCTATAGCTGTGATATTTTGATAAATTATATTTTCAGTACATTCATTAATTTTTCTCAAGATTGCATATAACAATTTAATATCACTAAAAGCTTCCTTATGGCTCTACATAATAACAGTATGAAGTATGGTTTAGCTGTTTTTCCATGAAAAGCTGACAAACACTAAGGTTTTTGTTCTCCCTTTCAATTTTGTTTTAAGATGGAGTTGATTTTTCTTAATATCTGATGTATTTAACAACATTACAAAAGTTCCTAACTTCAACAATAATCTCAATATTTTTCTTTTAGAAAAAGCAAGAGAAAAAAAAAATTGTACATCCTGACAAAAATTGACATGTGTTATATTTTAATTACAAGATTATTTTATTTTTTACTAAATATTTAAATGGCTTCTTTTACAGGCAATACAGCACTATCAAGAACTTACCTTAAATTTGGTAATTTTGTCTCCGGGTCATACACCAAACTGGGATTTTGTGGCTGATGTCGTCAATATGACATCTAGAACCTATAGATCTCCTAAGCAATGCAGAAATAGGTAATTGTTCATAAATTATTTTATTAGGTTGTTACATTTATAATTCGTCTAAATGATTAATAGTAATAATTATTAAATAAACATTTGTTATATTAACATTTAATTCAATTACCCTATGCTTTTAGTTGAATTTGGAGGGAGAAATTTAAAATTTTGCCCTTCCCCCTCCAAGGAACTAAAAATTACATTTTATCAATTAAATTTCCATTTCATATTTATAGATTTATTTTTATAGTTCTTCATTTTCTTTTACTTTCTTAACATTCATGCTGGAAGTAATCATTTGTTCAGTCAAAAAGAAATTTTCAGTTATTCTTTATCATCTGTTTTCACCAGTTTGAAATTCTGCATTGCCACATTATTAGAAAATTGACTATGAAAATATAACTTTTTTTTTTCTACAAAACGTTTATTTAATTTGTCTACTCGTGGAGCCGTTCCACTCATTGTTTAATGCTTGTCATATATTGGTTTAATTATAGATTTTGTACAACGATTTTTTAATTTTTTTACAGGTATGAATCTGTCATAATGCCACGGGAAGAAGGAAAACTGGTGCTTGATAGTCCTAAAAAGCAAAAGAAATCTAAACAAATGTATAAATTACCTCAGGTAAGAACTTTGGCTTAGTTTTAATTTATAGATATTACTACCTACCTCAGTAGATTGGTATAAGCATTAATAATTGAATAATGTATTTTATGACAAAATTAGTTTTTCACTAAAATCGTAATTGTTTTCGACAAGAAATCTTAGTATGTAATATTTATTTATTATTTTTTTAAAGTAAGTTTATTTCCTTTTCAGATGAAATCCGGCAGACCATTAAGAACTTCCCAAATATTTCAACAAGACAATAATTCATCTTTAAGTCAAGTTATGAATTCTCGTTTTGATGCCATCCGTTCCGTCTCCAACCGCAGAGCACCAACTGTTAAGCCACTACTTGTCGATCCTGCAATGAAGAATCCGAAACATGCAGAAGTCCTTGCAGATTGTTCAATTGACTACGATAGTCCTTTGGCCCCAGTTGAAGTAGCTGCCAAGAGAGCTGATAGGATAGCCAAAGAAAAGCAGGCTGCTCTTAATCAACAGGTTTGAATTCAAGATTAAATCAAATCATTACTCTATTAATATAGTTATTCTACTTACGCTGTCATACCAAACTTTGACGAAAAAAATGAATAATGAATAGTAAATGTTTACTGAAATACTGTGAAATGTTCATATTTAACTGAAAATTTGTTTTTAATTTTTTTTTTTTTTTTTTTTTTTTTGTATTTTTAGGAATTAGGTGTAACAAGAACAGTTGGGAATTCTTCTACAACTCAAGGCATTTCAAATGCTGTACAACGTTCAGCTTCCTCAAATCTAGTGACTGTTCAGTCTTCAGCCCCAACTCCTGGAACCCCAGCTGCAAAAGGTTATTGATTCAAATATTATATTATATCACTGTGGTGATAAATAATTTATTAATTGTACTAAAGTAAATTGACAGAGGGATTATTTTTTAATAAAACAATGGTCCTCTTAACCTCATGCTCTGAGAAGTAAAGTAACAAAATTATACTGAAAGAATTTAATACCACTTATATTCCAAAATAGGAGGGCTTGTATAGCAGGTTGGTTATAGTGCTCTATCAGTTTAATGAAGATCATAGGATTGAATCCCAGCCCCTACTTCCCAGTATGGCTGGTCCCCGAGGGATGTTAGACCATACTCTTTTAATTAGGGGAGGCCTACAATTGAAAATATACTTGCAAAAACAGGCTACAAAAAAAAAAAAAAAAAATTCAGATTGCATTTAATATATAAGAAAGATATCCTTTACTTATTTTTTAAAAAGCTAAAAGTTACACCTTTAGTTATAATTATCAGTATTAACAAAATTATATCGCATAGTGTGGATGAGCGCCAAGAAACAAAGAGCTTAGAAATAGCGGCTGCTATAAATCTACTGAACTATAAATTGAAAAAACTTTTCTGAAAATTAAATGATTTTCTTTAAAAATTATTCTGATTTTTTTAAAAATATCTTTCCCTTACGATTTTGAGCTTTTAATTCATTTCATTGGTTTCATTATAGGAACCAAAACACTAAGTGCTGCGCAGCTTCAAATTTATAGACAGCAGCAAGCTCTCTTGAGGCAACAGCAACAACAACAGTTGAGGGTGCTTCAATCGAGAAGTGGAGCAACTGCTACCGCTGCTCAGAAAGTTTCTGTTGCTGTTACCTCCAGTACACCTTCTCAGAGAGTTCAGCAGGTAAGTTATCTTTATTTAAAACAAAAAAATATTACTTAAGAAAATTTATAATAAAGCATTGTAGATCCAGGAATAAACATTTTTTTTGGTAAGAAAACCACCAACTGTTACCATAGAACCTTCTGTCTGCATTGTTTTCCTTTTATTTTGGAAGACTGTGTTTTTTTTGGTACACAATGACTTAGCAATGGACAGATGAATCGAGAATTTCTCTGAAAGAATCGTACTCTCAAGTGATTCACAGTTCACTCGGAATTGGTTAATTTTCAATTCTTGAGAATTGAAGAAATGGTTTTAAGCTGAGTTGTTTTGTGTGCTTTTTAGAATTTACCCTTCTATGATCATTTTACTCTTCGGACATTTATAATCTATAAATTTCTTATTATATATGTATACAGTTTTTTTCTCTCTTTTACTTTTATTTTTAATTATCTATTGTTTTGTAAATATTTAATTTAATGTATGGCCACTCTCATATTTATTTTCTATTTATAATTTGCTCTCAAAGAGCATCAGTCTCAGGATAATAAAATTATATTTCATTTTATTTACAATTTATATACACAGCCCAAAATCTAATATAAAAAATAGAAAAAACTTTTCCCGTCCAATTTAAACTTCCTTTCTATTTATAAGATTTATATTTTTTTTACTTGTATACATGTGAACCAAGACTTCTAATTTTAATCTGTTTAAATAAAAAGGTTTTTATTATTATCCTTTCAATAAATAGTTCTTTTTTAATTTTAAGAAAAAAATAATCAATCGAAGAATCGTTAATAACAATCGCTTCTCCACAATGAATGAATTGTTTGAGAATCAGTTCAGTTAAAAGAATCTGCTTTTCCATATCTACAATGAATGGCAGTCTTGAAACTGCAATAAATCTCGGTTCATATTAGCTTTTTGATTTTGTCATTGAAGCAGATTAGATTCCCCTAAGTTGATAAGAATGTAAATTTTTTTCAATACCATATTTTGTATAGGGATTTATTTAAATTTTCATTCAAACATCAATATATTGTTGTCTTGAAAGAATAGTGCTAAAATAAAAAACGTGGTTATATAGGAGTTATTACCTCACTTAGGAGTTATTACTCTAAATTGGACGTTTTCTCAATCAATAATATTCACCTTTTTTGTTTAAAAAAGAAAATGAGTCTTCATTTTTGATCATTTAAATATAAATTTTTGAATTAAATTGTTGCAGTTTTTCATAGTAAAACTAATATAAATTTTTACTACAGTAAATATTTAATTTAAAAATTTGAATTTTTGCCTAAAGAAATATATGTAAACAGAGGACTTTCAAGCGAACAGAAAAATGAAAACTTTCATACTGTAACACTCTTTTTCCAACCCGACGATATGTACATTCTGTTTTCTTGTCCATATTAAAAATTATTTTGTCTTTCAAAGGTAAAGGGCGTGACCCGAGCTGTATCAGATTCTGAAATGGTTGCATTGCTTAAACGGCAACAAGCAGCGAAAAGTTCAACCCAAGGAAATTTGACATCAGCTCAAATTTTAGCTCAAGCTGGTATTCAGGTATGTTATACTATTAATTTATTTATATTTTTTTAGTGAAAGCAACCAATAATTGATTTTGAATTAGTGTGTATATATATATATATATATATATATATATATATATATATATATATATAAGTTTTTAAAGTTTTAATGTTAAAAAAAGTTTTTTTTAAACTATAAAATTCTAAAAGCCAGCAAAATATTTTATAGTAATACTCTCTATTACTTTTCATAATTTCTTTTGGTTTAATAGAACACTTATAATAATTTATAATTGTTAGTGCAACTATGTGAAAGCAATTGCGAATTTTTCTTCAACTTAATTTAAGTGAAATTGGCGAGGTAATTTTAATCATTAAAGCTGTATAAACCATAATTTTGTTGGGAAAAAATTATTAAAGTAAAAATTGATATATATATATATATATATATATATATATATATGTTTTACTAGAAAAAAAAACAACGTTATAATGATACTTATTTTTAAATTTTTTACAAAGAATTATTTCTTTAAATTCTGATTAATTTTTTTAAAATTGAATATTAAAATGGATGATTATGATCATCATCAGTCTTGTTTAACTGCCATTGTTAAAAAAGAAAAGAAAACAAACAATATTCTCAAACCATGTCCATTGGCTATTGCAATTTTGCTCCATGTATTATTTTTACGAAGTTGTTTTTTTCTTAATGAATCGGGCCATATAAATATACTCCCACATGTTTTTTGTTAAAATTTTTTTGGTTTTTTCAGAAGTATAACCTTATCTAAATATAACAAATTTTTCACATATTCTCTTCGTCTAGACTTAGCTATCGCTACAGATCATGATTCTGTATTATTTAATGTTATGATAGATTATATTATGTGTGCTGCACTTTAAAATGGTCTTTTCATAATACGGATCAAATTTTATTTTCATAATTGTATTGGTTAATTAACATTTTCTTATATTCTTTGGTATAAAAATATTTCTTTGAAATGAATTAATTTATCTATTCTCTTAAATTTCTATTAGGGAATATACTAGCTATGCTCTTAAAATTTTAAAGTGTGTCGTACAAGAATGAAAGATAAATATTCTTCTGTTATAAAAAAAATGGTTGATTGTGTATAGGCGCAGCAAACTGCTGCTTCTGGACAGCAGGTCGGCCAGGTGGCAACGTTAGTCAAAACGGTGCCAGCAACATCTTTGCCTGTTACTGGACTTACGTTACCACAGGTAGTCTTCTAAAAATATACTTTTGTGTTGGATTTTGTGTATCTTTATCATAATTTATCTGTAATGATAAATTGTGTACATGTTCATTTGTCTCTAAACAATGTTCATTTAAATAACAGCTTTCCTGTAATTCTGTTATCTCTGCTGGTACTCACTCTGGTTTAAGGTCAAAAATTTAATTTTGGTAACTTTAATGAAACTAGTTCCATTCTATGATGTATACTAACCTTCGTTAGAAATCAACCATAGAATGTTGCTGTATAGTTTAATGTTTTAATTATTTTGTTTTAGATGAAAGCTGCTCTTGGTTCTGGTTTGAAAGCGAACGCTGTTAGTTCGCAACAAATTAGACAGTTGTCAATTCAACAGCAGTTAATTGCACAACACAGGAAGATACCACAACAAAGAGTTGCACAGATTGGACAGGTACTACTTTCAGTTTAATATCACACATTACAAAGATATATAGGCACAACTCAGTATTATAAATATATAAATATTTATATAGTGTAGTATATCTTGATATTTACATTTTAGAAAGACCATCATGTAATACATTTACACATGTTTTGTTAATTTTTTCTTCTAGTCTCAACTATAATTGCTGAGTTAAATGTTATCTGTTCATAGGTGGCAACGAAAGGTGGAGCAACTGCTCAGTTAATCGTACAGTCTCAGAAATCTATGCCTACAACTGTTACTATGCAGCAGATCCAGCAAGTTATGAAGCAAGTTCAACCTCAACATGTTGTCAGCGTATGTTTTTATGATTTTCATGTTTAAAATTTTACTAGTTTGATTTTTGAAGCCAGTCAATCCTTTTCATTTTGACATTTGCAATGTATACTATTCTCTATCCGATTTTTAGACCTTTTAATAATATTTTTCTTTCTTAATATCACTATGAAGATTTGATGGCCGAGCACTTTGGGGCATGGGCTCCAGAGTGCCCAATTCTAAACATTATTGATTCGATTAATATTTATGTTTCGGCGGCTCCATAAAAAGCAAAAAGGACCACTTACCAGGCACATTTTCCTCTTCAGTAGCAGTAGCAGTAATATAATTATATTCTTCTATTCTATTATTACTTTATAAAAATAAAAAAGATTTCGATCAATAGATTATTTATAAAGAATTAGTGAAGTATTGATAAAAACTAAATGCATTTTATGTTTTATATGGATAAGTTAGAAATAATTAAGGATCACATTAATGGCTGTGTTTCCTAGATGAAAATGATCTAGTGGCGGGTGAAATGTATGTTAACTTGTCCAAAACCAAAACTCACTACATGTAGTTGAACTAAGCTCCAGATATTACAATTGGAGCTGGAAGTGGCTAAAGAAAAACAGTTTGCAAGATGAATTATGTAAAGAATGTAGAGTGTGACTTACAATTATTAATTTAATTATATTTCTCGTTGCTCAAATAGTATAACTGCTTGTTATACTATAAACTTGTTACATTCTGGGATTTATCGTCTTCAGAAGAACAAGCTATTGAATATTTTCAAAATGTTGGGATACTTGCAGACGTGAAATTGTGTGAAAAACGGCGGGTTCACAAAGAAGAGGACCCGTTCCTCGCTATTTTAAATAGTATAAAACTATTTTGCCTCCCAAAATAAATAAGACGAAGTGAAAAGAAATTGTACATATTTCGTTTATAGTGTTGATATTTTTTCTTTTATATGTACATATGTTCTTTAAGTGTTTTTTTATTATTTCATTTTCATCTTTTATATCTACATATGTTCTTTAAGTGTTTTTTTATTACTTCATTTTGATCTTTTATATGCACATATCTTCTTAAGTGTTTTTTTATTATTCCATGAATATATGTGTCATAAAATAAAAGTATTTTCTTTTGTTATTACATTTGGTTTTGTTTCTGTTTACACTTTCAATAATACGAATATAATATAATAATACGAAGATAGGAATTAGGAGAAGGCTTATCACTGCCTTATCGGAATTATCAGTGTTCAGGTTATAAACATTGGCAGATAGCAGTCCGTCCCGGCCTAGTGAAGAAGTACCCCAAGTTTTGTTTTGTGGTTTTGTTCCAAGTCGAAATAAAACCATAGTTCGGACAAATTTTTAATTTCTTTAAAAATTATATTATACATTGCACCTTTTTGCCAATTTTTATTATTAGATAATTATAGTTATTCTTTTTTCCAATATGTAACCATAATTGTTAAAATATGTAACCATAAATAATTCTGGGAATAAGAAGTATGGTATCTTCTTTACATTTTGTCCTCTTCATGGTCAGTCCCACTTTGTATATGTAAATAATGTATGACACAGTCACTAAAAACTTTTTTTATATAATAGAGAGAAATCATCTCGATCATCCTATCATTGATATTTTTTCATTTTGCAGGTAGTAACTGGAAACACCTCGAATGCTAACCGAGGAGTAACCATGCTTGATTCAACTAGTAGAGCTGGAACACAGCTTACCAGTTCAATCAAACCTACTACTTCTCAGCAGCAGCAGGCAATACTTACTCAGGTAAATTATTTCCTGTTATCTATATCATATTATATTTTAAATATCAAGGAATCGTCTTGATGTATTGTACTTGAAGACTAACATAGTGTACGTTCCATCTGTAACCAGTAAATCTCCATTTATTATATTAATTTTTTATTAAAAAACTTCAATTTTCAAGCCTCTGAGGTTTGCTGTTATATTTTATTATTACCTATAATAATTACCCTAGACTTACATTACTACATTCAAGATGTATTATATTTACTAATTAATTAATAATTATTATTGAAGAGAAGGATAAAAAATAGCAAAAATAAATAATAATATTTATTTTTACATTTGTCGACGTCGAAGTTCAGGACTTCATCGAGGCTAAGAAAATAATTACTATTATGTTTCGTTATCTTTTATTAATGATCTCATCCACATAACTATCATTTCATTTCAACTTAAAGTGTTCTAAACGAAAGTGTCACTTTAGGAGGTTCCACTTTCTTGAACCCATTATTCATTTTCTCTTTCTAATGTGTATATATATTCTTAGGAATTTACATTTTAAATGCTAAATATTAAAGATAATTATATGGTTATTTAAGATTAAATATTATTATTTAAAAAATATTCTTAAGTAACCTAATTTTCCGTACTGTCATGGTTTTAATTTGAGTACAAAATTATTTAGTCAATATCTGCAAAAGCTGTTTCTGGAAAAATAAATATAATCTTTAATTTAGGTTTCAGCTGTACTTCAGGGTGGTGGTGCTGTTAGACAACCTGTTAGAATACAAACATCTGCCACTCCAATTGTGGCAGTTGCGGTCTCCCAAGCTCCTACTGTACTTACTCTGCCTCCTCAACACGATTCGGTAAGTACTATTAATTTTTATTTTTATTTGAAGCTTCTATCCATCTGTTGAGAAGCATGTAATTTCCACAGTATTCTGGACAAAGAAAACTGGTAAAAGTCAGGGATTAATACTAGAGTTGAAAGTCGCCGACACGGTGATTTGTACTTGTAATCTTTGGTTTATCGGGGTGCCGGGCAACATGCATTCTGCACACTCCTTAGCTCGTTTGGCCACTCTGTCCTCATTAATTATAAAACTATCATCTTAATGAGTTTATGTATATCCATATTTTTATTTATTTATTGAGTGCAGACTAATAAGAGACAAAAATGTATCCCAGATGATCTTTGCTAAACAGCAGTGAACCCAAGGATATTAATGAGGGGAACATTTTTCTAAAACATGTTGCAAGGGACGTAACAAGAGTTTTTTTCTTAGTAAAGATTTGTATTCCATTTTTTTACTTCATTGTAGAGAAGTGTAAGAGAATTTTATTCTATTTTACTTTATTCTTGTTGAAAAATCGATGTTGCTATGACCTTTCTTTAAGTATATGAGTTCGAAACTTCATAATATTTATGAACTCTTTAATATCTTTTATTTTGTATATAATTACATAGTTACTCTAGTAGCTATATAAATTGAATCTAGGACATTTACATATTTTCTTGTTTTTTTACTTTATTATCCATTATCAAAGCCTTACTATTTCAATACCATTTATCTATCGCTTTATTTTGAATAAATTTTATTTATATCAATAGCAACTCATTTTATAAGTAAAATTTCAAAAATTAACATGATATTAAAATAATATAATATAATTATTCAGAAATGATTCTTTTATCAAAGTTGAATCTAGTATACTATCAATTAAATTACTAACAAGTAATAATTTATAATTTATAAAAATAATTTCTTTAAATTTTTAGAACCAGCCTCAATGAGAAGATTAGAAGAAAGATCCTGTAGATACATTGTATAGAAGATACTTACCAAATATAATCATAAAAACCAACGATTATATTGCTATATATACTGTTTGTTTTTACTTCCTGAACAGTTTCAAATTGTATTTATGTATGTATGTAAATTATTGTTTTAATTTGTATTATTATACTGCATAGTTTTTTTTTAAATAAAAGTCTGAGAATTTATTATGTATGTATTTTAGGTAGTAGTTATCATAATTTTTCATAAAAATAATAATGTAAATATTTGTATGATATAATTTTATTTTTTTGCTTAATTTCGTACTTACATCTGCTGTACAAAATTTATAAAGTTGTAATTAGCCTATAATGTTTATTTTTCCATGAATGTTTTTGTTTCTATGAAACTTGAAAATTGTAGCTAACTAATTAGCCTGTTATTTGTATTTTGTTAATACACCGTACTCCTTCAATTGTTTGTAAATATGCTACCAAACCACTAAATGGTTAGATGTTAGAAAAAGAACTTTGTTTTCATTTATAAAATTTTGTATGCATTCTTCAAAAATATATTTTAAAATATTATTTATTGAAATTTAAACTTTAGTATCTTTTTCTTTCAATTTTGTTTTCTAATAGCCTATTTTTTAGAAATGTTTTGGTGTATTTTCATTTAAAACTTAATGAAATACAGTACAGTAGATTATCATTTCTAACAAGGTAGGTCAGCAGCTGGGTAATTAGAGATTATGCTCTATGTAAGATTATCAGGAAAGAAGTTTAAAGAACCAGAAGTTCATTAGGTTTCAGGTTTGTTGCCTTCCATAAATGGTTTACGAACACCTCTTAACCCTTTGAATGTGGGAGCTCATTCGCAAAATTCTGCCATACATTACATCCTTAAATCCACAAAGACTTCCAAAAAAAACAGATTTTTTGCATAAATTTGTTTAAAATACTATTTTGAGCCCTGCAAGATCTTAGCTTTCAGAAATGCATTTTAATGTTTTTATTCAACTTTTAAAAGTTGAAGCCTTCCTGGTCGCATATGACCATACAAAATTAGAGCGGCCAGCAATCCCGCAACACTTTGCTTTCTTGCGTATTTGCTTATTTCTGAAAAGAAAAATAACTGACAATTATCATAAAAATAAATATAAATTAATACTAAATTAAATAAATAGAATTATTTAATTTTTGCAGAATTATTTAATTTAAGGCAAAAATTAAATAATTCTACTTATTTAATTTGGTATTAATTTTACCGCACCCCCCGATCAACTTCTCTTATTATATCAACGGTCAACCATCTCTACATCAGAAAAAATTATAAAATTAATTTATTAACATTAATTTGATGTATAAAACATTTAAATAGAATATAAATAAGATCATGGATATGACACAAATAACAGAGAAAGGACATACTTTGGATTCAGAATAAATCTGCGACTGATAGCTTCCAAATGGTCAGAATCCGGAACGACTGCACTGAGTCAGCTACAGGGGACTAATGAATGGACCGACCAAGCCACAAGGGGGTGAGGGATTTAAAAGACACCTCCAGCACTGGGATGTGAACTCGTGACTATTTTTTATCAATGTGTTATATATTAGGTTGCCGGGCAACGGCGGTGCTGTGCACTTGCGTTAACCCGTTCGCCCACCTGCCCCTCTCCACCTGTTTAAGTGGCGAATGCCCAGGCGGGAAGGCATATATCCCGGCCGCACCAGTGACCCAACTCAATACAGGGATGGCATATTTCCCGTCCGCACCAGTGACCCAACTCTTAAAGGGAAGGTATGTATCCCATCCGTAGTAAAAGGGTTAAGCTGGAATTACACCTGCTGCAGGGATGCTCATTCAGTCAAGAAAATATTGAGGAGTAGAGGTGAAAACATTTGGATTTGAAAAAGAACAGTGAATGAGTCAGTTTAATGGATTCGGTAAACATGGTTTCTGATCAGAGGTAAAATAAATCAAGAGAATTTTCTAGCAATATCATAAATTTATCATACCTTAATGAAAGACATAGCATTAATAATAAATTAGGGCATGGCTCTTATGAACAGGTATATGCGAAGCAACTACAACTTTATGGAAGGAATTTGGACTTGAAGACATCAGAACAACCGAGTGGAGTCAAATCAGTTTTATTCTTTGCTTGAAATAACGCTTAATTAATAATAAAAAAAAAACAATTATGTGAGCTGCTATTAAAAGAGAAATTATAGATTGTTGTATGCTTTATGCTAAGTCATTTTTCTGCAAATTCTATGAACATTTGCATTATTTGAATTTAACTGTAGTTTTAGTGCTCTAACAAGCCAGTTGCTAATGAAGAAATCAAATTAAATCGTGAGACAAATTACAACTCATATTCGCTTTGCTTATTTCTCTTGACTGATAATTGACAGACTGAAATGTCGAAGCAAATAGGCAGATCATGAGGTTACTTACCGGGGCTTCGGATTAGGACACTGTTTTGTCTACTGCTAGGAAGGGAAATGATCGAATATATAGATATTAGCAGACTCTAAGCCAAATACTGGTGTAATTTACTTTTAATAAAAAGTAAATTTAATATAATAATATTAAATTGGTAAAGTACAAGAGAAGGAAAATAAAAATTAAGTAAATGAATTCAGATTGGCGTAACATTGTCTGACTAAGTTGCAGAAATCCTTTCATCTGCAGGGATGTTGAAGGTGAATTAAGTCATAACAACGAATAGTTTACCCATTGGGTGTTTTCATTTGCTTGTCAGCTCAAAAATTATATTTATAAACTTGACTTTGTTGATAATCAAACTTTATATCTATGATATTCTTTTTAAATTCCATTATTTTAATGATAATAAGCACTGTAAATGGAAAAGAAATAGCAGGTAAAGTTAAATACTTTACAAACCCGTTTTCAATTTTCAGGCTAGGAAGGGCTGATAGTTGATACTAAAGCTTGATTACAATTAGTTGGTCCAAGGGTGAGTTCATGTAGCACTAAGATGAAACTGACATTTTGTTTTTTACCAATCTCTCTAAAAGTCCATTAAGACATTTCCCAAACTATGGGAAACACAATTATCTAACTTACTTTAACATCAAAATGATTGCTAAAGCAGTCTATTTATTTTATTTCTCTTGATATCGACAGCAGATGAAATAACCATTTATATATATATGTTTGCAAAATGTCTAAACACACCTTAATATTACATAGAAATAGATACATATATTGAAAAATAATGCATGTATTTGTAAACTACATGAAAGAAATATCGCAAGATTAGAAAAATAACAAAATTTTAGTGCTCTATGAGTTACACTTCTTTTTTCTAACTCGACGAAGATGCAGTGCGGCTTCATTGAGGTCTATTGTGTTTTGTTCTATTTTTTGTTAAAACAGGTGAGATGTCTTTGGTAACTTGTATAAGTTGATGGATAAATCACTTCACAGAGCTTAAGATCAATGATAGAATCACTTCCAAAAGGAAAAAACAGCAGCCTAGGTGTCATCACATTTGTATATAATGTGGTTGGTGGTTACGTTCTCCAGGACAGAGAGCCTACAATTAGGTGCCTCAGGCGCTTATTGAGTACAGCTCCGTCACATACCTCATGATGCCAGTCCAACAGAAGAAGCGATGCACTTGAGTACAACTTGAGTGAGTTTGTTTCCTAGTGTGCTCCTAGTAGAGCTTGGTTTTATTGCCGACAGCATCGCTAATTTCTTTTGGCATAGTTGAGCCTAATTAATAACCTCATTAAGAGATGTGTTCTGGTGCCAAAGGCACATGTGCTGAGCTCTTCCTTGATATGCTATCAGCTTTCTCATTACCTAAAATTTCTGAGTGCCCAGAAATCCACTCAACCCTCAACCTTTGTTCCACTGAGAATGTTTTTAGATGTTGTCCTTGAACTCTCTAATAATGGTTAAGCTATAACTGATACTAGAACCATACTAAACACCTTAATAAGCAAAATTATTTGAACAATAGAAATTAAAAGTGTTACTAAAATTTTAATTATATTTTCAATGATCAAGAAAAATGAATTATTTTCATTTGTTCTAAAATTGTTGTCATTTAAAGTTACATTCCTTGAGAAAACACTCACTTCATTAAAATCTTACTTAAGATACTGATGTATACTGTCTTACAATAATATAGGGAATTCCTACTATCAATCTCAATATTTTATTCTTTCTCTGCAACATCCTCTAACCACCTGAGTCATAACTTTCTCCAACTCATTTTATTTTTTGCAACTGATCTGCTGCCATCTTTCCATCAACCTGATGCGTCAGCTTTGATGGTGACAGTATCCACTTCATCGTATATATCCATCGCTTCCTACTTGCACCGTGGGTCCATGTACTTCCTTCACAAATTGTGTAAAGGATCTTACATTACCAAACACTTCCTCTTTTTTCTGTACTCATAATCCATGTTTCACATAACCACTGGATGTTGCAAAGGCTTTGTATATAATCTCTTCCTTTTCTTCATAGTCATAAAGAATGCTGTCCGCTATATCAAAATTAATATGTAAATTTTTTTTATTTTGTAAAACTTATAAGCTATTAGAAGATGAAATGTAGTACAATTACTGATTAAAGTAAAATAAAAACCTATATTTGTAACAGGGAGCCATTCACTTCCAGTTAAGTTGGCGTTGTGTGAACATATCTATTGGTTCTCTTAGATGGCTTTGTTTATGCTATATGAAGGGAGACCACACAGGAACTGCATTTTTATTGTAAAATGTATGTGAAATATAAACATTTAATATCAAACCATAAAGAAGTAACATTGAACTACAAAAGAAAACTTTAGTTTTGTTTTTTGGATCTTTTAAAAAAATTAGGCAAAAATTGGAATTGGATACATTAAATTTATTTTCAAAATTTAGCACAGCCATAAAAAATAAGAAATTAAAGGTATTAAATGGACACAAATTACAGCAAGTATAATTAAATAATATCTTTCACATTTATTTACTATTGCATAGCCTGGTAACAATTCAATAGTTGATAAACTCAAAAATATAGGTATAAAAAAACGTTTTAATATATAAGTCCACATCAATATAATACAATTAAAACTATTTATTAGGAAGAGGCTTGATTCTCAGGCATTTTAGGACCAGTTTGAGATAAATGATGAATTACATCAATCCAATTCCACCCTCTCGGCCTCTCTCCATGACAGTCGACTCTGTTCCATTGTTTTCTTTTCTGTGCCTTTGTCATGTGACACTTCTTATCTTTTTTCCGACTTGTCCCTGCTTCTAGTTCCTTACTATCATCATCATCATCCTCATCGTTATCATCATCTTCTTCATTAATATCCTGAAATCAGCAGTTAATATGAAAATAAACATTAAAAATTTCATTTAGAAAATTATAAGATTTCCAACTAAAATTGTATTTAATATTATCATTAACGACCATATTGATTAGTGATAACAAACAAAAAATTTATGCAAACAAATATTACAATATATATCAATAATGTGAATATTTGAAAATTAAACATAAGGAAAAAATAAAATCAATAATAAAAAAAAAAAAATGATGCGGTGCTTGCATTATACAATTTTCACTTTGAGAAGTGAAAGTTAAAAAATACAGACGATACAACATACTATTAAAAACAATTAATTGCCATATGCTATTCCTCACCATCTTATGTATTATATTTAAGTAATTTTTGTCACAAACCAAATGATTAGTTTCCTTCGACAACAGTGCCAGTGTTAAAGAAAGCATAATATATTTATTTATATTTCATTGAGAATAATCTTTATTGGTTTAAATACTGGAGTACATATAAAATTTTTGATTTTTATATTGCTGTAATCTTTTATTTTGAAAATTTGGCATGTAAGCCTTGTTGTCACATTAATGAGGATAATAGCTATCTGACATTAAAGAACACTTAATTTTACACAGTCATAACAAGTTTAAAATCAGTAAAGCCATTTTTGAGAAAATTGTAAAATTGATGATAACATGGCATTTCCGGTTAGTCTATATTAGCAAAAAAGTTGCTGTCACATCTCAGAAATATGTCTGCATATTAAACAGGATAATATCATCTATAATAATTTAGATATATCAGCACCTTTAATTAATTAAACTACCTTTAATTATATTATGACTTCAGAAAACTTCCTACTGATACTTTTCAGTTAAAATTGGGACCTTAATTAACTTTAATTACATCAGTTCTTTCAACTTCAGCATGCTGCCTGCACTAACTCCAAAGGAAGACATTTATACAGAAATATATGAGCGACTACTTACATATTTAACTACTTAGTTACATGCATGCCAAAATAATATTATTCAAAAAAAGATTTCATGAAAAATTGTTTCTGCTTTTTACATGGATTATTTCATATAAAATATTGAGATTATACTCAACATGATATACCAATATTTAGTTGCATGCTTAGGGGAAACTTTAACTGGGAACGTATATATGTTGATTCACTTTAGGAAAAAATCTACACATTTTGCTGAACATAAGTTTAATTTAGTTAAGCATTCGTGCAATTTTCATTGGACAAATTTAGAGCTACGAGAGAGAGCTTATGATACAAGGAAATTGATTATACTTCACTAGTCTCAGCTGAGGTTTTTTACTATTATGGAGAAATAATGAAGTAAAGATCTAATGATGAAGTAAAGAGATAGAAGTTAAACTAAACATAATGTTATATGCTCTTCACTCATTGGTGGATATGGTTCATAAACTATAATACAGTTTCATGAATTTAATACTACTATAAACATATTAAGATATGCTGAAGTTTAACTTACATTATCTTCAGTACTATCAGGGCTCAATTTACAATCAGTCTCATCAACAACAATTAATTCCAGGAATTTTTCCTTAACACTTTCGAACAGGGAATAAGTCATTGCATTTCCAACTAAGTTGAGTGCTTCATTTAACACAAATTCACAAACTTTTTTCTTTGTTGATTCATTGCTGAAAAAGAATTTTTTGACAAGACAATATTAATATAATGATAATGATTTATTTGGAAACTGATCAACAAAATTTCACTTACATATGCTTGTTATAAAAAGTATTCATGTTGACTTTAGGGGGTTCATTAGGATATTCTTTTCCCCAGATTATTTCAAGCAAGAAGGATCTAGGATCTCCTTCTTCGCCAATCTATATAAACAAATAAAATTAATAGGAATGATAAAAAAATGGAAATAAATAAACATTTACAGCACTCAGTGTACCTTATATTGATAAGTGATTGGAGATAGCTGTTTAAATGCTGGATCACAGTCATAAATTGACAGAATGACCTCCCTTTCTTCGTCTTGTAATTCTTCCATAGCAATTTAGAAAGGGGTAAAAATATAGCAAAAGAAAACCCAAAAAAAGGGAAAAGAAAAGAACAGTTGACTGCTGTAACTAAATTGGCAGCTTGAATGTGTAAAAAAAACAGCAAAGTGAAAATCGACAATAAAACCTACATGGCACTTCAATTATAATAAATAACTTCAATAATTAATAAATAAACTTGTCTAAGGTATTGCATGGCTAAGTTGTAGGTTACATGTCTAACGTCTAGATAGGTTCCCTATTTTATTTTTATTGGCTAAGAATTTATTCGTCGTTCAAGAACGATTGTAATTAAAGTGCAGCTGCCTTCAAAAAGATTGAATTGTAAATTATTTATGACAACTATTAAGAATTTCAATGTATGCTATTCAAATTATTCCAAAGTTCTTCATAAATACTCAATACAATTAACTTAACATTATTTTCATATTTTGTTCTCTTCTATAAGGTGATGCGACTTCAAATATGGGAAATTCCGTGAAAAAGTGGGGTATATTAAAGTAAAAAAAAAAAATACTACAACCCATGAAGGATCTGAACTTAAATAGGTTCAGTACTATTTAAGGAAAGTACTGTTTCTTGAATAGCGGTTGTGGAAGGAGGTGATTTGACGAGATCACGCTCAACCGCCAGGATTTTCATTTTAGAATTGAAACAATTAAAAAACGAAAAAAGAAATACCTGTACAAATTTTATAATAAAATGCGTACTATGGAATAGCAATTCTAAAGTCTTAGTACAGTTATTTTAATAGGTAAAAATGTATTTTATTACGTTTATGGTTGATAAATTGCCAGCACGCAGTCATTGTATGATTTTTATAATGATAAAAATCTTAAAATGACTGCGTCCACACTATTTATCACCCATAATATGTAGAACAGTCAACTAAATTCCTAAAATTTGGGTTCAAGTAAGTAAGAGAATACAAGCCTATTTAAATATTCATTTAACTTCGACATTGAATCTTCATTAAACAGTAGCTATCATGATAATATGTACTTCAATTTTGGGTATCATTTCCATTCCCAAGGGAAAGTTGTTTATATCTCTTCTTTATTCGTAATTATGTTCACACTTTTCTAAGGATTTAACGCCAAACCTATTTTCGTAAAACTTTTCATGATATAGATAATTCTTGCAATACTCCTGAAACAGTCTAGTGATCCCTGATTCTTTAAGGACCACACAATCTTGGTTACTTATCAACCTGTATTCAAATTTGTTTAAAACGTCTTGGTCATAATATAAACGGCCCATGACAGAGTTGAAGAGCAAATCATAGCATTACTCTACATAGAACTTTGATTTGGGTAGTTGAGAGATCAATATTGATAGTAATTTTGAATCTACCTAATAATTTTCAACATTTTGAGATCCGGTAATGCATCTTCCACTTCTAGTTACTATTTATATGACCATATAGATAAAAGTACCTATAACGTAGAGAAAAATAACCACGCATGCCTTAGTTTTTACGTCTTTTAAAATATTGTCAACGATTTTTAGATTGACATGTGGAAGGAAAAACTAAAGTATTCCCTTGGATTAAACTGATATGCAATATCCTTCTACCATCATCAACATGCATGGCTCTACAACTCTTGTAGAGTCAAGGCCTCCCGCAATTTCAACCACCAGTCCTCTCCGGATGCCGCTGCCTTCCAGTTGCGGACACCAAGGATACTTCGGGCGTCGGCTTCCACTCCATCAGCCTATCTGAGTCCCGGTCTGCCTACCCGCCTTGTGGCGAAGATCCGCTCATCTCAACCTGCCAATTTTCATTAACCTCACATCGACTTCTTTATATAGCTCATTGTTGGATCACATTCGTCGCTCCTGATTAATATTTATTATTGGGCCGAATATTCTTCTTAGAACACGACGTTCAAATCGAAGGAGAGCTGTTTCTTGGGCTCTTGACATTGTCCAGCACTCAGACCCATATGTTAGTAATGGTCTGATCAGGGTTTTGGACAGGAGCAGTTTGGTTTTACGAGAGATCACTCTACTTTTGAGATGTCCCTGGAGACTAAAATAAGCTCTATTTGCGGCCATGATGCGCCTCTTTATTTCAGAATTCATGTCGTTATCTACATTCACTTGAGAGCCAAGGTATATAAATTCCGATACATCTTCTAAAGTCATCCCTCCGTTTTCTACATCCACCAATCGGTCTAGAATATAAAGGACTTAATTTACAATACATATTTTATCTTTTTAGGAATGGTGAGCAAGAGGGTGGAGCATCCTTGAGGACAAAATACTTTACATCAGCTCTACTTACCACTCACGCTTTTTACTTTCCGTTACCCATATATGAAATATATAATAAAGGAAAGTATTGCAATCGTGAAAATTCTCGAATCTGAGTTTTCAACGGAAATACACGTTTTGAGGTCCCCTGAGTCCAAATAACAGAATCCCACAAAATGGTCTCTGTGTCTTAACAGTCTAACTCAAAAACGAAAAGTCGTATAAAAGTGAAATTGCATACTTAAGGTTGTTATATGGTTGAGATGTTACAGCAAATTTTTCATCAAAATCGGCTAAACGGAAGTGGTACTTTATATTATGGACTAAACATATTTTTACGATTTCCTTAAAAAGGGCCCTAACTATTTTGATTTAATTCATTATATCAGTGTAAAATCAAGCAGTTTCAAATAAAATGTGGTTTTTATTCTGATTGATGTTCTCTAACAGGGCTTTAATGGATAATTTTCAATATTAGCTTCCCCTAAAGTACCTTTAATTCTTTTTGAGAAGGAGTTAGTCGAGGGTGCGGTCAAATAAATTTTTAAAAAATTAAAATATATTAATTATTTTAATTTTTGCCGACGTTTCGACCCACTTAGCAGGTCGTCTTTAGGGCGTAGGATGTGGTGATAAGCAAGGAGTTTAAGTAAGGATGATAAGCAAAAGTTTAATTCTTTTTATTTGAAACAATTGACTATTTCATATTAATTTCTAATATAAAAGATAGTTAAATATAAAATATGAAAGAATTTGATAATTAACTAAAAAAGAAATAAGAGATCATAACGGAGAATAGTTGTAACTGAGGAACCAAAGGAATATGATTCACCCAAAAAATTAGAACATGCTTCAATATGTAACATGAGCTTAATATAATACGGACTCCGAAAATATTATGTAAATACACATATACAGTTTTCATAAATGCTATTGTTGGAATTATTTAATATTTAATTTTATAGATTACAACAATTTCAATATTAAAATTTGTATATATAAGAGTACTTATACAAATAAAAATACCTGCAATGAAACATAAATAAATACAGGGTCTCTAATTTTTACTTTCACTTCCCCTTTCTCTGAAAATACTTATTTTTGCTCAAAGGATGATAAGCAAAAGTTATGTAATGGGCGCACCGCACCAGATTTTTTATTTAAGGCATAATTCAAAAATCCACATAATCATGAATCATTGAAATATTACCTACTGCCTCCTGGGAAGGCCTGCAGATAGTTTGAAAGTAGAATTGATCACTGAGCACCCCTTTATGAGAGAAAGAGTCCCACATGCTCTTCACTCAAGCTACAATTTTCATCTGGGATCATATATATGGATTCCATCATCATTTAAGGTTTGGATATGTTGGTTCATCGGAATATAAATCCTATTGTTGTTTCTTAATTTCCTTCTTTAAAGGACCACATTTCCTGATGACCTACAATAATTAACTTAATAAACCTGATGAGTCTTAAATTGAACTTGTTCAAGACGTAATTTGCATTTCACATCTGTTCCTGAAATTCGTATCCTTATTTATTATTTATAAAAATTCCACTTAATTTAATGTTCTTGAATTTATGCTGTTTATTGAATCACTTGAACATTGTTGTTTGCAGATTGTCCCTCTTTGCATGATATTTGATATGAACTGCAGTTATTTCTAGGGTATCTTTGTCAATTATAATCAATATGGTGCTATAGATGGTATAAAATAGGGATGATAAAGAAGATTAATATATCATATTAGCTCCATTTCAGATCTGCCAGCCTGTTAGGTTTTTTAACTATATCAATTCCGAACAGCTCATTTCCATACTTTAATCTTGATATTAAATAATAATAAATTTGAAAGATTATGAGTTTAATAATGGTAAAAAACTTGTACAGCCTAATATTAATATTATACTTTTGGCACTTAAATAAAAATTTAAAAATAATTAATTACTAATAAATAATTTTCTTTTTACCGTCCATATTTTCATTTAAATATAATAACATTTTTACCATTTCATCCAAAAACTCGAACCATGGATTAATCTTACTTTGGTAATTATTATCACAGAGATACTTCCAGTGAGTTAGAATTCCAACATTGTAATATGTGATCTAAATACTAGGAAAAAAAAACTAATCCATTAATCATCCGCTGGAATTAGGTCAAGCAACAAAAATCTTTATTTGTAAATCAACTAAAAAATTAAATATAAATTTAATTGACAAGAAAATAATTGGAATAAAACTTTTCAAGTTTAAAAATACTTTATAATTTTACAACTTCCCTCGCAGTTGTTGGCTTATTCAGTCACATTTTAAAATGTCAAACAAAAAATTTGAAATGATTTTAAATAACATATTTCTGTATAAGTCAATGAAGAAAAAAAAAAAGGAACGAAAATGAAAAAATTTTCCTTATACAGTAGATCTATCAAGTCTAATGGAACACCAGTTCAATTCTATTATAAATTTTTATTACATCATTGGCCAGATTTTATTTATTAAACACACAATCAAGAACAAAAAAAAAAAAAAAAATCAAATAATCACTTTATTTAATTATCTATAAGGTTTTTGTTTATTGAATCCAGAATGAAAAACACTAAGGCTGGAGGCAACTTATAATAAAATGCCATGATAGACTTGTAACAAAATACTTGAAGAAGGCTTAAAAAGAGTTATTTAAGTGATCTTGATTAAATTCTGATTAAATTTCAAGTTACATGCGTAATAACCTGCCTAATGGCCAATATCCTAATCAAATCATCTAGGTCTCTTACAGTTACAAGCTGAGCGATAGGTGTCTGTTAAATCGAATGTTTTCTGAGACTGGTAGATACCCTAATACATATATAAACAATAATTTATAAGAACACAAGAAGAAAATTTGATTTTTTAATTTATTCTTTAGGTAATATAAATTTATTTTGGATTTTTGGCATTTATGAAATATGAGATTCTGAAAATAGTAGAGAAGGTATTAAAATATAAAATTGTATATAGATCCATATGTTTATATCTTAAAAAACTGTTCTGGAAAATCATGTTGAATCTCAACACAAACGAACTGTTTTTTGAACAAAAAACTTAGTTCATTTCTAGAGATCTCTAATCATTTTTTCCCTGTGATTAAAGCTTCTTTCCAACTTGCTCTCCAATCACCGACATATAAATGATTGTTCTCTAGATTCCATCCTGAAGAAAAAAAAATAGAAAGGTAAGGAGAATTAAAATAAAAAAATATGCCTTAATTTACTATATATGTTTATCAAAATGTATTTAAAAAAGAAAATAAGTTTCTGTATATTTTAAAGACTTTTCCGAATGAACAAAATTAAAAAGGCAATAATAGAAAAAGGAATTTCCATAGGACTAATTAGGTCTCAATATGAATTTAAAATAATGTAAATGTGTAGCCACTGAATAAAAGTAGAATAGGTTGTATCTTGAATCCACCACAACTGTACACAATGTACTCGCCAAGTTGTGATTTCTGGATTCTTACATGAAGTCACAGATACAATCCAACAATTCTTAAAGATATTCAATTAACTGAAGCAAGGAGATAGGTTAAATTATTATTTTTACTATTTATTTGCTTTTCTTTTCGCTTCAGGTTTTGCTTTTTTCTTTATATGTATATATTATATTTTTTATGTATTTATATTTTTCTCTGTTTTTCCATTTCAACTATAATTACGCTTGAGAAGATTTTTTGATCTCACAACTATTAATATATTATTTTATAGTGTTAGTTTAATAATTTAGCCTATTGTTAATATTGTAACATCTAAATCATTGCCTTTATGTTATTACTTTTGTTATCTTATTATATTATTTTTTTTTTTATCTAGGTTATACTTTTTGTCTCTGTGATACTATAATATAACTATATAAATATATATATATAATATATATATATATAAATTTTTTTGTCCATTACACTACAAATTTTCCTGAGAAGATTTTATTTTTATTTCTTTTAGTGTGTGCATATTATTATTTAAAGCACTGTAGATATTACATTTTGTATTAAGTTAGTTTTTTATTAGTTAGCCTATTGCTTTTAAATTGTGTAGTTATGTGTATATAAATATGTAACTTCCTTTTTTTTTTTTTTTTTTCATCTTCCATCACAATACTGAATATTTTTGAGAAGATTTTATGTTCATTTGTTAGTGGTTACATAATATTTTTTAAATTAATGTATATAATGTTAGAATTTAGTTAGTAGAAGTTAGTTTTTGGCCAGATTCGTATTTGTTCATCATTGTTATTCTAAGGGAACTTTGTACCAGAATAAAGTTCAATTTTCTATTCTATTCTAAATCTCAAAGAGTAAAATGAAAATAAGACAATCACAATAATAATTCTTATTTTGTCATTATCTTGACTTACTCAAGACTAAAGACATAAATATGAGTCTTTTAATTAAAGGAGGAAGAAAGAAACACTTACCATACTTTGATAATGCTGGCAAAAATATGCTACTCTCCTGCGATGCTAAATTATCAATGGCAATAACAACATCAGCATCGAGTCGAGATAAAGTTTTCCCTTCATTCTTTACACTTTCAGCAGCTTTTATTATTTTAAAGGATAAAGAATTTTGGTTTTCTAATAAGCTTGGCCTGAGAACATCCTAGTACAATGAAAGGAAATGTGAGGACAGTAGATCATCAATGAGGCTTTAAAAGTGAAATTGAAAGAGTAATAGAAGAAATGAGTAAAGTAGGTAAATTACGAACCAGTTCTTGTTTTGCCAAGTATGAAGCACTGATTGCATGAAAAACTGCATGGAAGTATCCTTCTAATATATCAGAAGACGTATAGGTTTTGTCTAGACAAATATAAATAACTTTATTTTTCATATTTGTTAATAACAAATATTTACGGCTTTTGTATACGTGTGTCAACAATTGCAATTCAAATGGAAAAATTTGCTTTTTCTTCACCAACTTTTCTATGGAATCACCGATTTTAATACTGTAGCCACAAATGTATTCACCTATGAAAAAAAATTAATTAGAAAATAAATTCTTTCAGGATTATATCCTATGAAGATTTTCCTAGCCAGCTTGTAAATCAGATATTATGTGAATACTGTTGATATGAAAACATGGCTCAATTTCATTGGGAAATATTTTATCAGTGCATAGTATTGCTATTAAGATAATAGCACTTCATTAAATGAGCAGAAAGGTTAGAATTTTTAAGTTAGAACTTATGTTATCAAAAATTAATTATATCTCATATAAGAAATAATGCTTTGATTGTTGAGTGGAGAGGACGAAGGATGGAGTTATAAGCTATAAATTCTCAAATTGGAACTAGCAACAAACGATTCAACCAACTATATTAATTAAATATTTTGATATTGTGACAATATACATATGAATCTTTAAAATAAATTTGACTTAACTGTTCAGACCATTTCCAAGTATTACAGATTCTCGTCTATTAGTTTCAGCAGGTGTACAAATTCTTTCTGTCAATATATAGTCTTGTATAACATAATTTAAGCGCTCTGTATTGAATCTGTTTATATTTAAAGCTTTGACTGCTTTATAATTCGAAAATAGATGAAGTATGGTAGCTCCAAAGAAAAGAATCCAAATATATGTTCTAGACATAACAACTTCCATGGAATTAATAAAAGAGTAAATAATAAAACTATAGTTTATTAATAGAAAAAAAAACAAATATAAAAACTGTTACCCAGAATCTCCGAGCATTGCTAATAGTGCAAGTCCAAAAAAGGAAGCAACTAAGTTAACACAAGTTTCCTGGCTTCCATCTTTAGCAGACACATCAGCCATATTGTTTTTAATAGCCTGTAGATAAATTTGAAACTTGTTATATTCAAATAAATTCCTTCCTTGAATACAAGTTCTTAAATTTAAATTTATACAATAAGGGAGACCATCCACATACTACATCACGTTGCAATAGAGAAAAGAGGATCGTCTCAGTAATGCATCTTGAATTTTCCTATTATTCAAAGCCATTTAAATATTTCTTTATTAAACAATAAATACATACATTCCAAATGCTTATATTAATTTATTTCACTAAGTAAAAACAAGAAAAACTAACACATTCACCTGATGCTGTGTAATAGCTGCTCTGGTAGCTCCACCAGCAACTCCTACGACTGCTTTTAGTGAAGTAGAAAGGCATAAGATTTTGAGAGCATCGTGTTTGAAATGTGGCAGTATGATTATTTCAATGCAAATTGCAATATCATTCAATACATCAGCAAACAATCTCCACTTCTTACATTCGCCATCCAACCTTGTCCTGCAAAATTGATTTACTCTAAAGATACAATTTACTAAACATTACGTTGATAACCTGGTAGTAAGAAGAATCCTAACAAGACCTGATGTAGACAGAATATTATCGTTTTATATCGTATATTTACTTATCTTTGCATCCAAATGGGAAAAAAAAGGTGTGAGCAGCAGAGCTTTGTCACTGAGGTTTTGTTTCCTGTTATTTTTAATATTAAAAAAATAAAAAGGGATTAAATTGTTTCATTGGTGTTGAAGTGAGAAATAAAAGTGTTGCAAATTATTACCTTCAAAAAGTTTATTACCTTCAAATACTTATAAGTGTAATACGTATAGTGTATCTTAATGAACGACTTTACCTACCACATTGGAAAACATTTATATACTAAGATTAGGAAGTTTAAAAAATCTTTATTTCATAATATATTTTTTAATAAGCTATTTATATAATTATAAAAATTCTCAAACTAGAATTAGGACTCTATGAGTAGATTTGAGATATAAAAAAAAAAAAAAAAAAACCGATGAACCAATTTTAATGAATCATGGCCAAAGTCTTCTCTTCGAAGAACTTTAAATTTATCTCTATAATATATTTCACCAGAAAGAAGCTGGAAAAAATAATTACAAGATTAAAATTGGCATTCCAAAAAATACAAAAAGTATCAACTTTTTTGTTGATATGGTATAAAGTCATTTGAAAGTATACTAAATTTAATCTTTAAAAAATCATTAAAATCGAACGATTTGGTGAAAAGATATGTTTTTCTAAATATTTACCAAAGTTTCTCAACCAGGGATATCTAAACTATGGCCAGCGGGTACTTCAAGCAAGCACCTTCAATCCAGGCCTGCCAAAGTTTTTTTGATTACATGTAAAATTTTAAAAACTATTTAAATCGTGAAATTTTTGCAAATTAATCACACACGAGGTTACTACAACATTTATAGCATGTGTTTTTTCTTTTAGAAAGCTCATTTCAAGTGTATTTAAGGAACAACATTTTATTTTAATCACAAGCCATCGCCGGCGGGGTTGATTGGAAGCCTGAACATGGCCTGCAGAACTTAGACAAGGTCTCAATGTGGCCCATGGGCCAAAAAGTTTGGAGACTCCCGTTCTAGAGCAAAACTGACCTTTGTTTTGTCTTAAAGAAAATGTATGCCGTATCTTGGTTAGTACTGGACGGATTTTGATGAAAGATTTTTTATTATTTAGGAAATTTAAATGTCTTCAAAATATGTTCTGACCCAAAAAGGATGAAAAATGCATACTTTTATTCGAGTTGTTTGCAATTATAATTTTGTATTCATCAAAACTCCTTTTCTAGTCTTTTTTCTAGGAAGTATGTCATATACACAAATTTATAGTGTTTCATAGGGAATACTTTAGGAGAGTTTTTATCTTGAATCATGACGGCTGATGATGAGATTCGCAGAGGCACTTCTTAATATAGTTACAAAATTTCAATCTTCTAACTTTATTAGGAGGAGCTGTGGAGATGTACAATATTTTAAAAACAGAGGAAAAATTTGCATAATTGTGCTCTAGAGTTTCCAAAATAGATTGAAACCGCCACCCCCTGACAACTTTCGATACAGTGCAGTCTATTATTTCTAAAGGAAAATAGACAAAAATATATAAATTACAAAATAACATAAATAAAAAAACTTCTTTTCCAACTGAGTATTGACCAAATTTTCATGAATATAATCTCCCTTTATTTAGATTGCAATTCATGACTTCTAGAAACTTCAAACAGGTCTTATCCAGTTAAAATCGGGACCTTAATTATATCATGGCTTTTGACTTCTGCTCCCTCAAAAGAGATAAACAAACCTCCAATGGGTCCTTTTCAATTAAAATTGAGGCCATACTAACAAGTGTAAACATCTCCATCTACTTTCAGAAACATTAGTCATATTCGGAATTCCATCTAAAAAGTGATTATGAGATCTTGCGCTCATCCATCATGGTGAAGTGACACTTGTTAAGTAGTATTAAGACCTCAATGAAATAAAAATTCAAATTACTGGGGTTCTACTGAAAATATTTATATAACAAATAACAAAAATATTTTGCAAGAAAGTGAAGTATTATTTTTATTTTCTATCTAGGAGTTATTCTTTTATTTATAAATTAAAAAAAGGTGTTCTCATATGTAGAATACTTTATGATGATTTACATAATAAATCGATAATCATATGGATTATTCAATATTTTACCCACTTATCCAAGCAAAAACTATCCTAGAAATCATCCCGAAACCATCTTTCATGATCCATGTGATAGCAGCACCGAGAGAAGAAGCAGTGTTATCTCCAACTCCAACTCCTTGTAAGACAGCTTTTGTTGCTAAAGTATTTGTAATAGTACTGCAGAATGCCTAAAATACAAAATATTGCACAGTAAATTAAATAATGATTGAATGGGGGAAAAGTGCACTCAAGTTCATGTGTCATTTTAAGGCATATTTAAATTGATTTGAGTGGAAAAATTGAATTTGACGAAGAGAGATCAGGCCAATGTCGGTCAATTTTTTAAATAGAATTGAATCTAGTCCCCTTAATAAATCTGAAAAATCTTGACTTAAACTAAAAAAAATGTACAAGCATTGTTTAGTTGCTCATTGTTTTCTAACCAAAGAGTCTTTTAACAACTGCCCTTATAATATATAAATATATGTATTTATTAGATATATCAGAAGGTAAACTAAAATAAAGTATAAACCAATTTCCTGAATAAATATGTAGTTGTTATGCTATCTAAATGGTGCTACCTCATTTTGAAATTCCCTATCAACCTCTATACGGAAATCCTCATCCTTGACCTCATTTAAACACAATTTATTTTTCCATCTCCTCAGTAATCAATCTTCCAAATATATTTAAAATAAAGTTATTTTGTACTTTAGAGATGTCGGCTACATTATACCGATATCTTGCATATATCTATGTATGTGTCATATTGCTTATTTGTACAAATACGTGAACCCATCTGTATGTATTCATCTTTCATTCATATGTCTACTTCAAGATCATATGTTTACTATGATGTATTTTCTTTATTTTAATATTAAGGTTAAACAACTTTGTAAATTAATTTATTTTTAATTGTCATTTAATTATTCATAATCGCCAACAATTATCATTTCTTTGTTCATTATAATTATTCTGAGGGGACTAAATGTCTCAGAATAAAATTTACTTTCTTTCTTTCTTTCAATGATGTTCTTTTGAAGCTAGGAATCAGTCATAACAGGCTGTCACACCTCTACTTTGTAACAAAAGAAGTCATTTCCAGTTTGTGAAAAATATGCATATATATATATATATTTTTTATTTATCTGCACGCAGCTCTATTGCATCTTTGTTTATTCTATCTATCCATCAGCTTTTTGGCTTTGCATGTGGTCTTTTGCCTTCTATTGAGGCATTCATTGTTACGTAGAGGCTTCCAAATAGATTGATACGAGCTACATTCCCCGTCCATCTTAACATCTGTGCCTTCATATCATGGGATATTGATTGATCAGTTTCTATAAGCAGTTCTTAACTAGGTTTTCTTCTCCATGTGTTAGTACTCTGATCCCAGATCGCTCCGGTTATCGTGCGGAGAATTTTCATCTCAAATCTTTCAACATTTTGTTCTAGGGTTATTATTATTATTAAATTATTCACCCTTAATTTGAGATTTCTTGACCTTTGAAAGAGAAAAGAGAGCTCAGTTTGCGCTAGTTTTACGCTGTTCTATTTCTGGCCGTTGCTCATTCATTGAGGTTATTGTGGAGCAGAGGAATTATAAATATATATTTGATAATAGTTTCATTATTATTTCTTACTGTTATTTATCCTTCTATCCCATACATCCAGTTATTGGATATTTCAAAATATATAAATAAAAGGCATAGACAACCAACATCTTTACGCCTAAATCTCTCAATAACTAAAACTAAGGTATAAATGATAAAAAATTCCAAAAGCCTTTAAACCTCTCTCAGTAGAGCAACATTACATAAATAAATATGGGTATAATTGAAAGCTTAAGGAACTAACATCAAATAAATTCTAACATTCTGGATTACTTTATGCCCGTTTAATAGTGCAGTATGTTTTAAAGACCTTTAGTTTGTTTTACCTGAAGAGTATCCCACAACTGGTATCTCATGTAATCACCACTAACACTTTCAGGGTAACCTTGTGGAAGAAGAATCTTTTTGATAGCTGAAGACAACAGGTCCAAAATATTACTTTCAGGTTTTAATGCAGCATTTAGGCCCATAACTGTGTTATCTGGTGTTCGACAATTGAAAGTTAGTATTATTTTTGGTAGATTAAATTGTTAAATGAATTAGGAAAATATACCTTGTCCTTTAACATAAGCTGTTTCATCTGAACCAGATTTGCTTTCTTTAAGCAATATAGTGTTAGTCATTTTAAATTAAATAATGAGTGAATCTATTAATATAATTATAAACAGATATAAAGAGAAAAACAATTACTACGAAATATAAGAAAATTGACTTGTTGGACACAAGTTCAAAATTGCCACCGTACAATCTATTAAATCAACAATATCGATACTTCCTAAGAGCTATACGTACATATATTGTTTTGTTTAACAAACTACATTAAATTCCAGGTTGTAGCTTCTAGGTGGACTGTTATTTCACACTTGCTAAAGTGTAGACAAGGAATGTAGGGAATTGGTTCCGGTAAGGGATAAGTTCCTAAACTCAGTGTTTATTTCATCAACCGATTGAATACATATTCAATATGTCTATAGCGATGGGCAGGTATTTGGCACAGGTATACTGTGCTTAGAAACGACCTGATGCATTCCAATGTCCAGTTAACACTGAATGGGTGATTATAGAGAGGCTTCAGAAGGAACAAGTCAACTATCGATTAGATATTCTCCTTAAGACAAATAATGTAAATAACAAATGAATCAATAAGATTATATTGATCCTTTTCATTGATTTTAAAGCTGCATATGATTTCATCATTAGAAAGAAACTCTACATGGCAATGGAAGAAATGTGCATCCCACCGACGTTAATCCGACTTGCAGCATGTTTATCAAGACAGTGCAAATAAATGGAAAGATGGGCCAACCTTTTGCAGTGAAATCAAGTGTCATTTAATATTTCCCTCCAAGTTATAGTGTAAAGAACCGAGCTTAATCAGTCAGGTACAATTTTTAATAAAATAACTCAAGCGCTTGGTCTGACGATGTGGATCTGGTTGAGTTGTCTCTCAAAGCTATAAAGGGTCCTGCGAAGGGTTAGAAAGAGAAACAAAAGAATGAGCTTATCTATTAATGAAGGGAAAATGAAAATTATGGTGCTCAGGAAGAAAACGCCTTGTAAGCCCGACAAAACATTATGCAGTAAGAAAGTAACCAGTAAACCAGTTTTAGGTATCTTGGCTCCATAATATATGATCAAATGGAGGAAATTCGAAATCGAATTGCGGAGGCTAACAGAATATATTTTGTCCTAAAAAGGTTACTCCAAAGTTTATTTATTATTTAGAAAACATAAAAGCCTAATATTCAGCCCAATCTTCGAAAGCTCGTTGTCTCATGTATTTTGTATAGCTGATTTTCTTCAATATAAATATTTTAAATGCACTTAGAGTATACATCACATAAAAACAGATCGCTGTATAAAACTGGTTATCCACTATGTTTGCCAACCTGCGGCGTTCGGCGCTGCTGTCAAGTAGATACATTCTGCTCTCCGAGCTTGTAAAATGTTCGCGAACATATTGAGCGCTCCGAACAGATGGGAAATGTTAAACCGACAGCCGTCGGTTTTGCCCGAACTTAGAAGGGGACAGAGAAAGTTAGTGGGCGGGCTACAGTCAGTTGTAAACACTTAGCTGCAACATTTCTGTGAAGACTGTGGCTCCCAACCGGACATCGCGCAATGGATAATTGATCTCTACCAAAAATATCCCATTTTGTGGGATCCGAGACATTCGAATTATAAAAATAAAAATTTTAAAGAATACAACTACAATCTAAACTTTCTAAGAATAAAATTATAGTTCTTCTTTCAAGACTTCGAAGGGAGAGAGTTAAAATGAACAAAAGGAAAAGGAAATTATTGTTAATAATTAATTACTGTTAGTACTTATTAGTAATTAAAAAAAATTTAATTTCTAAGTTTTGTATAACACCTAATTCGAAATGTTTGTTAATGTTGATACTTTTTATCATTAATTGTGATAAATTTATTATTCATAAATTAATAACATAAATCAATTACATCAATATTTAATTAACCGTATAAATAACTTTATTATTAGCCATAAATTAATTTACTTTATGGCCATTTGTTAACCTTATAAAAAAAAATTTTAAAAATCGGACTTCTTCCATCAGTGAACAAGTCCAAGACCTGAAAGATATATGTCTTGCACTAATTGATCTCTATAAAAATATCCCATTTAGAGGGATCAGGGACATTCCAATTATAAAAATAAAAATTTCAAATAAGATTCTTGGAAAGAAATTGGATGTGCGGTGCAAGTACAATCTAAAATTTGTATGAACAAAATTATAATTCTTCTTTCAGGGCTTCGAAGGGCCGATTCTCAGGGGTGCTCGCCATTTGTAAGAGATTAAAAAAAAGTTACAAAACTTATTAAATAGTTATTTTAGCCTACAAATGAAGCAACTGTATTAGAGAAATGTTGAATATAATAAAATTAAAATATTACATAATATAAAACACCTCAAGAAACGTTCATAAACGTAGAGAAGACTCTGCTTACAGTGTTACAGGTACGCTAAGCGTCGTAGGTACCTGGCTTACTAGTCCAGTAACATTAGCGATTGATCCCAACATTAAAAAAATCACGGGCGGATCTACGGGAGGGGGGGCTTTCGGGCTGAAGCCCCCCCCAAAATGGAAAAATATAACCATGTTTTATGGGAAAAAAAGTTTTTAAAATGCCTCTTAAAGTATTATTGTTCGTGTAATTACATTTAAAAGTACTTAAGGAATAACTTAAACACCATTTCATATAGGTAGTTAGTTTCTTTCTGTTTTTCCAAAGTAATTATCGTTATTTTTATGAAAAAAAAGGTTTCGGGCTGAAGCCCCCCCCCCAAAATTAAATCCTGGATCCGCTAGTGAAAAAAATGGAGATGAAACATATCAGAAATTTTTCATTACCTTTCCCATAACTAGAATAACTGGTAAAAAGTCCCAAAGAATCCCGCGTCGGGTTTTTATGGAGAGGAAGGGAAGAACAGAAAACTGATATTTTTTTTTGTTGAGAATATCTCAAAAACTATGAAGTTTTTCGAAAAGATTGTTCAGTGCAATATTAAGGTATTTTAAAATATCTAACAAAGTATTCCTATATATTTTTTTTGATAAAATCAATGGTAGCGGAGGTATTTATGAGATTATATTTGTTGCATTTGCACTTAAAGCCAACATTGCTTCAAACACGAAATTGACGTTTTTCAGAATAGACGATACCTTTTTAAAGTTTAATTAGTTTTTTTAACATTTTCGATCGTTCAATTTAATGTCTAGGAATGAAATAAACATTAAAAAGAACACTTTTTTTTTTTTTTTTAATGCTAAAGCCAAAGCAATTAAAGTAATAGAAAATTCATTACCACAAGAAAGAATGATTACCTCTTTGAAAATCACCATATTTATTGGAAGCAAGATCCTAACTGATATAATATTGACTCAATATAACATATTACCATTTTATCATTAAAAAATAATTCGGAAGGGAGAGGAGTGTCAACCTTCCTGCAAAAAAATAAATAAATGTAAAACAAATTATCACCTCCCTACCGAAATATATATCCATTTTATCTTTTAAAAAAAATATCAGAGGGGAAGGGGTTAACTCCCTCTCCAAAAAAAGGACTCCTCTCATCCACCTACAGAAACATATGTATATACCTTATATCTTTTAAAGACAAAATCGGAGGGGCTTGATAAACCTTCTCCCCATCCCTCCCCCCAAAAAAAGAAATAGGTAAAATAAATAAATAAAAGTAAAACATAGTAACACCTACCGAAACATAAGCATATCTTTTTTATCTTTTAAATACAAAATCTGTGGTGAGGGGTTAACCTCCAGGGTTAAGAGAAAGCATCAACCTCTCCCTCCTCACCTACAATTATATTGACACTGAAGGAGCTTCAATAAGAATAATAAAAATTGATATCAACCAGTTCGATAGGCCTCAATGTAATTGTCGGATATAATGGATTCGATATGAATGTAGCCCTTACACGGTCAATATATTGATGAAACTCGATATTGACCAAGGGACCCTTTAAATACTGAAAAATTGGTGTAGATCAAACGACTGGTGGATTTACGTGGACTTAAACTTAAGGGGAAGGGACTTTCGGGCTGAAGCACCACCCCCTTGCCCATAAATTAAAAAATATTTTTTTTTATCATTGGTCCATATTTTTTCAGTGAGTAATCTTAGCTAAGTACCACAACAATCACACTTTGTTCCCACTGTCCTTGCTCTAAGTTTAAGGAAATTAGTTAAGTAGTTTTTTTTTTGACATAGTAACTTAAAAATGATTTCAATTGATGTTCTCCAACTCAATTAAAATATTTCAATTAATTAGGTACAATTTAGTGAGTGCAATGAGTCTTCCTCTTCCTTTTTCAAGGAACAATACAAAATTTACTCGAATTACTTAAAGAAGAAAAGGAATAACCTAGATAAATACAGTTTGGAAGCTAAATATTGAATATATTAATTCAGGATTTGGATGATATATCTCAGGTCCAAGATTGATTGCATGTCAATCAAGGAAAACAAACTATCCAGTTTTTGAAATAAATAAAGTAAAAGTAATATTTATCTAAGGAATAATCACCAGCTAAGAATAATATGAATAGTGGGTGTTTTTTGGGGATCAAATATACTAACAAAATAAAAGAATTCCCATTTATTATTAATAAGAAATAATTAAAAAAATGTGATGGAAATAGATAGTGAGTTTCTATGTTGCGGGCGGTATATCAGGTTACTGAGCATGAGTGTGAAAAATTGTTTTCTTTTTTTTTCCATTGTTAAAAATTAACTTTTGTTATTAATAGATATACTGTGAGTCATTTGAAAGATGGGATATTTGTTCAGCATCTTATAATTAAAAATATTTTAGTTCAGGACCAGGTTTGGGTGCAGGGTTTAGCTGTCAGAATTAAAATTAATCATGATATAATTGTAAAATACATATATAAATTGAATTAAGTACACAAATAAGACATACTATAATTTCTTCAACAAATAATTAACCTTTATTGAAAACAAATAACAATCACTTGAACATATTACATTGTCTCTATAAATTACTTTAATAACAAAATAATTAGTTTTCAATAAAATTTTGCAATATTTAGTTTTAAGTCAGAAGTGCAATATGGTAAGAAAAAGAAAAATATAATATATTATAAATCAGTTTTACAAACAAACATACACATGCACAGTCTAACAATTTATATATATATATATATATAAACACTATAATACAACAATATAAAAGATTTCGCTGGTAGGTGAAATACAAAATATTAACTATTCATAGTATATGGTACAACTTTTTAGTTATATAAAAGGGTTACCCTATGATATCACCTGCTGTACTGAGACAACTTAAAATTATTTTACTTCATATTGTTTTTAAAAATAATTCATAGGGCATTAAAATAAATAAATTTAAAGATTGGCTCATTGAAAACAGATAAAATCCTCAAGTTGAATTCATTGTATCACTTTCAGACTTGATCAAAGCAAGGTATCTAATTTTTTCTTCTTCTGAAACATTAAACATTATATTAAGTAACTAACTTAAGAGTTCACAAGGCTCAAAAGAAATGTATATGATGGGATATAATATAATATTTTTAAAATATTAAAAATTATAAATTGTGATTGACAATCAGAACTTCATGTAATAAAATAAAGCTAATAAATAAATAAATATTCTGAGAGAAAATCCATTATTTTGGAAAGGTGTAGATAAAATTACATCAATCTTATATGAGAAAATATAAGAAATACCTATCTTAAGAAGTTAGTCGATGGTCATGGTCAATTATTACAAACATAATATGTGTAATTTGGAATCATATTTATTAAGCAGAGGAAAAAGTGAAAACACAATTCCAACATATTATGTGACTTTTGACTGCACATCCAACTAATTTCTCCTTAAATTAGGACTAACATCAACAATGTCCATACTATTAATTACCTCTCTTAGTTTTTAAAGAAAATTAGTACTCCAAAGTAAAAGATTTAGCATGTTCGTAACTTTTTTTTTCAGTCCCTATAATTTTAATTTCAAAGCTCAATTAAACATGTCAAATAATAGTAGATAAAAAGTTGATTGGAAAATAGGTGCAGAATCTTTCAGTGGCGGTGAAAAGTAATTGCACAAGCTAAATTTTTTTGGCTTTTTTGATTCAATTTGGAATGAAATATGATTAACAAAACTTGTTTGATGAAATTATCTTGTATTATTTAGACAGAAATAAAACTAAAAATTACAATTAAACAAACTAAAACACTCCATAAATAAATATAAAAGAAAACAGTTTCCAAAGTATTAGCACATATTCTTTTTTCAATAATAACCACCACACCTACTAATCTCCAAACAGTAGTAGACTGATTATTTATAGTGTGTGATGTTCTTATCTCACCGTACCTTTCAATAATTTAACAAACTGTCGAAAACTTTAAACTTAACAATGAACCGATTTTCCACACTAGTGCAGGAGTCTAAACTGGCGTTGGAGAAACTGGCCTGCTCCAAGAGGGTGGAACTAGTGTGGGTCCCTGGTCACAAGGGAATTAAAGGCAACGAAAAAGCTGATTACCTAGCAAGGAGCGGAATCTACTATTGTAGGCCCGGAACCTGCAATAGGAATATCCAAAAAGCATCAGCGGAAAGAAGTCCTTGATTAGACTTGGAAGATAACAGGTAAAGAATGGAGCGAATGTATTGGGCTTAGACAGGCGAAGCAATTTATTAAAAGCACCTCACCCTCCAAAACAAAGTGGCTGCTGGACATAACTAGGAAATAAATCCGACTCATCATTGGAGTACTAACAGGCCACTGCAGACTTAAAAGACATTTAAAGATCTGTGGGATAGTGGATGATGAGCTCTGCAATCTCTGCAGAAGTGCACCTGAAACTGCTCTTCACTTTATAACGAAATGTGACCGATTTGCGTCACTCAGATACAGACTTCTGAGAGCAGACAGAATCCAAGTATGCAAAGCTGCCTCCATTAAATGGTCCAATCTTTTGAACTTCATTAGAAGAACAAATAGGTTTGAGACAGAATAGAGGTACAATAGACAACCACTGGTAGTATCAAATTTTGGGGTTGGCAAAAAGGACCAATAGGCCTACTTGCCGGACTAAGTCCCCCACCTGTACCAGTACCAGTATCAGAGGTAGTTTCGAGAACACGTTTAAACATAGATAAAGAATAGGTTTGATTTTAAAAAATCTTATAGATAAAAAGAAATAAAACATCTCTGTTACCCCTCAGTAAAATCTTATCACTGAGGTTTGCAATTTTTCATCACTAATATTATTCATTTATTTATATTGTATCATTATCGTTTACTATGCACTGATTTATTAAGTACTATACATCACTCATCACCAACTACTCACACGTTACTAGGCTGTTTTGTTCAAAAGCAAGAATCAATTCATAAACAAATTGCTGCTCTCTAAATTTTCTATTTCATTACTCATTAATAATAAAATCAACTTATTTATCTCAAATATTATTGGATTTTTTATCTTAACAAAGTTTAATTTTTCAATAAGGTATTATAATAAAAAAAAGTTATATACGTTGACATGATAATTGAGAAAAAATACAATAAGTGGTAAAATTTAAAAAATAAAAATATTGGCCTTCCCTTACAATAAATGAATAGTTCTTAAAAGTGATAAACAAAAGCCAATTAAGGTGCCTAACTGAGATTAAAAATGATACATATCCCAAATATAATTAAATAAATGGATAAAATCAAAAGAAAAGAAAACAGAAGATTTATATATATAAAAACAGAAAGGTACTTTACCATCTTGCTTTTTATGTTTCTTATATAGTTTGAGCACTTTTTTACTAGGAATCAACCCCCGAGTTAGACCAGGTCTCTTTTTCCTTTTCTTTTTTAATTCTTCGTCCGAATCTTCAGTTTGTATGCATTCGTCACCAGATAAATGAGACTCTGCTTCATCTTCAACTTCTTTACTTTTATTTTCAGATGCTGTATTTGAATGAGAAAAACGACATTTTTTACCATAGCTACATTTTCCCTTCTTAAACATCCAACAAATTTTGTTTACTTTTACTGCATTTTTATTAGGCAGCTCAGTCATTTTGACATGCTTTTCTAAAACAGCAATTTGAGCATTTTCTGCTTCTAAATAAGGATTAACAAACACCGAATTTTTTACTTTATCACTGAATGTTGGAGGAGGAAGTCTACCCAGAGGTTTTTGAGAAGATCTACAAAAAATAAAACAAATAAATAAAATGATAATGATAGAAAAACTGCATGCATATAAAATACTGCAATGAATATCAGTATCAGACTAAAAAGCTGTTTGACATTAATGTTAACATTTATGATACAGAACCTTGACATTTTCCCATAAATATTAAGCAATTTCAATTTTTTAATAATTGTTACACCACATATGAAATATTTTCACATGAAATTTGTATGAAAAAGAAATATCAAAACAGCAACCCAATCGTAAGCAAAAGAAAAAAAGTAAAACAAATGTCTATTATTTTAAGAAAAATAGACAAAAAAAAAAACAAAAAAACTTGCCAATATAAAAAACCAAGTTAAATTTTAATAATTCAAAGGTCAGAACTAGCATAATTGGACTAACTTAGGTTTTCATTTCATACATCAAATTAAATCTTACACCTGTGCCAATGAGAAAGAAAGAAAACATTCAATAACTTTAAATTCAACTTGAAAGATCTCAACTGTGTCCAGTGGATTCACAAACCAGGGACTAGCTTGAGATGGCAATTAATGAGCAACAGATTTTAAGTTCAAACATCTCAATTAAGCACACATATAATAATTATCTCTATTTGTTTTTTTTTACCATAAAAAAATTTTCTATTTTAAAGTAGGGAACGCCAGACAAAAATGGCTTATCTGTTATACCAGTGATAAAGCATCATACATTTATAAAACAAAATATGCACTTTTTGAAACACTGAATACTAATAAAAATTTCTGAAATAAAATGTTAATAAGCAGAATTCTGTGATAAAATAATTACAAGGCTCAGTAAAACATCGAAAATTAGATCAAAACTGTGCTTTCTATCAAGTTAGTAAACTTTTAAGAAATCAACATATCAATTCATAGGAATAGAGTTTTAAGACTAATATTGAGAATTAATCATAAACATCACTTACAATACAGTTATATTTTCATTTTCTGATTCTTCACTGCTTTCTAAACTTGAAGCACCATAATCAGGAACTAATGAAACCATTTTCACATTAAATCTTCATTAGAAAATTCTGCAACATAAGCAAAGTAATGAAATATTTATTTTTCTTATAATAATTTCATATTTTATTTTTAAATCTGCTCAGGACTTACAAAAATAATTTTTTTCAGCCTCAGATAACAAGGTCCCTTATCACATCAACCACTTACAACTAAGAATTATGATAAATATACATTTTAACTAGACATCAAAGAGTCCAATGAGAATTCATCAGTTCAAAATATGATTGGCAGGGAGTGATCACTTATTAAATTTAATAATAGAGGTTAATTTGTGAAATAACAGAGATGGAATAATTGAACAATATTTGCTAGAAATTCATCAACAAAAATTACTCTTCATAATATCAAAATCTACATACTCAGTCATGTAAAAAATATTTCAAATCATTTAGGTCTATTTACAAATTTCTGTTTACAAGTAACTAGTGATGGGTAGTTCGTGAACGAACCAGTTCAAACCAAAGTCTGTATTTTGGAATCTTTGAGATACAGTAGTCAGGTCGCTTCTATTCATAATCCGACGGTGTCAAAGTCAATATTTAGGTTAGCTCCTTTTGGAGTCATCAACCATCGCCAGTCCCAATCTTATATAATATCTAAACGTTAACATATACTAGAAGTAATTTTCTCACAGCAGGAGATTGAGAGAAGTATTCCCTCTAAGACCTTCCTTATGAGACACTTACCTTTATGGTACTTGGAAGAAGAGCAATCCGTTGAATCGTTGTAAACTTGCACTTTTCCTTTGTTCCATCTTACAATTATGATGTTATTACGCTATAATAGTAAGATTATTGTCACAAATATTACTCTTCATTGACAAGAAAGTCAAGGTCATCAATCACATTGTGTATAGAATCTCGAAGTATATGCAGGCGACCGATCTCCAGACTTTCCTTCGAATATAATTAATGATGATTGTGGAAATTATGTTTGATAAATGTGATCTTGGCTCATCTACTAACTAGATATGACACTTGTGAACGTTGGAAAATTCCAAACACAGATAATGAAAGAACTAACGAGTCAGCGTTTATTTGGTGATTTGAAAAGAATCCTTCTTTACGGACAAATTTCTCTGCTTCTTAAGGATCTGACTTTAACTGAAAAGGACCCTTTTGGATTTTCTCTACTTTTGGAGCGAGCCCGACGAAGAACACAGTTGTCAAAACTCAAATTATTTTTTGGTATGTATTGTTTGTTTAACGTGATCTTGACTCATTCGCTCACTCTATGAGAAACTTATGAACATTTGAAGATTCTAAACTGAGAGAATTATAAAACTAACAAATCAACGCTAAAAGGTTCAGAACCTAAAAAAACAAAATCACTTGTATTGTACTAACTATACAATACAAATTACCATATAGCACCAAATTAACATTAAAAGTACCATCTCGTGATACTTTTAATCTTTTAATACACATCAACACTCCAAAAAAGATTAATCAACGATATACACAGGTGGATCTCCTCCTCCCAATCCCGTCAAAGCCCGACGCGGGATTCTTTGGGCCTTCTTACTTTTTTTTTTTCCTTTCTGCCTGTCTTGCCTTATAGGCAATACGGGTTGTACATTACTCATTATCCTTATGCCACTGCTGGCAGATAGGTCTATTTAATTAAAATTTTGTTAACATTATTATTTGTGAGGTGTGTAGACTCTTTTGTCCAGTTGGGAGGTTATAGGATTCTTTTCAAATCACCAAATAAACGCTGACTCGTTAGTTCTTTCATTATCTGTGTTTGGAATTTTCCAACGTTCACAAGTGTCATATCTAGTTGGTAGATGAGCCAAGATCACATTTATCAAACATAATTTCCACAATCATCATCATCCACAATCGAAGGAAAGTCTGGAGATCGGTCGCCTGCGCATACTTTGAGATTCTATACACAATGTGATTGATGACCTTGACTTTTTGTCAATGAACTATCTGAATTAGGGGAAGATTCTTTGAAGTAGAAGACACCGTTGAGAGGGGCTGCCCGCAGGTATCTGTTCTGGGTCCTGCCTTGTGGAAGCTAGTCTTTGACGAGTTGCTGGAGAAGCTCGAAGAGGAGCGGTTATCTGTCACGGCCTATGTTGACGATTTGGCCACCGTGGTGATCTCAAATACCATAGCAGGCCTGAAAGCAGAAGCTGAACGATGTGCCAGTTTGGTAGGAAGATGATGCGAGAGGAAGAAGTTGAAGATGGCTGCAACAAATACCCAGGCAATTCTCTTGAGGGGTACGACTGACAGGGCACATCATATTATGTTGAGTATAGAATAAGAAAGGGTATGTCCAAGTGAGGTTGTCACCTACCTTGGCATAAAAATTGGTCAAAAGTTCAATGTTACTCCTCACCTGGACTATATGAGAACTAGAGTCACAGTGGCCCTAAATGGACTCAGTCGTGTCGGATGCGCCTTCAGGGGTCTCAGATACCCAGCTACAATGACTATATACAAAGGAGTCGTTTTGGGTATTCTGAGATATGCGTCCCTAGCCTGGAACCTAAACCTCTCGCACCGACAGAAGAGTAGGCTAGCATCGATTCAGAGATTGGCTTTACTTCGGGTCACTAGAGCCTATAGAACGGTCTCATGAGGCAGTGCAAGTACTGGGGGGGGGACACCTCTCGATCTCCTCATGCGAGAAGACTATTACCTCTTTAAAATGAAAAGAGAAGGTTCGGCGGATCTATCGGAACATCTAAAGATGAGAATTGAAGAAGATCCAAGAAAGTGGGAAAGAATTATCAGGGAGGAAACAGTTGATCAATGGAACCGGTGGTGGATGGCAACTCCGAAGGGGGCTACCTTAAGAAAGTACTTCCCCATGGTCAAGTCACGATTAAATGCAAGATGGGTCCTCCCGAATTACTGGGTATCTTAACTCCTCACGGGACATGGGGGCCTCCTAACGAAGCTCGTTAAACAAGGGAAGAATATTGTTCCGCTATGCCCCAACTGCAACGTTCCGGAGACCACCGAACATGCGGTCGTCGAATGCACTGCCTATGCGGCACTAAGAGCTAAGCTTCTGAGAGAGACGGGGATATATACGCTGAAAGAGAGCATGTTCCCCCAGCCAATGAGCAGAGAGAATTACCCACATTATAAGGAATTCGTATACGGGTGGAAAGATGCTGTATGCCCTACATTTTAATCTTGGAAGTAGAGAAGGAAGTTAAGACAAGCTACAGCTGCTTCGAGGACATGCTTTAGGTGGAAGAAAGGAGAAAAAGAATAGCGAGGGGCTTGTGCTCACAAACGAGTCTACACCTCACAAATAATAATGTTGACAAAATTCTAAAACATTATTATGTCATCTTTCTATCTTTCTTCCACGTCATGACGCACTCGCAATATGGCATCTGCGGTTCCCTTGCCTTTAGTGGATCCATATTGCCTTGTATGGCTCGATCTTGATAAGACTGGCCGAAGCCTTAAGACAACAAAGTTTTCCAGTACCTTGCTCATTATAGGAAGGGGACAAATAGGCTTGTATCATTTGGCAACTTGTCCTTGTTTCTTCCTTTGTAAAAGAGTCTGACATCAGCAATTTTCCAGCTTCTTGGAAAGTATCCCCTATCTAAGCAGTCGTTGAGAATCGTAAGCAGCCACGGGCGAATCTACGGGGGGAAGAGGGAGGGCTTTCGGGCTGAAGCCTTCCCCCCACCAAAATGGTAAAATATAACCATGTTTTATGGACATTTGTTTTTAAAAATATCTCTTAAAGTATTATTGTTCGTGTAATTACATTTAAAAGGACTTAAGGAATCACTTAAACACCATTTCATAAAGGTATTTAATTTCTTTCGGTTTTTCCAAAGTAATTATCGTTATTTTTATGGATAAAAAGGTTTCGGGCTGAAGCACTCCCCCCCCCAAAAAAAAATTAAATCCTGGATCCGCTAGTGCAAGCAGCCTATTCTCTAAATAGGGAATACTATTGCCGCATAAATCGCATCTAAACCTGGGGCTCGGCCAGTCTTTTGCATTTCCACTGCGCTACGGAGGTCCCAAATGTCCCATGGTGGGCACAGATCCGTCCCTGACGGGTATACCGTGGCTCTTCTCACAAATGTATGGCCATTATCATCCTTGGGATATGTCTCTTTAATAAACATCTTTGCTGTTTCCTCCAGAGTGGCTGCCTGAGTGCCCCCTTGCTTCAGGGTTGCAATGACTTACTGTGGGATCGGTTTTTCAAGAGCCACCCTGTATGGGATTCTTCGCTGACTCTTCGTGGATGAATTCATCCCATGATCTTCGTTTCTGTGAGCGCACCTCATTCCGGTATACCCTAGCCTTGGACCTGTATTCCTCACGAAGTGTAGTACGCCTCTCTTCTATGATATGAGCGCCGAGAGCTCTCTCTTCAGGGTGGTTAAGGCCGGCGACCACCATGGGACATTTCGTTCTTCGCTTTGCAGTGCTGTGGTGATTCTTCCGCGGCATCCATAATGGCTTCGGTAATCCTGGATACCTTGTAATCAAGGTCATCCGTATTGTCAACATCTGCGGGATCATTACCAGTTATTAATTAATATCCGTGGCCTTTTTACCAGTTATTAAGGAGCGGGTAATGAACAATTTCTGATAAGTTTTATCTTTATTTTTTGAATGTTGGGGTAAGACTGTTTTTTCTCCTAATTTTACTTTACTAATCTCATTGAAGAACATAAACCAATGAATATTTTATCAAAATCAGCATTCAAATTCTAAAAAAAAAAAAAAAAAAAAGAAAATGGTCTTTGTATATAGAAAGTAAATAAATCATTATATATCATATCATGTATAATATAAAATATTAGAACATTTTTTACTTATCATAATTTAGTTCTGATAATAAAGTTTCAATTTATATAGCACAGAAAATTTGGTCTTGAAATTAAAAATATACTGGGAGGTTATATTATGTTATAATTCCTTAAATTCAAGTTACAATTTATCCTGAATTTCTTCTAGAATGGCTGCATCTGAATTAGCGAGAAAAGGCCCCAAGCTAGTTAAACCTATTCTATCAATTGATCATGGTGAAGCTAGAAGAAGGGTTTTGAATTTGTATAAAACTTGGTATAGACAAATACCATATATTGGTAATTCTTATAATTAAATTTCCGAATTATGAATTAGCTCTTATATTATGTTATAATTTCTTAAGTTCATAATTAGATAAGCAAGTCACTAATTCAGTGATTTTAAAACATCCTTTTCATGGTTTTAGTTTTGGATTTTGACATTCCTAAGAATATTGAACAATGCAGAGCTAAACTTCGAGAAGAATTCAGAAAAAATGCTCATGTTAAAGATGTCAGGGTAATTGATATGCTTGTGATCAAGGTAACTATTGAAGTTATTAAATTAGGTGATTAAATACATTTCAACATTTCTATTATTTTATTTTACATCTCCATAGATTGTTTTTATGTTTAAAAGATATTTCAGAGATATGCTTCTTTACAGTAATAAATAAATAATAGCGTTGAACAGATTTTTTAAACATATAGCAGTATTTTCCAAATCTGATTTTGTTAACACTTTAATGGCTGCATGTCTATACAATCAGATGTTACCAGGGGATTTCAATATTTTTAAAGAATTATTTAAACAAATCTCTTAATAAATATTAACTCTAGACGTTAACATAACATACATGGTGTGTGAGCGGACCCTAACGGTTGGACCAGCCATCACACTTATGTGAGCTGCCATTAAAGTCTTAAGTAATTAGAGACGTAAATTACCGAAATTGTCAATCATAAGTAATTAGAGACGTAAATTACCCAAATTGTCAATCATAGGTCAATCATTTACCTATCTCAGTAGTCTCTGAATCTTACTTAGGCTTCAGCCCGAACCATTTACAGGGTGCTAGAGGGTTGGTGGGTCACGTTATACACAGTGTGTTTTGGTCATTTTCTTACTTGCTTACTTATTCTCTGAGGCCAGTGGTATTAAAAAAAAATTAGTCTATTATTTATTAATCATTCTGTCAGTAGTCTTATATATTACCACCTTTGTATGTAGGCAAAAAATAATCAGTTGTTCCACTTGCCGGACTGAGTCCTTCCTACCTGAATCAGTATCACTACTGCCTTTGTGTATTAACTATACTTTAGATTGCCATAGGATTAGTATATATAATGGTTCGTTCATGTTGGATTGACAGTTACCTAATAAGACATTTTGTTGCATTATATAATATATTTTGGGTTTGTCAAGTTTGAAAATAATTTAAAATTTTTTTATTTTGTTTAAAAATTTAATTTCTATCCATAGAGACTTTAATTAATTTCAATTAGTCATAATTATTATCACCAATTATTAGTCATAATTTTTTTTGTCATTCTCCATTATCTTCTATGTGTATATATATATGTTAGATAGTAATTTTTCGAAAATCTTCAGTCTTCCTTTGATTTGATGTATATTTCATATAAGTTTGTTAAATGTACAGAATAACCACTTGCTCATTATTGGTTAAATTGTTTTAGGGTCAGATGGAGTTAAAAGAAACAGTTCATGGATGGAAGACAAAAGGACATGTAATGACATTTTTTAAGGATACTCAAGAACCAAAACCTGAAGGTTTCTTAGCCAAGTTTATTTCTGGAACAAATTGAAGCATATCAATTTGTTTGTAGGAACTCTTTATTTATGTAAATAATAGTTTTTTTTCTGGATTTTTGTTTTTCTTTTAAATTATATAAATAGGTTTTTGTTTTCTATCAGATTTTTCATTTCAAAGTTACCAAATGGAGCTAATTCCTTTCCCTCCATGATTACATACCTAGTGTATTCAATGAATAGATAATTTAATTGAGGGGTTTGGCCAAGTAATGGTTTTTGTAGTTTGTTTTTTAATTTATAGATGATCTATATTTAGCATCTTTTTTTGCTTGAAAGTTACAAAGATCATTATTCTGTCAATACCTTACAATTATTCTGACTTTACTTTCATAATATGTAATTGAAGCTACTTTTAACGTCATTTATTTCAAAATCGGAACACAAATTGTTAGTGGGCCAAATCCTTCAATCGATTGATATTTAATTGATAATGCATCAAAAATACTGAAGTTCATGGCAATGGTAGTAACGATAAAATTTAAAGAGTACAATTTGTTGGGGATTAGTCAACGGAATAGACAGAATATATTCTTTGTGTTTTATTTATTATGAAAGTTGATGTTTTGGCCAACTTTTTGGTACATCTTCAGGAGTCGAACTTGGCTATGATGCAAAATGATAGGAAATACAATAATAATGACTAGTAGGCCCTTGCGAAAAATTCGCACAGTATATTGTTCAGTGATTAAATGACAAATTGATTAAAAAATAAAATAATGCAATGTATTATAAGATATAATAGTGGTTAAATAGTTGACTGTCATGAATAATGAGAAGAAGAATAGTTGGGGTGATCAGTCAAATCATTGCCTCAAGAGGCAATATTGCCTCTTCTACCTTAGAGCAGTCAGCCCTGATGATGGCCTGAACTTCAGGTCGAAACGTCGGCAAATGACAAAATAAATATTATCATTTATTTTTGCCTTCTTATTTGACTGATCACCCCAACTATTCTTCTTCTCATTATCATAAGATATAAGATAGAGAAATCAGTTGTTACTTTCTCGCTAAATATAATCGACAAAGGAAATAAAAATTAATTAAATTTCATTAAGTTTGGAACTTGACATGTTTACAAATTTCAATAAGCTGTATTTTCACTAACAATTGTTCGATTTTGAAGATTTTTTCCCCTTTTGTGTGGAATTTAGTAATCTTTTATATAATCATGGATATAAAGGGAAAAGTATATAATTTTTTAATTATTTGCAAATAAAGTTTCTTTTCTTTCATAACTTTTTTGCTTGAATTTTCGGAGTGATTGGACTATTTTTACCGCCTGAAGGAGAAGGAAACCTTCAAAATTGGTGGATCAATCTTGGGATTTGATGAAGAATTAGCGATGGTATGGCTTACCAACAAAAAACACCTTTGATAAATAATATAAACTGCTCCTCTCTCGATCATAGGCACCTGTAGTCGACGAAATGAGACTAATTTTCAATGACAGTACTACAATTAACGTAAGGTTGTGTGGAACAAATCCTTTGCCTTGCATTATCTAGAAAATAGTACGTTTTTGGGCTTAAAAACACAGGGCCTGATAGTTCCTACGGAACTATCCGTCTCTTGCTGTACGCATCAAATTCTTCAAAGCCCAATTTGTCCCTACGATCTACAGACTTATCACCGTTCCAGTATTAAAGCCTAGCAAAATGTGTGTGTTGACTTTATTTATTTTATAAAGACAAACAAAAGCATAGAGTACAATTCGTTAACCCCCCGTGAAATTCTGAATCAAACGGTACCCCTATTCGCTTACTCCCTGTGAAATTCTGAATCCAACGGTATCCCATTCATGGTATTTGAGCATGACAGGAGCTTATATTTGGCACAAAACCGATTTTGAGCCTTACTGTGATAATATACGTGGGGATAAAAAAAATATATGTATATAAGGAGGAAAATGGACATTTTACAAAAACTATTGGTAAAAAATTTATGTTTGTAATTTTTTATTATTTTTGTTTTGTATATATGTTTTAGCCATGATCATAACCTACAAAGTTGAGGTGAAATGGCAGCCGTCATAATAAAATAAATGAAATAATTTGAAAAATAATCATTATTTAAAACCTAGGTTTACGTACCCATTGCTGATGGTTTTGATTATGTTAAAGTGACCTGATTATGTAGTGATAATTCTAATAGTAAATAAATAATAAATATAAATAAATATCTAACAGTAAAAAAAAAATGGAAAAGAAAGATTTATGAAAACAAAATATATTGTGAAAACATATACATAAGTTTAAAATTTAAAAATGAGGAGGAATATGTTCCTGAAATGTTAGATTTACAGATAATTTAGTATAAATCTGGAAAATAATTTCTAAATTGTTTAATTATAATTTATTATTAAAGTTTCAACACATTGTTTGCAAGATAACTTGTAGTGTAGTTCAAGTTCTTGTCTTGGATGCCAATTTACAAGTTATCTCATAATTGGTCAACTTGCAATATTTTTGTTGCAATTAGTGTATATTATTGTAAATGAAAAAAATTAAGTTAGGCTTACATAAACTGAAAATATATTTGTTATAATAAGTCAGACAGAGAACATCATAAGTCAACTATGAGTAAATTAGCAAAATTAAAAAAAAAGAAGAACATATTCAATATGTATGAGTAGCCTCATATCGAAGTTAAACGTTTTAAAAAGTTGAGAAAAAGCCAATTTTTGTAATTGAGCTTCAATTTAAACTAACGCAAATGGTTTTTTTCATGATTCAACTTGAAACATTCATAAACAAAGTCATCAGGAACAGTTTGAGTTGAATCTATAACACAAAAATTGACTTTTTAGCCACTTTCTGAAAATGACATACGTCCGTCTTTGATATGAGATGATACTAAAATAATATGATTAAATTTGACATTTTAGACTGTAATCCTGAAAATTAAAGTGGCAGGGAACTTGCTAACGAATAAAATATAAATAGAATTTTTTGAAAGTCTGTAGAGGTTAAATTCAAGTATATACCTAAAAAACCGTTATATCTTTTATAACCTCACTAAATGTCTTAGCTTGTTCAGTAGTTGACAGTTACTTATATAAAGTGACCGAGGTATACCTTTCACATCTATTTGAAGTATAGCTTGCTCACAAAATGTGGCAGACTGAGGGGAATTCATTTGTCAGTACATTGGAAACTAAAGTTTTATTGTTTTTTCCTTACCATCCAATTTTATTCATAAAATATATACTATTATATACATGTATTATGAGATGATATTGTAATCTTGTAATATAAGTATTCAAAGTCAAATCTTTTCATTTCCGGAGTTTCTTAAAAAAATATATATTTTGATATTGAATTTTAATTTGAAAGCTATATTTAGATTGTTATTACATTCCAGTATACAGCTTATCTAACAATTGGTGACCCAAGGGGTAAAGTTACTGAAGCGTGGCCAGTTAAAGGTACTGGTAAATCAGCAGCTTGTTTGTTCCAGATTCCAGTTTTGAGGCAGCACATTTCTACATGGTTCAGTGTTTTTCTGTACTTGGTGGTTGATCCGCCTATCACGAACATTTTACTTCCTAGAAAAAACATTTGTTATTTACTCATGGATGAGTTATGAATTATGATCATTATTAATTTAATATTCAATCTTACTCTTATTGACAAGGAACCTTAACCTTAATCCTAAATAAAATGATGCAATAAAAAAACAAACAAAAAACCGTGCGTACTTTAGACCACCGATAGAAGATTAATAATATGAAATATAGATTATAAATAATAGCTCATTATAAACAAGATGAAATGCTGAACATTTCCTTCACTTTTAGTATGCAGATCCAATGTTTAGTTTCTTAGATATTCTAATCCATATCTTTAAAGAAACTCGTTATAATTTGGTTTTCTACACCATTTTTTCCTTTTTTCGCCTTTCTAACATGACGTCATGTTAATATAAAATTTTGAATAATAGTCCATTACAGAGAGGATGAAATGCTGAACTATTCTCTTGCTTACAGTATGCAGGTCTAATTTTTCTTTTTTGAGATATCTTAATCCATATCTTCATTAAAACTCGTTATTCATCTGGTTTTGTTTTTTACACTATTTTTTCTTCATCGCCTCCCTAACACGGTTTCGCCTTAATATACAATTTCGAATAATAGCTCATTACAAAGAGGATAAAATGATGAACATTTCTGTGACTAACAATATGCAGGTACGATTTTTAGTTTTTGAGATGTTTTAATACATATGCAAAAACACTTCAATTAGTCGACTTTACCTGAGCGTTACACATCAGAGATCTGACGGCACAGTCTAACTCAATCTCCACTAAAAAAGTGCAAAAAGTGCGCCTAAGGGAGTTTTCTCTTCAATAAAATTTTATATTTGATTTGCCTAGTTCATGGATGAGAACTTTTTTTCACAATGAGTATCATATTGTTACTACAAATTTAAAAATGTTGAATGATCATTCAAGAAACTAATGATAATAAAAACTGTGTATAATGAAATACTAATAAAATAGACCTAGCGTAAACAATTATATTAATAAAAGACTCATTAATTGGAAAACTGTCAAAAAATGGTAAAGGATATATGCAGAAAACATTATTTAGTGAGAAATTTGGCATTTCTTCTTTGCCATCAATTGATTTGTATAAATATAGAATCTATAATGGTAAATACTGACAAATAGGATGCAGCAACTGTCTCATCCCCTTGCGTCTTTCTCATTGTTCACTCTCTACTAGTGATCACATTTATTTTTTATTTTCGTTTCAAGAATAGTTTGTTAACATTTGTGCTTCCAAAAAAGTGTCATTATTTTCTTTGATTATGTAGAAGGTATGTTAATATTTGAAAATTTCTCCTTGAATATTTTTATAAAACTATTAAATTCATTTGTAACTCCTCTGGAAATGTTTCCATGTCTATGTTAAATGGTGAAGGAAAAATGTTGAAATTACATTTTTTTCTTATTTTTTAATATTTTGAATCACAATTCAAATTCCTTTATTAAATTTTGTAAATGTTGGGCTTTTCCTCAGATTCCTAAAGGGGTTTCTTTTCTTAATTAAATTGTAGATGTGAAAATATTTTGTTTGTTCCAAATTTTGAGTTTGCTTTGAATTAAATTTAAAAATTGTGGTTAATTTATTTATTGTGATTATAAAAAAAAAAAATTAACTTACACAATTAGTAAAACAACATATTTTATGATAAATATTTTCCATAGAACAGTTCACTTAATAAGTAATTAGTTTCTTGCACTGGCAAATATAATTTCAATCTAACAGTTCAGCAGCAAGACATAGTTATTTATAAAATTACATTAATGTGATATTGTACTTGCCATTGGATTGCTGTGGGTGATTCAAATTCACCGCAGATATAATGTTATTAACAACCAAGAATATTTAAATATTAACATCAAATATTAATATTTTTATCATATTTCCATATAATATTTTAATAACATCTATAATATAGATTATATTTCCAGTTGCCCAAGTGATCTTAGGTCTATTTTCATTTGTCTACATTTTTAATTTTTATAAACCTAAAGGAGGAGGCGTGATAAGATAACTTGGCAACTGTGACGGTAACGAGTTTATCACTAGAATTAGGGGGTTCCATGCGTCACCTCAAAAAAGTGGGAACATCGCCTCAAAATATTTAAAACCAGACTTGTCTCATTTAACTACTGTCACAGTATTGCTATCACTTACATTAATAAATCACTTTTGTTATTGTTATACTATGGGTGATAAATATTCAGGATGCAGTCTTTTTTTTTTATAAAAATTTTTCATTTTTTATTTATTTGGGTCTTTTCAGGACTTGGTTTGAGCACTTAGGGTGTTCAAGTACTCCAAAAAAAATTTTATAAAAAAAAAGACTGCGTTCTGAATTTTTATCACCCATGATATGTAGAACAGTCGACTAACCTTCTTCTATATTTATAATACAAAATTAATGACTAGAATTGAGATTTGTTTTAATTTCTTCATGAAATTTCCTTTCTTTTAAAACCTCTTGCATAATATGTGCAGTATATCATTAAGATATGTACAGTGTTTCATTAAGATTATTCGAATATTATATTCATATATATACATATATATATATATATATATATATATATATATATATATATATATATATATATATATATATATATATATATATATATATATATATATGAATATAATGATATTGGGTTCATTACCATTTATGGAAAGTATTGTGTCTTGGTCAATGCTTGTGCAAGGAGGTGATTTGACTGAGATCACACTCAACTGCCAGATTTTCCCTCTTAATTAATTATTTAACTAAGGGCTAGGTAAGCCTCAGGAGGGGTCTTCCGACCCCAGGGATGATCCATGGCCAATGAAACAGAATAAATAATTTATCTCCCATAAGCCGGGATTTGAACCTAGGATCTAGAGCATGGGAAGCTCAGCACCCTACTATTATGCCTGTCCTCTATATATATATATATATATATATATATATATATATATATATATATATATATATCGATCAAAATACAATAATAATTATTAAATTTAAGCAAGTAGTAGTAGTACTCACCTATGCAAGACACTGTATGGCTATGTCTCGGGATAGACATGTGAGAATGCAGTTTCCATTTATTGTGCTTTGAATCGAGAATATCGATGATATCATTACTCACTGAGATCTCACCTTCCTTGATTGCACCTCCGATCAATAACAGGTTGTCTTCATGATTAATCAAAGCAGAAAATCCTCTACCAAACCGAAGTGTTGGTTTGCGAATCCACCTTTAAAAATTAGTCGTTTGAAAAGAAGTATTGATGTTTAAATGCAGGTTTTTTTTTTTTATTAAAAACATTACATGTTTTGCTGAGGATCGAAACAAAATATCTGGGACGACATGTCGTTCTTAGTACTGCTTCCCATACCCCCTGCTACCCAGATCATGCCACCATAACGGCATACAGCGGGGCATAGTCTTGGCTCAGGAAGTGCACTTACTTCTTCCCAGACTCCCTTAACAGGGTCATACTTATCGACTGATGAAAGAATCCTGAAAAGTAATGGTTTCATTGTGCTCTTGACAGAAATCTACGCAAGTATAATTTTATAAGTCTTAAAATTTAGGCTGTTGAAGTAATTAGTGAAATGGAGGAGCTAGTTTTTTTAAATTAATTTAATATCAATTATAGAATAGAATAGAATAGAATAGAAGAATCAACTTTATTCTGGGACAAAGTCCCTTGAGAATAACAATATTGTACATGAAATTAACATTACATCTGGCCAAAATGCATATTACAATTAAAAAAAAAAACAACTTAAAAATAAGGGATAAAAGAAGTATTTACATAGCTGTACAGATATAGTAAAGACATAATATGAGCAAGAAGGTCCTAATACTGCAAAATAGTTGCTATAAACAATAAGCTATGGAATTATAAATGAGCGACAAATAACTTTTGTTGTCATGTCATTGTATTAAAAAAAATAATAATAATAATAAAAGAGTGGATAAATATTTACTTTCTATTATACTTTACTATTATTATTATAATTATACATGCTAGGATGTAAATAAGTGCATGTTAACCACTTTAAATCATAATCAAGTTACCTTTGGTGATTATCTTGACCTCCTATGATGTATAGGTAGCCATGGAATGCAACTAGACCAAATGTTTTTCTTGCCGTTCTGAGGCTCGGTTCTTTCACCCAGTCACAAGTAGCTGGATTAAAACTCCACATATCTGAGCAAATTGCAGGTATTCCAGATTCTTCTTTTCTTGGGTCCACACCACCTAGCAGATAATAACGGCAAAATTTATAGAAACAAATTTTAATTTTTATTTATGAAGAATAATAATTTTGTAAGAATTTTTTATATTCTGTGGTGACATACTGGTATATATGAGTTCATTTGTTGTGTTTTGTTATTGATGTACTTTAGATATTATGGTTTTCTTGAATAATATGGAAACAAAATCTGTTGAAGAAATACAATAGATGAAACCTACTCAATGCTCTAATCTTTTATTAACTAATTTTGAATTGGTTTAGAAAGTTAAGGTATAAAATTGTAGAATAATGGAAGTTTAACTTGTGTTTCTGGCTATTAATTTAGTTTTACCCTCAGACCTAAACTTAACATAGAATGAATACTGAATGGAGGTCATAAAATAATGAGAAACTAATAACAAGATGGAAATTAACTAAGTGTTCATTTGTTTTTCCTCTGATTTTCCGTTGAGACTTGACGGTCTATTGTAACATGATTTTACTATTTATATCATATTACCTAATACATAGATTTTTCCTTTTAGGAGAGTTGCACTGTGATAATATCTTCCTTTAGGCATTGAAGCAACTTTTTCCCATGAATTCATTTCCACCGAGTATCTTTCACATAAAAAACAAAATATATTAATTTTGTTACAAGTTAAAGAAATTTACTGTAACATTATGGTTAATTATTTAGTTTTTCTGAAAACAAAGTAGTTCCATTTTTTTTTTTTTCAGAAAAAGCATTAAATGAATCAAAATTTAACAGTTAAATTGGATAGAAATACATTTAATAAAAAATCAAAATCTTAGAACTCTTATATTTTAAATTCATATTATTGCTTTGAGAGTGTGTTTTAAAATTATAATCAATGAATGTAAATTGTTTAAAATTAGTGTATTTAAAAATAATTTAATATAAAAAAAAAACTTACCTGAAGATAGCACTTCCATCATTATTTTGGGATAGGTTCTGCAATGGATCCAGCCCACCTATTACTAATATTGTCTGACTGTGTGGGAAATATAATGTATTACGCCCATTCCCCTCATATCTGTTAATCGTATCCACATCAGAATCGGAAGAGCTAAAATATCATGTAATACGGTTGAGTACTAGACCTATTAAAGAAAAAATAATAATAACATCCTTTCAGGAATTTAGGTAACGTTATCACAGTAAAGGCAGAGTTAGCGAAAAGTTGATCATTGTATTTATTACATATGAAATGTGTTACATGATGTAGATTCATTAAAATTATTAACTTCATTACTGCTCATATTTTATATAATATATCAAATTTTACAAACAAATAAAATTTTTGATTAATTGAAATAATGAAAGAATTATCAATCAATTAATCTTCTAATATATTGTTGCATTAGACACTTTCAATAATTTGTTATTGTATTTCAAAATCAAAATGGAATAAAAACAGCAATTGGAACAATGTGGATTCGGGGATAATTTGTGAATATAATTAATCAAAATCGCAGAGGAAGTACAAATTAAGTTGAAACTCCCCAAAAAGCATTTTTTAACCACAATCCAATTCATTTCAACGTTTTTCTAACTTTGTTTTTTAAATTAATAGGCCTCGACTCAATTCGGAAGGGTTGTGGCACGAAAAAATTTAATTTAATTAATAGTCCCTGTTACAGATCCCTTTTTATCACATTATTAACATTCGACTGAAGCTTCATAAATAGCTTCATCTCATAGTAACCTACAAATATCATATTTACGAAAATTCTCGTTATTGGGGTGTTTTCAATCTGGAGGTCCACAACTTTGCCTATTTAATTAGGTACTAAAAACTCGTAAATACCCATTTCCTTTCCGCTTGAATCGTAAGATAATTTGATCACAAAATCAATAAAAAAGGTGGCCTACAAAAATATTGGGCCGTTTGGCCTGTGTAACCTCGTTGTTTTGACAATTTGGGGATGTAGAACATGCCAAACGGCTCAATATTTTTGAAAGCCACCCTTTTTATTAATTTTGTGATCAAATTAACTCATGATTCAAGCAGAAAGCAAATGGGCATATACGAGTTTTTAGTACCTAATTAAATAGGCAAAGTTGTGGACTTAAATTTAATTAAATAATTTTAATTAAATGAAAACTTAATTAATATAGACTTAAACCTCATCAAACAAGGAATTTTTTTCTGAAAGTTTGGTTTCTTCAGTCCAGTTGGAGGGTTGCAAAATAAATCTCCAAGATTTTATGAAAAACGAACATACTGTTTAAGTTTAACTGCTTAAAAGTCCCCTTTAAATAGTTTTAAAAATACAAGATTTACTTGAATTTAATGTAAATTTAATCTAGTTTACTATGAAGTAATTGGTTGTAACCAAATTAAACATTTTTTTAGTTATTGCTTTTTATTCAACATAAAACATGGCTGGCTTAAAAATAAAAAAAATTAAGTTTCTTGATTTTCTGTACGTAATCAGACCATGGTTTATGGTAACTTTTTATAAATTTTAATGTCATCTATCTCATATTATCAATTATATGAAATTAATGTCATCTATCTCATATTATCAATTATATGAAATTAATGTCAATCTAAACTTCGTATCATTATCACCGAATTCTCCCACTGATTAATATCGAATATAATTCTGTTAATGACTTTTAAGAACCATTAAAAGGAAGAAACTTTGAATAATAATTTGAACGATCGAAAATGTAAAAAAATAAAAAAATTCAAAAAGGTATTGTCTACTATGAGCAACATAAATTTCGAGGTTTGGAGCAATTTTTGGTTAAAGTGGAAATACAATAAATATCTCCGCAATCATTGATTTAAAAAAAAAAATTTACAGGGCCATTTTTATAAAGATTTTAATAATGAACTGAAATATTCTTTGAAAATAAGTCATAATTTTTTAGATATTCTCAAAAAACTTAAAAACTATCAGTTTTCTTTCTTTTCTTCCTTCTCTCTATCAAAGCACGATGTGGGATTCTTTGTTACTTTTTTCTAGTTATTATCGGGAGGATAATAAACAATTTCTGACAAGTTTAATCTTTATAAAAAAAAAAAAATGTTTTTATGAATAAAAAATAAGGCAAAGTAGTTACTTATCTTTGACAATTTTAGTTACTATATGTAAAGAATTGGTATGAACAAAATACTTTTGCATTTAACTCTTCAAATTATTCATTTGGACTTCACAAACCTGATAAACTACAGTAGTATCTCTATTGTAAGAAGCTAATATTTAACTGCAAGACTGATACAAGACTCTTGCGCAAGACCAAGACCAAGATCAAGACTCGTATTTGGGCAACACTAATCTTCTTCCTTTAATCTACCTTTATTAACTTAAAATTAACCTAAAAATATTTAAAGTAAATGTATGAACGTTATGTTTTATATTAATGTATACAGAATCAATCACTCACCAGTTCTGGATTTGCTTGTTTTTCAAATGATCGCCGTCATTATATACGCGATTATTTTCAAATTTCACGTTTCTGTGATTACTATTGGGTTCTTTATTTTTCAATTTGACCATTTTGCGAACCTTGTACCCCCTGTAAGCAGACTGAATAATTATAGCTGCTTTATTTTTTAATGATGTGTCTCTCCTGTTCAGTACATTTCGTTTTGATTTTTCTCCCTTATCCGGAATCCTTAGTTGGTTTTCAGTTTTAAATTCCTTTTCTTTATTTAAAATAGCCTTTTTTTCTGATTTGGTCATTGCTAATGGACTTTTATCCTTTGAATGGTTTCGTGAAGTTTCTTTTTGGCTCTCTCTTCTTTTCTGAAATATTTTCTATGTACATAAAAGAGCAACAATCCACTATGGCCTAACTTAATTGTGAAGATATAATGAAAAATTCCAAAAAAAAAAAGCCTTGAGTCTTGAAAATCGCACCATTGTTGGTTTAATTGTGCACTAATTGCTGATCAGGAATGTGTCTTATATTCTGATGCTTGAATTGGCGAAACGTTGGCTCATTTGTTGTTAACCGATATTTTTGATAATCAAGCTTTGTTTTGGAATCTTACAATAATATTCTAGTAAATACTTTATATATTTATTCTTATAGTCTGTTTTCTAAGATAGATCGAATTTATTTTAGAAAATACTTTAAAGGAAGGAATGGGTTCGGGGTGGCGGTCATAGATAGACTAAAATAGGGGGAAAGCTATTTTATTTTAAAAATAATTTTGCGTTTTATTTTCTATAATGTTCTAATCATTGTCCATTCAATTTTCGTATATAAACTAAATTCCCGAAAAAAATCAGGAAAAAAAGTTATTAAGAAAAGAAAAATGTTATGGGGCCTAACTGCCTAACTATATATTATACAGTAAAATTCATAATAAAACTTTTGAAAGGTAATTACATTACTAACAAAACGAAAAAAAAATCATCGGAATCGAACCAGTATTAGCGATGATACAGCTTATTCTATTTTTTAAACATTTTTTAAGTTAGGTAATGAAATTCCCTACAAAGCCATATAAAAATCGTTAATGTTGGACAACTATTAACGAGAGTTACAGCTATTCAATTTTCAATGTAAGATTACGGGTTCATATCCTGGTGGCAGAAGGGGTGAATGTTGCCCGCATTCACTATTTAATCTACTTTTAACAGAAATTATTGCTTGACAATACTAAGCTATGGCAAAAAGTTTTTGATCAGCAATATTAGAGGGTATTGAAATTTTTACACTGATCTACCTTAAACCGGTTTCCATTGCTTTAGTTTATCAAATCGTACTCAAATCTTTTGTTTGATCAATTTTCAGGAAAATAAATCTAGTTTAATTCTTTTTTGTTTCTTCATGAACATATGTAAAGATATAAAAACCTTTCTGAAATAGGTAGGAAAGTTGTGTGAGTGGATACACCAGATATTTTAAAAATAGTTTTGCCACTATTTTAGTCTTTTTATGACTGCCATCCCGGATCACCTCCTTCATCTAAAATACAACGGTCAACTCATTATTAAGTATTCAAATTACTTTACGTCTTCATAATAATATTTAATGTCATCATTTAATTTAAGAAGCACTGGAACCTTACTTTATATGGACCATCATCCGGTCTAAAGTAAAAATGACGCTTTCTGAATGCTTCATTTAATTGCTATAGCCATTATTATATTGATAAGACCTTCAAAACCGGTGAATCTAAAAGGAGTTTATATTTTTGAGAGGGCACATGCTTACGGGTTTTGAATTTTTGAGGGGGCCACATCAGTTACAGAGTTATGAATTTTAAAGGCAACCATATTTTTGTGGGGTTTCAATTTGGAGGAGCTTTCAAACGAAGGAGAATCTGAAAAATATATAACAGATTACCGCATGTGTAGTTGTTTATGATCTAAATTTTTTCTATCTAGGCAGTCTATCAACTGCCTCCTGCAGTGCCACATGATACGCCCTGATGAAGACCTGCAAGGTGGGTCGAAACGTCGGCGTGATAATTAGAAATACTATTTTTTAAAATTTAGTATTTATTTGATCGCACCCCTCGACCAACTTCTTCTCATATTATATCACGGTCAACCATCTCTACATCATTATAAATCTTTTCTAATTCTATTTTCGCATTCACTGTTTCATAGAAAAGGAAAGCAATAAAATTTCATGGGAGGAGGGAGGTTTATGCGGCACCATCCATGTGGAGGGGGAGGGAAGACGGGCACTTCTGCCTAAAAATGTCATTACCGTGCAACTGTCTAAAGTAACATTCCATATTATTTCTGTCACACTCGATTTCAAGAGCCAACCAAAACGACGACTAAAAGGGAATAAGTTAAAAATATAAAACTATAAGGAAACAAGCGGTTGGTGATAAGTGACCACTCTCATAATGAGAGATAAACTTTAAAACTCCAAACAGTTGAATTTCATTCAACATCGGAATTTCATGGTTGCAAAACAGGTTAACAATATGTTTGTCATTACCGCAACTGTATTTAGACTCTTGAAATTAACTACATTTTAAAAGATTTAAAAGATTATTGAGGCTTTCACGATTAATACGATTTTTCATCTGTATCAACAAAGTTGTAAATTTAAATAAATGATAATAAAACAAATATATTATTTTTAAAATGAAATACTAAGAATTACTCTATTTACTACAGTTTTATTCCTTAAACTTACTCTATTCCTCATCCCAGCTGCAAGCAAAACTGACATTGAAGGAATCCCGTCGTCGCAGGAGTACTGATACGGAACTCTGAAGAATTCTGAACAACAGTTTTCGTGATCAACGGGCACAGGGTAATTGCGACCAGATTTGTTGAGTGGTTCTGGTGTTATTTTTTCAGGTTCTCTTGCGAACATCATCATCGGATTTCCTCTCAGTAGCTGTAGGTATCCCAGGAACTCTTCGTAAGATTTGTAATACTGCAAGCGGAAAAAAAAAAAAATTGACAATTGATTTCAAAATCTCATACCGCTTTCGTAATTTATTATGTTTTATTCTTAAAGTAACATTCCTGTATGATATGAAAATTTATATAATTTACCTTGGAAGAATCAGCCCAATTACGTGGTTGTGGGATCTCGAGCCCGAGCAATTGACATCGATATTTGTGATCTTCAGTGGCTCCCTTGAGAGTGCTCTCGATTGAATACCTGTGGAACACAACATTTTAATACTTTTACACAAATATCAGGTTCTATAATAAAATAATTGATGTCACGGGCGGATCTACAGGGAGGGTCTTTCGAGCTGAAGCCACCCCCAAAATGGTAAAATAGAAGCATGTTTTATGGAAAAAAATATTAAAAAATTATCTCTTAAAAGTATTATTGTTCATATAATCACATTTAAAATGACTTTAGGAATCACTTAAACATCATTTCATGTAGGCAATTAATTTATTTCTTTTTTACCAAAGTAATTATCGTAATTTTTATGAGAAAAAAAGCTTTCGGGCTGAAGCCCTCCCTCCAAAATTAAATCCTGCATCCGCTAGTGGTTGATGTCAACAATTCCATTGGTTCTTATAGTAGAGGGGAGACAGTACGATCTTATCTTACACCCTTTGAGGCAAAGGAAAGGAAAAAAACGCTGCAAATTATTACAAAATAGGTTATTATTTCCAATCCGTTATATATCAGAAGTAACACTGTCTTTTTTTTTTCTACAGAAACCGAGTTTATTTCTAAGAAAAATGTAATGTATTTTTTTCTAAATGTGTATATTTATGTTTTACCACTGTACATAGTTTTAAGTGTCTTGGCATAATTTCAAGTGTTTTGTATATAGTATGTTTAAGTAATGTTTTCCTTACTTATATCTCTTTCTTTTTACTATTTGTGTTTGTTTTTATTTAGGCCAGATGTAATATTTTAATTTTGTACTTTTTTATTATTCTAAAGCCAATTTGTCCCAGAATAAAATTATTTTCTATTCTATTCTATTCTTACACTACTTTCCTTTTCATATACAGGAAAGTAATTAAAAAGTGATTCCTAATGGCGGCCTGAATATTTTTTTTTTCATCATTACAATTTTGTTAAAAAATAGAAACAACAATCTCAATTTCTTAGGTGATATAATACCTTCCAAAAATAAAAACGAAGAATATCAGTTTTGCAGAAAAACATGTAGCAAATATTTAGAACAACGTATCTTCGCACCAATACGTTCGATTTCAACGATTCTTTTAGAAATTTTGTGACTGACCAGATACAACAAAGGCAAACAAGTGTATATTTTTTGAGTTATTGGAAAATCTAATTTTACCACTTCTCCTTACGTTTTTCGGTGAAGTATGTTATATAGACAAATTTAAAGGCTTCAAATGAGGAGACTTTAGCCAAGTTAAGGCGCTGCAGTCTATAGCGACAGGTTTTTCGGTCGCCATCTTGAAAGGACGGATAGTAATGCCAAGTTCCGTAGATCATCCTCGGATACCCTTAGGCATTGATACCGGATCTCAATACAATCTGTCCGGTAGTTTCGGAGAAAAGCCGCGGACGGCGGACGAACGGATACTTTATATTCCATTTTTGGATTCTACGTATCTTGAAACATTAAAGGTCAAATTTTGAGGGAGGGGGGTTAACTTTTTTGTTTTATAGGTCGATTACAAAGGTTTATTATTGAAAATAAAAAAACAAAATCAAGTTATTGTTGGGTGTAGGAATGTGGTGGCTATCAGTGTTGCGCAATATGCTAGACCAAGAAGAATCTTGGTCTAGCGCACTCAGTCTTGCGCAAATCTTGCAGTTACTATTAGCTTTACTTTGCTATTTATTAAATATGTTACTTTAGATCATAGAAAAACAAAACATTTAGATGTTTAATTGACAAATATAGTAAAGTCCAACCAAATTAATAAAATTAACTTGATAATACATGCCAAGAAAGATAGTGATTGGTTCATACCTTGGAATGGAAGAGTTGTAGAGTAATGACAATCTATATAATGTCACCATCTATTTAAATAAAAAATCTGGTGTGTGCATTCACACAACTTTCCTACCGATTTTAAACTTTGACAGGTGGTGATGACAGTATTGGACAGTGTTACTCTGGGATGTCAGCTGTATAAACTGCGTAAAGGATAGGACCTAGGGTACTACCTTGAGGAACACCGGCAGACTGAGTAAAAAAAAGATGAATAAGCATTGTTATGATTGACTAAGAAGGATCTGTCAGTAAGGTAGGAACGGATAATGAGGAAGTATGTAGGTGGTAGGAATTTATGGAGTTTGTACAGCAGTCCCGGGTCCAGATCCTCCACTCAAGCCCGAGTGTGTATGATTAGGTTAGTTCTTTTGTTTATATACATTTATTTTATTTTATTGTATTTATTTTTATTTTATTTTATTGTATTTATTATTATTAAGTTTCTGTATTATTATTTATTTTATTTTTTTATTGTAAATAGAGTGTGAGTGTGCTTTCTCTGAACACTATTATAAATGTCCTTGATGTGAAAGAATGTAATATTTCTAAATAAACAAATATAAAAAAAAAAAAAAAAAAATATGACTATTTCATTCCTCAACATTTCTTTTTCTGTATCTCTGAGGCTCCTTAGCCCACATTACTGTCCTTATGTATTATTCTAAAAGGACTTGTCCCAGAATAAATAAAGTATTATTATCATTATTATTAAAAAAAAAAAACTAAGACAGTTCTTAAAATATATAAATACTTACGCCATACCATCTTCTATAAATTTTTGTATTCGAGTATCTTCTGTAATTCTTAAAAATTCAGGTGACTCTGGATTTTTTCGTATATCAATCAGTTCTGGTGGATTCATCAACCCAAATCGGACGCAGGTCATTACCCTCGGGAGGTGTTTCTTTCTTTCATCCCAGTTTTCCAATAACCATTTGGCAGCTGACATAAAGACTTCCATTTCGCTGCGAAAATTATCTATGTAAAACTTTATTATCAACTCTGAAATGACTTAAAAATTACTATAGTTTTTTATTTTGCTCAATAATATTTTATAATTATGCTTATGAAAATAAATGAAAAATATGAAGAAGTAATTTTATACTACTAGGTATGGGTGAATAAGAAAATCAAGGAAGATGAGACCATTGTGCTGTTTAATATATACCAAAGTATATATATAAACAAAAATTTAACAATTGGCACTTACCTGTGTACAACAATGTAGTTTGAAGAGAGAAATGTACATACATCATCCAAACTTAGGTTCAAAAAATCCTGACTGCTCACGAGAGGCAAAAAGAAATGTTGTACCCTAGGTACCATTAGCTCTTTGATACCATTTTGTTTTAAATGACTTGCTTTCTTGAATAATTGGTAAGCGTGGCCCTCTGAAAATATCTCCTTCGAGTCAATGAGTGCGAAGCATTGCTCTTCAAGGTCTGATGGAAAAGAGGTTATTTTATTTATTTTATTTTTTTGTAAATTAGTCGTTATAATTAAAATGGCACCTTGCCTCTTATTTGAAGGGATTGAGATGCCATTAAAACTTCAATGATATTATCTCGCGTCAGAAACTTCAAACCTGCATCATTCAAAGATAACATCCAAGCATAGATGGCAATGAACGCTTCTTTGGTAACATTTTTCTGAAAATAAATGTCTAAATCAACTTTTTATCTAAATTCTTTAAAAGAATATGACACATTAATACCTTACCTCTTTTAGATCAATGGCAGTGCTTTGGTCTAAATTGTCGATTTCATCAAAGTATTTCGAATATGATTGCAATACTATCCGATGGCAAAAAAACTCATGTTCATCTATAACGAGCATTATATCTGGATTTCTAAGTAAATAAATATTATGTACAAAAGAATAAATTATTTTATTAATCTGAATTTTTATTATTTTTTATCAATGGGACAAATTAGAAGTAATACCAGGCGCGGCTAAGAGTGAAAGGCGCTGAGATCACCTAGAGTTTTGCTTTTCTCTCACGTGTAGAGAGAAAAGCTCGGCTCGGAGTTCTCCTCAACGAGTGTTTGTAAATATTGTATATAAGTATGACTGTACTTAAGTTGTTTTTTTAAAATAGTTTAAGTTTCTTTTGTTTATATATGTATTTATTTGTTTTTAGTGTTATTATTTTGCTGTTTAATTTAATTTGTTTTTATTTTTTGAACTTTGCTACTCTATCACTATTACTTATGTCCTTAATTTTGAGAAACTATAATATTCCTCAATAAAGAAATGTTAAATTATATGAGTTTCAACGAAAGTACACGTTTTAAAATCCCCTTAGCCCAAATAACCAAGTATCGCAAAGTTGTACATCATGCTACGTTAACGACCTCCTCCCCAAAAAAAACCTTACGCCACATAATAAGTAATTTCACGTGTTGTAGATAATCACTACATTCTTTCGCTGTATTTCTCATTTTTTTAGTAATTAAAGAAAACGAACGAGTTTTAATGGATTTATTGTATTCTAATTTCAATTTTCAAGTCGGTTTAGGCAAGTCTTCCATCTTTATTATTTTATGTTAATCGAAGTATTATGAAGGTATGATTTAGTAGACAACCCGGACTTTTTATTCCATTACGTTTTTCCAATTAATTTCTTTAACGCAAATATTCCTAAACTATTAAACTCGTGTGTATTATTTGCGATTTTGAAATCTTATAAACACCAGCGTTATTGTGTACTAGTGTTACTATTCCAATTTTTTCATACTAATTTCAATGATTAACATATATTGTTTTGGTACTTTGGGCATGAAAATTTAGAGAAAATTTCATTTTATTTTTGTATTTATATAAAAATTTAAAGTTACTTAGGTGTCACTTCATAATGAACCACTAATATGTCCCATTGTTGTACCCTAATATTAAAAACAATTTTCAACTTACATGTAGTTACACAGACGATGGTGTATTACTCGGTGCAGTTCACGCTTTTTAGGTACCTTTATTTCATCCCAATTCACTGGCTCTGCCAAGAATCCTAAAATAGAAAAATATGTTTGAACATTTTCTTACAACTTTTTTTTTAAATATAAATATATAGATAGAAAATATACTTTGTTCTAGGACAAGATCCATTAAAAATTAAAATTATGAATAAAAAACATATCTGGCAAAAGTACATTAATAAACATTAAACAATCTGAAAAAAACGTTATAAACACTATGAGTTAAATCTTAAAATTAAAACAAACAATTGGAGCGATCATTCACTTCAATCAATATTCCATTCATAAAATTTATTTCATAATTGTATAGCGTCATTTTGGTATGTAAGAAGGAATTGGTAAAGATGGTATTTGAATTAGGACTAAGAAGAGACATGGCTGATATGAGATGGTAAGTAATTCCAGAAGGCAGTGAATAAAGGAATGTTCATATGTTTTATTTAGTTTTACGAGAAAGGATATAAAGGTCGGAAACACGGAAACAGCTTGTGTTCTGGGAGTGGATGACGGGTTTGAACTGCAGGAGACTGTAGATATAGGAAGAGTGCCGGGAGTTAATCGTTCGGAATAGGTAAGATCTAAATTTATTAACCCTTAAATTATAATGTAAATATAGTAACAAATATAGCTATCTTTCCCCCAAATAGCTTAATTATATATTAATCAGATAGCTCATATACAGTCCACAACATTAAAATAAATGTAACGGCAACAATAGCAGAATTATTATGTCAATATCCCTGACAACTTTGGAAGGAAAGACATAATAAATTAAACAGCAGTTTTAGTATGATGCCAAACGTCATCGAAGATCGAAGGTACCTTTTATATTAGTTGATATAGCTGATATAATTAACACACGTTTCCTTGGATACGACACGCGTTTAATATATATTTTCTAAAAAAACATTATTACGCTAATCTTTCAGCTGCTTAATGCACACGAAGAATATGGAGTCAAACCTAGAAGAAGTATGGTGGATTTGATTATTAGATCTCTTCCAACATACGAAATTAAGAAACATTCGTACAAATATATCGTAGGTACAATACCTCGAGGCATTACAATAACCTCAACGAATGGCCAACTTCAAACAGAGCTTTCTTCTTTCCTTCACAATAGACACTGCGGGGTCTTCTCGTGAGTCCAGCCCTGATGAAGGCCTCATCATTTGGACGAAACGTCGGCAAATATAAAAATAAATATCATTTATTTATTTTTTTGACTGATCACCCCAACCATTCTTCTCTTCAATTATTCACTACAGTCAACCATGAATCCACTATTATAAAATTAGTTTTGTTTATTTTGAATAATATGGTAACCTCATTAATTCCAACATTTATTTTCACAATAAATATTGATATTGAGGCGTTTTATTTTTACCTAATACCAGTTCTTGCTGGTATTGTTTGTACTATTGAAGATTCCTGAAATTACCAATCGAAACTCACTATTCTTTTTAATATCTTCTATTTAATTTAATTAATATCTTCTAAAATATTCTATTTGTGAATGACCTATATTCTATTTATGAATGACCTATATTCTGAGTTTAATTAATTACTAGTAGGTCCGTGCGAAAAATTCGCACAGCATATTGTTATCAAATGCCAAATTAATAAGAAAATAAAATAAGCAACGTATCGAAAGGTAAAGAAATCAATTGTTACTTTATCCATAAATATAATCGACAAAGGAAACAAAAATTAATTTAAATCTTCATTAATGTATGAAACCAAGATGTTTACATTTTTCAATAAGCTATATCTTTGCTAAAAATTGTCCGATTTCGTTTTAATTTTTCTTCTTTTTTCGGGAAATTAGTAATCTTTTATATAACCATGGGCATAACGTGTGTAATTTTTTAGTAATTCGCAAATAAAGTTTGTTTTCTTTCATAACTTATTTGCCTGAAATTTCGGGCAATGGGGGAGATTGGACTATTTTGCTCGCCTGAAGGAGAAGGATGCCTTCGAAATTGGTTGCTCAATCTTGCGATTTGGTGGAGAATTAACGATGATATGGCTTGATGATCAAAAACACCATCGATAAATAATATAAACTCCTCCTCTCTCGATCATAGAGCCCTCAAGTCGACGAAATGAGACATGAATTCAATGTAAGATTGTGTGGATACGAACCCTATGTTATCTCATGTCTTATCTCAACATTTTTTGGGTTAAAAAATGGAGGATCCGGGACTTATTACTGTACGAATCAAAATCTTCAAGGTCCAATTTGTCCAATCTACAGACCTACCACCGTTTCAGTATTGAAGCCTAGCAAAATGTTTGTATCGATTTTTGTCTCCCGTGAAATTCTGAATCCAACAGTATCCCATTCATGGTATTTGAGCATGATAGGAGCTTATATTTGGTACAAAACTGATTTCGAACCTTACTGTAATAATATATGTGGAGATAATCTCTGTGTATTATAATCTAGATACAAAACTAACCTGCATAATAATACACAACTAGTCATACCAAAATAAAAAATAAAATAAAATATTCTATCCCCACCTGACAGGTCTCCTTTGCCGTTGTCTCCACCTTCTTGATTGTTAGATCCATATTGTAATAATTGCAAATTTAGATTCGTACTTTGTATGCAAGGAATCCCATACCTTTTATCTTTTAATAATTTCATTTTTTGTTCCTATGCATCAGAGAACTGTATTGTCATCAAAATTATCATGAACATAATAAAAAGTTTTCAAAGAAAAATTAAGTCATTTTCAGAAAATGCATTTAAGTTACCGGTCTTTTTTTAACATTTCTGCTGATGTTTAAATTGCAAAATTCCATCTCTCGATCTTCTTCTTCTTCCAATTTCATCAGCGGATTTGGTCCATGTTTGATATTGAATGTTTGAGACAAGGGCTGAACCTTCTTATCATGTATGTTTTTCCCATAAGAGCTGCAGAGGGATTAAAAAATATATAATTAATTTTAATAATTTCTATTGAACAAAAATAAAAAATAAATAACTTACGGTGTTGTAGGCTGGTATTTCGGCGGTTCAAGTTTCTTCTGATGTTCTCTCTTCATGCGAATTTGAGGGTTTTCGATGCTACAATTACTTGACATGGAAGAAATTGATTCTGAATCTTTAATTTTTTATTCACAATTGTATAATAATTTATTGAAATGAAATTATTTAATTTAATAATATGATGCATATTTTTCTCTCTTACCTGAATTAAAAGATTTGTCGCCAGAGTTTTTTTTCTGAAGTAGATGAGGGCCTTGCGTTGTCCTGGACACAGACGTCATACGGGTGATGATAAAGCATCGCATTAATAAACCGAGCGTAAGGCTCAAGAAAAATTTATAAACTTTAATAAACTGAATCGAAATGTAAAAAAATTCCGATTGGGATGGGCTCAGGCTGCCGGAGTTATCCATTTCATTTAAATTTATATTAAGATTGGACTTAATTTCAAACTAGGTATCAACACTTCATCAATTTAAAAGACAAACTTATGAGAACTGCCCTTCTTCGCATTAGATTTCCTAGCCAAGCTTCACTAATACTAACACCTGTAGATTACTTACTGCTTCAACAATTTAATAACATTATCGAATTTTAGAGAACCATTTATAAATAATTGGAAAGATTTATATGTAGTCTAAATAGTTGGCGAAAAAATAGAATCTAATTTTGTTTTGTTTTTAAAGAAGGCAACACTGTTTCTCTTTTTTTTTAGTTTGATTTATAAAAAATTTCTCATTTTGTTGATCACATTAAAAAATAATTTGATAAAAGCAAAAGGTTATAAAAACATATGGTATTATTAATTGATATAATCTGATATATGTATGTTCCACGAGTTAATTTATAATAATCCATCTTGAAGTTTATTCTTAAATCGTAGAGACGAGCAATATTACTTTATCTTTATACTAGAAATTATAATTTTTTTTTTTTAAACTTAAGAATTAAATATGAATAAAAATTGTAAAGTGAAGACAGTAAATCTAAAAATTACAAAAATGTGTCGGTGGTAGCCAATGATATCAAAGGCATTTTCTGCTTTTAATTCTAATTTTAGAAACCATAGGCGCAGACGTTCAATTTTAATAGAAGAAGGGAGAGGTTAGAAAAAAAAAAAAAAAATTATGGCGCTAGTTTATATTATGTGTAAAAATTCAACAAAATTATTGTGAAATGAACAAATATAATATTGGATATTTAAAAGTAAATTTATATATATGTTTAGACATTTGTATGAATTTTTTTTTTTTTGGTGCTCTTTTAGATATACTTGAAAATATTTAAACAAAAAAATTGAATAAATTAAAATTCGTATACATTCATTAAAAATGAGAGGAACGGGGACAGCTTCCATAACATGGGTACTTTTCTAGAAATTTTTCAGCTAAAAATGAATAATATTATAAACTGAAAAATACTTTTGATTTCTTAGTTTGTACTACCTCCAAATAAAAAGAAAACGTTTTTACTATCTGACTATGTATAAATGTCTATAAAAACGTTCATATTTATATTTGTACTCATTAAATATATTTTTTCCAACTATATTGCAGAAAATTTATTTAAAAAATCCTATAAAAATGGAAGTGTCCACATGAAAGGTGAATGAATCATAAAATCAAAGGATACGTTTTTATATCATTATTTCTGAATATTAATGAAAATTTTAATAATAGGAATATTTAGGTTGTGATAAAATAATTGTGTATCTACCTACCTATAGGTCTTAGTTTAGCCAGCTAGTCAACTTTTCTCATTTTCTTAATAGAATTTAGTTTATATATTTTATTTATTCATGTACCTTAGTACCTTATTTGTTATCAATTTTAATTTTTTTTATACTTCAAATTATTGGGGAGAAGGTAGAAGGAGATAAGAAAGGGGGGGGGGACGAAACGATATTCTCGCACCCTCAACATTTTTATTGGAAGGGACAAAGGGAATTATAAAATATATTTTTTATATTTATATTCTGGGAAGCGAAATTAAAATTACCGTGTTTTAATACCGTAAAATACGTACTTTTAAAAAAAAATTATATAAGTAAAGAATATTGTATTCAGGTAAAATTTCGAGTATTTATCTGAAATAATATTTTAATATCTGGATATTTTAAAATAAAAAAAATATGTGACTTAAGAAAAAAAAAGAAACCAGTACAAAAATCGGGAAATCCTATCCACTCTAAGGAAATCCACTTCCATATCTACTTAAAATGTTAGTAGATTGATTGGGAAATTGACGTCTTCTAATTTTTAAACTTGGTGTAGTAGTTTATCATACCCGGAACGAAGCTCGAGATTCTTTCTGATGTTGATATGCACCGACATATAGGACGAAATTTATTTGCCAGGAGTTGTAATGTATAGTGAAAGATACCCAACTACTAGACCAAGTTTAAATATTGACCAAATATGTAAATATTAATGAAAAAATACTTGAAATATTTGTCATTACCTCGTTCGCAGTTGTGGCATCAATAAATCTTGATTACAGTAACGATCATCGTGTGAGCTTTCAGATTTGGTACTCACGTCAACCTGAAATCGATAAAACCTCTGTAGAAGTTCTTTAAATCGAACCGTTATCTAAATCTGACAGTAAAATTATCGCTTATATACAAGTGTCCTTATATACTTCTTACTCTTGTCTCTAATAATTGACAACAGTGATATTGATCCATATGTCATTGAAGTTGTATAAACGAAAAGTGACCAGAATGCTGTTCAGATAAATGCTGATAATTCTTATTTGGGAGCTATTTATATTGAACATTGGACGATTGCAAAACATGGACTCTAACCTGCACCCTAGAAAGCAGAATTGAGAGATTCGAAAGAAAAATCCTTCACACGATAACCTAAAAATAGTAAGGCATGGAAGAGAAGGATTAACAAAGAACTGCTAAAAGGCCAGTCAATGTCTCATAATATGAAGGCAAGTAGGTTACGATGGGCATGTCAAATAGCTCGAATACAAACACATAATGAATGCCACAGTAGTAGACAAGAGACGATATGGATGTGCAAAAACCAGTTGGGTAGAAAGAATCAACAAAATACTGCAGAGTTTCATATTGCAAACTGCTCTATTATTATTATATTTTTTATTAGTATATGTTGCGACAAAATTTAATATTATTCAATAAAGAAATATTGAAAAAAAACTAGTATGTTGGTTGAAAAGTGTAAAAAACAAACCACAAAGGGAAAACTTTTTACAGTAAAAAACGGTGCATTGAAGCTAAGACAAATTAAAGAACGTTAAAGTTTGCGTGGAATGAGTACCTATGTTATATATGTTATGTCGATAATGTATATATATATATATATATAACCTGTACCACTACAACCCATGAAGGGTCTGGGGTTCAGTACTATTTAGGGAAAGTACTGTTTCTAGGTCGACGGTCGTGCAAGGAGGTGATTTGACCGAGATCACGCTCAACCGCCAGGTTTTCCTCCTTAATTAATTATTAAAATAATTAATTATTTAATTAACGGTACCCACTTTTATAGAGGCTGGGTGTGCCCCAGGAGGGATTTCCAACCCAGGGTCGCCCTACGGCCAATGAAACAGATAAATAAATTTTCTGCCATAACCCGGGGTTCGAACCTGGGACCTTTGCACTGGAAGCTCAGTGCTATATATATTATATATATAATATAATATATATATATATATATATATATATATATATATATATATATATATATATATATATATGTATATTTAATGTTATTCAGACACACCTCTATTTTTAACATAAAAGTTATTAATAATAATAAGGAAAATAATAATACCTTAGAATTGTCGTAGTAATCCATTCCTGATTTTCCCTTTGATCTTCTTTCCCTCGGATACTGCACTGAAACAAAATAGTGTTAAAGGCTTTTTATTTTTCACTAAAAGTAGGTAATAGTTTCCAAAGCACCATTGGCAAACAGGGCATGCTCATGCGTAACAATGTTTTTTTCATTCCAAAACACATAACCCACTCACGTTATTTTTTAAATTATTATCTCTAAGTTATTTAATGCTGTTTCAGGTACTTAAGGCTTTGTGTCTGAATCTTTCCATAATATTCAAATAGTAATTTTCGTATATATATATATATATATATATATATATATATATATATATATATATATATATATATATATATATATATATATATATATATATATATATATATATTAGGACCTTGAATAAGTTTTCGCTGTTTTTTTTTTTTTTTGTGAAAATTAATGCTTTATTTAAAATAAGTAGTAAAAAAACATGTCACTCAATATATTGTCCAGCTAGCTTCCTACACTACTTTCCTCATCTTTCCGGCAGCAAATGAATTCTACGTCGGGAAAACCACTCGTTTTAGGACTATCCAATAATCTACCCTTTTTTTTTTGGTATGTTCTTACAAATGAATGTGCTGCTCAGCCATACAACAAAATAAGTAATCATCGAAAGGGGCTATATCCGGTGAATACAGTAGGTGGGGCAGGAGTTTCCAGGTAGATTTTTACCAGTTTTGCGCTATGTGCCCGAGCGTTGTCATACAATAACATCAACTAGTCGATAGCTGATCTCAATACTTAAAAACGGATGCTCATGAGAAGCTTGCGAAGAGGCCGGGCTTAACCCACGAATTTACAAGCATAGGATTATCGTACTGTTTCTATTTTCTATAGTCAGTCAGGAAAGGATGCAAAAAACTTTTCCTTTAATGTCTGCGAAGGAGCAGTTCAGACTTGAGAAAAAGTTGTTCCTTGCTTCTGGATCATACCTCATCATGCTGTTAGAGGTTTTGAAACCGTTGTGTCATCTACTAGTAATAATTTTACAGATTCTAGCGTGGCTCTTCTTTCAGTTTCTACACGTCGTTTCCGACAAAGCAGGTTCACAGTAATTCTCAACAAGAATTCTGCGTGCTTCACTTACAGACTTTTTTAGTGTAAAATAATGCAATAAAATCCTTCGCAAATACTCCTTACTTGGTACAAAGATCGACATTTTGCTAACTAACATCTTCCGAAGTTCAAGCATGCCGACAATAGTTCCTGAAGAATTACGTTACCATCTGATGTGAACATTCATGGAGCTGCTATGTTTTAGAAAAGGGCGAGAACTTTTTCAAGGTTCTGATAGTCTTTTCTTCTATTACTTATATATTAAATTAACATATAGTGATGGAAACTTACGTAAATTGCTCTCCTGTTCGGTTTCCTCTGAATGTAACAAATCTGTTATTAAAGCTGGCTTGATCAATAAATCTGTAGAAAAATTGGAAAAACTGTTGCAATCACTTTCAAGATTATCACTTTCCGAAATGATATTGTTTACTGAACTGGCTGTTTTCGATTCTGGTCTGGAACAATTTTTTTTATATCCCCTGTAGAAAAATTTCACAATTTTATTGATAATAAATTAGAAATTACCTGTTTTTTAAATGAATCTTGTTATATACCTTAGTGTTAGTAAGTCTAAATCTGATGTTTCTCCCGAATTATAATCTTCGATACACCTCTAGAATAAATAAATGTTGCTAGTATAGAATAAAAAAAATCATTTTAATAAATCTATAATAAATTTTAAAATGTAACCAAAGATTATTGATGCCTAGAAGTGATGAAGTATATCTTAACCTTGGAGCTAAAAGGTCTAACATTGTACTTCGAAATGAAGTTGAACGAGGGGTACCCACAAGTGGGTTTCATGGCGTAAGTTGCGCCATCAAAATTTTAGAGGAGGGCACATTTTGAGGGGTTTTTGAATTTTTGAGGGGGGCACATTTCGACAAGGTTATAAATTTTCAAAATGAAAGTAACAGACACTGAAAGTATCATTGCATATGTCTTATTTTTTTTTAAATCCTACTTTATCTTGCACTGTTTTAAGAAGATGAGAACAATAAAATATTTTGGAAGAAGGGGGAGAGGTTCATGTTCCATCGACCTTGGATGGGTGGGGGAGGGGAGAGGAATGAGCTCTCCAGAATCGAACTACACTAAAAAAATCAGAACAGGATATTCATTAATTGTTACTAGGGCCAATGTTATCTGATTATTAAATATTGAGATTGAATAACAAAGGAAGAACATAGGTACTTTTAACATTCAATATATGAGTATTTCAGTTGACAGAATGACTAACTCCAATTTCAGAATTTTTTATTATTAATTTTTGTGATATTTCTAGTGGCAAAATTTATACCTTTATCCACAGTTCGATATTTCAACACTGTAATCACCTACTCTGGAATTAACTTACTCACTGTCTGTCCAGATATAAATTTTTCTACTAGAAATATCACTAAAATGACTTTACACAAAAATGTTTAAATTGGAGTTAATCATTTTGTCAACTGAAAGGCCCATATATTAAAGCCTGATTTTTTTTCGTACAATTTACTTAAAGTTCTATGTATGTTCAAGCGGGTTAGGAATCTTCCTTAAAAATCAAAAGCCAACTGGTTAAATTATGAAAGACAATTTTTACTGTCTCAAATTCCAAGGCTTAACTTGACGTGACTTAAATAGTTCATTAAATAAATATTGGTTAATTGACCTTAAAGGGTATTATTATTATGGAAACCATGGATCATGCGAAGTATGTATACAGATATTAAATTAAATCTACTTCTCAGCTCTCTTACTGAGTCCATTTTTACTCAGCCGTGTGGAGGGGTATACTTCAAAATAAAACATAAAATCCTTGTGCATGCACATGATATAGCTGCCCTTAGAATCAGTCAAGAGGATTGCAGAGACTCCCTAGGAATGTAATAAAAGAAGCAGAGAAAATTTGCCAACAACTGAAAATATATCATAATGAATTCTTTCTTCTCAGAGCTTTCTTCTCTCTTTCAAAGTCATTGGAATAAAAGAAATCTCAAATTAAGGAGTATAATGATATAATAAAGGCAGTTCTGATATAAGGCTGCGAGACAAGAGAACAAACTAGCAGTCTAGAAAGAAGTATTGTAAGCTTCGAGAGAAAAATTCTCCGGAGTACTCATGCATGGAGGAAAAGGGCCAATAAAGAACTGCTTGCAGGAACTGATAAATCAATATCTTATCATATCAATCCACCAGAAAGCCATTACACTACATTAAATGCCACAATAGTAGACAAGAGACCACACGGTAGGCCTGAAATCAGACGGATAGGTCGTATCAACAAAGAAGCTTTAGAGCTGCATGCAGGTAACAGGAAAGAGATAACACAAGATAAGTAGAGGTGGAGAAGACAGAGAAGATCTACAAGGTCTGTAAAGCCAACGGAAACATTTTTTTTTTCATAACTATAAAAAATTATGATATATTAAAAATATTCTTTATTTAATGGAATAGTCCCGTGATTTTGAAAATACTTGCATGAATTGTCTACTGTAGGAGGTACATTTTTAGCTGAAGATACTATGGGGGTATAACAAAAATTATAAAAGAGGTTATGTATAGTTTTCGACCAAATATGTAGAAGTTTTTTGATAACGGGTTGTTGTATATTATGGAATTTGTCCACAGTTTATATGTTTTCACGGAATAAGCTAATGATGTAGTGAATCAATATTTCTTATTCCATCACATGACTTCGCCACCTGGGTGAAGATTCTTACAAGGTAGAGTCACAATAGATTTCGACCAGAAAATATTCTATCTGGTTAGGTTGTATCACCTTGGTTTATCACAAAAGAAATCAAAACATCACAAATAGTATCACGGAACTCTATTATCAGGAAAAACGTATTCCAGACTAGAAGATATAAAAACATTATTGGGTGCTAAAAAATAATTCTCTTCCCACACTGCCTGAATCATCGTTTCCTTTATTTTCGAAGGAGAAAAAAAATATACTTCCAAGAAGTTCCTTTTTTTACCCTGATTACAAGAAACAATGACTTTCTCAATCAAGGATTAATAATTCGTAATAAAACTTAAGCCTCCCTCCTCTGCCTTTTAAAGTTTAAAATTTCAACAACTTTTGTAAGCGTTCTGCTAATCTTCTCAAGCTTGTTGAAAATATATATTCCATAAAATATGAGAACATTTTAAGAAATTATGTATTCTTACCTAGAAGGTTTTACTCTTGCTATTTCATGTTTCCCTAACATCCTATTAGTAAAAAGTACACTAAATCATTATCTAGTGTGTCCAACCTCTCTTCCCTGGCCGTTTTAAAATCCCCACTACTAAACACTAAAAGCAGGGAATTTTAGAGTTTCCAGCTGTGTTGTTTGTAACAATGACAGAAGCCTTCAAGCAAGATTGATTAATCTCGTCTAGCGAAACTTGAGTCCATTAGTTTTGTTGTAAGTGATAACGTAAAAAAATGTGATTTTATTTTAATTAAAACCTCTCCTCTTTGACATTCAGTAGAAGTAAGAGTTATAACTTTCAACAGTAAATTGAATATTCGAGTGGAAGGAAGAAACAAGATATCATATTTACTGTATGATGGTCTATCAAGCTTCTAATACAATTTCGTTCTTCTCTGGCCTCCAATGAATGTTGAGGAATCAAAGAAGAGAAGTTGGGCGAGTGAGGATTTCAGATTACATGACTTGTTTCCACTACCAAGGAGATTTTAGCCAATTTTTTAAATGTAAAAAAGGAATAATGAAATAAATCTAACCTGTATGATAAATTGAGATGTATAACTGTTATTGCTTTATTAAATAAGGATGAAGTTCATTTGCCTCAGACTTTTTGAGGAATAATATTTTATCAACTGAAAAATAATATTTTTTTATCTCACGGAAAATGCGCCTCTGCAGTGGAAATTTATGTTACTAAGAAATAAATATCTGGTGAACTACAGATAAATATGCAATGCCACTATGCCCACTTCATCATAAAGGTGGTCTTATTGGAATAAAATTAGAAAAATCGGCAATAAATATTTGTTTATCCAATCGGATAAAATTTGATGTTTTCCATTTATTCATCCTATTATAATAGAAAATTGATTAGAACTGTTTTAAAAAGATATTATACCTACGTATTATTAATTAGGTATATTTGTTGGTAGAAAATAAGTATCTCGTATTATACCAGGCTTTCTGCTTTTTCAAATATGCTAATTGATAGTTTTTTTGCTAATAAATGTAACTTACAAGTTTATTTTGTCCATAAATACTATATAACAGGTAGCTAAATACAAATGCAAACTCTTTGGAAAGACAGGACCAACAAAATAATAACCAGGATTCCTTGGTACACATCTTGCCTACAGAGACTGTACTTACCCTGTTCAAAAGGTTTTTCTGCATGCTAAAAGTCAAGATTCAGCTCGTGAAAACAATGTTTTAACTGTCCATGTATCATATCAATAAAATATTTTTTTTAAAGTAGAAAATTACTTTTTGCGAAAAATTTAACCTATCTACGTGTTGTTTAGCACAGTGAATTTATACAGCTGTTGTAATCATTAAGATCTACCTACTTCTTTATTAGAAGCTAATTAAAAGTTTAAAATATAGAATATGTATATTAATTATAAATAAAGTCATCCAAGATATATTCTCAATGTCATTCAAAAACAAATAAATATATATATATTCAATAATAGAAAAAATATGAGTGAGTATGTTATTGATGACGGTTGGAATATTATTTTACCTAATGATTCTCCAGAGGAAGAATCCGAATTGAGTGATGGGCGTGAGTCCGTAAGAAAGGTAGGTAGAAAAAGAATTAAATCATTATTTCAACCCGCCGAAGCTCCATCCGCTGTAGATAAAGAACCCGAAGAACCTAAACCTGCAGCCGATCTTGGAAAAGAAACTTGGAGGATCAGCTTTTTCAAGAGAGCTTTCCCTGTCAAAAAATATGATGCCGGTTTTCCGGACGCTGCAAAAAAGGTTTACATGGACAAAAGAAGGCCGCTTTGGTTACCACAACAAGACGATGATGAAGATTACTTTAATCAAGCTTCGTATTTTTCCGAAATTTTAGCAAGAGATCAAATTAAACGGCAGGCTGTTCTTGAAAAGATGTACAAGCCGGACAATGGAGAATACGCTTATTCCAGATCGGACCTCGTTGGAAAAACGTATATTTCCAAGTACATGAAAGGTGTTCACTGCTGCAAGTTCTCTCCTAACGGTGAATACCTTTTGATCGGGACCGGAAATGGCACTATTCAGGTATACTGACTTCCTTATTAAAAACATCTTGTAGCACTAGTGGATCCAGGAATTAATTTTGGGGGCTTCAGCCCGAAAGATTTTTTTTTCATATACATATAACGATAATTAATTAGAAAAAAAAAGAAAGAAATTAACTACCTATATGAAATAGTGTTTAAGTGATTCTTGAAGTCCTATTAGATGTAATTACACGAACAAGAATACTTTAAGAGATAGTTTTTAATATTTTGTTCTGTAAAACATGGTTATATTTTACCATTTTGGGAGGGGGCTTCAGCCCGAAAGCCCCCCCCCCCCTTAGATCCGCCTGTGTCTTGTAGTAACAACTATGATATTATTGTTTCGCATTAATATTGAACTCATAAGTACTTTTGATAAATCTTTTCACTTTTAGCACCATAAATTGAGAAAGATTGTCAATATAAGAACGAATTGCTATAATGTTCTGAAAGATTCTTCAATGAATTAGGTATGTAACAAGAATGAAACGATATGATTTCTAAGAAAACTTATGAGAAAATGAAATAACCAATCTTTTCTTACTTGTTTTTTTTTTTTTCATGATTCAAATATGAAAATAAATTTGATGTGTATTTTTATGGGATTGTATAGATTTTGTTCTATTATTTTCGGTAAACATGTATTGCTAAGCCTATAAAAGATTACTATAAACTTATTTGGGCAATCTGTGAAAAACTGTAATTAGACTTGAACCTTACTTGAATGAATTTTTAATTTGTATTAGTCCATGAAGATTAGGTTATCAAATGAAGAAAGTCCTGAAGTTTTTGTGATGTGTTTGCAAAAAAAGGTGTCTTTAAATAAAATTAGAAGGGATTAGAGGGGGTGAGAGAAAAATAGATGATTATAGAGGATGATTCCTAACAGTACAGGATCAGGAGGCTTTTGGCCTGAAGCTTCCCCCAAAATGGTAAAATATAACCATTATGAAAAAAATATTAAAAAATGATCTCTAAAAATATTATTGATCGTGTAATCACATTTAGTAGGACCGCAAGAATCACTTAAACATCATTTTATATATGTAGTTAGTTTCTTTCTTTTTCTTCCAAACTAATTATCATTTTATATAAATATATATGTAAAAACTTTTGGGCTGAAGCCTCCAAAATAAAATCCTGGATCCTCTAGTGCTTAACAGTGGATTCCTAAAGCAAATAGATGATGTACAGTTGGTAATAGATCTATTAGTTATTCAATAGTATTTTCAGATTTGCCACATGGACACTAAATCAACTAGTGTTCACTGCTTAAGAGGATACAACAGAAAAGTCACATCTATAAACTTTTTACCTTCCAAAGACAAGGAGCATAAAACATTCTTTGTATCAAGTATCACTGGACGTGTCTACATGGGAAAATTTGAGGAAGATCAATGGAAATTATATGCGTTCCTAAAAGGTATTATTAACTAATTATCGAAATCAATATAATGAAATAAGGGATTACCAGAACTGTAGGTTTTGTACATTTTAAGGATATCCTGCTGTAATTAATGGTTATATATAGTCTGAATATTTTTTTGTTCTTTCAAAACTTTGAAAAAAAAAATTAATGTTTATACATTTTTTTTTACTATTTGAACTGACTATTTTTTTGTTCTTTCAAAACTTTGAGAAAAAAATTAATGTTTATACATTTTTTTTTACTATTTGAACCTATTGTAGAGAAGAAATAAAATATAATCAAGAATGGTTAAGAATGCAAATTAATTAACTAATTTTAGTTATGTAACATTATTATAGAATGCACAAATATTGAAAAATATTCAATTGAAAAAAAAAATTAATAATGAAGAAGCTTTGCAAATTGAGTCTGAAATAAGCCTAAATGTCGAAAACGTCTCTTAAAAATGTTCTTGCAGATTTCAAATTTATATCTTGAGATAATTACAACTCCAAAACTTCAACCCTGTTTCCCAAGCCATTTTTGAGAAAATTAGTATTCAAGATCAAAAAAACCATTACCAGATTTTGGATACAGTTTAGATCCATTTCAATGAGTTTTACAACAAAATTTTGTGTATATATGTAGACATATTTGTCATAATTTTAACATTCAAATGCATATAATAATAATTTAATTATTTATTTATATTCAAATTAATTTATAAAAATAAGTTTATGAAATTCTGCTCTTTAACATTAATTAATAGGTTGGAATCAATATCTTGAATTGATTAGAAGTAATGCTGTAAACATTTTAGGTCAATTATTGACAAAATGTTCTCCAAGAAAGATTCTCCTTCGGATTGCATGAAGAAAATTCTGAACAGAATACCTTTATTAAATTTTTATAATAATTTAAAAATTTGTTTACAATATATTAAACTTCACCATTCTATAATTTTCTGAGAATGTTTTGATGTAATATTACCTAAGGATATCATGAATTTTAATCTACTGTAAAACTAAGTCAATATTTCTGTTAGAGATCAATAATGAAATCAATGCAATGGACATAAATAAAACTGGAGACTACATGGCTACAGCTGGCCGTGATTCACATATCAGAATATATGATCCTAATCGAAGGAAGGTAAACTGTATTACGTTTATATAAGCATTGACTGATTTATAATGAAAATAATATAAATTATAAATTTGTACTCAGTGTAAGTACAGTGTTATAAATGTAGAAATATAACTTAATAATCTCTTCACTGATTGTGAAAAATCCTTCCGATAAGTAATTTTTAAAAAATATTGGAAAATTATAAAATATTGAAAATGTTATTAATTTTGAAATATATATTTAGTTTTTTTTAATCAATTCAGAAAATTGGCTGGACTCCAAGTACTGTATAGATTTATATCTGTTATTTTCCAAGATTAATTTGAATTCAGGTCCTCAGAACAGTGGAAGGGAAACGTTATGGATGTTTGGTGGAAAACCCGATCCCAGCAGACCTACCAAGAAGAGATGCAGTAGCCTGCTTCCGCCTGGCCACTGGTCACGACTATCTACAAAGTCACCTGCACAAGATAGGCGTGGCTGAGGATCCTAGGTGTAAATTATGTGAACAAGCGGAAATGGATGCAGACCACCTAAACGAATGTCCTGCTTTGACGGATATAAAGAATCAAACATATGTAAATGATTACGTAAATGAAACATATCTTCGATACGATGTATAACAATGTAAAGACTTTGTTTATCTCCAAGATTGAAATGCAATACTGTTTGTTTAATTTTAAAATTATAATTAAAGAATTTTAAAGAAAACATATTTTATAAATTATTATGTATTGGCTAACTTATTGAATTCATTGATCATAAATAACTAGATAACTTCTCCTGTTAGTTAATCCAAATGTTTTTGAAACCTGGGACTGCATCTGAAGAAGATGTTCTGAAAGAACCAATGTCGGATGATGGCCATTTTAGAAGAATATGTGCTCTAAAATTTAATCCTGATGATGAAAATGTGTTCATTACCGGAGGATGGGATGATATTTTAAAGGTAATTTTCAGTAATGATCTAACTATCAGTTTTAAGATTAACTAAAAAAAAGAAAATTAATGTATAGCTTCTTTATCCCATGATAAATACATTGCATCAGAACTTATAAGATTACTATTTCAATTTAGAAACCATTGTTAATAAATAAAAGCTTATTTTAATTATCTTATGTTTTTATGGTTCAAACGCTTCATTTTCATTTTAATATTTGTATTTAAAGGTTTGGGATTTGAGAACAGTGAATCCTGTTCAAAGTATAGCAGGACCGCATTTGACAGGCAATGCAATCGATATATGGGTAAGTAAATAAATACACATATGATATGATTTGTTCATGATAAATAACTCATCTAAATAATAGGAAAAATCGAAGTAAATAGAAAAACTAAAGTTAAGCTATAAATAAAATAATTAATTATATCTTTTATTATAATAATAAAAATCATAAGTAATTTAATCATACAAATTTAAAGAAATTTTATGTTTTCAATTAGTATGTATTATCTAACTTACTAATTTTGTTATATGACATAAAGCTTAAAACAAGAAATTTAGTGTTAGGTTTTTTACTCAAATAATGTATTCAATTGAAATAGGAAATAAAAAATGAGTTTATTTCATATTTCATATTATTATTATTATAAGATTCAAAATTTAGCCTTAAAGTTTTCCTAATAACATGTAACTGATCTAAGCTAACAAACCAGTCAAATTTCTACTTATTCAAGTATTATCAGGAGGGAAAAAATTCCAAACTAGTGTAGAACAAAAATAGCCTAAAACATTTAACCTAGCCATTTTTTTTGGCAAACAGCTTTAGTAATAGCATTTTAGAATTATACCTCAAGTATCCAATTTACAAGTATATTGAATTTACTATCAATTGAAAAAATGAAAAGTTGGTGGCTGTTTGACAAGATATTGAGGAGTAGCTAGGGGGTCCAGGACTTAAATTTTCTGCTAATTATTAAGTGATATTTCATAGACTTAAGGCTTATTTGAAATTTTCAAATATTATTGAAATCTTCTAATAATAACTAAGTTATTTTCTCTTTTTTTAGTCTTTATTCTGATTTGCTCAATAGTTATAACTCCTTAGTTACATAATATGTTTACAACCTCAAAAAAAATAAGCTGACTTTCAGAAGCAAACTCAAAAATGATTTTTAGTGTGTACTGATTGATTAGTGTTATATCAATAACTTATCCTATACAGAACACATTTATAAGTAGGTATTTATAAAGTGTAATTGTTGACTTTACTCTGTTAATTTATTATTAATTATTAAGATTAAAGTAGTTATAAATACATATTAATCATTGCCGTCTCAAATATTTCTCAAGCAAATGCAAATAAAATAATTCAATATTCTATGGATTTATACAAAAATATTTTATTTCCAGGGGAGAGTTCTACTTACAGGACAGTGGACTTGTAATGAAAGTATTCAGTTATGGGATATGAGGACATCAAAGTGTTTAACAACACTCAAACCAATGAATCGCCCCCTTCGTTATGCTGGAGAATTTATTAATAGTGTGCAGTTCATACGTTTCTGGAGCGAAAATGCTCAAATTGCCATTCCTGGTTCTGTAGGAGATCTAATTTTAGCTGGAGGATCAGGGACTAAAGCACTTGAAGTAATAAGTGTCAAAGAGAATATGGTAAGAACCATGAAATTATTATGACATACAAATGTTAGTTGATTACTTATTTCTCCATTTATCCTGTATTTATAATTTATTCTATAGGGTCAACAGTCCCAGAATAAAGAACATATTGTCAGTTTGTTGCAAAAACTCACTAACATAAATACATTTTGGATGGAGCTGAACTCTTTTGTGAATTTCAACCTTATTTATTAATGAAGAACCGCACTAAATGCACTAAAATAACACAAATACTTTTGCATATCCAACAGTTACAGCAAGCTATGATTTTTCAAATTTTACATAGGTAAAATTCATCAAAACTCTTAGTGATTTGAGGTTATGAATTATCACTTAATGAGTTTTTGCAATAAACTTGATGATATTTTCTGAATACTTCAGTTTAATTCAAATGAGGTTGATGAGAGAGTGTTTCCCCTAGGAAAGAAAATATTCTTAGAATTATTATTACAGAAAATATTATTTTGAATTAGGTTGTAGTGGATGGCCTACTCTTAAGTGACATTGAGCGAATGAATGATGAGAAATTGAATAAGGATTGATTGAGTGCACAGTAATTGATATTCAGTATTTATGTTTGTTAGAATAAATTACTTGTGCTATTCTGAAGTAAATATATTCCCTTATATTTAGCTTTCTCACATACCACAATATCTTTTATCTAGACAACTAAAGATTGACCAAACCAGGTGAGTCCAATTCATTTTAAGTATATTCACCCATTCCGATATTTCATATTTACTTATTATTCTTACCACAAAATATCACTAAAGAATTAGTTGTATGAAGTCCCAACAGCAGTAGACACCCTCAAAAAGTTTATCCAGAGCCTGGGTTAAGTTTTAAAATTAACATTAACGTACGAGTGTAAATAACCAAGTCTTCTGTGTAAACGATAGGCTATTTACAAAGTTATTCTTAAAATAAAAGGATATTGGCTGTTGCTATTTATTCCAAAAGAGAAAAAACAATTTATATATTCAGTTATGTTACCCCCAGTACCTTAAACAAATAAAATAAATATAAAAAATGATAATATTTTTGAATAGTGAAGAATTGTAATGTTCTTTGATTATACTAGTCATATTATTTCATAAAAAAGTTCAATTTATGATATCATTTTTATATTTCCAAGTCAATTTCAACCTTTTCCAAATCAAATTCAACCTTTTCCAAGTCAAATTAAACCTTTTCCATTTCAAATTCAACCTTTTCCAAGTCAAATTCAACCTTTTCCATTTCAAATTCAACTTTAGAATTTTTGTCAATTTTCGATTTTTTTCGAAATGAAGGCCACTTACTATATTATCGACGGCATAGCTTTTAAAAAATACAAAAAAAAAATTGATTACGCAGTTGCATATCCATTTATTTTAACATTTTAGATTTTTTCAGTGTGATATTTCTATGTGATATTCAATTATTTCCAAGTCAAATTCAACCTTTTCCAAGTCAAATTCAACCTTTTCCAGATCAAATCAAACTTTTTCCAAGTCAATTCAACCATTTCCATTTCAAATTAAACCTTTTCCAATTCAAATTCAACCGTTTTCATTTCAAATTAATGTTTTAAGTTTTTGTAAATTTTATATATTTTTTTTAAATAATGGCCATCCCCTCCCCCCCTCCAATATGAAAGTCTATTATTATGCTCTCCTAAGTAGAATTTTCACTTACGGATATCGATTTATTGTACCTATTCGGATTTATTAGGGACTAGTATTATGCTGTCCTGTACCTAGTTTTGAAAATAACCTCCATTTTAAGATTACGTGACTGCGTTTCGAATCATTTAAGTTTTTTTGACAAATTCGATATATGGGTGTATTTTTATGTTTCCCGATCAGTAAATTTTGAAAATGACATCCATTTTATGTTTACGCCACTGTGTTTTGACTTATTTAAGTTTTTAGAATTTATCCAATATAAAGGTCTACTTTTATGTTTCCGGAGCCGTAGATTTTGAAAACGACCTTCATTTTAAGATTAGGCCACCGCGTTTCGACTTATTTGAATTTTTCGGATATTTTTCATATGAGGGTGTATTTTTATGTTTCCGGAGCTGTAGATTTTGAAAATGACCTCCATTTTAAGATTAGGCCACCGCGTTTCGACTTATTTGAGTTTTTCGGATTTTTTCATATGAGGATGTATTCTTATGTTTCCGGAGCCGTAGATTTTGAAAACGACCTCCATTTTAAGATTAGGCCACCGCATTTCAATTTCTTTGAGTTTTTCGGATTTTTTTCATATGAGGATGTATTCTTATGTTTCCGGAGCCGTAGATTTTGAAAACGACCTCCATTTTAAGATTAGGCCACCGCATTTCGATTTCTTTAAGTGTTTCGAATTTTTATCATAAAAGAGTGTATTCTTATGTTTCCGGAGTCGTAGATTTTGAAAATGACCTCCATTTTAAGATTACGCCACTGCGTTTCGGCTTATTCAAGTTTTTCGAATTTATCCAATTTAAAGGTCTACTTTTATGATGCCGGAGCCTTAGTTTTTAAAACGACTTACATTTTAAGATTAGGCCACTGTGTTTCGGTTTTGTTAAGTGTTTTTGATTTTTCCTTCGAATAAAAAACATAATACGAAGGATTAATTTATTTTTCAATAAATAAATAAAAATATCTAATCAAAATAAATAAAATATGTATTGTCTCATTTTTAATTTAATTTTAGTTATCTTTTTTAATGTTGTGGTCTCCTATCACAAAATTATAAGATTTCGAACAATTAGCTGAAAAATCTGAATACGGAAGGTTAAATTTATTACCAGTTGCTTTTCGGCTTTTTAGTTTGTATTCTGTGGTTAATTTTACTTTAGCTTCATAATATTTATTTATTTATTCATACTCGAAAACATATTGATGAAACTTTGTATTGAAAAAATCCAAAATGAAGCCTAATTAATCAAGATGCAGCGGCTTAATCATAAAATGGAGCTTAAATATTAGATAAATTTAAATATTAAAGATTAGAAAAATTTCAATACGTCTCGGATAACATATAAGTAGATCCTTATACCGAAAAAGTAAAAAAAAAAACTTTTATAATCCAAAACAGTGGCATAAACTTTAAATTGGGTCATTTACAAAATGGGGGAAATCTACTGCTCCAGAAACATAAAATTAGACCTTTATACTTGTTAAATTCTAAAAATTTAAATAAGTTGAAACGCAGTTGCGTAATCATAAAATAGAGGTCATTTTCAGAATCTACGGTTCCGAAAACATAAAAGTAGACCTTTAAATTGGATAAATTCGAAAAACTTAAATAAGTCAAAATGCAATGGCGTCATCATTAAATGGATGTCATTTTCAAAATCTACGGCTCAAGAAACATAAAAGTAGACCTTAATATTGGATAAATTCGAAAAACTTAAATAAGTCAAAACGCAGTGGCGTAATCATAAAATGGAGGTCATTTTCAAAATCTACAGCTCCGGAAACATAAAAATACACCCTCATATGAAAAATATCCGAAAAACTCAAATAAGTCGAAACGCGGTGGCCTAATCTTAAAATGGAGGTCATTTTCAAAATCTACAGCTCCGGATACATAAAAATACACCCTCATATGAAAAATATCCGAAAAACTCAAATAAGTCGAAACGCGGTGGCCTAATCTTAAAATGGAGGTCATTTTCAAAATCTACAGCTCCGGATACATAAAAATACACCCTCATATGAAAAATATCCGAAAAACTCAAATAAGTCGAAACGCGGTGGCCTAATCTTAAAATGGAGGTCGTTTTCAAAATCTACGGCTCCGGAAACAAAAAAGTAGACCTTTATATTGGATAAATTCTAAAAACTTAAATAAATCAAAACACAGTGGCGTAAACATAAAATAGATGTCATTTTAAAAATTTACTGATCGGGAAACATAAAAATACACCCTTATATCGAATAAGTCAAAAAAACTTAAATAATTCGAAACGCAGTCACGTAATCTTAAAAAGGAGGTTATTTTAAAAAACTACTCATACGATAACAGACCCACGCATCGAAAAATTAAAGATAATTAAATAAATAAAAAAAGGTTGAATTTGAAATGGAAAAGGTTTAATTTGAAATGGAAAAGGTTGAATTTGACTTGGAAAAAGTTTAATTTGATTTGGAAAAGGTTGAATTTGACTTGGAAAAGGTTGAAATTGACTTGGAAATGCTATATTTTTATTTATTATTTATTTTTATTTTTTTAACAGGTATTACATAGTACAGAAGAAACAGCTGCTGTTTCAGCAATAGATCATTTTAGAACTTTAATTTGTTATGGAACTGTTGATCAACTGTACGGTATGGTGAGTTTCTTTCCCTTTGTTGGAAAGTTATCCAAAGAAATGAAATTCAAAGATAAAAAAACTGAGGATAAGATGTTGAAACATTTTTCGGAGTATGGAAATCCAATGGGATGGCATGAAGTTGCATTTGATATAGATTTTATGGAAGCCTTCAATGATGAAAACAAGGAAAATGACTGTAAATTATCACCTGAGGATGAAGAGGAGAAAAAAAGAAAGGAGGAGGAAAAAGAAAATCTTGTGACATATGTAATAGAAGAGCCTCAAGAATAATTGTTTATTTTTCAATACTAGTATACAAAAAATATGCTACATATAGAGAATATCCTATAGCTTATTTATTTTAACTGTTTGTTACCCTAGTACAGTATAGCCACAAAGAGGCTATAGTAGAGCTGTGGTTATGTTAACCATTTGTAGGTATATAACAATCTTTTTAGTGATTGGCTCAATCGATTTTCAAGTTGATGTCTCAAATTAATCGGTGAAGTTCTGTGAGTATTTAAAAAAAAGGTTCTAATTGTTCACATTATACCTATCCTGCTACTACTGATATTTTATTTTTCTGAAGCTGACCACATATTTTGTTTTATCCATATTTATTTTGAGCCCCAGTTCTGTACTGGCTTTTATCAATATTTTTGTATTTAGTTTGGGTTAGCCAAGTGGATAAAAGCGTGTGCAAAAATGCACTCGTCTACAAACTTGAATGGTATAAGTTCGAATCCAGTTTCTGAGATTCCATTGGCAATAATTAAAAAAAATAAAAAATAAATAAGGAAATATTTAAATAAATCTGGAGGCCTCCATACCAGCCTCTGGCATGTGAGGCCGATTACTGGAGGCAACTCACATCGATTGGTCGTAGCAGTGATGACCCTACTCATGTACTTTAATTGGGAATCACAATGTGGTTTTGCAGTGTTTTGATTAGTTTTCAACAGTCCTCTAGAGGTTTGGTCTTTGGACTTCTGTTTTAGGGAATGAAATATATGTCCTTGTGCACCAGGTGACTGAGCAGCCATAATCTGTGGATTTAGACAGTTTTGGTCACTGCCAAAAAGGACACTGCCAGATTGGCACAACCTTAGTCAGAACCGAGACATCTAAAAACATTTTCAAGATGACAAAGGGGGTGCTAATAAGAATAATACTAATGTTTCAAATTTAATATATTACAGTTGTTTTTATTTTAATAATGGATTGACATGAGTATTATTTTAAATATCTTTGTTTATCAGTTGACATGTTCTGAAGATGTGGGGAGGGAGGAGGGGATAAATGCCCCAAAATGTTAACTTTGATATGATGGATTGATTTTAACAAATATAGAAGAATTAAATAAATGGAAGTATAATTTGCCTTGATTTTTATAAAACATATAATAACTTACAAAATTACAATTTGGTTTTAATGTTTTATATATTTCATTGTATATTGGTTTTTGGAAAAGCTATAATCTTTTTCTTATAGGTTTCCATAAACTAAGAATGTGTTTTCATTGTCATTTTTGGCTATTTTTTGCAAAATTATTTTGTTTAAAAAAAGACATTCTTTTCCACCTGACTAATGTTTTGAGAATTGAACCAAATCCTTTGAAAAATGAGGTTAGAAAATGACGATTTAAATAGCGATAACTGTCACTTTTTAATGCAATTTAAAAATATTGATCTCTAGCAGAAATTTACTAGGAAATATAGCTGTAATTCACTGGAAAAACTATTTTATACAATATTAACATTGTTTACAATAAAATGATTTTCCTATGTGTTTTATCTTTTAATTTATTTAAAATTATGTGAACATCATTTAATAAAATTTATTTAAAAAATATGTTTTAATAATGATTATTTTTGTATTTTACTCAAATACTGACCTTTATTGAATAAAAAAAAAAAAAATTACTGCTTCAGTTGATGCCATATGATTAACTAAAGCAGTGATTGAATTCCCCATGGTGATTAGATTTGAGTAAAATACTTGGTATTCGGTACTCACAGTAGCATTTGCCCATCTCTGACTATATTGCTGTCATGCTATATAATATATGCATTTTTTTGCCATAATAACATAAGGAATTTTTTAATAAGTAAATCTTTGTATGTAATAAATATTTTTATTTGTTATCTATTTGGTTAATAATCTTTGATAAGATCAGAAACTGGAACTTTTGAAAATACCCTGTTTGCAATTTCTTTAAATGCAGCTCCAATTGCACTTTCGAAGGAATCCCTCATATCATCCAGAATAGGTTCCCAATTTTCATTTAAAATATTGTTTAAACTTTCACCTAGAAGTATAATTGCATGGTAAGAGTTACTTGTTAAATATTTAATAATTTGATATTTATATTTTAAAAACTTATATCTAACATATAAGCAATTTCTCTATGGTCCTCAGGGATAATTAGATTTACATCTAAGTCCCAAATAATAAATAATTTATTATATTTGCATAGAAATATTACATGAAACATAAATTATCTCTTATGAAATTACTGGAATTCAATGAGCTCTTAAAGTTTATCTGATTTCTAAAACCATGAAGACAAACTTTTAATTTTTTTGATTCCTAGATCTTGTGAGAGAAAATAATTAGCTATAAGTTGAGGTTATTATAGTTTTATGTAGATCAGTGAAGAGAAACCTGCAACCTGTTAGTCTCATGTGTACCACTAAACTTCATAGTATGACTCTTTAAACATTTTACATTTGACTTTCAAACAATAAGTCCGAAAATAGGTCCATAATTTAAAAAAATGAATAAGGGAATTTGAATCGCGATTTCAAAAAAGATTTAAATAAGAAAAAAAATTAGTTTTTTAGTTTATCATTCAGTGTTCATATTATCATAAGTTTCGTACCACATATCCACACAACATTTTTAAATTTGTAGTTTATTTGTAATAAAAAAAGAGACTCTTTGTAATAAAATTACATATCCCTGATCCAGAGAGATTAGAGAGGTTTGATCTCAAAAATCAAAATTAATATTGTGAAAAATTTTGTTAGTTTGACTATACTCAATTTGTTTTCCATATCTGATTACATTTATTATTACCATATTGCATCAAATTTGAGGCAAACATTTTTTTAATAAAATTTAATTTTTAAAACAGGATGCATCTTAAATTTAAAGTGTAAAATTTATTTTTAATTATTTAATTTTATTTTTTAATGCCTTGAATATAAGTAGAAAGTCCTAGAAAATAATGCTCTAATCAAATTATACAAAAATATAGTATTTTATTCATCAAATTTCAAATATGTTAAATTAATGAGCATCTTATATATGATGTAATAAGTTAATTCGTCTGAAGATATTGTAGATAGAAATTAATTATCATAATTATTACTTTTTAATACTTCAAAATATTGAAAATAAAAAATACTTACTAATCTCCTTGTTTCCTTTGAGTAAATTTTCAAAGTTTAACAGTAGCCTATCGACAGTAAATGGAAATCGAACAGTATCCATATGAATATAGATTTTATTATTCTTTTTAATTTCATGACCACTCATAGTCAGTGCAGCTTTAAGATTCACTGGAGGAACAAAAAGTAATTTTTCAATTATGAAAAGTAATAAATTAATGTAGACATTTTAATTATTTTATTTTGGTTAAAATAAACATTTAAAATACCTAGAGTGATGTTGAATCTTCCATCTCCCTTAATTGGGAATGACAATAATTTTCCTTCTGATTCATAAAAACCAGTAAGAGTTATTGGTTCCTTCATAATTGCATCTACTCTAATTTCCGTTTTCTTCTTATTAACACTGAAAACAAATAAAATTTTGCAATGAACTTTTCCTTTATTTCTTTCTTTTTTTTTTTGTTTTCTGTTGGCATTACAGGCCATGTAGATCTTTTGCCACCTTAACAAGTCTGCTCCATCTCTGCCTGTCCTTGGGCTATTTCTTATTGGTTGGAGTAAATGAATTATTAAATAATAAGGAAATTCAGTCTTAAAACAATCACTATTGAATAATATGTTAATATAAATTTACCTAATTTCAAGAAGTGGATTTCAATGTCTGACATTTAAAAATTGATTGCCTTAATTAATACAATTTTAATTTTTAATTAATTAATTAATAAACTTAACTAATTGAACTTATTAAGCCTCATCAAACTTATTGCATTTTAATTAGATGAGTAACCTTGCACAAAAAATTCCTATTTGGCCTTTTTATAGTAGGAGCAAACATAAAATACTGGATACTTTCGATCTAAATAATAAATAAGTCTATGCTAATTCATGAAGATTATTGATATTTTTGTTTCAAGAGAGACAAAACATTCTATAGGAGTGAATGGGCATTGCTCCTGTAAAATGCGATATGTGTAGTATTAATTAATATAAATATTAAAGAATCAAGCGGATTCCAAACGCAGCTATTAGAGACAAGGTTGGATGTCAAAAGAACATCCTTCACCTGATCGGGACCAAACGGTTAAAGTGGTATGGCCACTTAATGCGGATGGGTGAGAACAGCTGGCCAAAGAAAATTTATAACTATATGCCACCTGAAAGAAGGAAGCGTGGAAGGCCAAAGAAGAAATAGATAGAGAACGTAGTGGAAAGCATGGCAGCCAGAGGGCTCCGTGAAGAAGATTGGATGGATAGGGAGCAGTGGCTTTTGGGTGTTGTGGATATGACTCCTTAGGTTGTATAAAACCCAAATATAAAAAAAAAATATTAATAACAACTCATTTTATATTTTTTAACAGTTTATAACAGTTTATACTTTTTATGGATTTTGATTACTTTTAAAGAATTTGTGGAAAAAAAAAAGAATTCCCTAATTGTTTATCATACTGCTTCATATTTAAAATAGTTTCAAAACTATTTTTAAGTCACTTAATTAATCCTAGGTAGTTATTAATAATTACTGTTTAAAACATGAATTTCACTTAGTACATTATAAATAAATTGTACCAACCTGACTTTTCTCACATTGGTAGATTGTAGACCAAAGAGGTCAACATTTTTAAACTTATGTTTTACATTCAACGTTTTCCCTGGGGCATCAGACAAGTCTAAAATGTCTATATGAAGAGGATCTAGAGGAAATACTCCATATTTTGGTAAACCTAGAAATATAATATGGATATAAAGTTTGTTGAATGGACTGTAAAGCAATTTTCACACAGTTAAATAAATTATATAACTTTGTCTTATAACTGTGTCATCCAGTTTATTGAAACTTACTAAGAAAGTTATAAAAGTTATAAATCAAATAGTTTTCTTTTTGCTTTAAGGCTAATCACTTGCACTGACATTCAAAGTCTCTATTTGTAGTTATATTTAAGCTCTCAAAGTCATAACTGTTTAAAGTTCTTCTTTTCTTGTTAAAAAAGTACTTGTCTTGGAATCTTGGACAAAGCACTCTTCCACTCTCTTTGGCTTCAATGTGTTTGAAATCAAATCTATGTTCCTCCTTCCTGTTGTCTTCTATAAATACCAATTAAAAAGAAATAAATATCTCATCCTATCAATTTCGAAATGGTACTGACTAAATGTATTATAAGTTATTTCGCACCGATTTAGAGGAAAAAAAAAAAAATCAAAAGTCATATAAGTTGGTAAATAAAGTTGGTTGACTTGTTACATGACAAAAAGTTTTGATTAATCTTCTGATTAAAGAAAGTTGTCTAGACAAGATATTTAATCAAGATGCCACTTAAGACTTAAGGATACTATGTTGGTGTAAGATAATCTAAAAATTGTGCTATTGCCACCATAAGATCGGAATTGTTATATAGTAAGAAAAAAAATTAATGACATAAAAATTTTCAATTTTGCAAGAGAATTTCATCAATTGCACCATACACCTATTTTGTATATAATAATTTTGTCTTATGCGATTTTTATAATCAACATTTCACTGGTTTAGGTATAATATCTTTCTTCAATAATTTGTTGGTTTTCAATATCTAATTTTAACAGTAATGTTAAAACCAATGTGGATTTATCTAAAAAATTGTATTTCTTAAAAATCTTATTCTTAAATTGACAACTAAGGTTTAATTTACCATTAAGATTCTGAGGTTTTTATTTTAATTTTTCGTTTTTACCTTTTACAAGGACTGGAATAACACCTTGAACAGAATTCACCAGGCATTTTTCTAGATTTTTATCTTTCAAACTGCAGATAGCTGTAAATGAAAAAAAAAAATATAGATATATTTTTTCAGTTATTGGAGTTTGGGTTGGTCATTACATTAAATTTTAAACATATATGTAAAATTTTTATATTTAATTTAACCTGAAGAAGGTTCGATGAAATACCGAAACTGGTATCAAGAAAGAATAAACAGTTATATACAGTATGGCAACGTCTTTGTATTGAATATGATTTAATTTCTGTAACATCAAGCTTTAGTTTAAGAATACTTCATGATTTATGTCCAAATTATGTAATTTCAAGTTACTGAAAGCAATGTTCTCAATACCAAGAACAGTTGGAACTGAAAAGTTTTTGTAGTACTTTTATTTTTAAAAACATTTTTTTATAGATCCGTTAAAGAAATTCATTTTGCCAAAAAGTATATTTAAAAATTGATAATTATGGTGTACAATTCTAAACATATAAACCATTCACTCTAGATAAATTATAACTGTAATATAAGCCTAATTACTGCTTATTTCTCGTTTACATAACTTATTTTTAATTTCTTAAATAAATTAAAGTTTTACAATAAAAACAAATTTACAATAAACCCAAAAAGTGATTAAAATATAGTTCTGAAGAACTTTTGTTTTAAAGACATTTTTGTTGAAAGGGTTCTATTGAAACTGTTAAAATGAAACTTTTTTAAAAAGTTCTATAAAAGCTTCAAGCTCTGATACCAAGTGTCCAAAATCAATTTTTTTGAGTAATTGTTGGCAGGGTTATTATTATTATTATTAATAGTTGAATTTGAAGGCATAATACTTTAAAATTCAATTTTATAGAAATCAAAGGCCTTCTGAATTATTGGATTCCACTAATGGCGTTATACCGAATAGACTTAAATTAGTTTATAAGTTTATAATAAAATTTAAAATTGTCTTTTTGAGCTATGGTATTCTAGTTGATAAGCTATATATCAATGTGTCTTTTTTGGATGAAAATAAATAGTAAATTACCTAATAAAACCTGTTTATTTTGCTATGAAACCTTTGAAATGATAATTTCTAGAAGTTTTATAGCAGAATGAACAAAATAAAAATGTCTACAAGTTACCAATCTTTATCAGCTAGTGGGAATGGTAAAGTTATTAATAAAATTATTGATTAATGATTTCTATTAACTATAACTGTAAATGAAACATTACTTTAAGAAGTAGTAAAAGAAACTCACTCTGGGAATTAGTCCATGGTGTAAGAACCAGCAGAAGAATACTCCCAAAGAAAGCCTGTTCAATAGTAACAATTTAGCACAGAAATATTTTAGTTAATAATAAATTATTGGATGATAAAATTAACTTTATTCTAGGACTTAATGACCTCTAAAAAAACAACATAAATTCACAATTAAAGCAGAATTAGTGTCGGGCTATATTTATTGTAACTTAATTAAATTATAAACCAAAAGACAAATAATAAAAAAAAAAACTAAAAATCTAACATAGGTAATAGAACCATAGAAAGGAAAGCTAATTTGTCTATAGATATTACTCTGTACATATTTCCTATCCATCCTCAAATATTTATCGAATACATATGAGAAAAAAAAAACAAAACATATTTTTTCATTTTTGTTATTAGTCGAAAATGATTATTTCAGGGAAATTCTCAATTTTTAATTGATTTAATATCATACCATGAGTAAGTTCGTGATCATTACCATTAATCAAAAAACTAAAAACTTTAAAAGAAAAAAAAAAAAATTTAAAAAAGAAATATCCCGAACGCGGAAATAATCTCATCTTATAACTCTATCCTTTCTGAGTGACGAGAATACCCGCATATTGGTAACTGAAACATACTGGTAGATTGTTAATGAATTTGTCATTTATTAATATGGAAACTTAATGTAGTCATGCATCTGTTCATGTCAACATACCGAAAGTATTTTAATGTATTGTCTGTAGTCTTAAGATTCGCTCGAATGTGGAAGGCACTTGACAGGAAACTCCGACATTTGAAGACGCCAATTACACTGACATCAATATGTCAAATTGTAAGGAGAAATGCTAGTACAGTCCGTCCGCTTGCATAGATAGAGTTATAAGATAGATGGAGATGGATAGAGAAGATGGATTTCATTTTAAATTAAATTACTTAAAGGATTTACGAGTGTGAAATTATTACAAGCTTGTAGTGCGTAACTTGATCGCCTTTTAAAGTGATATTTAGTTACACTCATTTCAGTCATTAAAGACACGATAATCCTCTTATGTCAGATTAATAGTATTACTTAATAGATTAATAGTATTACCACGACGCACCAACGAAGTTCAGACGATTAGTAATGTTATCCATTTTTTGGATATTACTACAATTTCTTGGTTACCGCATTTCCGTGTTATCAACATTTCCCACATACTGCTGGTAAATATGAAAGAGTGTTATCAACCAATGTAAGTTTTGGTTTATTTTCGCAAAATGTGGTGTAAACATAGGGCATTCAAGCCCTGTAAAGTGACATCAACGGTGATAAGACCTAAATGGCATCAAAAACCACTTAATTATACAATGATACACACCAAGTTACAACAAGTTACACTTACTATATATTACATATATAGGTAAGTGAAAGTAAAAAAAAAAATTTGTTTTTTTGTTTTTATGAGAGAGGAGGAGGAGTGAGAAGTACGAATAGAATTGAATTTTTGTTGAGTTTCAGCACGAAATGACAGGGAAAGCAATACTATTATAAGAGTTTCGGCATTTATTTCTCGATTTTAAATGAGCTTCTATCAACGTTTTTTTTATAACAAAGTTAGGTTGGAGATGGAACACATCTTCTAATTACATTAAATCTTTATTTAAGAAAAGCTAATCTAATGTAAATTATGAAACTTTGCACTTTGTGGAATAACTTACAGCTGACATGGTGGAGCCCAGATGTGTGGTGGATCTCTGACTGAAATCCTCAGCCGACCTTAGCTCTTTATAAGTTGCATTTCAAGGTCGTATAGGAGGATAGGGGTTATCGTTCTCGGGAGCAAAACTCCAATTCAAAGAAACGATAGGTAATCGTTACCTTTTAAATTCCAATAAGCTTTTTTTCGGAATATTTTATTACTTAGTTATATTATTCTTCAGGATCATTATTATATTGCTGATTTGGAAGGAGACTGCTACAACGCGAATAAGTGGAATTTTATTGACGAAATGTTTAATGTTTGCATATTCAGGTTTTTTTACTGTCCTTAACATCAAATTTGATATTTTGTTTATCAATAATGATCAAAATGTTTTGTTAAAAAGTAAGTTTTGGTCCATTTAGATATCAACGTGGAATGAAACTGTAGCACTTTTTCATAAAAAACTAAAATACATTATTATTAACAATTTATAAATATTAAAATAAAAATGTATTTGGTAAATGTGAAGAGAGAAATATAAGGACATGAAAAGACTTGTAGTGCAACTACCCGCTGGTAGCACTCTAAATTTCTACATTAGTAGATCACGAGGCTATCTTCTTTTCAGACGCCTCGAAGATTTATCAGATAAAAACTCTTGCAAAGTTTTAATAAAAAAAAAAAAATATCCATATATGGCTTATATAATCACAGACTTTTGTACTCTCAGTACTTAAGTGAGAAAATCTGCTGATGTGTAGATCGCTTTGTTTCTGAGCTTCTTGCAAGTTCGAAGATTCGTTGGTTCGAAAAGATGAAACTACAGTCGTGTTCTTGTTAAATTTTCCAATTAATGAAAGAAATTCTCTGTCTCTCACTATCTGGAATTTGGCGGCATTGTAGCTTTATTCAAGTCATACTCATTTTGCAGTTGCCAGGAGGTTTCGATTGTTTTGAAGGCCGTTTAATATTATATTCCCACTTACCACTCTCTTCTTTACTTGGTCTAGTTCCATGTTAAGCAGTGCCGGCCTCAGAGCAGGGAAACCCGGGCATTTGCTCAGAGACGCCGGGCTGGAAATGCCCGTCACTCATTAAAAAAAAAATACAAAAGGCATGATAAAAATTAATTTTAGCCTATTAATAAAGCTAATTGATGCTGTAGTCTATGGGAAAAACACTTTATACATTCTATATTTATATGAACACCTTTCATTGATCATTTCATTACCTTTTTTTCGGTAACAACACCGTCTCTATAACCTTCACTGTAACTTTTTACAAAAGGCAATCGAGAAGAAATGAAACATGGTATATTTAATTTTATGGGATCAGAATATGCGCTAGGACAAGATTGACCAAAAAAGCTCAAAACGTCATTTTCCAAAAAAATTTCCCTTACAGGCTTTTGTAGTGTGGCTGTCGATATGTTACATATGACATCGTAACAACTGAATTATATTATATGGGGTGACTACAAGATTTAACTGCAGGTTTCCTATAAGAGTATGAGACAGATTTTCTACAAGAGAGAATCTCCGTTGATTACTGGCAAATTCCTGTTGAAACTCTGCGACTTCGATTATTTTAATGTTTAGCAATGTAATCTCATATTATTTTGTCAAGTAAAAAAGAAGTGTATTATGTTTGTCAGATGTTAGTAGATCTAATAGTGCAAAAAGATAGGGGATCATCCCTGTCGGTTGCCGCCGCTCTCCAGTTGCGGATTCTCAAGATGGATTTGGAATCCACTGCTACTCCATCGATCCATCATAGCTGAGGTTTTCCCACTCTTCTTGTTCCATAAATACTTTCATTTAATTACCCCTCCCCTCATGTATGTCCCGCCCATCAAAGATGTCCTACTTTCATTACCCTTACAATATCTGGGTAGAGTCTTTCACAGGTGGATCTACGGGAGGGAGAGGGACTTTCGGGCTGAAGTTCCCCCCAAAATGGTAAAATATAACCATGTTTTATAGAAAAAAATATTATAAACTATCCCTTAAAGTATTATTGTTTGTGTAATTACATTTAACACACGATAAGAATCACTTAACAACATGTCATATAGGTAGGTAGTTTATTATTTTTTTTTCAAATTAATTATCATTATATATGGAATAAAGCTTTCAGGCTGAAGCCTCCCTCAAAAATTAAATCCTGAATCCGCTAGTGGAGTCTTGAACCCTTGAAAGACTTGTAGTCTTGTACCGTTATCCTGCAGGTTCATTGGCGCAAACGGGGTCTTAGATTCTGTTAGGAGAAGGACCTTCTGTGTATCAGGTATCGTCCAATATTCGAGGCATAAGTGAAGACTGGTCTTGTATGGATCTTGTACGATTGCACCTTTCTGGTTTGAGAAATAGCTCTGCTCCTGAAATGCTTCAACGTTTCAAAATAGCATTTATTTGCGGGGATAATTCTGCGATGGATCTCTGGTTTGCTTTGTAGGCTCAAGAATAAAAAATAAATACATAAATTAAATCAAGAATGTAAGGAGATTTTAATGGATCAGTAAAGGTATATATATAGGAATGTAGCTCTGGGACAAACAGGATAAAGTCACTTTAACTCGGCATACCAACTAGAGAAGTGGGCGCCTGTGGCCTCCAAACATAAATCTAATGAAATAATGTATTAGTCTCTTCAGTCTCTATATGCTATATAAATAACATACCTTGATTATTTTAGTTATAGTTCGATAAATCATTTTTTGTATTTATAAATGCATTGTATAATTCAGAGATTTGCTAGACAGGAAGATTTGTGTGGATAAATTTAGTAATACTTCATGTGAGAGCACTTGTATGATTTTTAATTTATTTTAATAGTGAACATTAAAAATATAGAGATTTCTACCATGGCAACATTTAAAGTTTAAATTGTAAATTCAACATCTTGGTAATCAATTGAACAATGTTTATTACTTGAATACTTCAACTAGATGCTGTTGAGGTATACAGGTAAATTGATATTAATGCCATATTTTAATAAATATTTATTTATTTTTATGATTTATTAACTACCTTTATTATGAGAAGAGAGGTTATTAATCTTAGATCGGTAACATGATGAAAATTCTTCTTCAGTAATTCTACGAAAATGGCGAGGCGATACGTGATTTGGATCATGTGTTCTCAATAGAACTGCGTGCAGATCCTTGCGTAACACCTTCCTCATAGCTACCAGAACCTGTATTTATATAAAAGGCGAAGCCAAGAGGAAAAGAAGAACAAAGAAAAAAAAAAAAGGAATAGAACTAAAGGTTAAGGAGATGACGGAAATAAATATCAACACATCCATTGTTTTTAAGTCAATCAATGGAGAAACAATTTTTAATTATTTTCATTAAGCTGGTTTTTGGAATAGCCATAACGGAATCCTCATTAAAAACCATTATACTAACAATATGGAGTCAACAATTTTGGCGTCTAAAGGGTTTTCTTGTTATAAATATTTGTTTAGCAAAATCAAACTCCATCAAGTTTTATATCTCTTGGTTTGATTGGTAGTTTGTCCGGCCCATTAAACCATGTGTCATCGATGTTTAAACTGATTAACCATCCTAATTTTCCCATATATTTCTTATAATCTTTTGATATTTTTCCTGCTGTTAATCCTTTGCAGAGAAGAAGATTTCCAAACCTGTTTTCAACTGTCTTGTTTAGGTTTCTTGATTTGACCTATCGCTTCTTGCTCATTTTCCAGTAAAAGAGCCAAGTCATCTGCTTAAGCTTAACGTTCAGTCTCAAAATACCTTTATTTTTAGTTTCTATTAGAGACTCGAGTTATTTTTCTTACAGAAGTTTTTATAATTTTGACTAGAACTATTTTGAAGAGCGTTGAAGATAAAACATCTCCGTTGCCATTGGAACGGTTTGCTATTTTCTCCTTGGAATTTAACTTCAGAAGCCGCCGACCACTGAAGCCACCAAACAATCCGCTACAAGGCAAGGCGTAGGTTAGTGTCAAGTTGACACTGACAACTTATAAAGTATTTGGTAAGTGTTATCTGATCCGATACATATTCATCCAGTGTATCGAATAGTATTTTTAAATCAACCGAATCATACGTTTTCGAGAAAATAAAAAACATTTTCGTTTACTACACTCATCCGTATAAACAATGGGCCAATTTTTAGCAGAAAACCAGTAAACCCAAGTTTTATATTTTTTTAAACAAGTCGTCTTTTTGTCGAATAGGAAGCGATGACTAAAGAAATATTTAATTTAAAAAATTGTTTAAATGTAAACTTGACAAAATTTACTTCAAAAGGAAATAGAGTTCGTCTTTATTAAAACCAATTGAAGTGGACTTTTGAGCTGCTAAAATAAGCTAAGTTCTGTTTTTAATAAAAATCATAAATTATACGGGAATTTCTAAATTATCTTCCAACTATACTACAGTTACCGACTTTTAGAAAAACTTCAATTTTATTAAGCTTCATGTCTGCATTAATTAAGTTGTTTTTTGCTTAGTTTTAGTTTTAATTTTCTTATTTTTAGGTTATTTTATTTTATTTATTGTATACACATTTTGATTATTATTTATTGTTATTTTGCTTTTATTTATTTTATATTTTTTGTACATATAGTGTGAATGCTATTCTACCTCACTATAACTAATGTCCATGTGACAGATTGTTGTAATACTCAATAAATAAATAAAAAAAAAAATTAAGTTGAGTTTTATTGGCAAAAAAAATTGATATTCACCTCAAGTTGTGTAAAAAAAAATGATGTGCTTTTTTATCCCATCAAGTAAAAGTACCCCTGGTTTCAGCAAAAATGACTACAAATAATTATTGTAAAGCTTTTATTTCTTATCTTTCTATGATCTGGTATGTTTTATATTAAACATAATTGCATCGATACATCTTTCATATATATATATATATATATATATATATATATATAAATTTAATAAATACTGACTTTCCAATATTTTTCCGTTAAAGTGGTTATGATACTGTGTTTTTCATCCAGATCTATTTCATAGGAATCGATCAGTTTTTATAAGTTACAAAATGTTTCTAGTATAATAATGTACGTTTAAAATTAAGAGCCCTGTTGATTGCTTCAATTATTTTAATGAAACGGTTGATATTTGTACTAGTAACATTTGTTTTGTGGAGAAGTGGAGAATCCCAATTTTACAGCGTACTACCCTTCAATTAAGATAAGTCATTGAACAAAATTGGGAAATCTCAAAACTCAGATGGCTACAAAAGGTGACGGATAGAGACGGGATTAATTTTATTTTAAAGACTTCGACGCGGACATCAAGAATACCGGGTCTGTATGGAAATATACCAAGCTCTAATTAAAATCCTGAAATTTACGATTCTCAAGGTACTATGGTTGTCATGGGAGTGTTATCACATGTTTAGATTTTAAAAATTAAAATATTGCCACTTTTAATACTGTTCAACCCACTGAAACTTTATTGAAAAAGTAAATGTAAGAGAATAGCTCTATGATCCCTTGGGCAATTTGAATAATCATAAAGAAAATTTCTAATATTTTTATGAGAGAGAAACACTTTATTTTCATATAAAATATAAAGTATAAATATAAACTAATATCTAGTGAAAGAACAACAAACGAATGCTCTTCTACCCTAAACAAATACGTCATAGATAAAATAATGGATTACTATAAGTTGGGGAATAGCAGTGCCCTAGTGGAATTGCTTAACTATTAAACTGGAGGGATAGTTTCCAGTGAGACAAGCTAATCACTCATTAAGTAAATTGTTACTTTAACACTCTTGATAAAGTAATGATAGTGGACTATTTTGATAATATTGTATTCTAGGCACAAATAAATAAACATTAATACATTAGGGAGAAGTAGCTACCTAACGTGAGAATTCACACTTGGCTATACTAGTATATACATATAAAACTTAAGATGATAATTATAGTCAGATAGTAGGTCACTAAACTTCTGAATGAATCTAGAAATAATAGAAATTTGTTCGGCCATAACAAGTATAAGATACAAAATAGATTCTGATAGAACTTTCTTACAAAATGGATCAAGAAATGTATTATAAATTGACTTATGACCAAGAGAAGCTACACGAAAGACTACATCATATAAAGAACGTTAAATTAATAAAAATGTTTGCTAAAATAAATAAAAGAACAACAGCTGATCCACTGCCAGAGGTACCAACCACTGCGTTCTTAAACCTCAAAGGAAAAAAACATACCACAAAACATACTGGTATTTTAGCTTTAGGACCTAAATTTAATTATGAGGTTAACAACGAAAATGTCTAGGCTAGCATACCACATTTCCTATCTGATATTGAATATATGACTCAGACTATAGAAAAATAAGATTTAAGACAGAATGAACTAAGACTGAAGTTAATTAATACTGTGACTAATGTTCGATAAAAATCATCTAACATCTAATATTAATTATTTTTTATATATGTATAAAGAATATAATTAATTTTAAATAATTTTCTATTGTACTTTTTCTTAGATTTCAGTCGTTTTAACGCGAGAATATCGAGGAGCACCCCAAGGACTACCGCCGCGCAGGTCCTACACGAGGCAGAGGTGTAGAAAACTTTCCTTCCTGTAGACTGTAAGGCTCCCAAGGACTACAAGATGGTGACAAAAACTATTCGTCATCACAGTTCCACAATCCCCTCAGCCATGACTATCAGTATCATAATTCTATTTACTTCCTCTTTCCCGTTTGCTTCCTACCGTCTGCTGACTGTTAGATCTCTATGGAATTTAGATATATGCTAATTCACTTCCTGGCTATGATTCTAGAAATTCATAATCACTATAGCTGGAGTGTTGCCTGATATGTCGTTTGTAAAAATCCGTACATATATTATTACAGTAAGGCTCGAAATCGGTTTTGTACCAAATATAAGCTCCTGTCATGCTCAAATACCATGAATGGAGTACCGTTTAGAATTTCACGGGGGGTTAGCGAATCGTATTCTCCACTTTTGTTTTTCTTTCTAAAATAAATAAAGTCAATACAAACATTTTGCTAGGTTTCAATACCTGAACAGTGGTAGGTCTGTAGATCGATACGGGACAAAGTGGATCTTGAAGATTTTGATGCGTACAGCCGATAGTCCTCTGGAACTATCGGATCCTGCGTTTTTAAGCCCAAAAACGTACTATTTGCGAGATAACGCAAGGCATAGGGTTCGCATCCACCCAACCTTACATTAATCGTAGTACTGTCATTGAATACATGTCTCATTTCGTCGACTTGAAGTCTCTATGACCGAGAGAGGAGGAGTTTATATTATTTATCGATGGTGTTTTTGATCGGCAAGCCATATCATCGTCAATTTTTCACCAAATCTCTAGATTGAGCCACCAATTTCGAAGGCTTCCTTCTCCTTCAGGAGGGCAAAATAGTCCAATCACCCCGAAAATTCAGGCAAACAAGTTATGAAAGAAAACAAACTTGTGAATAACTAAAAAATTACACACTTTTCCCTTGGTTATGCCCCTGATTATATAAAAGATTACTTAATTCTCTACAAAAGGAAAATAAAATCATTGAAATCGGACAATTAGCAAAGATACAGTTTACTGAAATTTGTAAACATGTTGGTTCCAAACAAAAATGAAGATTTAAATTAATTTTTGTTTTATTTGTTGATTATATTTATCGATATAGTAACATTTGATTTCTTTATCTTTTGATACGTTGCATTATTTTATTTCTCATTAATCTGGCATTTGATAACAATATGCTGTGCGAATT